CCTTGGACTCCTACAATACAATAGAACATTTCGTCATATACCTGCCCAAGCTTGATAAAGCTTTGTTTAAAAGGAAAGACTCCAGTATGACAGACGCGAGATGTAGCGCTACTATTGACCCTCGGTTGTGGTGGCTACCCACGGACACAACGGAAGATGTAACGACCGTGCTGTAGTTGTGGCCTACCTGAATAAGATTTGACTGAGGAATTGCATTTGATTATCTAATCTTTCGACATATCCTTGTAGGTTAGTATTCAGATAGCTAGGTATGAGCATAGCTATATGTAGTGGGAGTTATTTGCTAGTAGGCTTTCCACCATACCTAGCATTCCTTTGTATATGCTGCTGCGTGACGCTCTGGTGAGTCGTGATTGACGCGATTGATTTCCTCGACTGAAGGGAATACCTCTTTATCAGCTTATCGGTCTGCCAAAACCAGGATGATAATGGTCCATTCCACGAGTCCACGACTCCACACTCACAGTCAAACGGAGTTTCCGGAAAATTTCCGCTCAGAGCCTCCACGACACAGCAATTCCAGTTGATCGTTATTCGGTAAAGTGACGATCAGCTTCAATTTTCCATTCAAGGTAAACGCGCAATCCATGGAGTGGAAATTCTTGCTCCTGAACGGTTCTGTGGATAATCTTAATCCACTCTCCAACGATTCAACGGCGACTGGAATTAACTTTGGTACAAACAACCGGAAGAATTGACTCGTAGATAGTCGTACTGTGTTCGACTGCATATTCAGGTTGATGCTATCGCAAGATTCGAGCGATAACAAGCAGGGATCATATTCGACAGGAAGCAGTGAAGCACACGTTCACGGTGTCGACTTTCCTAGGTTGTACTAAAGCTGGATGCTAAGGATGGCCGGGAGAAACTGAAAGTGAAAAAAAAAAGAAAAAAAGAAAAGAAAATCAGAAACCTGGAAATGAGGACTCCACGTTCTCCGTTTTAGGACGCTTCTCTCCTCGGGAGTCCGACAGAAGTGTTAGCCGATCTGCCCCAGTTTGACGCGGATTTGCGGATTTGCGGATTCAGTCAGCCACTGTTCTTTAGTCTTTACTACAGCACAATTACCTACCTCGCATTGGATAACTCGCTATGAACTGCTTAGTAGAGAAGGGTAGATAGGTCATCATGTTGACTGCGAGCTTAGCAAGACTGTCGACCACGAGTACCATCCGCGATTCTGGACTCCAAAATACTAAAAGCTCGCACGGCCTATCATATGAATCTAGAATCTCATGTGTACTCCAACTGGAACACATGAACCGCACTATTGAAGTCAGGGCACAGACGAGCCCGCATGTCACCTCGCCACGTTTTTGAGACCATTGAATTTGGGACAATGGAACGTTCTTTAGAATTTCCACCCATCCCCAATCCGGTAGATGCTCCGACCGGTGTGACTAAAACATCATGCAGTTCATCAAGGCCAATCAGCTCAGATTGGGGGATCTGGAAATCCGTCATGTTGCGCTCGATGAGGAACTGCAGCTGGACGACTATGAGTATGCTGTACGGTACATGGGCAATAATATGGTCGCGGGTCTCAGGAACTCCTTTTCTTCATTGTCAGTCTCTCTTCATGAAGTTAGTTGCATTGACATGGGCTGTAGTACCTGGCAACCTGCTGCCATGCAACACTCGAAACTGTATTCCAGATGGCTCTTCGGTACTTCCACGTGCCCAAGCTTCAGTATAAGCAATAACACGATCCGTGATCGTGAGAGAGCCTCTCGTCTCCACCCTGACTACATTGATACATTCTATCCAATGTATCCATGGCTACTTGCAACAAGCTGGTCTTTTTACATCAACTTCAAGAGAGGCTCAACCCTATCCAGTGCTCCCATGATGACTTTGATATCCTCCAACCCACCTGATCTCTCGTCGCTTCAAAGGGCAACAGAGTTTCGCTTGCTCAGTTTTTCCTCCCACACCGCGGGGATTGTCTGAACAAAAGGTGGCCTGTATGTTAAGGCCGAAAAGCCGAAGCTTCTGTAAGGATCGGACTTGTTTCCCAAGTCGGCGGCCATAGAAATAATCAGCTTCCAAGGGTTTGCCGTACCAGACCTGCAGACGACACTCTACTCAGTGACTCACGGACTACTACAGTAGTCTCTTAGGTAGTCCTACAGACTCTGTAGTACACAGTCTGCACGGCAAGGTCGTCCTTGTCTCCTCTATCGAGCCTGTCAATTGATTCCCGGCTAAGCAAGTCCTCTCGCGAGATCTGTATTCATGCTGAAACGCCTCCGTGCTATACATAGACCTCTTTCAGGGTGAAGCACGTAAAAAAGACCTCAGCCTGAGACGTCGCGATGGATCCTTTCATCGTCCAGGGGGCGGTCCGACGGTCGCGACGACGGTATAGTGTACCACTGTACACCTTTAGGCGCGTGCACATCCATCCACCTTGACTTTCACCAATCCCCCTCTGTGAGCTGTTGACTACTCCACCGTGTCGGCGCATTGATTTACAGACTCCACAGGTGCATCGGGTCTTGTATTCATCTCTTTCCGAATCCGTGGCTCACCCGTTCACTAGTCTTGTCGTGAAGCGAGAGTTCGGCACGATGGGTGGAGTCCCCGATCGCTCTCCGGACTGGCAGACGAACAGAAAGGGAAAAGACCACACGGTCTCGTTGGACATGTTCCTTCTCCGCTAATACGTGAATTCTCCTGGGGTGTGATCAAGAAATTTCGTACAAGCAAGCCGATGTGTAGGTGGTACTTTGTACCTCTGACCCTAGCACGCCTGTGCTGAAAGTTGAGAAGTCCAGTGGTAATTATATCAAGGTGCTATCCAATGTATCCATATTCCATAATCCATAGTAAGTCTGCAACGTCAGCCCTGCCATGAGAATCTATTTCTTCGCCAGACGCTTCTTGTTAACCTGATTGTTTTTTTCCGGTCCAGACAGTATGGCTCAAGGACGTGGCACCTGCCAGCCAATTCAATCACTCTGGGTCTGATTTGCGAATCCCATTTACATTCAGCTTCGCGTGTGAGAGTCTGATCCACTCGACTTGCACATCTTCATACATCACTGCTCACGAGCAAGCCCCCTGTCAATCCGCGCCTGTATAAATTTTCCCCTGACCAGGGCCAATCATCCGTCTTCGGGCATGGGATTGACATTCCTCAGTGTCTTTCTCTTTCGACAGAGGTGATTGCGTGTAGCCGTGTAGTCATATTTTGTGTCTTCTGGGAGCCTTCTGACGTAGGGACGGACGGCACAGCCGATAGTTGACACTCTTGAGTCTTTTTACATTTACAGAAATAACACATACAGAGCCGCTGGTCATTGCAACAATTCACATGCGTATAGATCGCAGTGTCCAATGTGAAATGTCCCATGTACACACTACCTACGTGCGTACACAGTACAAGGTAACTGACACCAGTACAGTCCTACTGTACTTAGGACTTAGGACTTACTAGTGTACTACCTAAGTTACTAACCTCACAAGGGTCTACCAATTTTGATAAACGACCATGCATCTGCAGTCTCCCAGAGGCTTCGAGACTCGGCGTTGCTTCGACGCTAAACCCCGTTGCCAAAGTACGGATTGCTTGGTCGGTCTTTGGTACCTCTCCAGGAGGGTTTCCCTCAACTACCGTGATTTCGCTCTTCACGTACTACCGTCGACCCGACTCCAGTCTTGAACACGGCAGTCCAGTCTTTCTGCACCTGAAGACTGTAGATTACCGCTCGGCCGGTTTCTGTTGCGAATCTGTCCCTCTTTCTTTCCTCCCGCACTTTGTCTCCCCGTGCGATCGTCCGTATTCACACGTTTCCCCCAGGAGATGGACCCGAACTGGTTCATCACGACCCTCATCACAAGAAAAGTCCACTAATTTCGCATATTCGGCCGTCCATATGCAGTGGAGTGAAAGCCCACCCGCTAGTTGGAGTCGGCGCTGATTTCTGGTTTCCGTCATGAGAGACACCCATTCAATCATATCTGATTTATCATTAATCCTCATTTTTTCCAATCCCCCTTTGGCTCCCCCCGTTAGACTTTGGGGCGTTTGGTCTCAATTTTTTCTCCCTCCACGGTCGTCTCGTTCTTCGGGCCTCGTTCTCAGTCTCTCTCTTGGTCCTTTCTCCTTGCCCCCCCCCCCCCCCCAATTCAACCCCACCGGGAGTGATCTGACCATCCCACCGTCCTGTGAGTCGTGAGTGCTGAGGGAGAATCACCTCCTCCCCTCTTTTCCCATGTGGAAACCTCGACTATCGCCCAGATCGGATAGTCAGACTGGGAGCGATCCCTCTTCCCCTCAACCCTCCGCTCTTGACTTCCTCGGACGACCCAAAAAGAGGCAGCAATTTGGCCCATCGTCGCCGTCAACGGGTATGTTCACAACCTTTTTCCCCTACAGACCTTTGTTCTCCATTGTCGCGTCGCATCCCATTCTCTTGTTCTCTCTGCACGTCTTGCCGGGGCATACCAGCAAATCCGGGTCATTGTCCGGTCGAAGCTGGTCATCGCACAGTGGACAGGGCAAAGCCTGAGACCTTCAAGCGCCGGGTTCTAAACGAGCGCCGTCGGGGCTCGTACTAGGTCTTGTTCTTGTCTCTCTTTCTCACTCACACCCTCTCGCCCCCCTTCTCTCTTTCTCCTCCTTTGCTGTGAGAACCGTTCCTCGCCCTTTGCCTCGCTCCTTCTCCTTCGCTTCTTCTCATTCCCTCATTCTGCTACCCTCTTCTCTCCCTCCCCACCCTCCTCCCCTGGCGGATATCTCTATCTCTCTACTTCGAGGTCGCTGGCCCTACGTTGCAGAAGGGTGTTTTTGTGCCGCCCTTGGCAAAAAGGAATCACATTCTCGATCGGCGTGAAGTACAAAGGGGAAAATCCCGGACTCTACTTCCCCCGGGGCTCGTGATGAATCGCGCGACCCTGACTTGGTGATTGAAAAAGAAAAAAAAACAAACAAAGAAGCCTGATCGTCCCTACCTGTGCGTTGCATAATCGCACCAATGCGACCAGGCGCCCGCGCGGGCGCCTGGATTTGTGGCCCCTTCCTGCGCATTGCTAATGCTTCTCCCGATGACGTGCAGAATTCCAATCGCGACCAGATTCATCGTCTCGCTCCACCTTTCGTTCCTTGCGTTCCTTTCGCTCCAAATCAGAACGTCCCGGGAGCAGTGCGTCAAACTACACCGACGTCTCCCGACCATCCTCGCGCCTACGAGGGCCCTCTAATCTCGCAGGCTCGGTCAGCACCTCTCGATTAGATTCCGGCGGCCAATCGAATCCTTCGAATCGCGCAAGTGTCTCGTTCAATTCTCAGTCCGTGAACTCAACCGCCGGGGTGATGGAGGTCGATCGCAGGCAGACTCGGAGGGAACGAACCTTCGTGGGCAGCGAATGTGCCGTCTGTGAGGAGCCACTCGAGCACACGCTGCGGGGAGAGCGGGTCCTGCAATTTTCATGCAGTCATGTCTCCCACGAGGCATGCTTTTATGAGTTCATCCGAGAGTGCGAGTCCCAGTATTGTCCGACATGCAATGCGCCGCTCGGGCTGGATACAAGCCGCGGTGGAAACGTTTTGGATATCGGTTTGTCCTACCCTTCTCGAAGGCATCCAGGCTCACTTGGGTGGCCACTCCCCACATAGGCGTGGGGACCGAATCGCGATGTGGTCAATGCTTTTGCATAGATCCCCAGCCGTGGCCTTGTTTTGCACATGAGAACTCTCTCAGACTGACATTAACACTTTTCTTTCGTCAAAATAGAGAAGATCAGCAACATCGTGCGCTCAGTGACCATGAGCGACACCGCGACCTTGCGCAGTGGTGTCGAAACGCCCACACCATGGGAACAGCCGTCCAGTCGCCGAGCGCCCAGTGACGCCGGCAGCCGCTTTACCAACCCACAGTCTGCGACATCAGTCCCTTCCACATATGTTCGACACGACAGCCGCGATGCGGCAATGCAACGAGAGCGGGTCGAGCGCATGGCAACCGCTGCACCCTCGTCCATCCCAGACTCTCGGCAACGGCAGCATTCTCGCAGCGGCAGCGCGGCCGGCTCGTCTGGTGACTACCATGAGGGCCAACACCCGAGCAGCGGACGGCGCCACGACTACGACGTACAGGCGATGGAGTCTGAAGTGAGCGCTCGTCCGAGCGTCGTCAAGAACCCCATTCCCGCCCCGATTGTCACAGTCCGCAGCGAATTCCCCACAATGAACCGATCACGCCAACAGCAGACATTAACGTGCTTGATCACCGTGGAAGTGCCCGAGGCAAACTGGCGGCCCGCTGTGGATGACTTGAGACCTCCGCCGGTGGCAGAGGCATCAGTGACCGAGGAGCCCCAGTCGGCCCGGCAAGGAAGCTTTCAGCACGATCCTCGATTTGATGCTCGGTCCATTCAATTTGAGCCGACAGAAAACTTAGACGAGGTTGCGGAGACTTTGCGGAAACGCGTTGACAATTGGCACGGGCTAGAATTCTCAAGGTACGTGGGTGCTGTGACGAGGAAAGGCCTCATCAGCGAGACGGGGATTCGTGCAATAGGCTTTCCAAAGTGCTGACACAGAGCTGCAGATTCGGGAAACTACGCCTGCATGGCAAAATGCGCGTGGGCAAGGATCGCGAGTCTTGGCAAGAGTTAGAGTGCTATCTATTCTCAGAGATGTTGATCTGTGTGAAGGAAAAGAAGAGCTCCGACTCTCACCAATACGACGAGAAGCGTAAACCGACACGATGCACCCTTAAAGGTTCCATCCTGATCAAAAAGCACTTGAAATCGATCGACGCGGGAACCGAAGAACCAATTCTTTCCCTGAATCTCTCTGTCAGCGAACTTCCCTGCTTCTATTTGCGCTTCCCCAATCGCCCTCAGTTAGAGATCTGGTATCGAGCGCTGACAGGCCGCCACTCGGGGGAACTCTTGCCTCGCGCACATCACGACTACGACTACGATCATTTGGGAGCTGAGGAGGACGACTACCGGGGTGGGCGGATTCAACGGCAGGGCTCCCTGACCTCATCTAATGGTGCAGGAAAGTCCAACAACACCACCTTGACGGACTACACCAACCCTGATGGCGAGAAGCTTCCCCTTCACCCCTTCCATATTCCGATCGATATTGTCGTGGTCATTCCAGTCTCCTCTTCGATGCAGGGCTTGAAAATCACGCTTCTTCGTGATGCCCTGCGATTTTTAGTACAAAGCTTGGGTGCCAGAGATCGCATGGGATTGGTGACCTTTGGCTCCGGTGGTGGCGGGGTGCCTTTAGTCGGCATGACTACCAAGTTCTGGAATGGCTGGGGCAAGGTGCTTGAGTCGATCCGCCCCGTTGGTCAGAAGAGCCTGCGTGCGGACGTTGTTGAAGGTGCCAATGTCGCCATGGATCTGCTCATGCAGCGCAAGTTTAACAACCCGGTTTCGACCATTATGCTGATCAGCGACTCTTCTACCTCTGATCCTGAAAGTGTCGACTTTGTTGTCTCCCGCGCCGAAGCTGCTAAGGTTGGCATCCATTCTTTCGGTCTTGGACTCACCCACAAGCCGGATACCATGATTGAGTTGTCCACTCGCACGAAGGGCTCCTACATGTACGTCAAGGACTGGATGATGCTTCGGGAATGTGTGGCCGGCTGTCTCGGTGCCATCCAGTCGACCTCACACCAGAATGTCAAACTCAAGTTACGGCTTCCCGAGGGGTCTCCTGCCAAATTCGTCAAGATCAGCGGTGCTCTCCATACGACCAAGCGCGCTACTGGTCGAGATGCGGAGGCTGCATTGGGAGACCTTCGCTTCGGCGATAAGCGTGATGTATTGGTACAGCTCGTGATCCAACCGGATAATGCCACGCAAGAAAGCATGCCCCAAGACCCTTGGGAGAGCCTGGTCTCGGGCCTAGAGGCTCTGAGCGGCGGTCTTGACGGTGATGAGCAGCGCGTCACGAGTGTCGAAGAGGTGCCATTGATTCAGGCAGATCTGACATATGGTGACCTTCTCCGTGACGGTCATCTTACGCACTCGCCCCGCCCTTCGCTCTTGGCTATCACCATGCTTCCGCCCAACCCACGGTCTCGAAATCAACGATCATCTACTCCTCCCATTCCCCCTCACCCTTCGATCGTACAGCGCCGCATGGAGTTATTGACGTCGGACATGCTGACCAGAGCTTTGACGCTAGTCTCGCGAGGGCAGCATGATCGGGGCCAGCATCTTCTGAACGAGACCCGCAGTATTCTCAAAGGACTTGGTAAAGGGGGGCTGCCTCCACTTCCCCCCGGTGCCTCCAGACAGGGGGGCGGAACAAGCGACGCGGGCAGTATTCGCGTGGAGACGCCCACGTCAAGCTCTCCCAAATCATCCAACTTTGGAGACGGCCACATTTCATCCGCATCGGAAACAAACACTATCACAGCGTCAGCCTCCGTCGATGGGAACCCTATGAGCGCGTTGAACGCCGATCTCGAGGCTGCTCTGGAGTGGATCAACCATCCAGCCATCTTCAGTCGTGACTCTCGCAAGGCGGTACTGCAAAGCATCGGTGTGATTTCATCTCAGCGTGCCTTCACTTTCCGAACGCCGTCCGAAGCTCACTGGGCTCAGCGGATTCCCGGAATTCGTCGTCTGACGGAGAAGTCCAAAGATTGGCGCGAGATGGGCGACGATGCCTTGACTGAAGAGTGAAGGGGCCTGCAACGAAATTATCCGCCTATCCGCCTATCCGACTGACTCGCTACGCATACACTGTTACTTACTTTTTTTTCACACTGGATATTATTAATTCACCGGCGTCGGCTTTGGACTTGCAAATGCGTACTTCGACTGCGCCCCATCATCGCCATTCGGCCAACTTTCTCACCTCACGGGAAGCCAATTTCTTTTGATTAGCCTTGTTTGTGATCACTGTACTTCCTCCTCGCGCCCACATGATACCACTTTGTTCCCACCATGAAATGTACAGCATGATAAATCGGGGTCTGTTTTTCCTTTTCAATCTTACCACTCGCTTTCCCGTCACCGTCTGTTCTTCTGTCACCAGTTTTGGTTCTTTTCTTTTGTGCCTACTCAGGCATTGCATACGGGCGCTTCCGTCCAGTCACCACCCAGATCACCGCGTTTCTCCATTTCAGGCGGCGCATGATTGTTCCTTGAGTATCTCCGTCACGATTTCTTTGCATATTGCGACATGGACGCTGTTTGTTCTTTGCCACGCGGAATGAGTTTCTTCTTCTCCTGTCTCATCAATTGAGCGCGTGTTTGGCAATTGCCGGAAAACATGACGGCTTTTCCTAAAACTTGACTCGGTTGCGCCTATCATCACAATATTCTCTAATGCATTGTCGCTTGTTATGGCTATAAACATGACCTCCAATATTACCAGCCCATCTATGTGAGTAGTGAACGTACAATTTCAACCATTTGGCGGAAGTCCTGGAGAATAGAAAGGGTGCTTTGCGTATAGCGGAGATTCGGATGACACATGACCAAAGTCAGACTGTAAGTTAGTTTGAGAGTTTTGATGATCGGAAGCGGACCAAGCCCCATCATGCAGCCCTATCCCCGATAGTGGGACCCTTATCGCCGAGCAGCCTGGCTGGTGACGATGCGCTTCGCTCTGCTTCTTCGTGCAAATCCTACCAACATCCTTTGGCTTCTTTGAGGGGAAACCCGTTCATATCGCCTCATACTTGTAATGTAATACCATTTTCACTTGTCCATCATGCTTCGACAAGCCTTTGCATCGTTGTGTACTGCGCAAGCCTCTCCCCCAAGCCTCGTATCGGCATCACATCACCTCCGCATCAGGCCGCGCATATCCCACCTCGCTCCTCAAGTCGCATCAAGATGGACCTCGACGCGCTCGCCTCTCCCTTCAACCAGATCTCTACCAAACTACTCGCTATACAAGGCACTACCCTACCGACGTAACTTTGCAACAAGCTTCCCGCGCCAAGCCCGCAACACATACAATCGCTTCAACCCGTCCTCCGCGCGCCCCTCCGTCTTTTACACGCTCATCTCGCGCTCCAGACCTCACCATTTCGTCCTCATTGGCCTTGGTATCTCCGGTGTCTATCTTTACAATACAGAAGTTGTCGAAATGACGGGACGTCGGCGGTTCAACTGCGTTTCGCACGAGGCCGAGCTGAAAATGGGAATGCAGAGCTATCGGGAAGTTCTGGCGCAGTCGCAAGGCCGGATATTACCTGATAATCATCCCGTGGCGCAGATGGTGAACCGGGTATTGCAGCGCTTAATTCCACAGGCGCCCATCGAGGGCGCGGACTGGAGAGTCCATGTCATTGTAGATGATTCGAATGCGAATGCTTTCGTGCTTCCTGGGTATGAATCGTCTTTCCAACGAGGCGATGTTTTGCTGTGCGAAGTCTTCGCCTTCTCTGATCATCGCTGACATTGGATTGCATAATTCCTCTGCAGGGGAAAAGTTTTTGTGTACACGGGCATTTTGCCAATTTGCCAGGACGAAGATGGTCTCGCTGCGGTACTGGGCCATGAAATCGCCCATGTTGTGGCTCGGCATCCAGCGGAACGAATGAGTAACAGCTTCCTGACTCTTGGGACTGTGTTTTTGATCTCTCTTTTGTTCGATGTCTCGGGCCAGCTCTCGAGTATGCTGGTCAATTTGATGTGGAGCTTGCCTAATTCACGTACACAAGAGGTATGTGTGACTCGGTTATTGAGCGTGGATGATTTGGGCTATGGCTAACTCGTGGTGGAGGATAGGCCGAAGCTGATAACATAGGATTGAGTATGGTTGACGTTACTCCGGAAGTGATTGCTATTACGCGTACTAACAAACGTGGTTTCAGTGATGATGGCCAAAGCATGCTTCAACCCCGAGGCCGCTGTGAGATTGTAGGTGAAAATCGCGTGTACGGAGACATAGATCAGCGCGTGCTAATCCTTTGATCCACCACCAGATGGCACCGAATGCAGCAGCAAGAGAAATCAGCTCCGCCACAGTTCATGTCCACTCACCCTTCGGTAATTCATTTCGTTCTCTTCTGCTTCTACCAACATTAAGTCCTAACAATTTCTGACAGAGTTACAATCGTGAGGAGTCGATTCGAGGCTGGTAAGCACCATCGATTCTCAACTTTAGGCTCCTCAAAAGACCCGGTCACTGACATAAATTAGGCTCGATAAGGCAGAGACAATTTACGCCGATAGTGGATGCAGTACCTTTGGAAGCTACAGTATGTCCGCTACGCTTGAAAACATCGATCTGGGTCTGACCAGTATACTGACTGCGCGCAGTGCCGAGCTTCAAAAAGGCGTATGAGACGCAGAGTTCTTATGGCTGGTGAGAAGGCCAAGCTCTGGAAATTCTCTCTCGAATGAACAGTCTCACATTAATTGGAAAGTCCCTCGTGCTGTAGATCTTCTGATTATATCCCATTCCATATACACCGTCATGTATGTGTGCTTACTCCTAGCATCTGAATTGGGTTGAACGCTTCCTCCGGTCGTAGTTCTAGAACACAAGCTGTGTGATGCACTGATGGCACCATTGATGAAATCTACCCTCGAACCATCTCTTTCTTCTAATTTCGTAGCATTAGGACACTGCTTCATCAAAACTATACTTTCGTTCATATTCACGCTTGATCAAGGCGGTCAACCATTCTAATCAACAACTGGCGAGTTCCCCTCTTGCAAACAGCGCAAACCCACCGAAGCCCCCGTCGAGCTCCAAAAATTCCCCGGCACCACTTTGAGAAAGCACATCGACTCCCTCATCACCCTCACATTTAGTCGTTTCCGCAGCGGACACGACCCCTCACAATGTCGCTATCACTTCCGGGGCCCTCCCAACAGAGCCTTTTCAAGGCTGGGTATCAGAGGTATGTCCCAAACCGCCCAAACCACCCAAACCACCTCATAACATCGAACCATTCACCCACCGGAAACCACGCCCACCTCCTTATCTTCCCGCCGCAATGGAGCCGCGAGTAACACATCACGAATTTTTGACTGACGATTGCCTTCCTCCGTTCGCTTTTTTTCAAATAGTCACGATGCTGAAGACGGAGCCGTTATTCGCAACATTGAGGCTTGCCAGGCCATCTCCGGCACTGTACAGACCTCCCTGGGACCTTACGGCCGCAATAAGATTGTCATCAACCACCTGCAGAAAATGATCTTGACCTCCGATGCTGCGACGATTCTTCGCGAACTGGATGTTGTGCACCCCGCCGCCAAGTTGTTGGTCATGGCTAGTCAGCAGCAGGACTCTGAGATGGGTGATGGCACCAATTTGGTCATCGTCTTGGCTGGTGAGCTGTTGAAGAAAGCTGAGGAGCTGATCCGCATGGGATTGAAGACGAGTGACATTGTCTCTGGCTACGAGAAGGCGCAGAACTTTGCCTTGAAGGTGCTGGAAGGTATGCTACAATTGGCTCGTTCCTCATATGCGCTCTATTTGCTCAGGCGAGCCTGTCAACCAGGCGCTATTTCTAAGGGTTGGTCGTTCGAAACGTGTTCACTAATTTGCCAATTTCGCTGAACAGATCTCGAGGTCGACCGTCTGAAGGATTTGCGCTCCATTCCAGAACTGAGCAAGGCTCTCCGAACCGTCGTTGCCAGCAAACAATCCGGTACTGAGGATGCCCTCGCCGCTCTTGTCGCCGAGGCTGTGCTCGCCGTCCTGCCTAAGAACCCCGCCAACTTCAACGTGGATAATGTGCGTGTCGTCAAGATTATGGGTGGCAGTTTGGAACAGTCAAAGGTCGTCAAGGGTATGGTCTTTGGCCGTGAACCCGATGGTATCATCAAGAAGGCGCACAAGGCCAAGGTTGGTGTCTTCAGCTGTCCTATCGATATCTCCCAGACCGAGACCAAGGGAACCGTTCTGTTGAAGAACGCCGAGGAGATGGTCAACTTCACCAAGGGCGAAGAGGACCGCCTTGAGACCGCTATCAAGGAGCTGTACGACTCCGGTCTCCGTGTGGTTGTTGCTGGTTCCTCCGTCGGCGACCTCGCCATGCACTACCTCAACCGTTTCAATATTCTCGTGATCAAGATTCTCTCTAAGTTCGAGCTCCGCCGACTATGCCGCGTTGTCGGCGCCACCCCTCTGGCTCGCCTGGGTGCTCCTATGCCCGATGAGATGGGTCAGATTGATATTGTCGAGACGACCGAGATTGGTGGTGACCGCGTCACCGTTTTCAGACAAGAAGATGCCAACGCTGTCACCCGCACGTCAACAATTGTCCTCCGTGGCGCTACCCAGAACCACCTGGACGATATTGAGCGTGCCATCGATGACGGTGTCAACGCCGTCAAGGCGATCACCAAGGACCCCCGTCTGGTGCCCGGTGCCGGTGCCACCGAGATTCAGCTCGTGGAGCGCATCTCCAACTTCGCCGACAAGACCCCCGGTCTGCCTCAGCACGCTATCCGCAAGTATGCCGAGGCATTCGAGGTCATCCCCCGCACTCTCGCCGAATCTGCCGGCCTCGATGCCACCGAGGTCCTGTCCCGACTGTACACTGCGCATCACCGCGCAAACCCCGACTCCGCAGAGGGCAGCTCTGAAGAGGAGGAGCCTTACTGGACCACTGGTGTCGACTTGGAAGTCGGCGACTCTGACGGCACTTTGGACGCAGTTGATGAGAACATTCTCGATCTCATGGCATCCAAGAGCTGTGCGATTCGCTTGGCCAGTGAGGCGGCTCGTACTGTTTTGAGTGTGGACCAAATTATTGTTGCCCGGCAAGCAGGCGGGCCAAAGCCTCCTGGTCCCAACCCTAACTGGGATGAGGACTAAATAAAAGGCGAAGAGTTTTGAGACCGGCGATGTTGATAGATTTACTTGATATCATGAGAGAGAAAAAGGCACGCCTCTAAAGAGGTGTGTATAACATTGAATACGATAATACATCATCTAAATCCGGTCATTCTGTGCAATTGTGCCTTCCTGTAAAAAAGGCAATCCCTCAATCGCACATACAGCGTAGACCACTGATTTGCTTCAAAAGTGGAAGTTCGCATTTGAGTAAATCAGATCAGTGAACCGGTCAATCTAAAGAAGGCTGCATCAGTGCGGACTCCGTGATCCGTACTGCATACTTGGTGCATTCCAACCGTGCCTACGCAATTATCTGGCGAGCACGCGAGGCACAGTCTCGATGTTTCCCCATCTCTTTTAGCGCTTGCCCAGGGTGGAACCTTCTTGGATAATTCTCCCTTGTATCTGTTGTATGGTTTAGTAGTCGAGACTAAGAGTCCTACTACCAGAGCACGCGGACCGGAGGTGAGAGGGTCATCCCATCGGGCTGGCCATCATGGTGGATGATTACATAACTAATACCACGTGATACCCAGATTTTCCCCGAAACTCTCGTTACTCTTTTCGTTTACTACAATCGCGATTGAAGCAGTGCTGTCGTTCGCCCTCGACTCCCTCCTTGCTGTATTGACCTCTGACAAGCTCTCGCCTCGCTGAAGTTCAGTCCCTCATCTACCATAATGTCTTTCCCTATTCAAACCGTGGCTCGCAGCTGCCGACAGCTCTCCGGCTCCGTCCGCCCATCCTCCCTGCGCATCGCGACCACATACACAGCCCGCACGCCCAGCTACCGACGATGGGAGTCCACAGAGGCCGCTGCTGCCCCTGTCAACCCTAAGATTGCACAGATTGTTGACCAGATCTCCACGTTGACTCTGTTGGAGACTGCTGATCTCGTGTCCAGCCTAAAGGTGAGCGAGAGCCATTTGCTGAGCCTTTACGACGTCGCGCAATGAATTCAATTGTGTCCGACCGTGGAGTCCATTTCCTAGCACTTTGGACCAGAATGACGGCGTCTAATCGTTTCGATCTCTTTAGACCCGGCTCAACATTCCCGATCTCCCCGTTGGTGGCTTTGCTATGGCCGCTGGTCCCGGCGGTGCTGCTGCTGCCCCGGCCGCCGAGGAGGAGGAAGCTGCCCCTGCCGCGGCCGAGAAGACCCTGTTCAACCTCAAGCTCGAGTCCTTCGAGGCGGCCTCCAAGGCCAAGATCATCAAGGAGGTCAAGAACATGCTCGGACTGTCTTTGGTGGACAGCAAGAAGTTCGTCGAGTCCGTGCCCAAGGTCCTGAAGGAGTCTGTGCCCAAGGAGGAGGCCGAGAAGATCATGGAGACTCTCAAGGGTCTCGGTGCCAAGGTCGTCATGGAGTAAACGGGGTGAAAGCGAGGAACGAACGCAATACACAAAACAACCTCCAAAAACAAAGACACCACATCCCTCGGGATATCTGGGAAGGCGAAACGCGGACGAAGCTTTGATTTATCGGTTCAACTCACCCTCTTGCATTCTTTTTTTTTCTCTCTCTCCCCCATTCTTCTCGTCTGTTTTACTTCCGCGGCTTGTGCATGATGCAATGAGGGGATTTTGAATCGAGAGATCGGGCTCCGGGGGCTGTTATACTTCTTCTTGAGCGTTTTTCAGGGCTTGATCGTGTGAGGGCAGATTATATAAATGTACATTATACGCATCGTGTGATAGACCCCTGACATTGAGGGTTTCTTTTTTTTGATCTAATTGGTGCATTCAAAATGCATTATTCAGATGTAGCAACAACCTGAAAAGCATCTTCTGTAGACTTTCCTTAAACCAAGTGCTGGCCTAGGGATTTTGATGCAGCGTGGATCCCAGGGAAGCAGCCCAGGAGCCTGACAAAAACAGCTATGATCTTGACGCGGTTAAAGTGCCCGGCCTCATGAAGAAATCCGCAAAGAGCTATGCCCTGGTCAAGTCAGAGCTATCGACGAGATCCGAGAACTTGTCACAACATTATTCCTAGCTGGATTGAGGTCACCATGTGTGGCCAGGGACTGTTTTGGCTGCTTGGCAGGAACCCATACTCCCGGCGGTGCCACCGCGGAGTTGAGCTGTCGGCCTCCGCTTTTCTCCAAATCCCTCGTCGTTCGAATACGACCGTCTCCGCCTTGTCTTCCAAAACCCTCCCAAACACCGCCTCGGCCAGAAAAGCCACGCCCGAAACCATGGCAAGGCCTACGCCTGCGCTGCGACAATGGCTCAACCTTCGCCGAAGCCTCTCGAGCACACATTCCCATGTGCAAAAATGCCCGGCAAACAGTTCCCTCTCACGCGCAAAGCTACCCACCACGGCCACAGTCATCTCTGACGCAGATTCTCGCTCGAGACAATGCTTTCACAGCGGCGCCCGCAGATTGGCGAAAGCGCGACAAAGTTCTGCAAAGCCGGCGCCCGCTCTGCAAAGGAAGAGGCGAGATTTAGAAGCCGGACGGGGCGCCGCTCTGCCAGCCTCTGGTGGCAGAGGGACATTGGACGCGAAGGGTTTCTTTATGCAGGCAATTGAGGTTGATGATGAGCTGCTTGTTAGGGAATTTCTTGATTCAGCGGACAGTATGTACGATGCCGCTTCGGCTGATGGACTTCTTCCCGGGATTGGTCTTCATACCTTTAAGGATGTGGTGGTCAAGATCTTCAAGGGAATGGACGGGCCTCCGAATCCGCGGATGATTCAGGCGATATCGAAAGGTGAGTGTCAGCAGCTATTTCTGGTCCTCTTCCACATGGCTTGGCTTGGCAAAATGAGATCTAACTCTGTTTCCTATGCAGATGTCGATGCTGTATATCGCATTGGGATCGTTGGCTGCACCGTCGGTCCTACAATGACCGAATGGTTGACCACTTCGTGCGCATTGGCAGGGGCAAGAGCAGCCATTGTTTTGATCCAGGCCAGACTGGTCAAATGGACGCACAGCACCCCACAATCAAAGTGGACAGATGCAGTCAAACGGTTCTCCGACGAAGGATACCCACCGGCGATGATGCTCCACGCCAAGATCCTCGGTATGCGTGGACAGTACCAGGAAGCCTTTGAGTTGATGGAAAAGAGAGTTTTGCCATTCTTGACCCCTACACGTCGTCGACCCCCGTTGTTTAATGACATCACGCTGGACGGGTCCTTCGAGTCCCCATATCGACTGTACGCCTTGCTTCACGCATCTTACGATGATGCGTTCGATTCGCCCGAGAGTCGGCGCAAAGCCGACGAGGCTACTCGCGTGGCAGCTCTCGAGTACAACGACCGCATGGCCATGGTTGAGTATGCCTCGATCATGATGAATGAGAAGAAATTGGATGACTACGAGAAAGTCATGAGCAAGGCCGCCATGCTCGGCAGTAAACAAGCTGTCCTGTACATTGCCAACTTCTACTACCAGGTCTTTCACGGGAGATATCCAACGCTGGCCGAAAGGCGCGACTCTACAAAGCCGGAAGGCCAAACCGATAAGCCCTCTTCAGAGACCCAGGATCAACCAAGGTCCTCGAATCCCTATTTGTTCATCGTTCACTGGATCACTTCCTTTTTCAATCAAGGCATCGAACGTGAGACATATCGCGATCTGGCAAAGCACTGGTATACCCTCGGCCACACATATAGAATCCCACAGGCATCTTTCATGCTGGCACTAATGGCCCATGAGAAAGGGGTTGCGCTGGAAAACAATGTCTTTCTCGAGGCCGAATGCGCTTATTTGCTGGAAAATCAATTGATTGGGCCGAAGTTTGAAGAGCTCAAGGATAATTGGTATAACCCGCAGTTTGTGCCGCGCCTGTCAGTTCAGATGTTGGCTGTACGATAGGAGGAGGATACACCTCGCAAAAGCTTTTTGTGTATAACATGTTATGAGAAAATGAAACTTTCCTAAATCGGTAATGATGTTGCCTGTTAGTTGTCAATTCTCTAAGCAGTGATGAACCTTTTGGAAGGCCATGCCTGGGCTGTCCTTATACGTGACTGTGCTCGAAGGTCGCTGGATCTAGACTCGTAGCGTAACAACTAACACAACCTATTCCAATACCTTGCGACCTGTATCTGATCTCATCAGATCATCCGTACCTACCTAACTATGCAGGTATGATAGATTTCGACCCGGATTGGTCGAGGAGTTCATTTAAGTGGCAGAAAGAGTACAATAGGTTCGAGGTCTCACTATATGTGTTCGTTGGACGCGTTGAGCAGTCATGAGAAACACTCTGTTGCTGATGATGAACTACATAGGTACAAGATAGCCTGATCGAAGGTGGATGGAATGATCATCTGCGAACCCATCTCAGACTTGCATATACTGTTGCCGGAACACCACTGAATTGATTGGGCATAGTTTACGAGTGACCGGTAGATAAATTGTCGATTGAGCACACACTCTGTCGATGCAAGAGAAGGAAAACTTTTCATAGATGCAAGACAAAAGACCCTCTGGTATCGTGAAAGCAGAAAAACGTCCGCGCTCATCAAAGATCATGACTGCCCAGGCATTTTTGCAAAAGGCTTCACCAAGCCGCTTATGCAAACTGCACAGTGCTATTGCGCAAAAATCCCACAATCCAATTTCTTCCCATCATAACCGTTTTCTCCCTTTGCCTTTCCCTTTTCCCCGGGTCTTCAACTCCACGAAACCAAGTTCCTTCAAGCCCTCGACAAGGATTGATGAGTCGCGCATTCCTGGAAAGTCTTTCGCGGCGTAAACCCGAAAAGGATCAGACCACACCTCTGCCAGAATGGGCATCGATTGTCCCGTATCTTCGACAGAGCCCCAATTCATCAAGCGAAATTGCAGTCGATAGAGACCTGCGGAGCGGATGGACAGATCTGCAAATATGAAGAATGTTGCTGGTTGATTGAGCTTCGAAGCGTTGCTTGTATTGATATGAGACTCGGAGAATTCATGTTCTCCTAGAGGGCAAACCCGGGAACTTGTGTCCGACGTAGACCGTGGATGATTGGGGGCTGAATTTGGATCGGGATCCGCGTCCACGTAGAACGGAGACATGAACGCTTTGCCAGATAGGAGCGGTGTGGATGGAGACTCATCTGCACTAAGCAACCCGTCAATGTCGTGTCCCGCGTGTTGCGAATTGCTTCCTTCTGCAGAGTTCGGGACACTCGTGGACTCGGCCACAGGAATTAACAGGCAACCGACTGTGAAGCGAGGGTCCTGCAAGATGTCACGATCCTCTTGCAATGCCGAATCAAAATCCGAAAGAAGGATTTGGACTATGGGAGGTGGGTCGATTGGGCGTCTGTCCCTATCGCCTGCACCGCAAGCCCGTGCAGCAACTGGGTGCTGCCGTACATGAAGGTGATACCGGTTTTGTGAGGATGGACGTCGAGGCTGAGGACTTGGTAATGATTCGGGCTCGTGATGAAGAAGCTTGTCGAAGCCTCGAGGTATACTATAGCTGGATTTTCTCGGTGGTTGTAGAGGTTCTGTGCTTTCGTCTTGAGGTCTGGAGGAACTATCATTGGGGGCATTGCTCAAGCCCCCTTGACTCGCCCGCGCACTGAAAGGCCTTGCCATTGCAGACGAGACTCCCGCATGTTGACTAGTAATTTGGGCGAAGTCAGTTGGTACTTTCTTCTGTTAAGAGGTTTCCTGCGATACGTTATGATTCCGCGTTAGAGGCGAGTGCCAATATTCCCGGCTATTAGAGGGAAAGATGGGATAGCATCAAGTACTCTGGGCCAGGAATACGGGAAAGTAATGCATCATGCGAGCTCAACCAACACAGACGGTAAGAAAGAAGGAGACTTTACTGATACTCAATGCCATATAACTTTGAAGGAGTGTAACCGTCTCCGCCCGCCCGTTTCACGATGAGACTAGTTTCATCCCTCGCAGTCTCCCCGGGCAAATGGTAATGATGAGAATGTTGCTGATGTTGCGGATCGTGATGCCTCCGCAATGACATCGTATATGACAATTTTGATCGAGCCGTCGATAAGCAGTGGTCTGATGTAGCCGCAAGCTCTTGGTCTCGGTTACCTCCACGCAAAGGCACAGCGGTGGGTAGCGGATGATGGCTGACTTGTGAAGTCGGCGCCCCCATTCCATCATATCGGCCTTCAAGCTCTTGCTGAGAAAGTGGCTGACGGCTCGCCAATTCGACCAGTCGGCTCCTTTGGCGAGGGCCAAAAGCAGCGTCCGCTTTGTGGCTTTCTGACGATGCCTTATTGTCAACGTGCGCCATTGAACGAGACATCTAGCGTTGGCCTGGCCAAAATGCCCAACTTGAAGATTCTAGCTTCAACGACAGAGGCCGTCGCCAGTCCAATGTCTCAGGTAGGACAATAGAACGGTCGAATCATCCACAGTCGGGGTCAGTGTTTGCTCGATGGCCGAAGAAGAAGGATGGTGGGGGTACTTTGGCGTTTCGTTTATAATATATGACTTTTTAACCCGGACCGAGAGCAAACGTCCAAGACCATTCCATTCGATGAGAGGGTCATGGGTGCATATTCCGGGCGGATCAGCAAACAAGCATAAGCGGCATCTGATAACGCGCCCGAAACCGTTCAACATAGTAGATCGTAGCGCCGTCCACGAAAATCAACATGCCAGATCGTGGCAAGAACGGCACCGGGGGCGTTGAAGATCGTGATGGAGGGCGTGAGTGATCATTTCTTGTCGGGAATCGACCAATTTGTGGTTTTTCTACGGGGCGACCCGCTTCTGTTCCAAAACGTTGGTACGGTATCGCGGAGCTCAGCGTCAAGGGAAAGTCCGGTTGGATGAGAAAAGGACTTTATCCTAATGCCTGATCTGTTGCCGACCAATCATGCTACTAATGGCAGTGACAAGGGGTTGAGCAGACAGACACAGTCACCATGTGAAAGTCTGATGGATGTAAGGGATGTCTTCGGAGCATTGAGATCTAAAATGCGGTCGATTGAGACCCCCAACGAACAGCGGTGGAGCTCTCTCGGCAAGGTAGAGGGGAGAGGCAGTGAGGTCAGCCAGCCTTCACAGCGCGGACTCGCTCCCAAGTTCGAGCCTGACCGAGCTTCTTCTTCAAGGCTTCCAGGTCGCGTAAACTTAGGGGCAATCAGCAGTGACAGGCTGACAGCCAATGTCCACACCAGGGGGGAACTGAGTCTTGCCTCCCGCTTTCACGTCCGCTGCCTGGCCCACAGATATTCTTGTGCGAACAAGAATGAGGGAAGAGGAGCCCAGGAACGGGCCGAGCGGGTTTCACCACGACACGAAACAGCAGCTTTTGGCCCGGGTGCGGGCCATTTGTACAAATGGAAAGCAGTCACACCACCGGACCACACTAGATTCAGGTGGTCAGGCAGTGCACGTATGGCTGACAGCATGACGCCTGTCACAAAAGGTCCGAGCTGCCCCTGGTCCCTCAGTCCCTGCAACGTGGACGCGACAAGAGTCAATCATTCGTGTTCAAATACGGATGCCCATTTCCAGTTCCGCCGTTGTAGACCTACGATGTTGTGGGGGTCAACAACCTCGAGGGCGCGGACGATCGTCCAGGCAAAAAAAAGGCTGCCCATGGATGACAGCATCTGAGCATACCGTCCAGTCTGACCAGAAAGTACCGGTCCATAGCGGCCGCGCTAAGCGATCAAACTGGAGAAATCACTGAACCGAAGCTGGAGGCTGTCGACTCATCTGATCAGAATGAAAGCCGGAGGGTTCTTAGTGCCGCTGGATTCTGAGTTGTGGGCTCCACCGTGCCAGACTGCTGGGACTCGTAATCCTGGTTTTTTTCGTGGAGGCACTGGCAATGCCCAGCTCCAATCGAGGACATGCGGAGTTGCGGACAGGCTTGATGAATAATACTCGGCAATGGCATGATATGGTGACCTTGCTTGCTTAGCCCGTGAAGAACGAACAAGAATCACGGCAAGTAATACCCGGTTGAGCGATGAAGTTCATCTCTCATGACACAGAGAACGCAGTGTGTTGATGCACGAAGAGTGTACGACAGAGAGGTGGGAAGAAGGGAAAAATGGTGGGGGTCGGTCGAAAGGTTCATAAGGCAGAAAAAAAAGGGTATTGTTCGGAAATGGTGGCACGATGCGGATGGAATATGGATGGCCGATGGACAAGAATCAGTACAGTACAGGGTGATAGGCATTGTATGTATGTACATTCTACATTATACTTTGCACTATCGTGCTCGATGTTTCAATGTACTTTGTACATTGTTGATTGTACTGTACCACAGCAATTTACCACAGATCCCGATCGTACATGTTGACCGCGACTTGATGCCAATCCTCATATTTACATACTTCATACGTGTGAATTTGAATGCTGTAGATTAACTACCAGACAGTACATAGTACATACTCATAGACAGTACTGATTACTAGAAAGTAATTCTATCTTCGGAGGCTTCGTATCACAGCCTCGTGATTCCAGTCATGGCAGCCGTTAGATTAATCTGACTTGAGTCTGTGACAATGATATTGGCCAAATTGGACATGCGAACTAAGTGTAACATCAAGTTGGGCTTCTTGCGACACTAAACATTTGTCGCGACAGCATTCCAATGCCTGACGAGGAAAAGTCTATTATTATAAGAGACATCCACTATTAGACAGTTCATCCCCTGGAAGCACTTCAACATGAACCATTTGTGCGCTCGGAGTGAACCTGACACTGTATAAGCCCGTAGGAGGCCTACATCAACCGATCAGCTTGTCTTGACAATACTCCCAATGGACAGGTTCAGATGGATCTTGAATTACGTCAGCGGTGGTGCATCCTGATGAGGATCCGGACGCCTGGAAAGTTACTATACGCCAGACTCAAGATTGTGGTCAAATGTACAATGTTCACTATGTTTCCCGTGCGACTATCGAGTCTCGACTCATCGAGTCTGTTGACAGCTCGGCCCCGATGAGCAACACGGCAAAGCCAAGGCCTTCCACCAGGCTGTTTCAGGGGCGCACCATCACAGTCCTTAGATGTGGATAATGCATCCCATCAGAAAAGCCTCTGTAATGACCAGCAATGGCAATTGGTCACTGGTGGATCGTCGTTGTCGAGTATGGAAGTTCAATTGGACATGATCCACTTGTACCCCCAAGATGTGCTCCTGCCATGCTCCATGGACCGGGCAGCTCTCGATATGGAAAGCACAGGCCGACTTCATGTCGGCGCAGGGATCACAAAGTGGCTGCCAGACCGCATGGTCGCAAACCGGTATCCCTTCGAGTAAGCCTCTGAATCTGCGACCCCGGGCTTTCGGCGGACTTCCAGCACCGAGCAGGCTACCTTTGCACATTGAACAGGAAATAAGGCTACCTTCAAAGTATGTGCTCGGTGAGCTGGCCTGCGCATCATGCTTTTTGCCAAGTGCTCTTTGGTCGGAAACAGACACCTCGATCATTATTATTGATCTTGGTACCTGATATAATTTCGGAACGGGCTCAGAGAAACGCGGGTTGAGCATCCCACGCACCTCTTGGATGTGCCGTACTTAAGTACAGTGCCTGAGTACACGAGTCCTCCCCCAAAGTCCACTGCATGCTGTACTGCATCCAATTGAATGCGGTGGTGCACCGACAGCCACGCTGGCGATTTACCTACCCGTCATCAATTCAGAGTTCGCGCACCTGAATGAGACACGTATTCGGACTCCTCCCATTAAAGGGGTAATGAATACTGTAGATCCTCTACAATCTCGAGGTCTAGAGCTATTGCACTACACGCCTCACCACGACCCTGATTTGTGATCAGTCACTGCCTTATTCCCGATACCGAAGAACCCACCTTTCAATCGCAGGGTTTGGTGAGCTTGGCAGCGGAGTGGATCCCTCTGCAGTCGCGAACTTGTGATGATTCTGATGAGATGTCAGACGGATCTCTAGCTCTCGATGCTCCTGTGGAGTAAGTCGACTCCCCGACTAACGGACGCATGTGTACCTGCGAGTTCAATAATTATGCATTACAACCGTACTCCATCACGTTGGTGAGAATGTTCGGGCCGCAGGAGGCTATAATCACGAGCGAAATCCGGTGGCTGAGCTCAATGGTTTGACGGCGTACATACTGGATATGGACTTGCATCCGAGATCGAGATCTGAAAATAACTAGGTAGCCACAGTAGTCTGTCAGCGAGGGACCAAATAGACGCATGAGTCTACGGCTGTAGTGGCAACAGCGACGTAACGATTCTCGCCACATTTAAAACCATCAACGAGTTGTGATAACCGCCACATCTCCACTCAACGGCTTTCTTAAACTACGTCTCTGCCGGGAAAGCTTAGATTAGATCGATGGCGATGTTCATGAGCCCCGCACAGTATCGAACAAGTCAGCGAATCGGACCGTCAGCAAAGCGAAAAATTAGCGCAAGTCACGAGTGTCCTCTCGCACGGAAAAATTTCGGTCGTTATTGTTATGAGGAGGGATTGACAGTGTCCCCGCGCAGCTTGTCAGTATTTGCACAGGCTCCCATGAGTGGTGCCTTAGAGGGGCTGACCGACACTTGAACGATAAGCCTCCATTAGCGTGATAATCCGTACTCTGGGGGACAGAGAGCAGACTCGTGTTGTAGTAGGGCTCAATTCTTTTGCTACGTGTTCACTGTGGGTGCAAGATATCAATATCCGGGTGGTTTCCATAGAACTGGACCCCAAGTCCACATGTGATTGCTGCGGGCTGCTCGACGCGGTACGATCCTTCTAGTCAAATGGGTCCGTGCGGACCCCTGCGTTGTCCCTCTCACGAGATTCCTTCGTACTAGCGTCTCTTCTGCGATCAGATCGTCTTTCAAAATTCCAGATCGGGGCTGGGATCTATGTCCAAATGATAGGATTTAGCGTAACCAGAAATTCGTGAACGCCGCCCAGAAAAACGTTTCCGGCTGTTCGGTGTATGCGTCGAATCGATATGCAAGATTGATCCAAAGGGGGCGTTCGATGGCGTCGGGCCAGGATCGATGATTCCGAAGCCTCGCCCCACGTACAGGGCGATCATATCGCCGAATTGTCGATCCCAGGCGACAACGTATCCCGACTGCTCCCAAGGGTCCTGGTGGCTAGTACGCATGTGCAGGCTTCCTAGTTGTAGTAGGTGAAGGCATTTATTGTTGTTCTGAGGCACACCGTCAGCCACCGCACGAGCTCGGAGCAGACCCAACGTTACAGGCGTAATTTGAAAGGATTGAAAAGTTGGGGTGGCACAAAAACTGTCTGAGAACTCGACAGGCGCGTGCTCAGGGTTCCATTGGAACTCAATGGACCCAGACATGCCTCGCAGTAGATCAGCACCTCTTGAGTCGTAGGGCTGAACGGTAACATCTTGAGGGCAACCATCTTGATCGTGTAGACCATCAACGATCCGTTGCAAATCTCTTGAGGACCTGGAGCATCCGAGACTCGAAATCTCGGCCCTGATACGCATCGGGTCGTCATAACCAGCACTTTCGCCGTCAATAGTGATCAATGGCTGATCTTCAAAGATCTTCCAAGCTGAGTCGGGCGTGAAGCTGACATGCACCTTCTCTCCACTCTGCTTATGGCCCTCTTCCCACCGGATGCCGAGTTGGGCTTCCATGTCCCAAAGACACTTTTCAAGAAGCTTTTCGTATTCGCATCCTTGTGCGAGATCAGGTATCGCCTCTCTAATCAAAGCATCATTGAGGAGGGTGCTCATGCCCGTAAAGGTAGAAAAATACGGCAAGGTGTCGCCACTTCTCTGGGCGATTTGCTCCAAGAACAACGCAGCCTCCTCTGACCGCCGTGCTTTAACCAAAGAGATGATGATACTGTATGCTTGGTGACATGAGGCTTCATTATCTTTGACATACCCAGACAGGTATTGTCCCCAGGAGCTGTACAAGGCATCTCGGCTGTGGAGTCTGGCAAGTAAACAGAGGTACGTTGACCATGTTCCACGGTCTTGATCCAGCGACGCATGCAAGACTTCGTGGAGCTTCAGTGAAGCTGGAAGGCCGTGAACAGCCTCTGAAGTAAGACATGATAGAACAAATCTTGTATCGTAGTCAGGCCTCTCAAACAATGTTGATTCAATCGTCTCGAGCAAGGCCTTGATGATAGAGCCGCTGTTAGAGAATTGTAGTGGAGGCCCATCAATCTTCTGTCGAATTTCGAGAAAACCTTGAAAAGCTGGCATATTTAGATCAAGCGCTGCATATCTGAGGCCGAGGGTTGGTTTCAGTGGGGGAAGTTTAAGACGCGCAAGACGGTGGTGAATATCGCTCAGCAACGAGACTAATTCCGAATACGAACTGCGCTCCTCACATCGCTCCATGACTCTGGAAGCCGCAAAATGCTTGTGTAGAAGCTTTGCTGCATACTCATCGACCAGGAGCCTCTCAGCTATCGATCTCAGGGAAGACACATCGTTGACGGAGTAGAGGCGCATTACTTCTTCTTTGCGGGTAGTGGGGTGGACGCCCTTCAAGGCAGCCCATAATGCGGGAGGCGGGCTTCCTGAGATCCATTCTGCGTCTATAAGGCTCAAAATATCATGGCGATGTACGAAGTCATGTGTCAAGCCATTGTTGCGCGGATTGGGACCCGTGAAAATGGCTCGAAGTAGTTGGGCTGGCGATGGATCCCCCGTGAGATTGCCAGCTTGTCCAGACAGCGACGAAGAAAACCGCTTCAATGGCTTTGGATTAGTATTCGGTGCAAATGCTCGTCCAGAACGCCAAAGCAACCGTGACGAGGGGCCTCCCATACTTGGCCTCAGATCAAGCACACTTTGACGACAAATTGGACGCCACAATAGGAATGCGGAGAGGTCACGATCCACGGCCCACGAGTGGAGATGGCGGATAAAGATCCGTCGATAAGGGGCTCTATCTGGGGTGGCAGATTCGGGCGGCATAGTAAGGCGGTGAATCTGATGTCATCCCATCGCCAGATTCTTCGTATCAACCACCTTCCTGCCGCTTGCCAACCTTACACTTTGATCAGATTTGATCGCAATTCGCCACAGCACACAATGTCTGAAGTGGCATCGGAGGTCTCTTCCTCAAAGGGAGATGTCAATGCCAAAACCTCAGCTGCAGTGCCAACACCTGCCGCGGAAGTCACCTCTGAGAAGTCTGAAGTTGACGCCGCCGCCAAGGCGAAGGAGAGAATGGAAAGGTTCAAGGCTCTTAAGGCTCGAGCTGTAAGTGCGCCAGGTCTCGAAGTTTTTGCGAATGACCTTCAGATCCGATGCCGCCATTCAACGGAATAGTCATACTTACATCTTCCCTGCAGAAATCCGGCACGGAGCGAAACCTGAAAGAGACCGCTGCGGAGACGCAACGGTTGGCAACCGACCCAGCTTTGCTGAATAATATCTCGCGAAAACATGCATTTGCCTCACATAACCTCCTCAAAGCAGATACCGAAGCTGCTGGTGAGGACTTCGAACGGAAGCGCGCGTGGGACTGGACCGTCGATGAATCCGAGAAGTGGGATCGTCGTATGGAGAAGAAACAGCGACACCGCGACGATGTAGCGTTCCAAGATTATACGCAAGACGCGCGCAAGGTCTACAAACGTCAGCTGCGTGAGCTCCCACCTGACCTCGAGGCCTACGAGAAGGAGAAGCTTGCCGCCATTGAGAAAGCAGCGGCCAACGGTGATCTGGAAATTGTCGAGACGGAGGATGGCGAGATGATAGCGATCGATAAGAACGGCAGTTTCTATTCCACAGCGGACAGTGTAGGCTTTACTGACAATAAGCCAAGCCGCGCGAATGTGGACAAGCTGGTGAACGACATCCGTAAGGCGGAGGAGGTCCGCCTGAAGAAGCGCAAGGAGCGCCGTGGGGATGAAGAGGCCGACGTGACTTACATCAACGAGAAGAACAAGCAGTTCAACCAGAAGCTGGCTCGTTTCTACAACAAGGTACGCGATGCAATGAACTTTCCCTTAACGGATCTCTCGATCGTACTAACACTTGATGCAGTACACAACGGAAATCCGAGACAGTTTTGAACGCGGTACTATGATCTAGGCTCCAATAAGCAAGCAATATTATACATATACAGACGGAGCTGTATCATCACATGCAAGAAACAAAGCGGGTCCCATTTCTCTTGCCATCCATCGTTTGGAGTTTCACGTCCAGTCCACGTTCCGTGGCTCGAGGAACGAGGCCCAGCCTTTTGATATGGCGCTTCAAGGACCTGAAGCCAAGACCTACAGCATCGTCTTCCTCCATGCACTGGTCGCCAGTTGTTCGATCTGCTTCGTGCCCACAGGTCCTCTGATTGACTGGTCCTCCAAGGCTTCAACCACTGCCTCACTCACAACGTCGGCCTTGAGTGGCTTCTCAGTCATGGATCCCAAGAAACTCAGGCGATTCCCCACGAGATTGTTGATCTCAGACGCGACAAATCCACCGAGCGCAATCGGTAATGTGAATTTTCGGCTTGAATCATACAAGAAGCCTGGTCGAATGAAAACACTTCGAAGATTCGGAAGCGAGGATGAGATGGTCTCCTCAGCTTCACGTTTGGTAGTGATGTATCGAGCAGGGAGAATTGGCGCCCCACCGGCTGCGGAAATGTACAAAAAGGTTGGGACGTGCTCGTTTGATGATTCCTGAGCAAGCGCGATGGCTATTCCAGTGTTAGTTTCCTCAACAGACAGTGAAATGTATCACCTCGAGAGCTATATTCATGCATGCAATGCATGCATACGTAACGTACCCGAATCCCGATTCATCAATTCGTATGTTAATTGTCCGTCTCTCTCCTTGGGTTCCAGGGCCTCGCCTTCCTTTCTTTGCAATGGATCCTGGCTTCCAAGTTTCGAGGAGCTGAAGGCGCGCTGTAAACCACCAACAATGGGCTCCCGTCCTTGAACAACTCCTTTGTAGTCTGCCTCGAGCAGAATGCCCATCGTGTGCACCACAGCAGAAGCTCCGGATAGGAACGGTTTATACGTCTCCGGTTTCAGAATGTCAGCCTTTGCCCATTCTACCGAGCTCGCCCAGCTGGGCCGCTCCGTAGAGCTTGTCACTGTGTCCCAGCGTGGTTCTCCGGAGCGACTAAAGACAAATCAGCGACAATGCGACGGAAGATGATTTAAGATCCAAACTCCTGTATGACTTCCAAACCGTGAATGACCTACCTCAATGATGTGACACTCCATCCACGTGCGGCTGCAGCTTTGCAAATTCGAGATCCTTGAAGAGGCAGGTCAGTATCATGAAATTGTAGTCTATCTGCATCTGTCGCGGAACCCACGTCCACGTACCTAGGAACCCACTTCCTCCAGCAACGACAAGTCTCTTCGAGGCCATTGTGTGTTGATTGTATCCTAGTTGTGTGGATAGCAACGTAGCGAGCGGATGGTGGACCGGGTTTATCTAATTTAAAGAAAGAGCCGCGATCGATCGATCGGTTAAGCAATGCTTCTTAAGATGAGCTATCTGTAGCTCTGGTATGCCGTCACCACATCACATGATCACAAACTTTAGGTCCGATTTCCGATCTCCGTGCCGCGCCTCCGTCCTGCATTAGGCGGTCGCATCGAAGCCGTTGCAAATCAACGACTGCCTTGTTGATCACTCCCGAACTACAATCATGCCTTCTGGAACAGGCAACAAGCGCGTCAAGGTGAGTCGCTGATTCCCTCCATGTTTCATTTTGTCGTGTCGAACATGGCTCACGCCGGCATCCGTAGGGCATTTCCATCTTCCGCCCGTTTATATTTGGCAGCGAAGCGCAACCCTTCGATCCTGAGAAACGACCTGCCAATATCCCCGCAGACCACACTCATCAATGGCGTGTCTTTGTCAAAGGTATCAACGATGAAGATATCTCATACTGGCTGAAAAAGGTCCAGTTCAAGCTACATGAGACCTACGCGCAAGCTGTCCGAACCGTCGAAGCACCCCCCTTCGAAGTTGTCGAAACAGGCTGGGGCGAGTTCGAGATCCAGATCAAGCTCTACTTTGCGCCCGAGTCCGGCGAAAAGCCTCAAACACTATGGCACAGTCTCAAGCTACACCCGTACGGCCCTGACGCAGAGGGTATGAAGGAGCGACGTGATGTCGTCGTCAGTCAAAACTACGAGGAGGTTATTTTCAATGAGCCCGTTGAGCCTTTCTACGAGATTCTGACTGGGGGCACTTCAACTGGAACACCTGCACCTTCGCGGGGGAAGGGCAAAAACAATAAACAGCAGCAGCAACAACAGCAGCCGGGGCGGACGGCAGAGATTCCATTGAGCGATTCTCCTAAGAATCCCTACAGTCGGGCAACCGAGGCGAAGGAGCTGGATCGTATGACAGAGGCAATTAAGACGGTTGATCAGTTGATTAAGGAAGAGAAGGAAAGGCTTTTTGAGAGAGAGAAGTATCTGGCCGAGCTTAGAGAAAGCGAAGGCGTTCCTGCAGTGACAAAGAAGCGATGATCGCTTGCTTCTCCGCCCTCCGGTCGCCACCTAGCGGGAGCCGGTATTCTTTTTTCGACCATTTGGTTCTTTGTGGTCATTTCCACAGACTTCATCGAATTCGCATCGCTTTCCTGGCCACGTCATCATAAGCTTGAAGTCCTGGATGCAATCTGGAATTTCGTCCCTCGAATTTCAAATTCGGCCGTAACAGCAACAACAACAACAACAACAACAACAACAACAACAACAACAACAACAACACCGCAGCCACCATCATCATCGTTTACGCAAGTGTCTCGGAGACTTTGGCGTTGCCTTTTCCGGGTCCCTCCAGGCAAAAGACAGAGCTGTACACAAAGCCGCCAAACATCGAGTCGAACAATCTGTGTGATCTCGAAGATCACAAATTAAACGTCGGCGACAATTCTACCAAACAATGCTCGCCTTCAAGCGTTCCTGAGTGAGGCATATCGCGAAGCCTCAAACGGACGAGATCGAATGGAGCATTCTTGGCCCCTTCGGTTTGGGGCAGGACTCTCTTTCGGGCGTCCATCCCGTCTTTATGAGTGGAGAATTCTTACAGGCATGCATCAAATGGATTCTAAGGGAATTCGTTGAAATGGAATGAAAGCCGTTCAGCCTTACCCGGGCTGCTAGATGTATATTGTCTTGAACTACCTAGTACCTACATGGTATCGACTGGTCAAGGTTTTATGACTCGCGTAGATGTCGAAGCCGGCACCAGTAGTAGAGTCTGCTCAACGGAAGCCAAGGCTCTACAGTATATAATCGGTTTTCCTCATAGTCTACTAGGCCTGTCGTCTAGGGGCCTAGGTCGCGGGGTCGCTGTGTAAAGGTGGGTGAACGGGAGGATTAGGAGCAATTTCGTAATATTTAATATACGCGGGCTGTGGCATCGTTAAAGGGATTGTATGTCCGGATTGTGGCGGTAGAGGGGGGACTTAAAAGCAGAGGTAAGTTATTAACTTTGGTGTAAGCACGTCTGTCGCCGACGATGACTTGACAAATCACTACTACGTCTGTCTCCTATTGTCAACTTTTATAGCACCATAAGCTAACAGTATTGTCTGATTTAGAAGGACGAAACTCGGATGGCATATATTAATGTCAGACGAGACATGTCTATCTAGAAACTTGCAGAAAAACAATCTGGCCCCAAGAGTCTCCGAAACAAACTTGTGGTGTCAGCATGCGACTCTCTTGTCCACCGTTCATCGGCCCAGGGACACCCACAGTTTCCTGCCTCCAATTACCAGAGTAACTGCACACCATATCTGACTGCAATACGCCTGAAAGGGCATCTCTCGAGATGGACCTAGATCACGCTGCTGGCCACTATGGGTGTGGAAGAAGTGGTGTTTACTAGATTCTGAGATAAAGAGGAATACGAATTCGTCAACAGTCGATGCTTATAATGGTGCTTGAGAGGTATTTCCATTGAATTGAAAGTAGATTTTGGATGCTTCTATTTTGATAAGGCTCATGTGCGTATCATGATTGCAATTACGGAAGCAACGTGAAAGCAAACGCTCGCACCAGCTAGTTCTCGCCAAGTTTCGCTTTGGTTAAGCTATTCCACAGACAGGAGGCTAAGAACTGGACGAATCTTTCTCTAGAAGTAGAACCTCTGTCGGGAGCTTCCACAGAACTGTCCCTCAAGGCATATTGTCGTCATAAAGATCATTCCAAAAGCCAATTTACTGGAGTCTCTCTTCACTGAATTTTGCAAAACTCTCCCTTTGAGAGTTTCTGATCCTGCGAAGGCTGCGATGAACTTCCCCGGCCGACTTCCAGCCATTTCCCAATCAATCAGTCCCACTGTCTTGTCATTATCGACTTTACAGTTCGATTTTCATGGTTGAAGAAGAGAGTGAGTAATGCGTAGATGTGAATTTGGAGCAGGAAGGGTGCAAATGCAGTTCTTCTTGTGTCTAAAGGTTCAAGCTGACACTTGAATGAGAAGTAACTCTCACCAGCAGCCTTACTGCAAATGGGTTGCTGGTCTGTGGGATCGACTTGGAATTCAGCAGTAGTCATCAATGACCAGGCAGAGTGATGGATGTGACAGAAAAGTCCCACGACCCTCCCGCACAGAAACTCCTTTGTGATTAGCTACGAAGCCATCGATTGACTCAGGTTAAACTGAAACGAAGCTGGGGCGCTTGACTGGAAGCAGCCTTGGCACAAGTTCCAGGATGTTACCTTTCTTTGCCACCCAGGTATCTTGGGAAACAGCACGAGGCAAAACGACGCTTTGTCCAACTAATCAGGCCTCTTCATGTTAATTTCATGGCGCATACGTGCGCTCTCTTACGTTGGAAAATATCCCGGAAAATGGCTCTATAAAAAGGGCGTGACGATGTCTCTTCAATCACCAGTCTCTATTTCTCTGCATTTCCAAGTGCCAAAATCCTCTAAATTTACTATTCACTATTCTCAACCCCCTACTTGAACCATGGCTAAACTGCTAAACAATGTTCTGTGATATGGCGAGTGGATGAAAACTAGTGATGGTCCCTACGGCCTATATCTGTCCTAGCAACAATAAGGCAATAACATCCCCGCCATTCTCAACATCGATGACGATAATTTACAAAGCCCCACCGCTTTATGCTGCTGTCTCGTCTTAAACGTAAGTCGGATAGCAACTGAAACGTGTCTATATGCCTATTATGATGCTAGCTCTTTTAATACAAAGTCCGGCCTCAAAAATAGTCTTCCCGACGAATATTCTTGGACATCATAGGACATTGCCCCGGGACATTTTCACTCACTAAGTAGAAGTAATAGAAGAGAAGCGTATTTTGATGGGATAAGACGGCAGAACATATTTGTAGCGGTGAAGCAACACAGACGAATGAGAAACGCGGACAGAGCTTAAAAAATAGCAAACTGATGAATGCTACTTTAGACTTGAAGGATATACTTGAAGGATATACTTGAAGGACTACTCCGTAGATGACGATGTGACTGGGGAAACCCTGTCGCCGCCAAGATTAGGCGTCCTGGAACTAGTACTAAGCCTGCGCGGGCCCCGCCCCCGCCCCCCTTGCCCGAGGCTTCCGCCCTTAAGCCTCAAATCTGCACTCTGTAGTCCTCAGACTACTCACTGCTTGAGTGACCCCGTACGTGCTTTTGCTACAAGACTCTGCAAGTGGGAAAGAGAGAGACTCATCATCCGTACAAGGATGAGTACAACTAAATCATTCATGGAGCCTAACAAAGATGAATTGAATTGACTGACAATTTTGAGAGAACGGATGACAAGTCGGTAAGTCCTCACTGTAAATCCGTGTGAAGTCCGGACACCACACCAAGTCACCGACAGTCTAACCATCTCAAACATGGCGGGTATGTCGCAACATGGCCTACCTATCGGAGTCTCCGCTTCCTACTAGGATGTGACAAGACTGTTATTGGAATAGTCGCTAACACGACCTTTCAGTAAGCCCAACAGAACCCTTGGACCCTGAAACACAGCCACAATAGTCTGTTCCAATTTCCCAGTCCCTGCTCGGAGATTACTGTCAAGCTAGAATGACCAATCTGAATAGTCGGCCCCTTCACGCTCCGGCTCAAATGATGTCTGGACGCTGGTCTCCATGGGCGCGACTCCTTGATTCCTGTACTGTACATCCTACTCTAGTGCTCACTACCTAACCCAGTACTCAGTACTCAGTACTTACTATCCGAATTTCAAGACTGCAGGCAAATTATCAGATTGAAGCCGCAGGTTCATTGAAGAGGATGCCTGCTCAGACAAGCATATTGAACGGCTGTTCTTGTGTACAATGTCTTACGGGAGGAAAGAGAAATCACAGTCACCGTGGGAGATCAAGTCTGATCTTACTCGTTCATGTTATTAGACTCTTAGGTATGTCATCATGAAGATTTATGGGCACCGCATGGACGTAGGTAGAGGCTGGTTCCCGTCCATTTTGAATACCGAGTGACACTAACATCTTACCTATCATCGGTAACTATGTTCGTAACAACCTATGGGGTTCAGTGGTTGAACGCAGATAATGAATTGCTTCTATTACCTCGTTCCCGTTGTTTCAACATGAACCTTTAATACTTCAATACCTTCCACGACCCGGGTGTCAGGACTCTCGACTCACTGAATGCACCTTGTGCCCACGAGCCGGATCTCTCTATCTCTCAGTATGAAACTTGTATCCTGGACCATGACCGGTCCTAGCTTCTTCCTCCTTTCCATCCAGCTAGGAAGCCTAGCCCTCGCCACCGCAGCACCCTCGTCCACAGTGGTCAGCTACCTTTCCGCGATCTGGGACATCCCTTTCGCTAGCATGGCTGCCAGTGCGGTTGCCGTCAATCCAGAGGCGACCACCTATGAAGTCTTATGTCTTTCTGGCGCCCCAACCACTGACTGTCGCTGGACCACCCTCCCAATCACCTTGATTGCCGGCCCAACAACCGTTCACTTCAAAGTGCCCGTCTCTACCAGTACCTTGGTCCAGGACGTCAGCGTTATGGCCCGAGGGCTGATGACTATGGCGTGCGATTTCCCGCAACCCAAGACGATTACATGCACGATGACGGCGGAATTGACAGCTTCCCCCCGTGGGGTGACCTCTTCATTTAGCAGCAGATCCCTCGTCGGAACCATTGCCTCCGATAGGGTTTCATATGAGCCTCTAACGGTCACTGGGGGACTGGAGAAATTTCAGACTTCTGCCACTCCGGCGACGATGACCGCGGCTGCTTCGAATCTGGTGGAGCAGGTCATGGCGACGAGGATGCCGGTTGGGGCGGTCGTGGCTGCGGCGAGACAGGATCCCCTTTGACATGGTGATCAGGAAGCTCCTCTACTGTATTAGGGTTACCTAGTGTTGCGCCCGAAATAGTCTGCGCTATGTGACCTGGTAGTATCCCTGTCTCTCTAAATCTCATGCCTTGACGAAGGACTAGTGTGTAATACACGAAGAGTAAGGTAAATCTCGGACTGCTTTAAGAAGCCCTCCTCGGTAAAGGTACGCATATCGGTCTCGTTGGGAAGTCTCAACCTAGTAAGTGACTACCTAACTACCGCCCCACGGTAGAAGCAAATCCTAGCATAGCGTAGCATCACGGGATCTGGTCTATTCATCGTATGGTGCCAGATCTCCTCTGCGGATTCATGCTTTCAATCCGGGGTGTTGTCTCGGACTTTGATCCATGTGCACTGGCCTCGAGTGCTCCAATCCGTCCCGCTTCTGCGTCGCCAAGAGAAGTACGGCTCCTGCCAACGAAGGTCCACAGCCAACACGTCGATGAGGTGAGGTCGAGCTTGCTTACCGCCGCCAAGACCGGGCGTCCTCTCCTCGGGGCACGGGCACCGAGGCTAAGAGTCTAAGCCCGCGCCTTCGCCCCGTGCCCAGAAACTTCCGCCCAGCACTGCTTTGGTAATGAGCTCGTACTCGTTCTCAATACCTTTCACCTGTCACCAGTCTGATTACATTGCGCTGGGATGCAATTATGGAACTGGTCAGTATTGATCTACCTGCCTATCTTATCAAACTTATCCTGCTTCCCACTAGTAGGACTAGGATGTGTGAACCTAGAATTAATTTCCTTACCAACTAACATGATCCTTCAGTCAGCCCCCAAGAACACATTGACCCTTGACGCACAGACACGGTGGTCGGTCTGTAGTCTGTACTGCATCCCAATTTGTTCTATTCGCCTTATTACCCTGCGGCTCAAATGATTTCTTCGAGGCCTCGGCTTTTGTGCTCGATCCCCGAATCTCAACCACTTGAGACATGATATAAAATGGCTGATTCCCCCTGACGAGCTTACGAGCGCAGTATCGCATGAAGAAAGCCCGACAGAGACCGCAGTCACTTTGAGAGGTCAATTTTGATCTTGCCAAATATCTGATGCCCAGGTACGTTATCATTTCTAAGTTGCTTGCCCTGGTGAATCGGTTGTGATGAAACAACACATCAGAGACAAGTTTCTCACACGCACAGGGAACGCGCATACCAATACTATTCTCTTCTGGCTCGTTTCACTTTTTTCCCAACATTAATACCAGGATTCCTGAGCTGTCTACAGTAGGCTTCAAACTCCCGACCCGCCCACCTCACCTCGTGCCTGAATCATTATGACATTCACATCCGCAACCATGTCCGGCATCAGCCTCTTCCTCCTCTCTATACTTGGAAGCCTGGCTGTCGCCGCCGCAGCCCCCTCGTCCACGGTAGTCAGCTACCTTGTCGCAGATGATATCCTCGACACTTGGGTGGCGGCCAGCGTAATTGCCGTCAATCCCAAAGCAACTACCTACGAGGTCAAATGTGTCCCCAGCGCGTCGGCCAGTGACTGCAGCCTCGACCCTCCAATCACCTTGATTGCGGGCCCCACAACCGTCAACATTCAGATTCCCCTTTCTGAGAGTACCAGAGTCGGGGGTATTGACCTCGAGAGGCGAGGACTCATGACTATGGCGTGCAGTTTCACCCATTCTATCGAATCGATCACCTGTACGGCTACGGAGGCTATGACGGCTATTGCAAGAGGTGTCACCAAAACCTCTACCGGGTCACAGTCTGGATCTATTCTCCCGACGGATGCCTCGTATAAGGCTTTGACAGTCACGGGGGGATTGGAGAAGTTTCAGGCTTCTGCTACATCCGCCCCGACATCCGCGACTACTTCAAACCCGGCAGACAGGGTTATGGTGACGGGGATGCCCTTCGGGGCAGCAGTGGCTGTGGCCGCGGCCGCGGCGTGGATCTAGTGATTGGATCCCATGGAATTTGTGACCAGGTACTTGTTGAGGTTCAGCGAGTGAATCAAGGTGGATTTGGTTCGATGTAGCGGTGAGCCCAAGATGGTCTATTGCATACCTTGATAATATCTATCAAATGATGTCTTTATCCCACCTGATGCCGACGATGGAACGAAGGACTACTTTGTGTTTATTTTGATCAGTAACTCATTACTTTGTACAAGTCTTACCCTAAGAGTTGTCACCCGTTTCGTGGAGAAGCCACAGTTTACCATCATATTGATCGCAGTATTAATCCTGTCCCTGGCATAGATGGAAGCGAATTCAATGGATTATTGTATGCCGCCACCCATTGTTGTTAATCCATCCTATATAGCCCACTTCTAGAAATCTCCAAGGTGTATTGACGAGTCTGAAGGGGGTTTCTCACCCCCTACCGGGTAAGATGCCAAGCGTATCAACCGCGAAGATGACAACTGTGCGCAGAGTCGCTGATCACAAAGTCATATAATCTGCCTGGACTTTGCGATCTCAGAACGAGTTCTCATACCGCCTTCGAAACGTCAGGTTATTTTTTCCTTGTCTCAAGCCTTACTGAATGAGTCCAAATTTTCAAGGAAACAGGAGGGAAGGTGCGTTTTTGGCCAGTAAAGTCTGAGGGCGCGTGACCGTTGGGTGTCATCATGGATGTACGAGTTGAGTTTATACCCGCGCAGGGTGATTGGACCACTCGCAAAATCAATAAGACGAATGCCCCCTGATTTTTGAAGGGCACGGGCCCATCCAGACGGGCGATTGAGCGGACATACTCTTATGCGACTGGTAAAGGGCGATGTTATTTGGATAATCATGCGATGCTATCTTAGCGGTGGAGTCTGACGCGGTTAGTACTTCAATGTATATTAGTCTTGAGTTCAGGTTGCTTGGCATTTAGTTTAAGCTATTCGCCTGATGGGTCGAGAAGCTTGGCCCTCTTCAGTTAAAACTCAATTCTTAGCATATACGGTAGTGTCCATAGAAATGAAACTCCATAGCAGTGGTGTAGCGGCAACAACAGAGAGACTCCTACGTCACTTGAGCCCCATGAGAGAGCCACAAGCGCATTGAATATTCAGGCCGACTGCTCCTAGCACTGTGCTCGAACAAAATGGGATGGTAAGGACTTCGAAATCCGCCCTAAAACCAACCCTGAAGGTGTTGTCAATTGTCACTGTGCAGGGGCAGGCGTTTCCATGCTACCGAAGCTGCACTCACCTCCATTTGACCTTAATTTTCTAGCCTCATCGTGACTAATCATAGAATCAACATTGGCGCAAGATTGTATTCAAGCCTTTCAGTTTTGGGAAGAAACCTGTCTTTCTCGAATATCCTACATTTACCGATGCGTCCAGGATCTTCTGCGTGCATCTCCGTCGGGTGTCTCCAGAGTCAATTCTGAGACGACTCAGGTTCTTCTCCAGATCAGGCTCACATATTTTAGGTCAGCGCAAGCAACAACTGAACAAGGTTTGCCAATCTCGGGTCCGAAGCTTTCATTGCGCGTTCATGGGCAACCCTGCAGGATAGATGGCGGCGTATAGAACTGAACTTCGGAAATCCGCGATCGCCATGATCAAAGTGTGTTGAAACCGCGACTGTTGACGGCAGCACCTCCCCCGTCTACCCAGGATCTCAGATCTCCTATGACGCTCTATACATTCACAATTGTGATATTTCTGCGCCATCGTCGACAGATGAAGATATCGCATATCGATAGTTGTAGTGGTATGGCCTGTGTAGGGTCCGCCCCATACGATTACCAATTTCCACAATTGTGGACTCCCGACGATCAGTGCGAAAGGGTTCCTGAACAAGGCACTGGGACATCGAGACACTTCGTCTTTTCTCCGAGTCTGACGTGATGGTCGATCTGATATGTTAAACGGGACGTTCGGATCGTCATTCTGCGGCTCAGAAGAAGTCCATTTGCCGATTGCGATAAGCTCGTGGCCTCGATGATGGTACGAGGCCCTAATCTAGACGCTATGCAGCAGCCTTCTGTTGACCTCATCTGGCTCTGACAGACTTGCGTTAACTTAGGACACAGCTCGGATCAGAGAGGCTTGCTTTGATGGCCTCGGCTTTTAAATAAATGGTTATTTCTTCTTGCAAAGACTGCGGCTCAGAGAGGCAAGCGAAAATCTTCTTGCAAGTAATTGTTGTCTGGTCTCATCGGACTCGTCAGGTATGTCATCATTCATACTCGTAGAGGTGTACCTCAATTCTTCCGACAAGGATACAACGCACTGAACAAAGACAACTCGATGCAAGATCGAGCACCCCCCCAAAAAACAATACACACGTTCTATACTGGATGGTCAATTCTCACATCTGCTTTTCACACACTCCACTTCACCCTCGTTGTCGAGTAATCAACTCATCCCATCCTCACCTACATCATTCATACAAGACTCACATCCACAAACATGACCGGCACCGCTCTCTTGTTCTTTCCCATCCTATTAAACCTGGTCCTCGCCGCAGATCACTTTTCCTCCTCCTCCTCCTCCTCCTCCTCCTCCTCCTCCTCCTCCTCCTCCTCCTCCTCCTCCTCCTCCTCCTCCTCCACCACCACCGTCATCAGCTACTTTGCCGCCAGTCAAGAAACAAGCAGACAAGGTTTCATCTGGGCCACTCCGACGAGCATCGCCGCCAGCATCATCGGCACCAGCTCCGATGCAACCACCTACGAAGTCAAATGTCTTTCCAACGCTCCGATCAGTGAATGCAGCATCGCCAGCCCCGTCACCCTGGTCGCAGGCCCGACAACCGTCCGTTTCAAGCAACCCCTCCAAGTCACCGGGACATACGGGGATATTCGCATCACGGAACACGGATTCCAAGATATAAAATGTAGCTTCACGCACTATTCTGAGTCGGCTATGTGCACCAATACGCTGGTATTGACCGCTGTTGCGAGTAATAAGAGTGTGCCGACAACGACTGTCTTGAGCGGGCCGGTTGCTAGCGATAAGGTCGCATATCAGGCTTTGACAGTGACCGGGGCACTGGAGAAACTCAATGCGTCGGGTGGAGATGACGCAGGATCTGCGACAAGCACGAGTCATTCGAATCCAGCGGAGAGGGTCGTAGCGACAGAGATGCCGATGGGGGCGGCGCTGGTTGTGGCTGCGGCTGCGGCGTTGATTTAGAGACCGATAGCTCTCTTCTACGGTCTACCTGGTGCTTCTGTTTCTCTGTATCCAAGCAAAATGGCGTCGGCCTGATGTGGCGATGAGTCTGGAGGGGCTGAGACGGTCTGTTATGGGAGAATACCTCTAATGTTAGTGAACGAACGAAGTACGATTCATGTTTCAGGCGCGACTTCCGTTGTGATCAAGTTTTCATGATAAGTAAATATGTACTCTGCAAAATTATGTGCCAAAGCTTGAGGCGACCTAGGGAAACGTCCGCTTTCTCCATAATAAGATGTTCCACCTAAGTAAAAGACTGCCATTCTCGCGAAAATATGAATGGAGTTATAATGCACGGGGTTGGAGAAACCCCCTAAAAGTAACACAAAGATCGATGGTAAATCTAGAATCTAGGAATAAAGACGCCAAAACGCTTGCCTGCCATGATATGATAAAAGAAGGAAAAAGGGAAAGAATATCTCGAGAACGGCGACATTCCCAATAAAACCCTTGTTAAGCTTCAACACGTCGCCGATTTTGTCGTGTCTCGTGTGTTTTTCAAGAATGGAATCAAGCTTGTGCCACCCGTCCCGTAAAGCCCGGTAGCATTGCTCTCATTCAACCCGTCTACCTGAGCACTCGCCGTGGCCAAGTTGACCGTGTCAGTCGCTTTAATTTCTCGAGGGGTACAATTGCGAGCTGGGATAATGATGTATCGCGACACCATTTGGATATGAGCATCACGGAACGATGTCAAGGCCATGACAGCGGCATTGTACGCTTCCCTTAGCGAGGAGCCTGCCGCTGTGGTCATCACAAACGACCGAACGTTGGAAAGAGCTGAAAGAGCTTCCAAAAAGCGTTTGTGTGGGGCTGGCATGTAGTTTCTCATATCCTTTGAAAGTCAGGATGTTAGCGAACAGGAGAAAGCTTGATAAGGAGCGAGCAACATTAATGCCATGCTTAAGTCTTACCTGGATGTAGCTCGTGCCCGAGGATTTCATGCTGGTGCCTCCGGTGGCCGAGTGACTCACTCCCAGGAAAATGTCGAATGTCTGGATCAGGGAGCTTTGTGCGTTACTACCACCGCTGTACTGATACCACTCACCCTCACCCTGGCCAACGTCGTAGAAAACACCATTGGGCAAGCCAGCAGCGGCCATGTTCTTGCTACCAGCTAAAAAGGGCCGAAGCTGATGGAAGAACACATGGGGCTGGTTGTGTTCGTACATCCGGTTGAGGGTTCGTGTCAAATCACCCAGTCCGTCGGTAAACCGGCAGAGCAAGGCTGTCAATCGGGGTACATCTTGAACAGTGGCAGCGGCAATTGCATCGAGCATCAACGGGACCAGTCGTGCGCCCTTGGCCTCAATAGCCACTGAGATCACCATGAACCATTCCTCATCTTTTGTACCGGTGAAAGACGACAAGACAGATAGATGATCTGGCTCAGTCAGATCGGTCTCGGTTGTACTGGTGTAATTCCAGAGCGTCAGTGCTGCGTATGTCGCGCAAGGAGGTAGTTCAAGGTGGCGTGAGATCTCAAGAAAAGGCTTCGAGATACAAGCAGGAAGAGTCTGGGAGAGACATGCGCATTAGTAATACGTCGTGGGCGAAACCTAGTGTCTTGAACACGAACACCGCGGAAAAGGCGCAGGTCCCGATATGCAGGTCTCAGAAAGTCATGGACAAGAGCGGGCAGGAGAAGACGAGCAAAAGAAAGATCAAAACAATACAAACGACAGGCGGAAGTGAAACAAAGCGGGTTGAGTTGAGACGAATACAAACAAGATGGGTTGGAACAAGACAATCTGAGCCGAATGTGGCAAATAGACAAAACCGCCATGAAAGCTCATCAATCACTAACCTCTTGAGGTCTTTCACCTCCCCACACATACGCATGTGTGAAGAAGCTCAAGATCGAGTATGCACGACGAAACTCTGCCTCTGACTGCAGCCATGTAGTTTCCAAGACTGGCAGATCATCAATGAGCTTTCTGATCTGACCAGCTCTAATTAAATCCGGCAACTGAGTGACAAGCCTCTCCCAAGGCGCATAGTAGCCATGGGGCAGCGCCTGTAGAGGGAGACCCGTAGGCAGGAAGCCATGCACTGGTGAGACAGCATAGTCATCCAGATTGATGGTTGGAGATGAAATCATTGTGCCCGTTGAGATTGTGAGTGAATAGGGGATATTGGTGTTGAAATGTTGAAGATTTGACAAATATAATAAACGCTTTCCTGCTCGGAAGGGTCTGGGGCAGACCGGCACAATCAAGCTAGAGAATACTGCGAGGCGGTAACGTGATGGTCAAGACGAGGTATAAAAAACAAGATGATATAGTCTCAAATATATAGAAGATACTTATGTTGATGCGCCGCGCTAAGAAATGTTTGCCCTCTCTCCTTTAATGCGGTAATCGCCCGGCTGGCTTCGGGGTCTTCTATACTGAGCCGGATCATGGACGGATAAACTTCCGTGTTCCGGGTTTGCAATGGTGGGTAATTCCGTCATGGCATTAGCCAAATCACTCGGAGATAAAAGACTTTGGTGACTGGATATGAAGAAATCTCAAAAGATTTTCTGTAATTCATTGATTAGATATCTGTTCTATATATCATGACCCTCGTGAGGAGAGGGCGTTGAAGTTCATGCGAAAAGGCCAAAGGCTGGGAGAGGAAGGCCACACTTAAGGGCACGATATGACCGCAAGAAGACCTTCCTAAATCACTATCAACAAGAGCTTCGGTCGACTTTCCCAGCGCAGGGAGGGTTTCCAGGTACATTTACCGCTTAGATAAATTCCCGCCGGTATCTCTTTTGGTAGCGTGAGTCTGGCTCCAGTAATTTCGGGATATATCTGTATACTGGGTTGGGGCCGGATCTTCTAGGTGGATCTACTTCCGTGATCCGGATATGCCAAAGAGGCCCCGTCATTGCACCTGTCAAAGTACTCGGAAACAGGTGTCTTCGACGAGTTAATAGCATTATGAAACCATATTGACAATGGACCGACCAAGTGTGATGCTCATCTAGACATATACAATATAAGCAAACACTCGTTACTCGTTAGGCCGATGCGTGGGCAAGTACGAGCCTATCAATTCAGCACGTCCTATGATCCTATCAACGTAGCCCTCATCGCGTTTGTGTCTAGTACCTGTGCACTATGCACCATTGCACACACAGTGCATACTTCGCCGTATAAAGTCCTGACAGACTACCTGTTATGTTCCGAATGAGAGTAGTCTAAGTTTTGCAGGTGCTATTATTGCTGGTATGGAAAGGACATAGAAGTGCAGATCGTACCCAGAGCAGTCATGGTTGTCTGTTGACAAGGTTGAATAGTAATACTACTCCGATCGGAGATCATCGCCTAGCACCGCAACCATGTGGGGACGGAAGTAGAAGGCGGATACGGAAGGTTGATATCCGTCCGACCCGCCGTCGACTGCTCTGCCTCCGATTTGATTACCGCTAGAGCCGTAGATTATAAAATAGACTTATAGCGTGCGTGTTCATTCCAGAATTACTCCTAGTCTCAAATACCCCTCTCCTTGGCCTATTTAAATACAGTGCCCGGCCTCTACAGTTGTTTTGGACTCCAACTCCACCAACTCTCCGCTTTCTGCCCCTGCTTGCATTTATATTTGCCCCAGAGACGTCCCCCGTCCGAACTCAAATCCGCCCACCTCTCCGTCCATCATCATGACAGCCACTAACGGTGTGAACGGAACCAAGGCGCCAAAGCCTACATTCCCTGCCGAGGCCGCAACAAGGGAATATGCGGCATCGCTCGACAAGGCAGATCCTTTGCGCGCTCTCCGCGATGAATTTATCATTCCTTCTAAAGCTAACCTTGCGACCAAGAAACTAGCGAAGCCTGGTACGTACTCCAATGGATTTGCGAGATGCATGTAGAACGAAGTAAAAAACCAAATGAAATAGACCTCATGCTGACTTGAGATGAAAGGGCTTTCGTCTGATCCAAGCATTTACTTTTGCGGCAACTCGCTTGGTATCCAGCCAAAGGCGATAGCCAAGTACATGGAGGCTCAACTGGACACTTGGGCCTCGATCGGCGTCTGTGGCCACTTCACCAAGCTCGAAGACTCTCCACTTTCAGAGTGGCAGTTGCTCTCAGAGCAGGCCTCAGCATCCATGTGTAAAATTGTGGGCGCTGCACAGGAAGAAGTCGCTGCCATGGGTACCTTGACGACGAACCTGCATCTTCTCCTTGCCAGTTTCTACAAGCCTACTGAGTCGCGCAAGAAGATCTTGATGGACTGGAAGGCATTCCCTAGTGATCATGTGAGTAATGACTACCCGAGCGCTAGCATATTGACGAATGGCCAACTAATGAAGATTGGAAAATAGTACGCTATTGAGTCGCACATTGAATGGCATGGCCTCGACTCAAAAGAGAACATGGTCCTCATTGGACCCGATGAAGGCACATATGAAATCTCCACAGATAAGATTCTTTCGTACATTGACAAGCATGCTAGCGATGCCGCTGTTCTTCTTCTTCCCGGCATCCAGTACTATACTGGCCAATTCTTCGACATCCCTACCATCACCAAATATGCCCAGGACCGTGGCCTCATTGTGGGCTGGGATTTGGCCCACGCGTACGGTAACGTCGAGGTTAAGCTCCATGAGTGGAACGTGGACTTTGCCGCCTGGTGCACGTACAAGTACGGGAATGCAGGACCTGGCGCGATGGCCGGTCTCTTCGTGCATGAGCGCCATGGCAAGGTGGACTACAGCCAAGGCGAGGACTCCCCTCAGTTCCGTCATCGTCTGACTGGCTGGTATGGCGGCGATCGCTCGGTTCGATTCAAGATGGACAACAGTAAGTTTATTCTTTCTCTCTCTTCGCCGTTGCTCGTTTTCCACTCACATGACTTATTCATTTCGCAGAGTTTAAACCCATTCCTGGCGCCAACGGCTATGTGATCTCCAACCCGTCCATCATTGACCTGACCACCCTCTGCGCCGCTCTCTCGGTCTTTGACAAGACTACAATCACTGATCTGCGCCAAAAATCATTCAAGTTGACTGCGTACCTTGAGTTCCTCCTTCTTAAGGATACTACGGATGCAGACCGCCAGTTCTCCATCATCACCCCATCAGACCCCCATGCTCGTGGAGCTCAGCTGAGTGTGCTGCTCAAGCCGGGGCTCTTGCATAATGTGGCGCAGCGTCTGCAGGATGCGGGTATCATCTGTGATAAGCGGGAGCCTGACGTGGTTCGAGTAGCTCCCGTCCCCCTGTACAACACTTTCGAGGAGGTGTTTACATTTGTTGAGATCTTTAAAAGTGCCCTGTCTGAGTAAATAGTTTGATGGGTCTATGTCCAAAGGTGTTGTCATGTGATACGAATACAGATGAATATATCTTTAGCTTATTTCAGTTCGACAGCGTTACCATAATACAAAGTTGCTTTCTCACAAATTGGGCCCAAAATTGCTTATTGTAACCTTGGAAGGCGCGTTGCTTTTTTTCTAGCCCTGCCGATTTTCTTTTTCCTCAAGCGCATCTCAAGAAATATGCCGCTCATACTAAGTACTTGAACAGCTCGGAAGAAAGTAATGGCTGCAAAGCGGGGTGCACCTTCATTCAGAAATTGCCAAAATTCGTCCAGGCATCTCCGCTTCGCAAAAACTCTTGGCCCTGCGAGAAGAAATTGGTTGCTAAAATCGAGAACTCATCGTTTGTCAAGGTCAACTGTTGCGGCGACACAACTGAAGCCGCCGAGTAGTCTGCGAACCCCGCCGCATTGCCCGCAAACGTCCCGGGCGATTGTAAACTCGCCGGTCTCTCTTCACCAATCCGGGTGGGCGCAGGCAGCGGCGACGTCTGCGAGACTTCTGGATTGGCTGTGGATGGGCCAGCATACAGCGAGTCACCGAATAGACGGCGAGCAGATGCAGAATCGCTGTTGGACGAATATTCGAGGATTTCCCAGAACTTTGAGAGGTCGATCAACAGGCTTTGATTCTGAGCGTTGGGGTCGGATTGATAAGTTGACGAGACGGCGTCTTCAAGATGTTGGAGTCTTTGCGCGAGGCGGGCCATGTGTGGCCATTGCTCGCCAAGTTGTTGGACAAATTTGACGCATTTGGTGAAGCGTTCGCGCTTTTGTTCGCGGATGGTTTGGTTGTCGGTGAAGCTGAGCTGCAGCTCAATGGTCGCAACTACTGCTGCACTGTATCCTAGCAGGGGGTCTGAGACGAAGAAGTTTTTCTCTTCAAAGTAGTTGATGAAGTGGATAATCCAGGTAGTGTGGGAGGATATCAGATCGGATGTATGCTGCAGAAAGATTTCGGGGATGGTGCTTCGGAAGGTTCGTAGACTGAGTGATAGGAGAAGCGGATGGTTGAGTAGGCATAGCATGGTATGGTACATGAATTGATTCAGGAACCATGGGCCCCAATAATCACGATGAGCTTGGAGCTCTTCATGGGATCGATCGCCAAGATTCGCTGGCTTGAATCGATGGGTAAGGGGCATCTTAGTCTCTAGATCCATTTGCAAAGCAATAATTTTTGAGTATTCAGAGTGTGGGGACCAAGGGGGCACATTGCTGGGTCGCCCGTGAAGGCGAACATATCGTCCAGTTCGTGCAAAGGCTTCACTCAGCATGATGACATAGGCGAGAATCCCTTGATCTTGAATGTCGCTCCTTCTGGATTCAGCATGCGCCGGGCCGGGGGAGAGGATCCGCGCAGGACGAGAAGGACTTTGCGGATATGCTGGACCTCCCACTTCGGGAATATCGATCGAGAAGTCCCCTCCGTGAAGCCTTTTCAAGAGACATATGCTCCAAAAGCATCGCCGGCGTTCCTCCCGCTTAACGTTGCTCATGGGTGTACGAGGTTCCTGGCCGAGATTCGCACACTGAGCAAGATTCATCGCTAAACTGCTGTGGATACTTGAGCGGTGCGTATTACCATCTGCAGCTGTTAGTCTCGCCTAGAATATCCATAGCCACGAGTGGTGAACATACTGGTAAAATCAACCATGCTCAAAAGGCATAGGCATTGAAGGGTAGAAATCTCAACGGGTCCTTCTGAGACTCGCTTCATGACCAGCGCGCGTGCAACTTCGGCGTAGCCGTTGACCCTTTCGGGCAGATCCGGCGCATTGCGATGCGTACTGGAGAACCTCAGACACAAGGCTAAAATGGCATAGACAATCTCGATATCTCTGGTCTGAAGGCTGCCGATGAAATTGCTCGTGTGAAATATGGGCAAAGGCTGCGATTCACAGTAAAGCAGATACAGCTCTGCTACTTCCACGACATCCTCCCAAGGGGGTAACGTCGTGGATACACTCGAGCCAGACACATTCGAACGATCAAATAATTGACCAGCGTTGGACGTAGCACTCTTCTCTCGTGAGCCGACGCTGATTTCAATAAGTCAGTGCCATATGCGCTGTAGGCTACAGAGGCGAACACAAACCCAAGGTGGTCAATAACCACGCCAAGCTTCCCCTCAAGACTCCTCAGTCGGTCTTCCTGTGTTATTGGTTAGTGGTGGCATTTCAAGTACGATATTGAGAGCTTTGAACATATAATATCATACCAATGCCTGGGCGTTTGATGTTGAGACGCCTGGACTAGCTCTTGATGGCTCCTCGAGCGTTTGAGGTCGCCGTCTTTCCTCCGCATAGACACAAATTTGTCGTAGCCTGGCACATAAAGAGCACACTGGATGTTCTCCAGGGCACTTGGCCTTTTTGCGCCTGCATGCTGTTATTCAAAACTAGTCATCTCCCCGATGAAGCTGTAGGGTCTCACCTGCAAGGTTCACATGCCTGTCGTACTCTCTTGGTCGGCCGTTCGACTGATGAATCTGAATGCTCCATTGTCATATCTCTTGTGCTGGCCTCGGAAGATCTATTGACACAGCATGGCTTCGTACGAGTGAGTCAGGCCAGAAACACAGTGAAAGTGGATGAGATCTAGGACTTGTGGTACTGTTCAGTGTGTTACTATCAACTCTCATCGACCCCGCATGCAGCTCCTCATGGATCATCCTGTATGCCGGGATTCTCGAATGAATGGTATACACCAAAGAGTGGCTATCGATTATGAGCACATGTCTGAATAATTGAAATATATTTTGTCCACGTATGAAAACCCGCCGATATTATTTTAGTTCCCCCTCGGGCGACTGAGCTCATGACTAAGCAAATATCCGGTGACGGTTCTTCCAGGAAGTTGCGTGCAGTGGCAGCCAGCATGGATGGCGCGATGAAAGCCTGCTGCCAACTTGGTGACCAAAGACATGTCTAGGTCAATGGGCCGAAGCAGCAGTACTTCCAAATTCGGTTTACGTGGAAGCAATATGTCCCATACTCGTTCAATGCCTGATGCGACAAGAACAGGGTAGGAAATCGTCCACATACAAGACAGAGGAGCCATGTCCCGGTAGTCCAACCAAGCCTACCTACTTTTAACGTCTGAATATGAGGCTGGTTTGACATTGACCTCATAGAAACATGCAGATCAAGAATGCAGCGCGAGATTGCTAAGCTGCGAAAAGACCGGTACTTTGGATTGGTGCTCGATTCGGTTTATGTACAGCTCCAATCTTCAAATTGCCAGCAAGCCCATCTATCCCACCACCGGAGTAGAAATACATCGCCAGAGTCGAGGCAATCCCCACATGACACCGTATATAGACATCACGAGATACCAGAGAACTGGCACCGCTTATTTGTCACCGAACCAGGTCTTCTTGCCCTGTTGATTGGTTACGTTAGTGAATGTGGTCGGTTACGCCTGCTTGCCAAGGAGCAATTCAAAGCAGGTAGTAGTCTAGTAGTGACTTACGAAGACCATGCGGCACATAGCGTAGGTGGTGGCTGGAATATTTGTCAATTGAAAGGTTCACAGCGTATCCGGACTTGAGTATCTCCACTTACCGGCACCGAGACCGTAGACAGTGACCAAGTAGGGGTACATGATATAACCGCTACGGGAGGTCTGTCCGAGAAGAGCCTTGTTAACCAATTGCCAACACTGAGTCTCCATATTCAATTTTGTGTCGCACTAACCTTCCACCATTGGCGCTTGCCGTCGTGGTTCTGGAAGAGGCGCTGGTAGTAGGGGACACGGTTCTCGCGGAAAACGAATCTGAGCATCAGCAAGTTAGCACCTGAAAATTGCCCATGCGCTTGATCACATTTTGGCGTGTAGCCCCCAAGTCAGTGGCACTGGCGCTTGACGCAACCATTGTCCATGACTCGAATGACTGTGGGCCAAGTTGACCGGCTTGCAAAGACCCAATTCAGAATCCCAATGCAAGAAGAAAGGAATGCAAACGTACCCGGCCATGCGAGGAGCGGTGCGGAACATCTTGGCGGTTGTAGGCGCGAAGCGAGGTTGAAGCGTGGAAAGGTAATGGCAATGGCACGATGGCGTGAGGTTCGGGAGAGCTGCAATTGAAAGTCATGTGACTTCCCTCCTTCTTCCGCCTACGACACTGAAGCCGCAAAGCGGGCGCTGACCGCCCCCGCGTGCGAACTGGCAATAATCAATGATTTTAAGGCACCAGGTAACGTGACCTTTGACCCAGTCAGCAAATCCAAAACGGCAAAGCGCCATCCGCGCGGTATTGGAGACGGAAGAAGCAATACCAACGGAAAATGATATGCTGGCGTAGTCACAGGGCGTCGCACTGCTGATCATTATTTACTCTTCGTTGACGAAAACGATGGTGGAGCGCCACCAGAACGTCGCTAACTCGTGCTCGTCCAATGCGACCGGCTCTTCTTCGACTCCTGAAGAGGCCGTCCGCCGTCTCGGTCCTCGATACTCTTGCAGCAACGCCAACTGGAATTGAGCAATTGCGGTCAACATACACGCAGCTGCGTCATCAGTCGCGATGCGCCCAACAGAATGAACTGGAGGACCACGGAGACACTCTATGCCCTGTGCAGGAAGCACGTTCGTTACAGCAGACTGGTGACGGCCAAAAATTCAATTTCAATGTTTACGAGATCGAGACTGTCGAGTCCGAACCAGTGAGAGACGTCGTGACAGGAAAACGCGCCGACTCAGCATCAAAATCGCCCGTTGACTTTTTACGGATGCAGTCGGACTTTTTGGAATTTGAGTCCGACATCGGTCACTGCAACGATATAGGATCGCGCTTGGTGGATCAGGATGAACACAAGAACAATTTTGAGCTCTGGGAGGAGCTTCTTAAATTCAGGCAGCGACACTACGGCGACAGGGGTACTCAAGATATCTGGGAAGGACTGAGGGCACGCGTTACGGGTGTGCAACTACCAGTCTCAGGCGTACGGGCCGACCTCTTTTGGCTGACATTTACTCGTCTGGGCGTACGACGCGACCTGTTTCTTCAAGACGTGATGGATTACGCGATCGAAATTTACAAGAAGGATGGCTCTTCCTGGCCTCATCTCTATCACAACGTTGTGGGTGGTCTCCTTCATAGAGGGCTTACGAAGCGGGCCTTGCGATGGAACAAGATCTTTCAAACCTCCGGTCTGGCCCGCCCGGATGATGTGCTACAACTACTTCTGCCAGTCATTCAGCCTCACTCGCTGGTGGAAAATGCTCAAAGTTGGTACCGGGTCAAAGTTGACAGACCATCCTTACTGCTCCGCACTTTTCGACTGCTGTGCCGAGCAGCTGTCGGACACAAAATCTACGGGCGAGTTATCGCAACGTTGATCCAGCACGGCTATGGCGAGGGGGCTATATCTATTCATCCATTCTTGATTGCGCGAGGAGATGAACCCAAGACACGCAGCGAGATTCAGCCTCTGTTAGATTATGCTCGAATGTACGGGTTCTGGGACGAAAACAAGAAACTTCAGTCTTATGCGCAGAACCGCTTCGATATTACGTCTACAGCTCCGTCAGAATCCTCGGCCGGGGAGACCAGTGCTAGTGCTTCAGAAAGCAAGCCGTTCAAAGATGACATAGGCGCCAGGTTGCTTGCTACTCGGGCGCTGAATTTTGACGTCGTCCTGGGCGGTATGAAGATGCTCGGTGTGTCTGCCATTGGTTCAAGAAGCTTGCGCGAGTTGGCATTAAGAGCCCATGGAAGTCAAGATGTCTTGGACAAGATCAAGGCCCTTCGGCAGGCAGGGATATCTCTTCGGGACTCTGTGTTCGCTCGCTTGGTGCAAAAGCTTGCATCGCAAAGCCGTGACATCCTCCTCTCCGACTTGCTTCACAGTGACCAACATCCGGATGCGCTGGAGGACAAGGCAGTCCAGGAGTCGCTGCTTGTCTCCTACTACATGGCTCGTGATATGCACCAGTACAACTTGGCGCTAGCCGTTCTCGCGGAGCTGTATCCCCATGATCCTGACTTGTTGGACATCCACTTTCGAAAACACATTGCAGCAGGGGACTGGGGAGCTGCGTCCAAGATCGTTGATGATTTGACATTGCGGAAAAGGTCTTTGAGTGCGGACAGCCTGGACTTCATGGCTGAAAAAGTATTGACACCCCGACGACCCAACCACCGGCCGCACGCCCCGTCTGGGCAACCGCTTGATACGAAGCGTGAGGTCATGTTCGTTTTCCACGTACTGCAGCGCTCGGTACAGCTTTGTGGGTATGTCAACCCGTCTTTCTGGAAAGAATTACTCAAACGGCTCGGCATGGAGAACCATTGGGATGAGCTCCGAGAATGCACGCTGTGGCTCGTCCGTCAATATGGAACCGAGAATAGGAAGCTCGTGACTGCAACGGCAGCGGCCCATTCCATGTCACACGACCATCGCATGCTCAAGCTCATCTTTACTCCTCCCATGCAAGCTGCTCTTGTGGCATGGGGTTTTTTAGTCCCTGTGTCCACCGCGAACGTGTACAATGCGATCTGTTTCCACCCCAAGAGCCAGGAGCCTCTGATTCAATGGGTTCGAGGGATTCTACTGTTACGGGAATTGGAGGAGATCGGTCTGACTCTTCACAAGCGGGTCATTGTCGGTGCCACTCGTCACCGGCTAGCCACCCTCTACGGAAAATTCCAGCTCTCTCACTCTCGAACAAATCGAGTGCTACGGAAGCAGAACCCCTATCGATGGCAGCGCGTAGCGGAAGAATGCCTCCGTGCCTGGGGAGATCCTTCTTTCTTTGGCGGCTTAGAGCGAATTGACCCTGTCAAGCTGATGAATCCTGGACGAACCCCGTCGTCGTTGAAACGTTCCGCTCAGATCATTTGGCCGAGAAAGCGAGCAAGACGACCTGTCGAGTGATGGACGGACATGTTTGCATTTCGAAGTATATACCCCTTTTCGTACTTTAACCCATCACATTTTTTTTTCATATCTTTGCATAGTACAATTATTACACTAAGTTTCTATTTCTCACTTGATGTCGTGGTCTATTCGGTGAAGATTGAACGACAGCGAGGAAAAGGCACGTTGACTTCATCGCCATGACCCTAATAGCCGCGCCAGGCTCCAGTCAGTGTGACTCCGCAAGACCGCGCAAGTTCACAAACCCCCCCCCCCAAAACCGCCAGGACTAAGGTAGTGACACCGTACCGCCTCTATCACCAGACTGGCAGACACACGTACTCAAAAGCATCAGTCGGAGATCGTCTCAGACGAGCGCTCCATTGTCCCAGCTAGAGGTCACCGAGGACAGCACATGCGCAAGCCACCGGGCGGCCATGACACGGAATGGTAGACATATCATCATATGTCCACAACCACGGTAGTAACCTAGAAACAGGTGATTTTGTCGACATGATTGTTAATCTGGGTTGCTTAATGTTTCAGGAGCGTCCATTGTACTGCAGGTTAGTTTGGCTTTGCCACACAAGTCGTCAGCCTCTCGTCGCAACTTCACCTGTGCTGTAGTCGAGGCATTGTCCGAGTCGGTCCGGTCCTTGGCAGTTCTGCTCGGCACCAGAGACGATGAACAACAACATACTACGGATTGGACACTTCAGGTCATTGTGCACGCGCGTGCGACCGTCCACCCTTGTGTTGCGTGGCGCAGTGTCCGGACGGAGATCCACGTCCTAAGAATAGTTGAGAGGGCAACGCGGCCTGGATCCGCTATGGATCGTCACTCCAAACAATTTGAGATCTATGACAGCCCGCTCTCGGCGCTCATGTTCTTTTTGAGTTTCTCAGGCGTCGTCTCAAATTGTTCAGTGGTGCCTCTTTGAAGATTCAGGACCTTGTTCGATCATTCTCTGGACCTATTTTTTGAACTCTTCAGGACCTTTCCCAACGGTCAACATGCATGTGTGGAAGTACTTATCATTATTGTTGTCCGCCGCGGCGGCCAACCCGCTCAGTGTCCGATCGACCGCCTGCAACAACTCTCCCGATCTCTGCGACAAGTCCTACGGTGCCATCACGCATTTGGGGGCTCATGACAGCCCTTTTGTCCGGACTTCAGATAGTGTCCTGGCGGGTAATCAGTATGTCATACTTCCTCCCAGAAGGCCACAAAGGACCCATCTCGCCCTCGAATTGAGGCGAAAGAGAGATCTCGAGCGTCGTTCACTCGCTTCGTTTTATCCAGAAAGTCCGCGATCTAACGCTTTTCACCACATGACGATAGATATTTTGATACTCCGACGCAACTCAGTGCTGGTGTTCGACTCGTCACGGCCCAGGTTCACAAAGATAATAATCAATGGCGACTATGCCATTCATACTGTACCCTGATGGATGCAGGCCGGTTGAGCGACTGGCTTGCTACGATCAAATCCTGGCTGGATGACCATCCTAATGAAGGTTCGTCGAGTTGGAGCTTTCATGTTCATTGAAGAGAAGATGGGAAACTGATAATTTCTTCATCGCGAAATAGTTGTCACGGTCCTTCTTGTCAACTCAGATGGAGCCTCAGCCGCCGAGCTCGGGGCTGAATTCACCACAGCCAACATTACCAACTACGCCTGGCAGCCCGAGTCACTGACAACGCCCCCTGCCTCATGGCCAACCCTGCGAACTATGATCAACTCGGGAAAACGGCTGGTTGTCTTCGCGACGCCATTGACGACAAGCACGTCCTACCCATATCTCATGTCTGAATTTGACTTCATCTGGGAGAACAACTACGACGTGACAACACCGGCCAACTTTTCCTGCGAGCCCAATCGGCCATCCTCACTGGCCGGCTCCCTGTCTACAGCACTATCGAGCAACCGGCTCCCCTTCATGAACCACTTCCTGTACTCTACGGACCTGGCGGCCCTGCAAATCGAATACCCGAATGCCAGCTACGTTTCCACGACAAATGCGCCCTCCGGTGGAAACGGCAATCTCGGCACCGCTGCAACAACCTGCAAGGCTGCCTACCTTGGTCGACAGCCGACTTTCATTCTGGTCGACTTCTTCAATAAGGGTCCTGCATTGGATACGGTGGACAGTCTCAACAACGTGACCAACGCGGTCGGTCGTACAACGGTCTCCTCATCACCTTCCTCTACTTCCTCCAGTGACGCGAGTATGATCGGCAATGTGTTCAAGGGGCTGGTTGAGCTGGCAAACTCGGCCAAGTCTGGAGCGAGTCCAAGTGTGGGAGCGTGGATCTGGGCTGGCGGCAATTGGAACAGTGTCTTGGGTGGTGGCATCTCCTTTTAGATCCGGAGATGCTTCTCCTATTTGATTTGATTTTCTTGGCTCTACTCCACCCCTCATCCGCACAAGAGGCATTCTGCTCTGCGTGATCAGGGACCGTGCCTCTTACGATCGGACTGCGTGTTTTCCAAGCCTCAACCATATGATGATCCTTCGTGAAGAGGGCATTCATTGGCACACACCACGATAGCATTTGTTTTCCTTCCTCGATAGGGAAAGGGGTATTGGGCGCATGTCTTGCGTTTTTGTTTTTTTTTTTCGGGTACTGGGTTTCATTATAGGTACATGTGTCTTACCCCTGAATTATAGGGGCAAGCGGCGCTTAAGGATCAAAAGGGGGAGGAAACCTTGCCAAGGGTTCACTGGGCGATTCGGACATGATGAATGATAACGACATACAAGTAAATTCGAACTGTGGAAGGGCCATTGACAGCGCCACTTGCTATGATTCAATATTATGACTCTTCTGCTTCTAAAAAGTACCCAAAACACTCTGTCACTATTTTCCTGAGAAGTAGAATACCAGTCTTCTACCACTGCACTGCTTGGTTCTCACCTACAGTCCCGTACCTCAGGTTCGATCTAGTTCATCACAAGGCAAAGAATTTACCTGTAGATGCTGTTGACTTCAATCACAAAGGAACTCCAATGGACATTTGACAGCAGATGGCTTCAATTCAGAAACAAGCTCACTGCTTGTCCTGTGCCAGCAATTGCTGTACTTTCTTCACTTTGTCCTCGGCAGTCTGCTCCTTGTCGGTTCTACCGCTCAAGTTCACATGTAGATCGTCAGCTTTCCACGAGACATGTGGTTATTTTTTTTGGAGGTCGATATCGTTGTATTTGGACCGATGACATGAGACAGTGATCTTCACTTACCGCGATCCAACTCGAATATCCGTCTGAATGCGGACAATTCCCCGCTGATGGAGGAGAGTGTGCGCTTGTCCGATGACCTGGTGCACGCGATCCCATGATCCTTCTTTTAAGTGGAGGAGAGTCAGCAATGTCAGCCCAAGAAGAATATGAAAAAGATGGAGAAAAGGTCATCATCAAGTGTATGCTGGCACCAGGCCATGCGCAGAAAATAGAGAGATCGCGGCAGGAAGGGACCAAGTGGTCTAATCAAGTATTGCTGGAAATGGATGCTTCTTCATACCAAGAGTTGTTCCTGCAGAGTGCATCGTATATTTCAGGCCCGATTGCTCGATCAGTCGCTGGACGTCTGCAACTTGCGCGGAGACGGACGCTGATGCTGTTCCGATCTAAACGTTCTGTGAGTACACAAGCGGAATGACACAAAATCGGGTCCATCGCGCGGATAATGGAACCATCAGAACCCAACCAAGATTGGAACACAACTTACCGGAATCAGACAAAAGTCTGCCAGGCAGTGATCTGGCGTGGGAAGCTCTGTGATGGCCATTGGAGGAACAATGAGATAGACCACGAGAGAGGGTTGATAGTTGGTAGATCACCGGTCGATACGGATGGCGGGGGATCCGAACTCACGCCGAGACGCTAAAAATAAGGGCACATCCTCACCCCCACCTTTTGCACGAGCTAAAATCTGCACATCATTTTCGACCAGAGCCCCCCTTGTGGGGATTCGACACGCTCATAATGTTGCTCTGGAGTCAAATGATGATGTGGAGCTTCTGAGCTGCTTATTCTCCTTCATGTTCTTGGGGCCGAATAACCGAGTCCTTCTTTTCCACTACGACATTGTACTCTCCATCTCTGCTTAGTTTGGAGAGCATCACGATTCAGAAGGCTGGGATAGGTCAAGCTGTTCGCGGGAGTCACAAAATCTCGCATCCTGACTGAATTCCTCTTGCGCAAGACTGCATCCTGCATCTGCTCTATATGGCAAGGCTAGGCATACCAGATCTACCGTCGGGGATCAAACTCGTGTACTTGGCAGAAGGCGCTGCCAATGTGGTCTATCGCTTCGACTTGACCGAAGCTTTCATCCCTGGTCCCACCAACAGACCAGATCTCCCGGATACAGATGACACCACAGTCCACGAAGCCCCCGGCCTCTTGCAAGGCAAACTCCTTCGTCTACGGAAAGACACCCCAGCCAACGTCCCCTACAAGGAGATCGAGCAAAACTTTGACACCATCATTCGTCCGCTATTCAAGCTCCATGAACTAGTGAATCAGTCCTTGATCAGACTACCACCGGGTCTCATCCACCACTGCAATGAGCGACTTCGTGCCGCCGAAGAGAGCGGATCAAGAGCTTTCAAACGTCATGGAACGTACCTCAGTCTCACCGAGCCATATGGTTTATTGATCACTGACATGACCACTTACAATGACCCGGGTGCACACCTGGCAGAACTGAAGCCCAAATGGCTCCTTCAATCTCCGTCGGCTCCTGCTGATGCTGACCGATGCCGAACCTGCGCGTTGAAGCAGATGCGTGACGCGGAGGCGAGAAGTCGTGGACAGGAAGAGCAGCGCTCATTCTGTCCTTTGTCGCTAGTGTCTGAAAAGTTTGAGATTGTTTTGCGTGCGACGGAGTATGTGAAGGGGTGCTGGGACAAGACGCGACTTGCAGAGATCTTGTTTCGACATCCAGTGCTTTTGAGGCTGCTTTCTCTCCAAAAGGTCCATCAGAGAGTTGGTTTGGAGGGACCGCCGCCAAAAACGCAGGTGATGTCTCTCGATATGACGCTACGAGATTGTACGGTTTATATCAAGGTTGGTGTAATACGCTCTTCCTGCGCCTAAGTGTCGCAAGAGACAAAGCACGCTGACCACAGAATTCAGATTCCACAAGATGAAGGCTCGCAGGTCGAAGTGCGCCTTGGAGATCTTGATCTGAAATCGAGCGCTGGTGGCAAGGCTCAGTACTGGCGAGATCTGGAGACTGACCTGATTGAGGGAGGATGGTACCACGGTCGTGATGAAGATGCCACTAATGATCATGGGTGCCTGCTGCAGCATTCGAAAGTGCCGGCGGCATTGGCCCTGTTGCCGTAATCTTAATTTTTTATAGAGAGGAGGCTACAGCAGTGCCTCAGTGGGCAGGCCTTCATCCAGTCCGCCACAGCAAGAGACAATTGACATGCAGGTATACTTGTCGATTTCTTTGCAGTGAATTCTCAGTCTGGTACACTCATCATCATATATCATTGCATGCCTCATGTATAGAATGCAGATCAAACCACTGTCAAGAGCACATCAACAAGCCGCCTTGCATCCCTCGACATTAGAATCCAAACACATTCTCATCTTCCTTGTAACCCATCTCTTGCAATGCCGGAAGCACAGCTTTCTGGATCATCGTCGGGGGACCACAGAGCAACGCCACGGTGTCCTTGCCGGGACGAAAGCCGTTATTTTCCAGAATCTCCTTGTTCACATGACCCTTCTCCCCTTTCCAATCCTCGGACGGATGTGAAAGAACATGCGTGATCTGGAATTGATTTGGATGCTCTTTGGCCAGTTGATCCAGCTCCTCTCTCAAAAGAATATCACCTTCAGTTTTGTTGGCATCGATGACCCTCAACACAGTTTGATCTTCCTCCTCGCCTAGCTTCTTGGCGCGCAAGACCCGAGAAATGAGCTGATATCCTGGCGTGATACCTGAACCACCCAGCACCAAAGTCACTTTGTTGAAGTGGCACTCTTGTTGATTGATCTTGAACTTGCCCTGGCCCAGGTATATGATCTCGCCCGTCGGTCCCTTGACTTCAATCTCCTCGCCTGGCTCCAAACAATCAAGAATATTGCTCATTGTCCCGCCAGGTTGAGACTTGTCAGGTGGATACGTTTTGACAACGAGATCAAAGGTGCCATCTTCCTCCTTTTCAAAGATGGGTCTTGTCGGCGTGTACGGTCGTACAACCAGTCGGTCGCTGAAGTGGAATCCCAACTGGAGATGTTGACACGTTCCCAGACCGAGTTTCTTCGTACCGGCAGGGAGTTTGAATGAGTATCGATTGGTGTCTTGCGAGAGGGCGTGCTTCTCAACAAATCTCACAACATTCCAGCGGTGATGATTCAAAATGATATCCGATTTTGTCTCAGCCGAGTTGGCTTTCTCTTTAGCGGCTTCCTCGGCTTGCTTCCTGATGAAACCTTGGGCTTTTTCGGTCACGACGCCAATCACGCATTCTGCACGCAAAGCCACGGTCAATTCAATCTGTTTACCCCAAACCTGGAAGAAATGCCTCATGGCACAAAAAGAAAGCCGGGGGAGGGAAGTGTCATGATCTTACCGCTCAATTTCTGCTCCGCATAATCGTCATGAATACTCTCAAACGCCTCGGTCGTCTCAGCGTGAACTTTACCTGCGTGGCTGAGGATCGTTGCCTTGCCACCAGGGTGCCAGTCCAGCACGCTCGTCGCGTCGTATACCTTGCCGTTGACGATGATCCAGCAATCATCTTCTTTGTTGTGCTTTTCAATCTCTTCCCGAGTGAATTGCTTCTGCGGCGATGCTACCTCGTGTTCGATTTGGTCCATTTGATTCTCTGTTGAGGGCTGCATCCACCCTCCCTTGCCTGTGCCTGGCTCACAAGGGTGACGGAATTGGAGAGTGATTGCGTCTTGGTCTTCGTCTCGGACGATCTCTGGACGAATCGTGTACCAGCAATTGTTCATCATCCTGGTCAATATTTCTGATTAGTGGAGAAACAGCAAGGAGACCTAGAAATTCCGAAACAGCAGGGAAGACAGGCAAGAAGAGAGAGACCTACCCCATTATGTTCCATGACGGCTCCCGAGGCTGGGTGTTCTTAAAAACGTTGAAGCAGCGAACTGTGATGCTTTCTGCTCGAACAAGATGGGAGAGGCCAACATCGACGTGCCAATGAAGCCATGTCCAGAACTTCCTACCATGACGAACAGGATAGTCGGGGAACTGCAAAAGAAGTTGACGGTCCGATTAGCACGGTTTGTCACCGTTTTCGTGGCGAATGAGCCTACTCACCTCACGTACGCAGTACAGCCACGTCTTTCCGTTGTCCAAGCTCACTTCCACTCGTTGAACCTCATGACCGCCGCCATCATAGGCGATACCGGAGATGCGATATGCCTGCTTTGATTTGACATCCGCAAGAGAGATCCGCTCTCCTTGCTCGGGCTTGACAATGATCGAATTAAGATTCTGCTCATTGCAGGCCGTACTTGGATGGTGGAACATGGTCTTTGCAAATTCCGAGTCCTTCTCTCGAATGAAGCTGGGCACGACGCGGTTATCCCAAATGTGGTAGTAGCTGTCGTTTTCCTTCTCCGAGACCCAGATTCGACGAAGCCATTTGACACAGCGCCCACCGACAAATCCAGGAATCATCAAGCGCACGGGGTAGCCGTGGTCCGGGGGAAGTCGAGCATCATTCATCTCGTAGGCGAGCATCACGTCATTCTCGGGGTCCATGGCATATGCGAGGGGAATTGACGTTGCGTATTTGCCCTCACTCAACTCATCGGCCCCTTCAAAATGAACCCATCGACGGGTTGCATCTTTTCGAGTGCTCTCATCGTCGATGCCCGCTGCGAGCAGCAAATCACGTAGAAGCGCTCCCTTCCAGAAGGCACAACTAATCGCGCCAGCTCCCCAGCTGAACCCCTTCGATCTTCTGATCATATTGAGCTCTTTTCGGCGATTTCCGTCGCATGCAAGAGCGACCGCGATGTTGATTGCTTGGAAGTTATTTTGCAAATCATCCATTGACAGGATCAGTTTACCATCGGCAACATCGATCTGGTGCGTTTCCCATGAAAGATGCGGCACCGGTCCGTGGTTGCGCACGTAATGCAGTTGATTAGGAGTGATCAAGCCGGCTTTGAACAATGCAGTCAATTCGGGCTCACCATTCAACGGATGCTTGCCGGTCAGCCGAATCAAATGAGGAGATCGTGGAATCCAATTGTCCGGGGTGAATTGATCGGCCTCATCGATGGAAAGGTCCTGGGCGTCGGCTAGTTTGACGGGAGACTTGACGCTTCCATCGTTTTGCTTGATAGTCTGCATCAATTCGCTTTCTGATTGCAAAAGACGGAGAAGGGCTATCTCCTGTGGAGAGTATTTGTCCTCGAGACTTTCGTGTGACTTGTTGCCCGGCGTATCGTCGGAGTTTACGGCATGAGCGTCATGGTGCGTTTCGTTCTCGCCACGATCTCTGCGCCATTCGTGTTCCTTTTTCGGATCCTGGCTTTGACCGGTTTCCTTGGGATTGCCGTTCTCTTTTGCTTTGTCCGGTTCCTCTGCTTCTTTTTTCTTCTTCTCTTCCTCTTCTTGCTGTCGCTTCTTCACGTTGACGGGCCAGTCTTGTTTGTACTTGATAAAGTCTTCTGTGGTTTGCAGAACGTAGCGCCATCCCCGCGGATGATTCTCTGGAAATCTCAAATGATAGTCCTGTAGATACGCATCAGATACGGCCACGTTCCCCATTCAATCCCAGCTTAAGCTGATAGATTTCTATCTCCAACTCCAGGCAAATCATTCACTTACCTCCTGCTTTGCCAGGAATTCGCGCACAGTAACCAACTCATGATCATGAATCTCTCGTCCGAGTTGCTCCGACTCTTTCTTCGCCCAGGCCAGGAACTCGCGGTGCTCTTCTTCATCCCAGCTATCATCTCCCGCGTGGGTGTACCCAAATTGTCGGTCGTGTTGATCTCGGAGCCCAATTCGATTGTGGTTGGCGTTTGCCCAGTCTGGCTCCTTTTGGATCTCATCCTGGGTAGAGCCGCCATGAGTTCGATTGGGGGTGGTGTAGTGTGTTTTTGTGGCCATTGCTGCGTGGTAGTTGGGCTCCTTGGGACTCTTGAGAATTGAATTGATTCAGTCTCTCTCTCTCTCTCTCCGGCCCTGATCGAAGGAGGTAAATTGCTTGATTGCTCACGACGAGCAAGGGAGAAAATGAAAAGCCTGCTGGAAGAACACCCGAAATTTGTTACCTGGACAGAGTCCTTGAGAAATTAGTCGTAGTGAAAGGAGACCAGACCCAACTCCCTTTCAATATCTCCGTCAACTGGACTTTGAGCTGATCAGGATGACGCCCGGAACTTCCACAGTTCATACGCTTTATTTCTCTACTCTTAAGCTCACCAAAGTCTATTAACAATTTCACAGGCATCCAGGCCAAAGCCATCAGGTGGCTGCACTGGATGGAGCTGTCGTGGGGATGGCAGGCTCCAGTGGCTCGGTTCTCGCCAGATCGGGCTCTGTTCAGGTTCATCTTACTGAGGTACTGAGGTGGAACGTGGTTCCAACAATTGGACCTTGTGATCCTATGTTCTGATTGCTCTCCGCAATGACACGTCGATTCTCTATCACGTCCAAGTGTGAAAGTACTAGTATAGCAACAGAGCGGTAAGATACGGTAGGTAGTCTCAGGTCTGTAACTTTGACTCGTGTAGGTTCTTCCGCAAACTACCCTCTGTCGAAGTCTAAACAGCTGCTAATATGCCTCTGATCTGTTTTTTCCCCTTGTACACTGACTGAGCATCACCTTTATTTTTGACGATCAAGGTATGTAGAACCCAGCTTCCACATTCTCCGTCCGTCAAAGTTTCCCTCGACTTGACACACACAAGATCCGGATGCTTCTCCCGAGTCAGTAGTGAGACATCCGCACACCGCATATCAAGGTAAATGGCCCTAGCATCAATCATCATGGCCTACCATCAGACCCCAATCGCCCAGGACGTAAGCTAGTGCCCAATTCGAACTCCCGGCATCCTAAGTGCCGCAAACGCAGACGAGCATTCAGGAGAGTTCCGTGCGGGGTGAAAAACACAGGATCGCGATTCGCGACAAGTGTGGGTAACTGGGTATAGTTGTTGAACGTGCGCTAAAAGACCAAAGTTCCACCATCCTGATGGACCCTGGTTTTTTTTTGGCTTTTGGCGCCTGGCAGCCGGGGGTCCCACCGTCGCGTGTGGAGCCGGTGCGGTTCAATCAAGGAGGAGCTGCTCATCATCTCCGCGGAGCGGAGTTGGTACTGTAGTTCCGCAGGGCTTGAGTGTTCGAGGGTTGATGGACTGGAGGTAGGTAGGTACTACCATTGACCAACACAGGTAAAGTAAGCTTTTGAAAACAAGTTCGGGGTCACAGCTCACCATGTTTGGATAAGGAGTCCTTGGGTAGGCTAGGAAACCGGCTACTGTGACTTAGTAGTGCATATGCTCAACCAACCTTATTGCAAATGAAAGAAAAGTGACGTCAACGTGATTCAGAACGAGGTTCATGAGGTTGTGCTCGGCGAAACAAGGCCATGTGCTGGATGCAGTCAAGTATGACACGAGTGCCAGAATTGTCGAATCACCGCCAGTGTTCGTGGGGAGAGTAACTGTCACGACCTAGTGGAAGACTGGAATCAATCATTGGTGATGCACGGGGGGCTTCTTACACAGGGAGCATGACATGACCATTTGGCTCGTCCAGACATCATCCTAGTAATACTGCTGCACTCTGGATCAAATAACATCAACAGTGAAGCAGTCAGCTCGCCATGCCGCCAAACGCCGGTGAAGTGCGGGACTCCATTGAGAACATTTGGGGCGACCGTACCCCTTACAAACATGAATGGCCGACTCGTTGTGATGCCAGCACCACTGAAACCCCGGACAAATGGGTGCAAAGTGCATGTGTCTTGTGCAGGTAAGAGTCACTCGCCGTCTAGAGAGTGTCTTTCGGATCATTGACCAGAAAACAGCAACGGTTGTGGGCTAGATATTGGAGTTAAAGATGGCCGAGTCATTGGCGTACGGGGACGGGTTAGTGACCGAGTCAACAAGGGCCGACTTGGGCCTAAGGGATTGAATGGGTAAGCTCTCCAGACGAGATTCACATCTTGTAGACAATGGGAAATTGTTGCTCACACCCATTGTCCAAAAAAAAAAAGATGGTCTTCAATCCATCATCCAGATCGCCTAAAAACTCCCTTGATCCGTCGCGAGAATGGCCAACTCGAACCTGCATCCTGGGGCGAAGCCATGTCTTTGATTGCGGAAAAGGCTAAAGCAACTATTGACAAGCTGACTCGCCATGGCATCGGTTTCTACACGTCGGGTCAGCTGTTTCTGGAAGAGTACTATGTTTTGGCCATGATCGGTAAGGCTGGCTTGAACACTTTGCACATGTAAGTCGAAGGCATTTCTTCCCGCAAACCGAGAGACCTGGCATCAACAAAAGACTCACAATAGCTTTTAGGGATGGTAACACAAGGCTTTGCACCGCAACAGCTGCTGCGAGTATGAGAGAGTCATTCGGCAGTGATGGCCAGCCTGGGTCTTACACAGACATCGACTACACCGACTGTCTCTTTCTCGTAGGCCATAATGTAGCAGCCACGCAGACTGTACTGTGGGCGCGCATGCTTGATCGATTGGAGGGCCCCAATCCACCAAAGCTCATTGTCGTGGACCCTCGAGAATCAGAAACGGCAAAACGCGCCACCATCCATCTGAGACCCAAGACTTCAACGAACCTCGCCCTGCTGAATGGTCTCCAGCATCTCCTTTTCAAGAACAACTGGGTCAACATAGAATACGCTACCAAGTATACTGTGGGGGTCAACGAGCTTCGAGAGGTTGTTAAAGGGTACACGCCCGATGTCGTGGAGAAAATCACAGGCGTGCCGGCTCAGCAATTGGAGGCCGCTGCTGAGATACTCGGCAAGACCCCTTCGCTCCTATCAACTGCTCTGCAGGGCGTCTATCAATCGAGCCAGGCGACCCCGAGTGCCTGTCAGATCAACAACATCAATCTTTTGCTTGGCCACATCGGCAAGCCGGGCAGCGGCATCTTGCAAATGAACGGCCAGCCAACGGCCCAAAATAATCGCGAAACAGGATGTGACGGTGAATATCCAGGGTTCCGGAATTTTCAGAACAAACGTCACATGCAAGAGATCGCGGATGCATGGAATATTGACCTGGTCAAGATGCCTCACTGGAACCAGCCCACGCATATCGAGAACATGTTGAAGTTCATCGCCGACGGCTCCATCGGCATGTTCTGGATCTCGGGCACTAACCCCATGGTCAGCCTCCCGAATCTGGCTCGAGTGCGCAAGCTATTCACCAAACCTGAATTGTTCGTGGTCTGTCAAGACATCTTTCCGACCGAAACCACAGCAATTGCCGACGTAGTTTTGCCTGCGGCGCAGTGGGGAGAAAAGACCGGCTGCTTCACCAACGTGGACCGCACCATGCATTTGTCGCACAAGGCCGTTGAACCTCCCGGGGAAGCGCGCGCAGATCTGGATATTTTCCTGGATTTTTCTCGGCGCATGGAGTTCAAAGACAAGCATGGCGGCCCCCTCATTCCGTACAAGACCCCCGAGGAAGTTTTCAACGCGTGGAAGAAGATGTCATATGACCGTCCATGTGACTGCAGTGCCCTAACTTACGACAAGTTGACCGGCGGCTCCGGGATTCAGTGGCCCTGCACCGACAAATATCCCAACGGGAAAGAACGCCTGTTTGACGACGGTAAATTCTTCACCGACATCGACTACTGCGAGGACTTTGGACACGATCTGGAAACGGGAGCGCCTTTGACCAGAAGCCAGTATGAATCGTTGAATCCGGCCGGCCGGGCAATCTTGAAGGCTTGTCATTATCGCCCTCCACTGGAGACAATCAACGATGATTTCCCGCTACGGCTGTCGACTGGACGAAATGTTTTCCATTTCCACACTCGGTCCAAAACCGGTCGATCCAAACGACTTCATCAGGCGTATCCCGAACCGAAGATTACGGTCTCTCCTGCAGATGCGGAAAACTTACAGCTTACAGATGGAGAAATGGTAGTCGTTCGTTCGAGAAGAGGCGCAATCGAGCTGCCAGTCGCTATCGGAGAGATTCATACAGGCGACGTTTTCATTCCATTCCATTTCGGAACCCTCAACGCGGATGACGAGCGATCTCGTGCCGCCAATGAACTGACTCTTGGTACGCTACACTCATTGCAGTTAGAACATAACCATCATTTGCAAAGAATATTTAAAACTAACACCCCAGTAGATGAATGGGACCCTGTCTCGAAGCAACCGCGCTTCAAGACGGGTGCCGTCCGGATTGAGAAGTGTGTCCAAAAAGAGACTGGGGACGAGGTCCAGGCAAAGGAGATGATCAGCCAAGCGGCCAAGCAAGCAGCAAAAAAGGCCAAGCAGGAAGCATCTCAACAAGCCGGTGAGCGCGTCAGAAGGCTTGAAGTTTGGCTGGGAGCCACTCATGAGGGGCTCGAGACTCTGCTGGATATCTACAAAAACCTTCTACCACGGCTGGTCAACGACTCCGAGGTCCACTCTGGAGTGCGGGAGCTGACCACCATCACGACGGAGATGCTGAAAAATATCCGGCCTCTGATCGAAAGGTATGACGAGAGTCGGCGATTCGGCCGGGATCTATGCCACAAGCTACGGGAGGCCATGTTTCCGAAATCGGGAGACCGCCAAGATCCATGTGAAGCTCTCTCTGTGTTACAATCTCTGCAACTCTTTGTCTCGTATGTTGAAGGGCACCTTGTGGCTCTCACCCCGACGAGTCAGGCCCTGTGGGATGATGAGTTCATCAAGGCGGTGGATTTCTGCACCGAGCAGCTTGAGCGCCAGAAAGCGTGGATCAAGCAGCAAGTGAAGGTCAGAGGCCCCCAAACTCTGTTGGTGCCGATAGCATTGCCTTATGAGCTACAGACGGGGAATACTGGATTAGAGGGAAGCCTTCGGGGGTCTCAGTCTGCATAAACGTACAGTAACTCAGATTCATATTTGTGATTCATTGCAATTTGTATCTACGCTATCAACACAAAGATTGTATAGTTTCGGACATGCATTCCATGGCTCAATTTAAAATCATACCAATTTCCATAAACATGGTTTACTCCATTATTGAATATCTCGAAAGCGCTCTGACCAGTAGATCAAACGTCCCTGTTGCCATGACGTAAGTTCCGTGCTTTTCCCTGTAAATCTGACTCGTAGCTTAAATGCCAGGATCCCAGTTCCAATAGTCTCGCCCTTCGCTATGAATGGTTCACGCATATCCCACGATCCGAAGCAAGCCCATCACAAATCTCACCTGCAAATGTTCGAACCATAAGAAAACAACAACCATGACCACCATTCAACCCCTCCTCCTAGCAGGAGGCCATTCCTCCCGAATGGGCCAACGAAAGGAACTTCTCGTCCTCCCCGACAAAACCCCCCTTTTCATCCGCATGATCACACTCCTTCATGAAAGCCTTCCCCAGTCAGAGCAAATATACATCTCTCTTCGGGACCGCCAAAGACTTCACGAGCTACGCCAATGTAGTCCAGCATTGGTCAGGCAAATCACACCCGATACTCTCCATATACTCCCAGCATCGCTGGCTAAGGCCGGGGAGCCTGGGATTCCTATCGCTGTTCGGATACTTTTTGATGAAGACCTTGCGAATCAGCCTGGAGGCACGGAAGAAATTGGACCTGCTAAAGGCCTGCTGAGAGCACGGCAGGAAGGTCCCGATAGTTCATGGCTCGTTGTCGCGTGTGATTATCCGCTTCTCTGTCGAGATGCACTTGATCAATTGTTGCAACAACATGAAAAACAACAACAGCCTGCTGCGCATGGACACGAAAAAGCGACTGTGTTTCGGAATGCAGATGGCTTTGCAGAGCCGTTGCTGGGCATTTGGACCCCGGGGGCTCTGGAAGACCTTTCCAGGGCCGTTGCCAAGGGTATTACGGGACCGAGTTATGTGGTCCGGCATTCTGGAAGTACTTTGATACGACCACGCTGTGAGAAGTGGTTGGTGAATGTGAATACACCTGAAGAGTGGGAAGATGTGACGCGAGAGTTGGAAACGTCGGTTGAGGGACAGTCGTGAAAGATGTAGTCATATAATGGTTGTAGGCTCATTACGATCCTGGATAAACATCAACAACATCCCCCCGGCATACCTCCTGTTGACTAGTGTGAAAATGTATCCAGCAATTGCCTCTCAGGAACGGACTGACTTTCCCAGGACTATGATCAGCAATCAGCGTCACCTCCGCTCTCCCTTGCGAGTCATGAGTGAGAATTCCGGGACGAAAGACGTCTTTATCGATTGGAAGGGCGGTGACTATGTGTGATGCCTGCTCTGTATTCTCCTTGTCGGTGCGTGTCAGAGAAGCCTTGAGAGGAGTGTCCACCGCCTCCGAGCCCAGGAAGCGAATAAAAGGCATGACCAGAAAGCGAAGACAAGCCGCGCTTGCGACTGGATTTCCGGGGAGACCAAAGAAGGGTGTCGATCGCTTTTCCCCCGTCATTGAAGGAACGAGCGCCGCCAGGGCCGGATGACCCGGTCGTATGTTCAATTTGTGAAAGAGGATCTTCGCGTGCAGGGCTTCCAGAGCAGTAGGAATCAGATCAAACCGACCTGCCGATACGGCACCGGTTGAAATCACGAGGTCCAAGCTACTGGAAATCACATCTTGGGTGATCCGGTCTGTAATCGTATCTGCATGATCGTCGAGAATGCCTAGGAAACGAACATCCGCGTCGATGCCATCGCTCAACGCCGCGACAAGATAAGGGCCATTGACATCTTGAATTTGAAGTTTGTTCTGTTGATCATCATTCTCCCTCGATCGTGAAAGTAACTCTGACCCGGTAGAATAGAGCCCAATCTGCAACCTTTTTTGCACCCAGATCTGATGGATACCGACCGAGGCCAGAGCCATCACATGACGAGGTCGAATGCGCTCTCCAGCGCTGATGATGACTTGATCCTGCCGAAAATCATGGCCTGCCAGTCGGCGATTCTGCTGAGACACCACGGGCTTTGTCACTTTGATCCAGTGCTGACCAGTGACTTGGTCCTGTATCTTGTGGACATCCTCAAACTTGACGCAGGCGTCTAGTTCTACCCCGACGGTGGTGTGTGGATCAGGAAAGCGCGCCCCCGTCATGATTTCCACACAAAAGGGAGACCGAGGACCAGGCAAGGGATCGGTGAGGATCGGTTGTTTTCCAGCTGCGATCAAGCCTACCACTGGTATCATGATTGGATTTTGTGGCGATGCCAGCTTGGTGACCTGGGAACACACGGCGTATCCATCCATGGCCGAGGTGTCCCATAGCGGTGTTGAATGGGCTGCGCATAGCGTGTTACTGCTGATCCGATTGACAGCCAGATTTAAGGGGATCTGTTCTTTTCTGTCGGCCTTGTGAAGTTGTGCCTGACTGCGCAGGAGGTCGATTGCCTCGGAGTAGGATAAAGTCATGGCTGTTGCATCTAAAATTGGGGGTTGTCCTTTTTAATTGGGTTGCCCACGGTTGTGAGTGTAATAGAGAGATCAGCAATTGAGTTGTCTTTCCAATGGCGGGCGAAGCAAAAGGACCAGAGCCCGGCGATCATGATGGGAGTGGTTATTTATGTCCATGCACGCTGAACCAGGGCATGTCCCAAAACAAGTGTCGAGGCGAAAGTTGGTTAAAGTTGGCGGGCAGCGGGTGCCCCACGAGTCCACCGTCTGAGTCCGAAGGGCCGGTTGGGCCCAAGCGGAGAGACTGGAGAACCCTCCATGGCGTCACCTTGCACTGTACGGAGAATGAAGAATAAAAAAGGATGCGACGGATAGATCAGAGAGCCATTCTCCAGTAATGACCTGACCGGGGGGTAACGGTAAATTAGTCCCCTAGGGTGAGGTAGCTGGAAAGATCGAAAACGACGAATAAGATGTATCACTTTGTCGAGGTGTATACAGTAAACCACCTCACATAGTCTTTGAAAGGTCTGGAGAACGAACTTGCATATTGTACGTAGAACGTACGTACGGCAACTCAGGTTTCATATTTCTTGGAGAGATTCCTCAGGTATTGTACTTCTTACTGGACAAATCGAATTTGACTGCTTTTCACAACATGCAGCACCAAAGCAGAAGCAACACTTTCAATTCCTCTGGTAGGTGCCTCACTCCTCAAGACCACACCTCGTAGGCTCCTACTAGCCCATCGATCGGGATCCCGAAAATCCATCCATTCCACATCACAGATCAACTCAGATCTGAAAATCAGGTCGCTGCTCCAGCAAACTCAACAAAGGCAGGAACAGCTGCTCGCCAGAGAACTCAGAGCCAGCGCTGAGTTGTTGTTGCCCCATGGATCGCAGGTCTTCCCACGAGCACCACTCCCATGCTGAGCACTTTTCCGGCTCCACGATCTGGTGAAGAACGAATTAGCGGGAATTGTATTTCACCGAATCTGTATCCTAAAGCATGCTTTTTCTACCAAGATTGCAAACACATACCCAAGGTTCGCCTTGATCATCCTCCACTTTCGCGCCCATAAAGATAGTCACGTAGTGCTTGTTCTCCGCCACAAAGACCGAGTTTGTGGCCGTCAAATAACGAATATCTCGAATCTTTAATCCCGTCTCTTCGAGAATTTCCCGCTCGGCGCACGTCTCCCAGGACTCGCCAAATTCGAGATGTCCGCCTGGAAGCGCCCAGGTATCTGTAGCGGGAAGGTATGAGAATCGAGTATTAAGAACACGAACTGACTTGTGCTGATTTTTGGGGGGGGGGGGGAGAGTGGACGATGGGATGGGTCAATTGTAATCTCACCGGCACCGTGGCTTCCTTTGCGCTTGCCCAAGATGAATTTACCCTCGGCGTTGAGGACGAAGACGCCCACACCGATTCTGGGGTCTGGATTTGTGGTGGTCATGATGGACAGTCTCCCTGGATCGTCGGGACTATTTTTCGGATGTCCCTGTCGATCCTTGTAAAATGCTATCGACTGTGCTGATGGATTCGATGTGCAAGTTTTTGGTGGTAATGCAAATGCAAATGCAATGGATAAGCGCCGCGATCTGGTGGGGCGAGTAAGCGGGGTTACCTAGTATGACTGGTGTTGTCGGGGCAAACAGAACGTGCAAAGGTCAATGAGATAACAACAATCATGTCGATCAGATAGTTTACAGTAGTTGGACATGCTCTTTATAGTTTCAAGTCAAAAAGCTCCGCTCCGTAGTGGGAGGTAGTGAGGTAAGGAACTCCTCTCTGGAACCGGGTGGCGGTGCACGCGACACAAATGCCTTCACTGCCTCAGCCTCCCCTACAGCTTACATCAAGACTAGTTCCGAAGACTTTGTACTTGTCTGCCCGATCAACAGTATGGATATCAGCCTCGCGATGTCAGAGCGCATGCAGAGCTCCGCCCGTTTCCGCCTCGTCTAAATCTCGGCGATGATTTACCGAGCTCGATAGAGTAGCGCGTATAGAGCTTTCGAAACAGACACTCTCCCCTGGTGATTGAGCAGTATATGAGCACCGTCAACGTTAGATGGAGCAACAGCAGTCAGATACGGTGTAGGTCATGTATTCATCTTCCCTTGTTCAGGTCAAGGAGTAGGGAGGTTGGAAGGTATAGTCGCTGTACTAAGATGAGTGGATATTTCGCCTATAGGGCACCCAACGAGGCATGAATCCTGATCAACCCTTTATAGGTACTCTCGATCCATAACCAGATGGCTCATAATAAGGGGACGGTTCACTCTGCACCGTACGTCCAGTCAAACATGATGATCGCGATCGCAGCCACCTGTGTCTAGTCAGTGTACTGGGAATGATCTCTGCGAAGTGACAATCGGGCCTCTCCTAAGTTCTCATAATCGCATAAGGTAAGGTCAAAAGTCACTCACCAACGAAGTGTCCACACCCGGCACGACCGTCAAATCCATCGCCGGCCTCAGACTCCTTCGCCTGGATTGCGGCATCAACGCCAACGTCTCATTATGGTGAATACTCTCGTTGACAGCCGCGACCCTCCGATCCCCATCAATCACATCATACCGCGCCATAATCTGCCCATTCGAACTGACCAGCAGACTCATTGTCGCCTCCTCCTCACGTTTATTCTGCACCGCCGCCCGATTCCGAAACGAAAACACCATCGACTTCTGACCCCCCGCCCACCGCGGCTGGCCCTCTGCAATCTTCATATCCGCGCCTCCGCCGGGCATGGTGATGAACCACGACAACGGTCGACCCAGCATCGTCTTGGTGTGCAGCTCGAACAGCGGCAGACCCGAGGCGTCGTGGAATTCTCGACACACGCGGTCGCCAGCTTTGCGACCGGCAATGGTGTAGACGGGTTGGTGGTCCTCGGTGGTGATGATGTAGGCGGCATTCGAGGCGGCGTTGCCGTTGGGACGCAGGACGAGGGTGGTTTTGGTGGTTGCGATGGATTCGGGTCGGAGGGCGATTTCACGGATGGGGGCGCGCATGGAGGCGCGGGGCTTGTGTTTGGAGGCTCTGAAGTGTCGCGACATACGCGCATCGGCGTAGGATGTATAGGACATGGTGAGTAGATAGACTATACACTCAACAGTGTACACTGTACACTGTACGGTGGGTAAGGCGGCGGCGGCGGCGGCTATCTCGTGTGGAACAATGAGTATGGTTGTGGCCGATACAGGGCATGTATAGAGTCTTATACTGGACCTTGAGCAGCTCTGGTCAGTGGTGGTGATCGTGGTCCGGAAGATCCGACAGAGTCCTCAGGTATGGGGAGAGATGAAGGATCCAAAAGTGGCGCAAAGTCCACTCTCCAGCACGATATCCTGATCGCAAAGCCCGAGAGGATGGGGAGAGGGGGTGATGAGGTATTTCCAAGCAAGTCGACCCTCGTCAGCTCGTTTCCAGCCGACCCAGTGCAGGGAGCAGTCGACCCCCGGTGGACATGCACTGGAGCTTTCCTTCCCATCCAACTGACTGGGTCCGATGAAATCCAATCTGATTCGTGCCCTCTCGGGAATTCTGGATCGGACTCGGATCGACGGATGTGAAGAGGCTGATTTGGGCGGCACTCCAGTACAGTACGGTGACTACGGCCATTGCATCCTGTACTGAACGATGCTGGGCAGTGGGCACTGGGCAGTGGGCACTGGAACTCCTACCAACTTGGCAACGGAGCTTGTCTTCGGTCTTCCAGAAGGAATCTTGTCTCTTGCAGGGGCGCTAGCTCTTGTTGTAGCGTCAATGTTTGGCCCCCGGGCGCAGGAGATGGCCCCCTGCGATTCAACCGGTGCCGGAGGACATGAGACTGGCTGTGGTGGAGAGAAAGGGCAGAGAACGGGGGAAGCTCAACCTCGGCATGACGTGCTAGACACGAAGGCAGATTGGAGGCGGTCATTTTGTATGTATTTGGGATTTACATACCTACTCCGAGTATGACAGATCAAGATCCAGATCATGATCTGAACTGTAAAGCAGGACGTACTGCCGTTGCATACCTTCAATACCACAAGGGAGCTCAACCAGACAAAGGCCGTACATCTGATGCAGTGCATTTGGTTCTCCAATTAGCTCGGGCATGAGTCAACCCCATCGGGTTGACTCCAGCTGTCACCTGCAAGTTGCAATCCTCAAAGCGCCAAGACCCACCGGGGCGCGCGGCCGGTGCTAATCATTGAGTCAGGGTGATCCCTCGACATGACAAAGCCTCACTCCACAATCCCCCGTCCACGCTATACTATAATACTAGTGCAGGACTGACTCGGGTCTCGATGAGCCTAGTCGTTGACTGCCGAACCGGAGTGGAATTGTTTCTTCCATCTCAGGGAAGTCGTCATCTACCTGAACGTTGTCGCTAATCTGACAACTGTTCAAAGCGTTCAAGTTCCATTTGATTGGAACTAACTGATCCCCTTTAGGAAGCGCTCACACTTCAGTCTGCTCAAGTGCGGGACTCACGTTGGATGCTTTAAGATAGGTCGGAGCCCCAAGGAGTAAGAATCCTCCGTTCCTGCAGAGCTTGTATAGCTAGGGGAGATTACGCGAGTTGGTTCTTTGGAGTCCGATTCTGACAAGCTTGGATAGAAGTTGCTGTGAGGACCTGGGTCGTCCTCTCTTCTCTGTTATTCAAAGATCAATGTCTTGCCCGTGGACTGTTTGGCCGCCAATCTTGACAACGCTGCCCTTGATCCTCACTTCAAGCTTTGAACCTATACCCCACCACCCCTGGTGTGCATTCGGCCGAGGTTTGGCGACAATGAAGCCTTCCGGATATGAAGAGTCTTGCGCTTCAGTCGTGCCGTGGTACAAGCCTTGAAGCCACATACAATTCCGGAATCCTTATTGCTCTCTGCATCCACTTTCATTCTGTATATTTCGGGACCTCTGTGCGCACGTGGAAGCCACAAGGTGACTGATTGTGAGGGTTCCCCGAGCCCGCCAAGTACAGCACCTCCAGCAGTAGTAGTATGACTCCAACTTTATCCACCGGTACCCGTCAAAGTTTCAAAAGTCCACGATTGTTGACGGTTGACCCGTCCCTAGGATTTTTTCCCCTTCTCGTTGACTCCCTGCGTCGACTCTTTGTTTTGGTAGCCGACTGTGGTTCAAACCCTCCTCCAAGAGGTATGGCTCAAGGAAGCGAATCGTCTGCTGTCCTGGAGACGGCGCGTCTCCGACTCGAACCAATTGATCTGGCTCACTTGGAGGGGTTCCATCGGATTTGGTCCGATCCCAATACCACACAATGGAGGTTAGTTGTGTGCAAAGACCTCGGGATTTTCAAGACGTTCGGGAGACCACCTGGGATGAATCTGCATACTGCTCCATCCGGTATCTTGGAGTCATGATCAGACAAGCAAGCCCATGGAGGCTCCTTGGAAGCCCCAATGGATTTTCTACCCTTCCAATTCAATACCCCACAACCCGACTTCACTTACCAACCTATACTCTGCCGCATTGTAGTTCCAAAGGCGTCTCTCCATCCCTCGAGGAAACCAAACTGCGCATCAGTCGCATCCTGCCTGATCCCACTCAACCTGGAATCGTCAATTACGGAGTGTTTATCCGCCAACCCCAACCTTCACTCCAAACCACTCCAGTTCCAACTCCGTCCCCATCACCGATTCCCACCGCCAACGCCAACTCTACGACCACCCTCTCCTCCTCCTCCTCCTCCTCCTCCTCCTCCTCCTCCTCCTCCTCCCCCGTCTTCGGCATCGTCGGCATCCACAAAGACGACCCCGTCCCCGAAATAGGCTACCTCTTCCATCCCTCTGTCTGGGGTCGAGGCTACGCCACGGAAGCGGTATCGGCCGTGGTGAGCCGGTATTTCCACCTGCGACCCGAGGCGGCCTGCATCGAGGCGAGAGTGGATTCGACGAATGGGCCGTCGATCCGGGTGTTGAGGAAGTGCGGCTTTGAGGAGATTGAGACGTTGGTGGGTGGGGCGGTTGCGGCATGGATGGAGCCGCAGGTTCGGGATTTGGTGGTTTTGCGGGTGGGGAGGGAAAGGAAGGCTGTTGATGAGAGGGTGAAGGTGTGAAAAGTGAGTTGAGCTTGTCTGTTGCTGTGTTGATCCGGGGATGTGGATATGCAGGGAGATAGATAGAGAGGACTCTGGAAAGGACTTGTTGATGCATGGAGTTTGGGGGGGCAACGTGAAACTGGAGTAGGTGGTATCACCCGTTATGATGATGATCATGATGATCACATGGATGAAGTCGTGGAGATGGGCGCATAACATTATAAAGGGTGTACATTGATGTGGTTACATGTGCCAGGTGTAATATACAAGCGCAGTCGAAAAGGACAAACCACATCACAATTGAAGTAGACGGTTCATATCACGCCGCATCAAATACGAATGGGTTTCTCATATCTTCCTGCAGCCCAGGTTTCTCAGAGGGGTTCAGATATACCCAGCGAAATATCGCAAAAAGCACTTTCATAGACCTCAGAGATACTCCGTGGTCACCACCTTACAAAGCAAGAGCCAGACCCAAGATACCAGCAGCTCCCATGATACCCACAGCCACAGTCCCCGTCGCAATGGGAGCACCACCAGTCGAAGTCGCCGAAGCGGCGGCCGCGGACGAGGCAGACGAAGCGGCGGCCGCTGCCGCAGTCGATGCAGCACTCACAGCCGAACTGGCCGCGGAAGCAAAGCTGCTGGCTGCAGCGGACGCACCAGACTCCGCGGCCGAGACGGCAGTCGCCATGCCGGTGACGGCAGTCGAAGCGTCCGAGGCCCAGGCCGCGGCGGTAGCAGTAGCGGCGGAGTAATCACCTATCAGACCGTTGCCGGCAGAGGTGGCCCAGGCCTTGACGTTGTTGGGCAGGGAGTTGTACCAGGCGGGGAAGGTGCCGGCGGCGATCTCGGACATGATGGAGTCGCGGGAGGCGGAGTTCATCATCTCCTGGTACCAGGAAGTCGGGATGGCGGTCTCGAGGACGGTGAGGATGGAGCTGGGGACGGAGTCGAGCAGAGCGGCCGCGTCGGGCATGTCGTTGCCGGACTGGGGGGCAGCCAGTGCGGTGGCGGAGAAGAGGAGCGCGGCGAGGAATTTGGACTGCATTTTGGGATAGGCGTAGCAGGCGTGTGGAAGATAGATGAAGTGATTGTTAAAGAGGGATATAGTTGGAAGATGGGAAGTTGGAAATGAATGTGTTGACTACAGAGGCCAGAAAGAGAGTGTGTGACTGTGTGAGTATATGTACGAGCGAGAGGAAGAGAGAGGAAGAAGAAGAAGAAGAAGAAGAAGAGAAAGATGGAGAGGGAGGGGGTGGAAGAAAGGAAGTGGGTAAGGTACTACTGATCAAAGAGGATGATCAAAAAAAAGACGATACGAGAACTCCGACGAAACGCAAATGATAAGACTGGCCAGTGGCCAAGAAAGTCGTCAGTAATGTACCATCAAGTTTTTGCTACAAATCACAAAAGAAAATAATCGAAGCACGACGAGTGGAGGGTCTCGTCTGTTCTGGCACATCGTGGCGGTTTGAGACCTGCAGAGTAGACTTGCCCGATTGGGTAAACGAGGGTCTTTGATCTCCAAGGAGGAGTGAATCAGAAGACTCGCAGGGTCGGCACTTCGGAGGTTGCCCCTGACTGTGACTTTAGGCGGCCCTGGAATTGGATGGTACTGTGAGAGTGCGACTGTAAGTGTACAGTGTACAGTGGTACACTCAGTGCGCTTAGTACTACACTGTGGTAAGTACCCACCAGCCCCAAAACGGTCTAGACCCGAGCGACTCGAGACTTGGCTGCATCACATGAGAAGCTTGAGGTGAATTGAGTAGAACTGCTTAGTGCTGACTGTCCGTACTTTTGTCCTGAAGATTGCCATCAGACGGGACGAGAAGATATTTTACTCGGCGTCTCAGTGGGCAGTACTCAGTACTCACTACTCACTACAGCATTGACTGTTTTCATGAAATGATCTCTGCCAAGCATCACACGCTGATCCCTCGTGTTTGTTGACACCACTATTTTGATTTTGATTTTTTGTACAGTGGGAAAGAGTGGTTCCCTCCACAGCCTCATTTCCCGGAGTCGAACGATAAACCAACCTGCGACATCCCGTTCAGGCAAACGATTCGAGGACGGCGGCAAAGTCTATTCCGCCGTCCGCAGTCCAGAGTCCACAGTCCACCCGGACCAAAATGTGGGAACCTGAAAGAGGCAATCAGTTCCAGACACTGACAGAAACACACGAAACACAATCAGTCCTTCCACGGGTTTGCCTCATTTGCTCTTGTGAGTCGCTTGTTCCCGCCACAGGGAATTACCATGGTGGGTCACTGGGTATGCCATTGCCCTGTGATCCCCAAATCTCACATTAGACTGCGATACTCCCTCATCAGACCTCAGTCTCACAGGACCTGACTCGCGTATGATCCCAGCCATAAGCACTAGAGGTTTCATTCCCCCAAAAACAAGAAAAAAAAAACCAGATAAATCATGGCTCGACGGGCGGTTCTAAATCCACTCTTCTTCCCATACTTGTGGACACCCAACAGTGACCCGACCTGACAATCCAAGCTGCACGGCTGGGGTCATCTTCGAAGATAAGGAAGAGAGGAAGAAAGTAAATCCACACGATGGATTGGATATGATGGCTTGATCGTGATCATTTTTTCCCCCTTATAGTGGCCCTGATAAGACTTGAGTGTGGCTGGCCGTTGAATTCAAAGCCTCCACCATGTTTACTCTGAAGCGGCAGATCGAAAGACACCTTAGTCCAGCAGAGGTATCAGGTAAATAGGCATTAGGCAGTGAGGCACAAGAAGTGCTACGTTCCGAGGTACCAAACCACCATCTTCCCCAGCAACACCTGTCAACCTCAATCAATTGAAGTTTTCAAGTACCGTCTGACTCTTCGCGTCTGATACGAAACTTCCAGACAATCCCGTGATTCCGTTCAACACCCAGTAACCAAGTACCTCAGATCGGCACCTATGTAGGTAGATAGGTACTAGTCAAACTGATCTGATGGCTCGAATAGGATCAGACCCAGACGATCAGAGTCCTCCCGCGGGACAGTCGACATGGCAAATGATCCCTGTCTCCGGTTCATCGTCTGTTCCTCGAATCTCAAGAGCAAAGCATGTGAACGGCGGTCTGTATACTCTGAGCTTGCGATGGAAAACTCTGAACTTACTCCTGACAAGTACTTGGTGGTGTTGTGCGGCTCAGCAAAGTACATCCAGCGTCAGGTGGATACAGCTCGAGGTCTAGGTGTAAGCTCTCGATGCCGGCCGCATCGTTGCCATGGGAAGTTTCGGGGTGGGCAAGGATTAGACAATGACTGAGACTGTAGAATTGTAGATAGCTCGAGAGTATGAGAAGATTTGTTGCTGACAGCGGATAGTATGGATCATTATTTAGAGTGGCATGACTCAAGGACATGCTTCGCAGGAGCTCTACCTTGCACGTGATGATGCATGGATAATCGAGTCTCATTTCGCCCGGACTGATTCCGGTGTAAGAAACATCAACATGGCATGGGATCGGATTTTTGTTTCCTCACATCGATGTACTCCCGGTTTGCTTGGTTCACTGGAATCCGTCTATCGTCGTCTTGAGCTGGCACAAACAGACATCTAAGCCCTCTTCCTACTCAAAATGGAGGGAAAAGATGAGGTAGAGAAGTGATCTCTTTTCACATGTTCATGTCTAACAAATACGTAAAACTGCATGACAAGGATGATCGAGACTCCAGCATCACTCCAAGGTCGAAGGAATGTCACTCGCAGAACAGTTCTCCCTCAAGTAGTCTCCCGACTCCGGTCATCACAGTTCATACGACCCATCCCGGCCGTCTCCATCCGACCAGCGCCAAGCTCCTCAGCGCTCTCGATACCACAGCTCTTGCGGATGACCCAAACATTCTCCAACCGTAACAGCTAGACTCCCAAAGAAGAAGCATTAGCAAGCATATCCCAGCAACTTGAACGAATCCCAATCGCCACTCGATATATCACACTCCTCCTCGGCATTAAAATCTCACCTTTCAACCCTCTCTTCTCAACCTCCTCAATCATCTTCTCCACCAAGCTCTCCGCTGTATATCGCTGCGTCTCATGCGCAAGGGAAATACTACCGCCTTGCTCGAGACCCTCACGGAACATCTCCGCACTGCGCTCGGTCCGATCAGGTGAATTATTCGCCTTGTCATCGGTCAAGATACTTGCCCCGATGACATGGTACTGCAGGTCTGCGAGAGCGGAAAGGACGAGCTCGTTGACGTGCATCCAGGGCGTGCGAGTATATGTCGGGACAAAGCCCAGAATGTCCGAGAAGGCTTTTTCCAGGGCGTACATCTCCTTGAGGATGGTTTGGTAGGGGACGGTTGTCAGGTTATAGTGGCTCCATCTGTGTGAGTTTCAGTCAGTACGGTGATGGAGGTGGAAGACGCACGCTCAGACAGTGAGAAACAGGACATCGAACACACGAGACAGGCCTAATGTGGAAATTTCTTGCAAGGAGAGGGGGCAACAGTACGAGTGAGAACCAATCTGATGTCCTTCTGATAGAGTCCGATTGACGACATGCGAAAAGTCGTAGATGTTTCCTTCCCAATCGCCGCAGAGGAAGAACGTCGCACTCATTCCGGCATCCGCGAGCAGATCGAGGACGTGCTCCGTGTAAATGTACGGACCATCGTCGAATGCGAAAGCGATCGTTCCTGGAACGGTACAGCGATCAATGACTTGGCCATAGGGTAGCTGGGGTTCATCTCGACTTAGAAGGGTTGACGACGTAAGAATGGATTGGGGCGATGGTGCAGTTGGAAGAACCGGAGTAGCCGAGGAACGAGTGACGATCGAGAGGACGGCGAGGCATGAAGCGAGGTGATACATGATGAAGGACTGCTCAAGAAGTACGAATAGTCTGATTTCAACGATTGGATGCTTGAACGAAAGGTAGAGAGCCCGGATGGATGGTTGGTGTCAAAACACTACTGTAGAATGTAGATGTGGTTCTCGCTACCTATAGTAGTAGGGCTTGGCCACCAACAGCAACCGACGTAAGGAAAGGACGGCCTCGTGCTCGACAGGAAAGAAGGGCCCATCTAAATCCGTTTCCGTTCTTGGGATAATTTGGAAACATTTGTGAATGAGACATTATCATGATCAATTAGCAATCCCATCAATGGTTCACGGGTTTATCAGAAACACATAGCCACCGTCACTCTTCGAATAAATAGTATAAAATACACACGCAGTAGCGTAAAGGCATGAAAGGTCAATACATCTTTCTCGCCTATTCTCACCCTTCGTCCGACCGCGTGGAGGAAAATAAGAAGCGTGCTGGAAAGTCTCCCGACAACCTTCGACCTCATCTTTCACTCCCTGTGTCACCTGAAACCACCAGCACTCCGTTCGAGCTCGTCATGACTCGACTTTAACCCTTGCGGGTGTGCTTCTTCATAGACTTGCGTTGCTCCTTCTGAGACTCCCGATCAAGATATTTGCGCTGCTCCTCGGCAGTCATGCCGCGGAGCAAACGCTCACGCTCCTCCTTCTTGATCTTCTCGGCAGCGAGTTTACGCTCTTCAGCCTTTTCTTCCTCTTCGACGCGGCGGATCTTCTTGATCTCCTCCTCGCGAACGTTGCGGATCTTACGCATCACCTCAGGACGCCAGTGAGCGACGGTGACCAGCTTATCGGCGAAGCGCAGGAACTGGTTGAAGATAGGGAGAGTCGATGAGTAATCAGACGTAAGGTTGACGGACAGCTGGATGCGCTTCTTGGGGACAGTCTCATTGATCCTGCGTGGGAAGATGCGTTAGTATTCTTAACAATGCCAAAAATGAGGCGACATGGGAAGATTCCTTACTTGAGAGGCTTGTCGATAGGTTGATCAGTCGCAATCAGGAACTCAAAGTTGTTGCCAGCCTGTTCAATGGCTTGGATCAACTCCGGGGTGAGCAGTGCTTCGGTGATTTCGGCGCTCTCGGTCATGACGGTGACCCAAGAGGGAAGCTTGGGATGATCCTTGGAGAAGGTGATGGAAGCATCATAGCGATCGGTACGGAACTTGCGCATGTGGCTCTTGTGAACCACAGCCCAGATAAAGCCATCGTACTGCGAGTTGGAGACCTTGACCGACGAGGTATCCTTTCCGAGAACGGGCACCAGATCCTTCTCTTTGCCATCGAAAGGATACATGAGCGCCTCGTACTTTTCAGCGGGGGCCTCCCAGCTCTCGAAGAAGAAGCTGAACACATATTCCATGATGTATGTAATGGGATTATAGCGCTTGGGCATCGTCAGGGCCACATCCAAGAATGCCACGTTTTGACGGCCTGTTGCGTAGGCGGCGAATTCATGACCAGACTTTTCCTTGAGCTGCTTCTCCGGGTTGGACAGCTCCACGGTGATCTCGCCAGGTGCTGAATGGGGAATACCATTGAAGCCAACGACAGCGAATTCCTTCTGCAAGATGGGAATATGGGCCTTGGCCCAATCGCGAGCGCGACGGCGGTTGGCGCGAGTTCCCCACAGATGGAAAAGCACGACGAGCAGGATGAAGGGCATAATCAGCGCCTCCTGCATGAAGTCGCTTGGCGAGGTGCGCTCCCAGATGCGATACCATTTCGTGTATGGCGCGGCACCCTGCGTATTTACAGCCGGAAGTGTCGTCGTGTCGGCGACAAGCGACACGGGAGATGGGTTTGGAGCTTCGACAAAGTCGGCGAAATCTGGTTGGGGAAAAGAGAGAAGAGGAAGATCGTCAGCTGGGGGAACTGATCGACAGGTGGCCTGAAAAGCCTCCATTGGCAGACGACGTCCGAGATTTACGGGCGCTTACCATCATCAGCATTGGCACTGCCCGACTGCTGGGAGCCAAACACATTCTTGAACACACCCGCCATGGTTGGAGTTGACACCAGACGAAGACGAGGTGGAAGGGAAAGGAGGTGGGAAGGAACGGAGTGCGGAGCTGGAAGCTGGGCGTGCGGTTAGCGGCCCCCACGATTTTTCCGGGGGGGGCAGGCAGTTTTAAGCGGCCGTTGGCGAATTGGCGAACCGTGGACCGGAGATGGTCAGATAGCTTGAGCACGGGACCAGGCTTCCTACAACTGATTCATGCACGAGAGATATTGGACCCGGTATTTCGCCTGCAACAAACAAGACTTTATTTAAGCTTGAATTACACAGCTCCCCAGGAAGCAAAAGATGAATGATGACTGCAGTTCCAAATTCAATGTCCGTAAATAATCCAACCTTTGCCCCCGAATCCAGGACTGTACCAAAGCCCACAGTGGTATCCCGCGAGAACGCAAGCAAAAAAGAGTAGGTAGGCAGGAAGAGAAACCGACAACGCCATGTAGAAGAGGACAGGCATGAAAATCCAAGAGGGACGCCCACGCATTTTGGTACAATTGATGTTGTACATTTCCGCTGAAAATAACCAGGAAGAAAAAAGACAGAAAAAGAAAACAAAGTCGGGGATGGTACAGGCTGAATGGAGAAGAGCTCATGTCGGACATTAAGTAAAGGCTCAAGGCTTGCTCAAGCTTTAAAAAACCAATTCAAAAAGAGGAGATCATGAGGAAGAGAGGCGATGGCTTCGATATCGCAATTTAATGGCCATATGCAGGAGGAGGAGAATCGTCCTGGGAACGGGCCCAGAAGTTACTGCAGGCATTGCCCGTCATGAGCTTTTCTTCGCGCATCCGGCGGGCGATCTCGCCAGCGAGACGTTCAACCAGAAATTGGTCCACAGAGGCTCCAGCTGGCTTCTCTTCCTGATTCAAGGAGAGCATGGCAGAGGGCAACGGTGGCCGGGCTGCAGCCGACGAGGGCCCCGCATGGGCCTTTTCAGTGAATTGACCCACGACATCCCCAACCCCACGAGGAGTGGCCTCTGCATCCTTGGCCTTGAGAGGACGAATGGTTTCCACAGAATAAGAAGGGTCTTCCTTTCGGGCAGTCACAGTGCTGCGACGTGGAGCTGGTCGTGAAATGCTTGATCGGTGTCGCTCGGGGATCATAGGCAGATGAGAGTCGGTCTCCGGTGATAGAGGGGGAGTAACGGGATCATCCGACTGCTCATTCACCATGGGCAGAGGCGCCGAGTAGATTGATGGTGGACCGGTGGATTCAGTCATGGTACCGTCGTCGCTAACGCTCATGGCGTCGTCTGTTGTCTTGGGTCGACGTAGGTCGACCACACGCTTCTTTCGCTTCCGAGCATGAACCTTGGAGTGGCGACCTGTTCCCAAATTGAGTCCGTAGCTACTGAATGAGTGAGTGGATGACAACGTGGGACGAGTCTGTGAAGAGGCGATGCTCGCGGTCTCGTGAATGGACGAGGTCGCGCTGCCAACCTGCGAATGTATGCGAGATAGCGTGGGGCTGCGGAGAGACGCGATACTCGGAGCGGCCTCGGTCGGGTCGACCGGTGCCGTCCAGGCACGGTAAACAACCTCCTGGATGGAAGGTGTGAACAGGGAGAGAGTGCGCTGCGAATCGGTCAAGGCGGCGAGGCGAAGGAGGTTCTTCTGCGAGAACAAATGGTGCGTTTCGACCGAGGAATCAAGCGATAATGATGCGATTTCAGATTCGTTGAGCGCGTGACCCCTGGCGTCGACGGGGTCTTGGGGTGGGCTAGCCAGAGGATCCTGACCAGGACCTTCATTCGCGGAGTCTGACTTTGCCGTTTCGGCATTGGTCTCCTCCCCAGTGCGGTACTCTGGAACCCACAGGCGCAGAGAGAGACGGTGAATGATCGCGGGCAATTCATCCATGAACAGGATGCGGAGTTGCGCTTCGATTTCTTTTTGAAGGAAGTCGCGCACGAACGGTATTGAGTCGAAAGTTGACGAGACCTTGAGGGATTCAAGCGGATCATTACGGAAGACGACCGTGATTCCTTTTTGTTTTGAAAAGACTAGAATGACGAAGCCGGAGAGTTTAAAATCGGACAAGGTTATTTGTAGAGGGATGGTGAGAGGAGTGCTGTTCGCAAAGATGGGGATTCGTTAGTCGAGAGTCCAGCAGAGCACGGGTGTTCACGATCTGCGTCCCAGTTGATAGGAGGACTTACGCTGCGGCAAGAGGCTTTGGAGAGGCGAATGCTGGCCTGGTCAATAGGTATGTGTTGAGTGGATTGGCTTGCACACGCGTTTTGAGAGTCAAAAAGGCATCGCCTGAATATGACATCTTGAAGATACCGCGAAAGCGGTCCTCGGCCAAATCTCCAATCTCCAGGATTTCCAAATCCGGAGGCATCGAACCCAGGTTGAGCTCCGTGACGATAATGTCATCGACAATGATGGGCGGTTTAGGTGATTTATTAAGGGCAGCTGTGAGAAGCTCCTGGGCGCGAGTATAAAAGCCCGCATCCGCCATCAATGGCGACCAGTTGAAGTTGAACGCCATGTCCGCGCATTGAGAGGATGGGCCGGGTCGGGTGAGGCGGGTTACGACAGAAGCAAGGTCTATGAGAACAGAATACAAAGCCCCAAGTCAGAGTCGACTGAGATGAGATAAGACGTAAAGCGAAAGTGCAGAGGCAAAAAGCCAGAGCCAGAGCAAGCAGAAAGGTAGCAACGATCAGCCGGGGCAAATATGAGTGGAACTGCGAAGGGGAGAGAGAGAAAAAAAAAAGGGACGCACTTCCCGAGGCCGTCCAGGAATCCACTGGAGTTCCCGTCCGGAGAGTCACAGGGCCCTCGCGTGCCCCCCGACCACGCACGGTCACGCCGACCGGACCAGCATTCGACTGTTTTCTGTGATCGATGTGCGACCACAACAGTCTCTGATCATATTTCTACTACTATCGTCTGACAATGTCTGATCTTTTGAGCTTTGTTTCTGACCCCTCACGTCCTGGAATCTAGGCTTGGACTCACACGGATCATGGCGCAGCATCTATTCTCTCAGAGCTGATGCCCACTGCGCGTACGATGATGGCCCGCGCCGTGATCTTGAAAGAGTAAGCCTGGAGTACGTCACTCCGCTCGACTTTTCAACTGAGGCCCACCCTTTCCGATCGAGCCCGAAGGTCCTGTCCATTCGATATCGCCATTCATGACAGCTCTACGGGCTTCTGCTGCATGCAAGTATTCGGTCACTCCGACTAGGCCCGCCCGAGTGCATACCTAGGGCCATTTTTGTGATTGTCACTGACTCTGTGTCCTGTGATCAGACTTGAAACGTCTTTGATGAGATTCGAAACAAAGAGATCCCGGGCAGCTCGTGCGACACGGTTCAACGCGGGTCAGAAAAGGTCATAGATCTATGCCGATCGGAGATACAAACAGGAGTGTACACGAGCGGGAGCACCTCTATGACCATGCGCCTAGAGGCCTCGTACGTAGACTGGGACAAACAAGTTACAACACTCGGCATTGGCTAAATGGCGATCGTTACAAGATCGTTGTCTTGGCCGTGGGACCCCGGAATTGCTTTGGACGTAGCAACGATGCGTTGTTCTCCATAGTGGAGTTCGGGGGGCGAAAGGCTCTCTGATCTTGCTCTTCGATCTTGCTCTCTGATCTTCATGCGCCTTTACCTGCGCCATTGCTCTCACTTATCGCTCTTCGTCTAAGCAGTGTGATCACGCTTCTGCTAGAAGGTGTACATTGGACACCAGTCCAGCAGACGAACATGTCAAGCGCGTGGAAAGGGTGGCACACGACACTTTGCGCACCTCAAACTGGGAAATGCCAACGGTCGGATTCCGTGGAATAAGCCCCGGGTCGAGGCAACGGAACCGCCTGAGCAGAACCGTGACCGTCCATCCAGTCTGGGCTGCAGTGGCCGGTTACGTAGCGGGTAGCCTCTCCAGGCGCCCTGCAGGCGAAATTGAGTAGAGAGGCAAGGCAAGGCACGTGGCCGATAGATTTCATCGCTTCCAGTAGACGTACTGTAAACACGAAAAGAATGGTCCAAAATCTGATTGCCTTGACATTCTAGATCCAGCTCAGCCTCTCCCACTACTTGCTTCCAAGGCTTGGTGCTTACTCTTAGTCTTATACTTAGAGACACGACCGATGTAGACTGGGAGGTGACTACACAATTATGATATAGGGTCCGGGTGCTCCAATCGAGGACTAAGCGCTGTTTGACATCATGCTAGCTCGGTAACACAAAGATGACGTCCGGATGCACCTTATCTTATGTACACAAACCTCGCAGCTTGGCGAGCTGAGAAGCTACATTTCCTAACTCTCCTAAAAGTCAAGTCAAATGCATCGTGCCATCTCATCTGTCGAGCTCTGTCTATAGCCATCCTAACAGTGTTTCCCTCCCGGACTGTGTCGAGGACATATACAATTAGCAGCTTAGCACTAAATAATAGAGACATGTACCATCATGTACCGGCACTTGGAGTCTCCCACATCGCCGGCAGTTGAAGCTACGATAAATCACGTGCTGCGACTGCCCCGGGGCTTTCCTTCCACGGCAACAATCCACTAGTCCATCTATGGTTAAACATCAATACGGCAACAGCGCCCCAGTTTTGCCCGTTGTGCATGATTATTTTCCCGTCACTTTCACGACTCTTGAGCATTGAAACCCGTCTTTTGGAGAGACCCTTCCAATTCATGTACGCCAGTTCATGACCCTGTAGATCTTCGTCGGCAGAGAGGTCAGCCATGTCCACCAGATCTTCTCCCTGCCCATTGGGTCACGCGACAGTCACGGAGCCTCGGAAACCCTCTACCAGAACGGTCGCACATCGCAAAGTATACGGCAAGCGGCGCAAGGACGCAGCACGAGCGGTATTGGAGGATAAGAGGCAGGATGACAAGGGCGAGGATCTCTCAGATGTCGACGGCTCTCTCGACACACTTCGGACTAGGCTTGCCGATGTGACCATCCACGAAAGCCTACGTCGAGAGCGGCCCAGTACGAAGCGCACGCAATGCACTCGAACACACCAGAGCAAGGCGCATGTCTCTGCACAACTCACGAAATTCACCGAAGCGGAGAAAATGCCACAACTGCGGGGATTGTCCAAGGAACCTTTGTCGGCCGACCTTTTGCAAAAACCGGTGCATTCCGAGACGATGACAGGTGTTCAAATCTCAAGCGAACAGTCTCATGTTACCAGTATTCAGACTGGGCATGATTCACAAGCGGTCTCGGTCAATGCGACACCATCAGTAACCAAGAGAAAACCGCGCTCTGCTAGCCGAAGAATATCTGGACTAGTTCACGATGCAAGGATTGACGCCTACGTTCGGCCCGTTCTCGACGAAGCCCTTTCCTCAATCGCTTCTCAAGGTGTACAGACATTCAGCGCGTGGGCCTCGCGTTCTGAGAGCATGTTTCATGTAGTCAAACTGGCTGAAGGCTCTTACGGCGAAGTGTATAAGCTTCGTCTCCACGATGAAACATCCCGTCCCCCAGTCTCCAAATCAAAATTGGCCAAACTTCGCGCATATGGCGACGGTGTCTTCAAAGTCGTTCCGCTTTGCGCGCCAAGAGGTCCAGGGTCGAAGAAATATACATCTGTGGCTGAAATAGTGTCCGAGGTGAAGCTGTTGAAGTATCTAGACCCAATTCCAGGATTTGCCCGATTTAGGGAAATTCATGTTGTTCAAGGACGTTTTCCGGAGCTCTTCCAACGCGCGTGGGACCATTATAAGGCGACCAATGATGACTGCTGGAATCCCGATCCGTCGAACAGAAGAGCGTTTCCGGAGACTCAGCTGTGGGCGATTATTGAGATGGACGACGCCGGTCATGAGCTTGAGAAATTTGCATGGTCGTCGATATTCCAGATTTATGATATATTCTGGGGTGTGGCAATGGCGCTGGCACGCGCCGAGGAGTATGCGATGTTTGAGGTGAGTCGTCCTGTCTTCTATAAAGGTGGAGCTGCCTCTCCTGAACAGATGCTGACTTCAAGTCAATAGCACCGCGACCTCCATTTGGGTAACATTTGTATACGGTCCACTCGAGCAGACGGCAGTATGGACCCTCCCTCCGACCTCGAGATCTTACGCCGACAGTCAGCAAGCGGATTCGGCTTCAGTGCCTTGGAGACAACAATCATCGATTACTCGCTGTCCCGCGCTGACTTGCAAAGTGAAAGTCTCGAGCCCGAGGACAACCCAGACAGCATTGTCGAGACAGCATCTTCCGACTTGGACAAGCGGCAGATTTTTGATGCCGTTGGCGAGGATGAAGACGAGGCGCTTTTGAGGGATACATACAGATATATGCGTAACACAGTCTACACGGGAGCACCCCTCGCAATGGAGAAATACTCTACCGTTGCCGGCATCTGGAAAGAATATGTTCCCCAGACCAATCTCATCTGGCTTCTGTTTCTGCTCAAGATTCTCTTGAAGAATCGCAAAGCAGAGCCTTCGCAGGTGGCCGCTTTGCCAGAGCGAGTTGCTCTGGCACCTTGTTCTCCAAACCGGGTATCGACTACGCCTAGATTGACAAGCAAGACGTGCACATCTAAAAAGACTGAGGACCAGACTGATGTCGCGAAGAAATCTCGCGCGCGAGATCTCCACTTGCAAGTCTCCAAGCTCGAGCAGACCCTTGAGAATAGGCTCAAAACCGTTCTTGACCTTCTGGACCTCAACAATGGGCACGACGACATGTGTTGTGCGGCGGACTTGGTTGCCTATGCGCTGGATTCGCACTGGTTGGCCAAGGAGGATTTCTTCTGAGCCAGCAGTGAAAATTAACAAAGGTGTGTTTTTACACAATGTTCGATGTAATTAGAGCGGCATTGCTTAGGTGTTTTCGACTATACTTTTGAAAGGTGTAAGATTGGATAGAGCTAAGATGCATTCGTGGTTTTGGGGCTGGCCCGGCGAGGTGGGCTGAGTTCAACTCAGTGTTGTTGATATATGGTAACTTGGTATTTACCTGGTGGGTGGCATGAATACATATTCTGTTGGGATCGAACCTGCAGACAATCCAGTCAAGTTCGAATTACCGAGGGAACTTTTATTCAAGAACAATAAAGAAGACTTCGCCCCATTATTGGAAAAAAAATTGGGAGCCGAATTAAATCATTGGTTGTGATAGACAAGGTAGACATCGGACCAAGATCCCATGTGACTATAATCACTATATCCATCCAATTTGATGTTTGGCTTCTTTGCATCCCCCAGGGCTGCTCTCCGTCAACCTCCAGTCCCCACCGGGCACCGGCCCAGAGCTAGTACAGTTCCACTCTTTGCGAATGACTTCAAGTAAATCTTTCTTCCTCGATCTACTGCCCAAATCACGGGACGGGTCAAATCAATTTCAGGATGTTAGTAAATGAGCCAGCTGAGCTACTCTAGGGAATGAATGTGTCTGGCAGAATGAAGCTAATCGTTGAGTAGATCCTTTGGCCGCCACTTGTAAAACAGACGTGCAGGCGTAACACCAAATTCGCCTGTTGAAGTCAAAATCACCCTGGGCTGCTCAAACGCGGAAGACCAGCCATTGCTTGAAGAAATTTGGGCGTCTACGAGACTCTTACGTTGTCTTCGTCCTGTTCGAATCGGGTCTTTCAAGTACCGCCAGGATTGCGAACAGACAGAGACAAAGCTCCTGCCCGGCCGGATCGTAAGGACGACATCACCTCAAGCTGACCAACATTTCCGCATCTTGATCTCGTCACAATCGTCGACAGCATCGACCGTTGCACCAAGACGCTATCATGCCACTCACTGGGTATGGGTTATGTTCTCAACAGCCATCTTGATGGCACAATCTCTCCATAAAAAGCTAACGTCCAACGCTTCCGCCCCCCCCCCAGCGTCTACTTCATACCCACCAACCCCCAGGCCTCAACGACTCTAAATACCCTCACTGAGCGCCTACGCGCCACTTTCTCAGATGAAGACATCACGCCCATCGGCCGCTGGGCTCTCGACCATAAACTAATGCGCGACACACCCGGCTTGCTGCCCCAGCCCACACCCCAAGGCCAGCGCCCCGCTCAGCCGCGCTATCTGCAACTCCTCTCTTTAAGCCACTACCCGACCCACGGCTTCATCTACACCTCCGAAGCGACCGAAAAGCTCACCCACCGTCCCTCGCTCTCCACCTCGGCCTCACCGGTCCCTGGCGCCGCGTCGCCTGCACAGCCCGCGAGCGCGCAGATCGGTGCTGCGGGCTCCTCGCCCATGGTGATGACCACTGTGCCGCCGGCCGCGTACAAGACGCTCTTTCAGCACTTTACGTACGCGTGCCAGCCGATCTGGTGTCACCGGTTGACCTTTACGGTGCCGAACGGGATCGTCTACGATGTAGGTGATTTCCGGGTGCGTATGGGCGATGTGAGACAGACTTTCCCGGCTGTGCGGCCGCGAGGTGCCATCGTCGAGATTGAATGGCGCGGTCCGTCGATGGTGGACTCGCTTGCGGCGATGCAGAGTCGCAGTGCAGACTCTGGGTTGAGGACGGAGTCTGAGGAGGCGGGTGAGACGGGGGTTGATGCGTCGTTCCTGGATCTGGAGGAGGCGGACGTGGATGCGGAGTATGCAGCCACAGCGTCCTTGATTCGGGAGTTTTGGGGCAGGTTGGGTGTGCCAGGGGCTAGAGAGGCTGTTCTGCTACCTGATCTGGGCAAGGAAGTCAAGGAGAAGCTGGGGAAGATGAAGACTGGGAACAGGGGTGGTAGTGGTCGAGGAAGGAAAATGGATGAGGTGGAGAATTTGACTGGGTACGGGGGTGTATCCTTTGAGAATGATGTTGATCCGACGGCGGGGACAGATGTTGCGAGGCAGTATATGGAGGTACTGCGGTTTAATCGGTAGTGCGAGCTACGCAATGGCAAGATGCTTGCCTTCTTACAGACCTCGTACAAGTCTAATTGATTCCAAGATTTTCAGCCTACGAGTAACGACTACGTGACGACAAAACTGACTAGGTCCCACGACTTCACTTGCCAGAAGCAGATCGAAAGGGTATGACCATAGTGGTGACGGTACCGCAATGTGTCATGTATATGTGCATATCAACAATCACGCTAGGTCGTGACTCGATCCCTGCCAGAAATAGGAGCCCGTGTGGTAGGCTCAAGACTACTATAATCTGGTATACAGGGGAAGGAAAAGTAGGCCAATGGGAGAGGAAAAGAGCATTTTCCTGGTTGCTTCAAGGTACCGTGGATTTCATGGCGAGAATAGAAAAGGTCGTTTATTTTTGCATCATGAGCTGGACGAACTCGTTGTCTGGAAAAGGAGAAATAAGTCAGCTTCAGAATTGGGCGAGGTGAGGGTTGAATATCACGAGCCCGAAGTGTATTGCAACATCCCAGACGAGGCCGTGGTCTTGATATGCGGCGGAGAGGGTGGAAGATGGGGGTAAATAACATACAGTCGATACGACCGTCGCCGTCCTGGTCGGCTTCGCGGATCATCTCGTCAACCTCATCGTCGGTCAGCTTCTCGCCAATGGAAGTCATGACATGGCGAAGCTCGGCGGCGGAGATGAAGCCGTTGTTATCACGATCGAAGACCTTGAACGCCTCACGAATCTCCTCCTCGGAATCGGTATCCTTCATCTTGCGAGCCATCATGGTAAGGAACTCTGTAGGTCACAGGTGTTATTAATCAAGGATCCAAGAGTAAGAGAAACAAAAAAGATTGCGTGTATCCCCGGCGTGGGGAGTACAAACATACCAGGGAAGTCAATGGTGCCGTTGTTGTCGGCATCGACCTCGTTGATCATGTCCTGGAGTTCAGACTCGGAGGGGTTCTGGCCAAGCGAGCGCATGACAGTGCCGAGCTCCTTGGTGGTGATTTGACCTGGCCGCCAGAATTGAGTTAGATATTCATATTCGCTAGATTCTGCTATACAGAGACTGGCAGTTGCCATGCCTCACGAAAGCCCTCCATCATGCGATCGGAGGAGCGTAACGCACCATCGCCATCCTTGTCCTATTCAGACACGAAAAAAAAACAGCCCCGTTAGTCACCCATTCTTGTTGTGTATTTTCTCGCTCCATATGGAACGAGGCCAATTCGCATATATTGGGTCACTCACAAACAAGGAGAAGGCCTCCTTGTACTCGGAAACTTGCTCTTCGGTCAAAGAATCGGCCTAGAGGGAAAAAGTGACGATGATTGTTAGTCGGGACATCAACAGGCAACGAGCATATAACTGCCCCGCTTTGTTGTGCGGGGGGGTCCATGGAGATCGACGGATGTTGCACCAGACCCTAGCTGGAGGACCAGGGGGATCAACACAAGGAAAAGACTCGTACCATGATGACTAGAATTTGTGGACAAGAAAAACAGGCGCGAGATCAGGAAGGGAAGATGAAACTGAGGGGAAGCGGGCTGCAGATGGTGGGGAGTCTGAAGTTAAGGGGAAAGTTAGCGGGCCAGCCTTACAATTCTTGGCCTTGCCGCCTTGCTGCCTGACGGGACGATCTGATCACGGGCTGACCACGCGAGACGAGTTGGAAGCTGACTTCGGTACTTAGTAAGCTACTTAACTACTACTAGTTACTTACTATTCCATCGGGACTCTCTCTTGCAGTGATATAACTGTTCTACTGGTATGCTTCTAGCTGAACTTAGAGTATCGTCAAACGAAGACAATGCTTGTCAAATTGAAATTCTCGAATTCGAGTCTCTTCACCGCCCCCTTTGTTCTATTGGGAAAGACAACGAGCGGTGGTCAGCATTTTCGCTCACTCGAAGCTCACAACAGGTACTTAGACCTAGTACCTTACTACCTTAACCGGCAGTACAGGTACTACAGTATATTGCTGATTGTTCCTGTAACCGGGCATGTCTGGACCTCGCGAGGGAGCTCATTCGAGCAAACAGCAAGAATAGACTTCAAGGCTGTACTTGGCGCGCATGATATACCTATGATAAAAGGCATACACTCTATTGCAATGCATCATTGTCCTCTCCACCATAGGTAGTCCGCACTACTACACAATGTCACCGAATGTCACCTGGTATTTAGCAGTCACAGGAGCCTCAGGGACCTCATTACAGCCTTTCTCCTGTACCTACCAGCAGATGGGCTATGAGACCCCATCTTTCTCTGCAGATGACCAAATTTCGAGGGGCTAGCCTTCTTGGAAGCAAGTTGATTCAATCTGGTTTAATGTCTGGATGGTCCTCCGGCGACCTCCCAAGCAGTCGGTAGGCCAACCACCTTACTCAGTGCAATGTGGCAACAATGGGATAGATCGGAAGAAGGTTCGATGACGCACGGCTGCATAGATCGGACGGAGAGCACATGGTTTTCCGGGTCTGGAAGGTAGAAACAAACTGCTCGGCTTGTTGCGATAGATTGGTAGCTTAAACAATTCGATCTACAAATACTATTTAGTCCAGTGTCAATCATAATGTCCTTGAAAAAATGTGTTATCAATGAAGTACTTAGTTCTTACTAATTACTTACTTACCGAGTAACATAGATGATAGTACTTGAGAGAACGTACGGTAGGTACCTAACTTGGGATCAAAAGGTAACTACTACAGTACCTTGTGTACCTTATCCGAGCCCCTGCGACCTGCGATTGTGGGGAGCTTGCCGGGCCAATCGACTCCGCTGCGAGCGGCCGCATCATTCAACTCGACTACCACTTCCGACACGCATCAAAGGGAAATACCAACCTCGGACCTGCAGCTGACTACGATCAGACGAGCATGACAGTAGCGCACATTCAAATTGTCTCTCAATAGACCAGCGCTCACAGACATATACGCCTCCCGCCCACCATGTGGCGGGATCGCACCAACCTGTACGATTACCCCAGAAAGCTACCCTGCCGTGCCGCTGCTAGCTACCAGCGCTTCCTCCTCCGCGAGGCGAAAGCGATGATGGTTGAAGGTGTAACTGACATCAACTCGTGCATCCTTCAGTTACATTTCCTATCGTCAATCTTTCGCACACCACCCAGCGAAGAAGCCGCGATTTGGTGCTTCAAATGGCTTCGATGCCGTTCCCCAGCCGGAGGAGAGTCGGCGCCTCATCTCCGAGACAGGTGGATTCGAAGAGGACGGCGACATGGTGATTGAAATGGACCTGCTTCCGCCACGCTGGGTGGACGTTCAAGACGAAGTCTCCGAGTTATTAGCCGACATTGCGCAAAAGTCCGCCGAATTGGACAAATTGCACCAGAAACACCTGCTGCCCGGATTTGGCGACGAGGATCTCCGGCGCCAAAACGAAGGGATCATTGAGCGACTCACGCAAGATGTGACCCGGGGTTTTCATCAATGTCAAAGTGCCATTAAGCGGATCGATTCCATGGTGCGTGAGGCTAGGCAGCAGGGCGGAGTCACCAGTGGAGAGGAAACAATGGCCAAGAATATCCAGATCTCGTTGGCGTCTCGAGTCCAGGAGTCGAGTGCGCGGTTCCGCAAGAAGCAGAGTACTTACCTCAAGAGTGCGTGCTATGCTCGATCTTCCCCCTTGCTCATACTTGCCTACCTTGGATTTGATACAGGAACACATGTGCCAGCAATGCGCGTGATACTCGGTAACTGGGAATCTCGAGCTGATCCATTTCTTGTCCTGGAATAGAACTGCGGGACCTGGACGGCATGTCAACGCCATTTGAGCGATCGCCCACTCCCGCGCAAAACCCGTTCACCGACCCTTCATTAATGGAATCCGAAGTCGACAAATCGTTTTCGCAGACCATGCTGATGCAGACCCAACAACGCGCAACAGGGCAGAATGATGCTGCCATTGCCCAGCGTGAACGAGAGATCAATGACATTGCAAAGGGCATCATTGAACTGTCAGATATCTTTCGCGAACTTCAGACGATGATCATTGATCAGGGGACGATGCTCGATCGGATCGATTACAACGTTGAGCGCATGAATACCGAAGTAAAAGCCGCTGACAAGGAATTGAAAGTGGTGAGTCGCATTCGAACAATCGACTTTGTCCTTGACTGGGATGTCCTTGAACGAGTGCTGATATGTTTTCAATTTCAGGCGACAAATTACCAACGTCGCACGACTAAAAGAAAGGTGATGCTTCTTCTAGCCCTTGTGGTCATAGGGTTGATCATTGTTCTAGCGGTTAAACCTAAGAAGCAAAGCTCTCCACCCCCGCAGCCTGCAGAAGAGGAATCATCAAGTAATATCAGATCTCTGCTGCTCTCCCGAGCTCCCAAGGTACGAATGAGGAGACAGCAGACTTCTATGCGATCAAGTCGAAGACGATGGATGGATCCGGATATACTACGATAATCTTTGCTTGTTTTGTTTTCTTTCTAAACCCGGGGCAGCGTGCGGAATTATCAGACTATGTTAATTTGAAGACATCTTGCTGTGATCCGACATGGTAGAAGTGTTTGCTTGCGTCAGAGCGAGCACATATCTTGGTGCATTTCTGTTCTCGATTCGGTTTTGCCGCTACAGCTGTACACTGCTGCGACTTGGCTGAATGTAAAAATCCACATCGTGGAAAGGGCCGACCTATCAACCACGGTGTGTTGGACAGACTGGTATTGATCCCGATTTTTCGTCTGGGCAGCTAGCTAACGTATGTGTACGTGATCCCAAGTCATAGACGTAATGTCTTTTCAGCGGTTGGCTTCCTGTGCAATCATTGCGGCAACATCATCCTCCACGCCTTCGGCAAACGGCTCATTGTCTTCATCATGTGCGACCTTGCGTCTCTTGGCATGCGTTCCATGCGCGCCAAGGTCGAAATCATTTTCTCCGTTGGGAGAAATACTGGAAGCGTCAAACGGCATACTGCCATCATTCTGGTCGATTGATTGAAGAGTAAACGCTTGGGCATTGTCGATTGGGGCTTCCTCAGTAAATGGCCCATGGCCGACTGGCTGCTCCTGGTGTGCAGGCGATCCCACTGGCGTCAGGGCCTCTACTGGGGGTGGAGTCAGGGCTTCGACTTGCGGGCGAGATGGTTCTTCGCTGCTGTTGCCCTGCCTCGCAGCTGAAAGCTCGTCTTGATAACCGCGCATGATCGCATCTTCGACTTCGCGACGCTTTGCGTCAGTCTCAGCCTTGCGAAGACTGAATTCTGCAACAAGAGACTCTTCTTTCTGGAGCTCAGAACGGTTGTTCTCGAGAAGTTTCTCCAACCCTTCGATCAGGGCTCGTCTTGACTTGATGACTGCGGATACCGAATTTTCAGCATGTGCAAGCGCCTTCAACAGCGTGCCGAGACGCGCAGCATGCACTGGAGGGGTGATCGAGGGAGCGTTCGGATCGTTCAGTTTATCATACTCGGTAGTGGCGGTTGTCGCAGAGCTATTTGAGGTCATTGCTGCCTTTGTGAGGGCAACTTGCAAAGGTACAAGAGGCTGGAGCTCGGACGGAGTAGAATCGGAGGAGCCTTTGAAGAAGGAACCGCCTAGGGTCTGCTTCTTGGTAGTCGGACGGTTTTTCTCGATGTCTGGTGGTACTTGGTTAGCAAGATGGCAGAACGGAGGGACCGCATGCAGTCATGCCAATCATACCATTTATGCGCGCTTCAACGGCATCCAAAATGGGACCTTCGAACACATGGCGCTGTCGCCAAACTTCAACGACCCGTCTGATTTTGTTTTGAATATCATTCGACGCGCCTTTGTATGCCGCCGCCGTGGCTTCTGCGACGATCTAATTGAAGTCAGTTGATGTTATAACGCGTTCGCTGACGGGTGCCGTGAGGGACTGACCGGAGAGAATGCAATGAGGAAATCTTCTTTTCCCCGAACTTTCGACTGTTGCGCAACCTCTGAGACATGTCAGTAGTGTTCAATTTATGCGGTATAATCATGCTTACCATTGGCAAGATACACAAGATTCAATCGTTTCGGGGGTGCGGAGTCGCGAATTCTTTCAAGCCATATTTGAGCAGTCTTCTCTGCATGTCGTCTGTACTCAATTGAAATCGTCAGCAATTGATAATGATAGCTTACATCTAACGCGTCAGGTGAGATTGAAGAATGTACCTGTGGAACATCACCCATTGCGCGACGGTCACGATGCTTTCCTGGGTCTCATTGAGAGCCGAGAGTTTCGCCTTGACGGCGTCGTCCGTGTAAGCCATGTCGGGCGCACGTTTGCTTTCTTGATCGGCGCAACTGACGAACTAGTGACTTCGACCACAAAGCAAGTTTTTGAGAACGACGGTTTCGCGTAATCAACAAATGAGGCCGACGTGGAGGGGGGGGGGGGGGGGGGGAACGTGACAGACGCAGCAAGGCACCGAGGTAGGCGAGTCTGGCAAAACACGACGAGATGAGACTGTTCAGAAACTTCCAAGAACAACGATCTGACTGCTCACTGAACCTGAATTAACAGCACATCGAAATACTTGGTCTAGCAGCTTTGAGGATCAAGAAGTGCTGGAGGCTGAGCGTCTTTCTCGATCAGTCGGAACTAAGAGCTATTGACCGCCTTAATTCGTGAAGCTGCTCGTCACCGCCTCAAGCTCCACCAATGACCGTCGAGCAGGAGGCACTATGTCACGGCAGCTTGCCGGCAACAGCTGGCAACTCCCATAGTCACCGCGGAGCTTCACTAGGAATTACCATCGATCTGACTGCATCTGAGAACGCTCCGGAATTGGAAGACAACCAGAATCGCGACAATTACCCACAAACTAGCATAATGGCTGATCGTTTTCCCTCTTTGGAGGATTTCTCTGAGGGTATGCTTCGTTTAGGCAGACCGCGACTGTTGTCCACTGCGAGTCCAGACTGACGACTTCTGAACAGGCCAGACCGAGGTCATCAAGAGCAACGGCGGGACTGAGGACGATTTCCTGGCGCGCGAGCGCGCAGCCCTTGGCGAAGATGCGGATCAATTCGCTACTCCCCAGGATCACGTTGCGACTACAAACGCTGGAGATGATGATCTTCTCGGTGGTGGTGACGACACACCCGCAGAGGAGATTGGGCAATTTGAATCTGCTTTTCCTTCAGTAGATACTCAGACACAAAATGAGGTACGTTGACGGCTGCGAAATGATTGGGAATTCACGACAGTTGCTGACACCTGGCGAACGTCTTACAGCGAGTTGCCCCTGGCGGTACAATCACTGGCTCTGGTTCCCCTTTTCCTCGTACAGGATACGGCTCAATGGAGACTGAGGAAGAAGAGCCTGAGCCCATTCGGTAGGTCTCATTCGCTTAGGTGCTACGGTCCATGCTCGCGCATGGACGAGGTGCCCCTCTTTCGTACTACCTTTTCCAGTCTAACCCTACCTCTCTTATAGTCAATGGCGCGAGAAGCGAGATGCCGAACTTGCACGACGTGCGCAGATCTCCGAAGAGAAGAAAGAGGCTACCATGAAGAAAGCTCAACAAGACATTGATGACTTCTACGTTGCATACAACAACAAGATCGACAAGCTCAAGGGTCAGACTCGCACCGAAGCTGAAGAGTTCCTGGCCAGCCGTGAAGACACCTCTGCTGGCGGCACTTCATGGGAGCGCATTGCCAAATTGGTTGATGTGTCGGGCAAGGGAACAACTGGCGGTGCCAGCGGCTCGGGCAAGGAGCGTTTCCGCGAACTGCTTGTCGACCTGCGCAAAGATCAGGAAGCCCCTGGTGCTAGTGGCATCTAGATCCTGAACTCGCTGGTCGGCCGTGATGCACTAAACCTACTTTGGTAGTCTCTGGTGGCTAATCTACGAGCCCTCTGACGATCTGCTTCGCTTTTATGATATCAGCTGGTTACCTTGATGGTCATTTCTAGCGATGCTCCATCTGCAGGGATGGCGTACATCTTATTCGACCACACCGCTATTGTTTTTTTCTCTACCACTTTATGCAGCGAAGCAGGCCGAAATGTCTTTTGTAAATTAACTATCTTCGAATCAAAAATACCTTAATCACAAGGGCTTCCTCGCTCATCTAACTAAAACCCTTAAATCAATTGTATTCGTCCAGCGTATAGAATCCTTATCATGATTAACTGGGAATACGTGGAAACCACCTTGATTAAACACAATTTCGCATCGCTCAATTATTACAACGTTACGTAGACGATCGCAGAAAGGCTTAATCTAACTCGGTTACATCACCACCAGGCTCCCGCTTCTCTTGTTTAGCCTCGGCCTCGATTTCGGCGAGTTTCTTTTGGCCCTCTTCAGTGGTTCCGTCAATGATCCCTTCTTCGAGGCTAAGCATACCTCCATTACCCAGCTGCTCGACAACCTGCTCCGCCTCTTCGACAGACATATTGCCCAGCACTTTGTTCACCTCGTCCAGAGACTCCGACGCCAATGCTTTTTGCAGCTCTGGCGAAAAGGATTCGAAGACTTTGCGTGCTTCAATCTCTGTGGGGTCCTGGCTTTCGGCAGCAGGAATATTGATGGTGATCTTGGTGTTCGGATCAACTGCATGCAGCTGAATTTGCTCGACGCCAGCGGACTCGTTCGAGCTTTCTTTATTCAGTTCAGCAGCCCGAGTTTTGATTCGGTTGTAAGTGTCGTTGACATCATTTGAGAACAGGGTCGCAGCACGGTGGTCCTTCGTCGTGATACTGGCACAGAGAGCATGTTAGTAGACGATAAAAGCAGGGACAAGAACGATAGACGTACCGGCCGAAAAACAACTTGATACCGTCAGGGCCTAGAGAGCGGCAGTACTGCAGAAGGAGTCCCTGGTGCACACATTGGCGGGCATACGCCTCTTTGCCCTTTAGCTGACTGTTGAATGCCTCGACCAAGAGACCATCAGTCTCCTTCTCCTTGACAATTTCAGGATGGTCGGCAATAAATCTCTGATAAGCAGAGTAATCTTTTGGCTTCAGCTTGGCAAACCGCTTGGCCAGTGGACTGATCTCAATATCTGCAGGATCGTCATCGTCATCATTATCCTGAGCGGCCGAGGAGCTTGCCGCGCCGGGATTTAGGAGCTCAACGTCTGTCTTCTTTGCGGGGACGGCAGCCTTCGATTGAGCCTCGCCCTTGGACACATGTGAAGTGTTAAATCCATCATGCAGTCCTTCACTGGTGATCTTGCTTCCTTCTTCCTTCTCCAGCTGAGCCAATCTTGTCGAGAGTTCCTTCTGCAAGCCCTCGACCTTGTCCTTGTGTACTTGTACACCGGCAATGTAAGCCTGGTACATATTGTCTGGCTTTGTGTCCCCGAATTCTTTCTTGACCTGGTCGACCAAAGAGCTCATCATTTGTGAGTATTTTGGCTGTTCCTTCTCGTGGGTATGAACTCCTTCTGGTGGTGCGGGAGCTTTGTCTTCGGTTGGGTTGCTGGCAAACTCCATGATTGTTTGGAAAATGAACTGCTCTGGAGGGGCAGAGGAACTTTCGTTTTGCTTGAGGGCATCAAGAAGCTTGTCGATCCTTGATAGGAGGCCATCGTTGATGATGCGCTCGTACTTGTATGTCTTAATATCATGACGGCGCTGTTCACGCTGCTGATGGATTTGAGCTTGTTTGGCGCGGATAAAAGATCGTTTGTCGACATTGGGATGCACCTCAATGTCCGAATCATCGGACAGCTCCAGTGCGTCCCACTTGCTGTAGTCGAGAACCATCTTTCAAATGTTCAGACGAAATAAATTTGGCGGGGCTATTGAGGGACGCGGGGCAGCGCCAGAAAGAAGGACAGCAGAGAAGCTGTGGTCTGTTTTCTGGACGATGGACCGGGCTGAAAAATAGAGCCTCGTTAATCTTCTAATGATTCTGTCCTGCTCAAAGTTGAAACAACGGAAATCAAAGTCGACTGATCGAATGTCGTAAACAAGCTCATCGAAAGCTCTCGAATAGCCACCATGGGCGGTAACCATGGGCGGTAACCATGAGCAGAATCGGAAATCGGTCAGGTCAGTCCATGGCCGACGGACGGACAACGCCGGAGCGAGCGATCCCGCAAGCATCTCGCATCTCTCCATGATTTGGGGAAACTCACTCTAGGACTACGATACATGGTTTCTTTCTAATCCACTGTGCTTTCGATCATGGCTGCTTCAAGCTCAACTCGGTAATTCAAAAGCAATCCCTCAACCCAGCCGCGAATCCCAATCACAGCGATGCGAGGCGTGCGACCGCCGGCGCGGGCTCTCGGCGTCAGCCCCCGATCAGTACAGCGTTCGCAGAAGGTCATTCTTAATGATATCTTGCCTTCACCATTTCTAAGAGGCTCCAAATACCGTGGGCATGTCTGTTCCATCTCAAGCAATCATTTATACTCGACCGCAACTGGATCATTGCGCGAAAGGCCCGGTCGCGTCACTCGACCAGCCGAGGTTCACCTGGTACATTTCCAAAATCGTTCCCAACCCGTCGCTTCAAGGTCGACTATCATCAATCGTTTACGGTCACTGAGTACCTCCTCGCGTCTTTGCGAAGCCAAACCGAGCGTGTTGCCTTCATCATCCTCTCGAACCAATACTCCCTCTGTTCCGGAAAAGGCAGCTGAGGTTGCACAAGATGAAGGGTTCGAGCTTTCAGAGAAAGCTGCTCAGGCAGCCCAGGTCAACCTTCGTGCCAGGCTAGCAAAGGACGGTGCATCTGGCAAGAAGTCTGGCTTCGGCGAAATCTGGCGACTCCTGAAAATTGCGCGCCCGGAGGCCAAGGCGCTTGGATTCGCGTTCTTCTTCCTGCTGATCTCCTCCTCCATCACCATGTCTATTCCCTTCTCAATTGGTAAGATCATTGATGGAGCTACGAAGAGTGAGGCGGAAGGCGGCGGACAGCTTTTCGGATTGAGTATTCCCACCTTCTACACAGCTTTGGGCGGCGTTTTGCTCATCGGTGCCGCCGCCAATTATGGACGAATCATCATCCTGCGAATTGTTGGCGAACGCATTGTGGCGCGTTTGCGCTCCAAGCTGTTCCGGCAAACTTTTGTCCAGGATGCAGAGTTCTTCGATGCGAACCGTGTCGGCGATCTTATCTCCCGGCTTAGCTCCGATACTATTATCGTCGGCAAGAGCATCACCCAGAACTTGTCTGATGGTCTTCGGGCTGGTGTCAGTGGTGTTGCTGGATTTACTCTGATGGCCTACACGAGTCTCAAGCTGTCAAGTGTTTTGGCTGTCCTGTTGCCTCCGATTGGTCTAGCTGCACTCTTCTACGGCCGAGCGATTCGGAATCTCAGTCGCCAGATTCAGAAGAATTTGGGATCACTCACCAAAATTGCTGAGGAGCGCCTGGGTAACGTGAAGACGAGTCAGTCTTTTGCTGGTGAAATATTGGAGGTCAACCGTTACAATAAACAGGTTCGCAAGATTTTCGACTTGGGCAAAAAGGAATCACTGATTAGTGCCACATTCTTTAGCTCGGTGAGCCTCTATTTCGTTTTTACTGGGAGATACGTTCCTTCGCTGACAATTCCTTTAGACGGGTTTGATGGGCAATTTGACCATTCTGTCTCTGCTTTACTTCGGAGGTGGCATGGTTCAATCCGGAGCGATCAGTATTGGAGAGTTGACGTCTTTCCTTATGTATACTGCTTATGCGGGCTCCAGTATGTTTGGTTTGTCGAGCTTCTATTCTGAACTTATGAAAGGCGTTGGAGCTGCCAGCCGGTTGTTCGAGCTACAGGATCGTCAACCGACGATACACCCAACCAAAGGCTTCAAGGTCGAGTCTGCACGAGGACCCATCCGATTTGAAAATGTCTCCTTCAGCTACCCGACCCGACCTGCTGTGACAATTTTCAAAGATCTGAACTTTGAGATTCCTCAGGGCACCAACGTTGCGATTGTCGGACCTTCTGGAGGTGGTAAATCGACGATTGGCTCAATCTTGCTCCGCTTCTATAGTCCCAACAGCGGCCGCGTCCTCGTCAATGGAAAAGACATCAAGGACATGAACGCCAAGTCACTTCGAAGAAAGATCGGTGTGGTCGCTCAAGAACCCGTCCTTTTCTCCGGAACCATTGCCGAAAATATTTCTTACGGTCGCCCCCATGCTACGCGATCGGAGATCGTGGCTGCGGCCCGCAAGGCCAATTGCCAGTTCATCAGTGACTTTGTAAGTCTGCCCCTGTTTGCCAGTATCTCAAACGCCATCGCTGACTTCCCTCTCAGCCCGATGGTCTTGACACCCATGTTGGAGCTCGTGGCGCGCAATTGTCTGGCGGACAAAAGCAGCGCATTGCAATTGCCCGGGCCTTAATCAAGGAGCCAGATATCTTGATTCTCGATGAAGCCACCTCGGCCCTGGACGCCGAGTCGGAAACGCTAGTCAACAGTGCGTTGGCGGCTCTCCTCCGCGGTAACAACACCACCATCAGTATTGCTCACCGGCTTTCCACCATCAAGCGCTCCGACACCATTATCGTACTTGCACCTGATGGGACAGTCGCTGAGCAAGGCTCTTACGAGGAACTTAGCTCTCGCCCCAATGGTGCTTTCACCAAGCTCATGGAGTGGCAAATGAGCGGCGGAGACCAAGTCCCTCCTCTGCGCTCGATTCCTCCCGAGGAACTCTTCAAGCTCGAAAACGAGATTGAGGAGCCGGAGCCGGAGGAGGAAGAAGAAGAAGAAGAAGAAGAAGAAGAGACCGCCGAGGCCAAAGCTCGGAGGCGAGAGTAGATGAAGCCAGTTGTATTCGTCGGTCTACCATTTTGCCTGATTTTCTTACCTGCGTGAGGTCGGGCTAATTTCTGCAAGTGCTCACATTGTACACCACTCTCCTCTGGAGCATCGGCCCATCAGTACTTTTTTTTTTTGTTCCTTTTGACATGAATTTTTGGAAGTTTGAACAATAGATGCAAGCGAAGCATAGAATCTCTGTACAAGTAGCGAATGAAATTTTGCCAGTTTTCGAGTTTCCATTTCTGTGCCCATCCATCATGGGTTTTCTGAAAGACAAATGTCGACATTGCAACGACGTGTGAGTGTGTACTTGGGCAAACCCGACTCCGCACCTGCGCAGATCGAGTGTGGTTCGCATTCTCCGCACTCGTCAGTCACGAGGACCCGCCCGATGAGCTTCGACCCGCACTCTCCGCGGCGTGCTTTGCCCCCATCTCACGGACTGTACTGCGCAGGCATTGGTGTGGTACAGAAGGACACTGCAACCGCCGTCAACTCTTTAGCTGCTTGATTGCAGTATATCCATCCGAATCGCTCGACGTCATGGATAGAATCCGCAGAATGTTCACCGATCATGTATCCTACGAGCCGCTGGACGACTCGCCGGAGGTAGATGGAGGAGAAGCCGAAGTTGATCATGATAGGGTGCAGGGGCGCTTTTCACGATTGGAATATGGCGTCTTTTTCCTATTGGGTATATCGATGCTCTGGGCGTGGTAAGAATCATCTTTCTTGTGGTGAAGAGCTCCAAGCTGATGTTATGGAACGTCACAGGAACATGTTCTTGGCCGCCGCAACTTATTTTCACAGTCGATTCGAGTCGGATGAATGGATAGCAGGGCATTACCAGCCGTCAATCTTGACCGTCTCTACTCTCACCAATCTCGGCACTGTCTGGGCTTTTGCCAAAATTCAAAAGCGGCTTTCGTATCCTGCACGGATCACGATCTCGTTGCTGGTGAACTGTGCCGTTTTTACGCTTCTCGCCTTCTCGACGGTTGTCCTCAAGAACATTCCTGTGCGCGCATACTTTGGCTTTTTGATGGTGATGGTGTTTGGAGCCAGCTTTGCCGCGGGACTGAACCAGAATGGTGTGTTTGCCTACGTCGCAGGGTACGGCCGCGAGGAGTACACGGCCGCAATCATGAGTGGGCAAGGTGTTGCGGGCGTTCTGCCCTGTATTGCGCAGATCGTCTCTGTACTGGCGGTTCCCCGGTCGAAGGGGGATGGACAAACTCAAGATGGCGGTCAGGGATCGTCCTCAAGATCCGCCTTCATCTACTTCTTCACCGCGACGGGCGTTTCGGTGCTCACGCTGATTGCATTCCTTTACCTACTTCGCCATCGTCCGAGTCCCCGGAGAGTCACGACCGGAGAGGACGAAGATGCGTCCTTGATCGGCCATGTCAAGGACAAGTCGGTGGGTCTGTGGACCCTGTTCAAGAAACTGCGATCTCTGTCCATCGCCGTGTTTTTGTGCCTCATGATCACGATGATGTTCTTCCCAGTGTACACCTCGCGAATCGTATCGGTCCACGATTCCGAGAAGTCTCGGGTCTATGACTCGAATGTGTTCATTCCCCTGGCGTTTTTGTTTTGGAACGTCGGCGATCTCGCTGGGCGAGTGGCCGTTTCTTACCCGGGGCTCTCTCTGGCGCACCGTCCCAAGGTTGCTCTCACCTTGACCGTTGCTCGCGTGGTGTTTGTGCCCCTGTATCTGCTTTGCAACATCGATGGCAGCGGAGCTGCTGTCCAGAGCGACGTGTTCTATATGGTCGTCGTGCAGCTTTTGTTTGGTGTGACGAATGGTTACCTCGCGTCGAGTTGTATGATGGGGGCCAGTGTGTGGGTGTCCCCGGATGAACGGGAAGCCGCGGGCGGGTTTATGAGTATGATGCTTGTGGCTGGACTTGCTGCCGGGAGCTTCTTGAGCTTCTTGGTGGCCAGCTGAGTGCCTTTGGTCGGAGATGGCTGGGAGGCCGAATGCATCATCGAGGGGTTCTCAATGCGTGCATGTCACGATTTTATGGATATCGCTGGCGCCATGGGTTGTTCATAGAGTGGAGAATGCTATGGCTGTTGTTGTTTTTTTGCTTCCAGTACACGACTTGAATCCATCGCGTTGGATGTGTTGATGAAACCCTCATCTATACCCATCTGTTCAGGTGTGCCAAGTTGAAGCTGTATCTCGTGGGGAACTGACAGTTGAACGTGGTCCGCTTGAGCTTGAGCTTGACCTTTCAATCCCCGAAGTACCCTCGGCGTCGGAGAGGGCCTTCTTTTTCCGCCGCAAGACATTTTCCAAGCTACTTGAAAATTGGGTCATTCTGAATACCACCTACATAGTACATACTAGTTACACACTATAGTACATACTAGTTACATATTAAGGTTCATAGTATACTAATCGCAAGTAGTACCTACTAGTAACTACTAACTAGTAGCTGTTCATCTAGTTGAGGTCTACATTGAAAGTATCCCAAATAAACGGGGAAGCTTTCCAATCTTGAAATGTTGCCCAGTGGAAACCGTAAGCGTCACAGGTACAGTGAAGTTAGTGAACCCCTGCGGCAGGGACCCGCCGGCAGGGCGCTCCGCCACACCATTTATTTATAAAACTGACTCGGGGGGCTAGTTGGGTGTTGAACACTACTATTGTGTCAGTGCCTCGGTGGTTTATCGTTGAGCTCCTCAGCCTCCTCTTGCCGCCATCGCTCATCGTTCATGTACTGGACAATGAGGCAGTAGGTAGTAGGTACTAGTGGTACAGCTGCTTTTACATCTGTCGAGCTATAAAGCACATCCCTGAGGTGCAACCTATGTAGATAAGTACGTTGCTGCTAAGTCGGTAGTAACTAAGTTACTGGTTAGTGTTACTAACTAGTACTTTACAGGTTCCCCCCGGTAAGTAATCACTTACTACGACGGTGGTACTTACGTAGGTACTACTGCGACGTTGGGGAAGCGTGGGAGTCGGGACTCGGGACTCGGGAATAACAAAACAGGACTGAGTGGGGCAGGTACCCGGTACTTTCCATGAGACGCAACCCCCACCTCAGTACGAGGTCCCGGCTACCTCCCTGATATCATCATTCCAGATCCCCCCAGACCCCTTCGGACGAGGCGAGATCACACCACGCTGACTTTCGACTGGGTCATATCCCTAGTCACCGGTAGACAATCGACCGTCGTCCAGTAAGTCGGACATGAGGAGGACAGTGCTATGATGATCTGCGTGGATAGTAAGCCCGAGCCCTGCCTTCGAACAAGGTAAGACTGGAGTTGGTGGTCTTCTCTGGACCTGCCGAGGGTCTAGACTCTGGACTGGGTCCACGTTCGATCTCCGGCTAGACTCTCCAGCCATCAAGCCACTTCACACCTTGAGGTGGACCCAGCAATAGTTCGAGGAATTCGGGAGTGACTGCGATCCAGAATCGAGGACAGGTCCGATGGTGCAGTAAGCAGTACGCAGGGGAGTCAGGAGTCAGGAGTCCTCCCACAAGGAACTCCCCACCGGGCGGTTTTGGATCTGCACAGTTGCAGGAGCCCTTGCGATCATCATCCGCTTGGACCTGTCAAGACGCTCAACTTGCTCCATTGCGGTCCCTGCACATCCTGCACGTCGCCAATCATGATAGCCAGGGTGGTTCTGTCTGTCCTGTTGGACTCCATCGACGCGTGTCGTTTGTCTAGTGTCTAGTATCACTATCTAGAAGATAGCATCTAGAAGATAGCATCTAGAAGATAGCATCTAGAAGATAGTATCTAGAAGATAGTATCTAGAAGATAGCATCTAGAAGATAGCATCTAGAAGATAGTATCTAGAAGATAGCATCTAGAAGATAGCATCTAGAAGATAGCATCTAGAAGATAGCATCTAGAAGATAGCATCTAGAAGATAGCATCTAGAAGATAGTATCTAGAAGATAATATCTACTGACAGTCCACCGTCCCAGGGTCTCAGGGTCGATCAAGAGCTCGGCCGGTTGTCGACGATCTCCAGAAACCCTGGACCCATAACGTGAACCTTGATGACTCGGAGCAATAATCAAGATGCCCGTGCCCGTGCCCACATGGGTTACCGAATTTTCCATTGACATCACTCAAGGCACAGAGAGCTCTGCAAAGATCGCTCTGCTCCTTCTCTTCAGTTGGGAGATTCTTCGTTGCGTTCTGTATCCTTCCGTGGGACGCTCTCTGTACAGTCGGTGGGCATTGAGCAGTGTAGTCGCTTCTCCACTGACCTCTGGTCAACACAGACACATTCCTGCATACTGAAGGTCGCGGGAGTTGCTCCTATCTCGAACTCGTACTTGTACTGTCATTTCTTCACATTCTCTAACCAAATTCACTTTACTGTCGAGACTCTCCAATGCCTTGAGGTTTCACTTCTTCTTCTTCTTCTTCTTCTTCTTCTTCTTCTTCTTCTTCTTCTTCTTCTTCTTCTTCTTTCCATTGAAGCTCCTCGACAAGTGTCATTCCTTCCTCTCCTGGTTTTTGCGGTGGAAATCGGTGACCGTACAGCCTTCCTCGTGTCATCACGGTCATCGCACTTTGAATCGTACTATACACATTGCAGTCTACTGTCCACAGTCCACAGTCTACCAGAACCACGCAATGGTCGCCCATCGCAAGAGCCGCTCTCTCCCAACAATAATTCTCTTCCTTCTTTTCGCATACATCTGCCTCATCTGGCTACCACTCCATCAATTGGGAAAGCGGCACCATCACCATCCGCAACCACCACCCCTTGACAGCACATTCACGTCACAAACCACCATCCATTTAAACTCCACAGTCGAGAAACATCCTGTTCCATCGTACATCCCTCTGCCAACATCCCCGATTTCAATTCCTCGAATCCAGTATGATTTTCCCCCAGAGTCCAGACCCGAGCGCAAAGCCCGGCTGAAGAAACAAAAGGCCGTCAAGCAGGCATTCCTCCATGCTTGGAATGGATACAAAGACCATGCCTGGCTTCATGATGAAGTCTCTCCGCAGTCGGGCGGGTACATGGACACCTTCAGCGGATGGGGTGCAACGCTTGTGGATTCACTAGATGCGCTCATCATCATGGGTCTCGAGGAGGAGCTCGAATTGGCCCTGGAGGCTATCGCGCACATCGATTTTACCACGACCAGGAGTGAGGATGTGAATGTCTTTGAAATTACGATTCGATACATGGGCGGCTTTCTGGCGGCCCATGACTTGAGTCGTGGCAGATATCCTGTTCTTCTTCAAAAGGCCCAGGAATTGGGCGAGATGATTTACAATGCCTTTGATACTCCCAATCGGATGCCTCAGATGCGGTGGGAATGGTCAAAGTATGTTCAGCTCCCAGCTACGATGTTTCGTTTTCTTTCATCTTGACATCTTCCCTCTGATGTTCATGGATGTCCGTTCTCTAATTTGACATTCCCTAGATCCGCACAAGGCGAGGAGATCGAGGCGGGAGAGCGAACGTCTCTCGCCGAGATGGGCTCCTTGACTCTCGAATTCACGCGACTCTCGCAATTGACCGGCAATCCCAAATACTTTGACGCCGTCCAACGCATCACAGCAGAATTAGAACGGGGTCAATCCCGCACTCGTCTCCCGGGGCTCTGGCCCGTCTTCATCGACGCCAAATCTCTGGGCTTTGGCTGGTCCCAATTCGCGCTTGGAGGCGGTGCCGATTCCACCTATGAGTACCTGCCCAAACAGCATATCCTACTTGGTGCACAGCGCGACGAGTATCGCCTCATGTACGAAGCTGCCATGGAGACGATCAAAAACAAGTTTCTTTTCCGCGCTATGACCCAAGCCGAGGATAAGAGGATCCTGTTCACTCTCAACGCAATAGTGCGGATGGGCGGAGCACTGCACGGGGTAGAGTATGTGCAGGAACATCTGAAGTGCTTCCTCGGTGGGATGGTCGGCTTGGCATCCAAGGTCTTCAATCGCACGGAAGACATGTGGATTGCCAGGGGTCTCACGGATGGATGTATCTGGGCATATGACTCGATGCCGACGGGGATCATGCCTGAAATCATGGCGGTCAGTCCGTGTGAAGACATGGAGAAGTGTCCCTGGGACGAAGGAAAATGGTACGAGGATGTCCTGGGCCAAGCGATTCATTCCCGCAAGTATCTTGAACATGCCCAGGATGTTGTAGAGCGAGAGGGTCTTCCACCTGGTGTGGTGGGAATCACTGATCCAGCATACAATCTTCGGTATGAGACAGAAACCCTCCCCTCTCCCTCCATCTCTATATCTTCTCCCGCTCTCCAGCTGGCTCAGACTCATCACTAACATGCTTTTTTGTCCTCCAGACCCGAGGCCATCGAATCCATCTTCATCATGTACCGCATCACCGGTGACAAATCCCTTCAAGAGGTTGCATGGCGAATGTTTCAAAACATCGACAGGGTGACTCGAACCAAATACGGCCACTCTGCCATCAACGATGTCCGCAACCCACTGCCCAAATTAAGCGATAAGATGGAGAGCTTCTGGCTTGCAGAAACCTTGAAGTATTTCTATTTGATCTTCTCTGAACCCGAGCTGATCAGCTTAGATGAGTATGTTTTGTGAGTATTTCCCGCTCTCGCGCCCACAGTTGAAAAGATGCGTTGAATGATAGGGAGAATTGTGAGAGACGGAGGCTAATGCTTTGTTGTGTGCTAGGAGTACCGAGGCTCATCCCTTTAAGAGGCCGTCGTGATAGAGAACAATAGGGAAGACAGCAGGTTCCTCGTTTTGGGGTCGCTCTAGACTTAGACATGCTTTTTTTTGTTTGAATTGCGCAATTAGCGGGTTTCCGGGAGGAGTATCGGGATATATCTATCGAGTAACAAGTCTCTACAGTCTACACCGTTCATTCAATCATTTGACTTGGTTGATTTGCATCCACATCTATCCATGTCTCTTTAGTGCCATCCACTCTTGGGACGTGGTATATATTAGGTACTTGACGCGAGTTTCTACAAGGGAGAGACACGTCTACGTCGCAGGCTTAGATGTCCCTCATAGCCCCAATACAGACCAGTAGCCAAGCATACCTGAGCACAACTGCAGCCATGGCGTCCGGCACGTCCACGAGACCAAACGAGGGTCTGCAGTCCTGGGCTCTGGACTCTGGACTCTGTATCAATCCTCGTACCCGTCCTTATACGTAGCCCTGTTCCGCTGCTGTGAGACCGGGCTGGATATCCACAGGTTTCAAAAGGTATCATTGATTGTCATCGTAGCTGACTAGCATTGTCTCATACAGAAAACCAGCTTATTGAGCACATGCATGAAAAAGAGTCCCCATTATCGGTGAAGGCAAGATGCGCGAGGCTGTCCTTCATGTCTGGACTATCTGCTTGAGCTGGAGGACAGTGCAATTCTTGTTTCCAGGGTTCCGCATGTGTCGCGACTCGGTCGCCCATTTCTGCTGGTTCACATTGATTGCGTACAGGGTATTTTAGCGGAGATTTGGATGTTCAAGCGGCGGAAATGTAGAGCACTATCAGTCATACATGTGGGTATTAGCTCCGAAGGCACCAGTGATGTGGAAGGTAGGAGAAGAAGAAGAAGAAGAAGAAGAAGAAGAAGAAGAAGAAGAAGAAGAAGAAGAAGAAGAAGAAGAAGAAGAAGAAGAAGAAGAAGAAGAAGAAGAAGAAGAAGAAAGAAAAAAAGCGCTTTTCTTCACCTGTAGAACATACCGTTGTTTCCACGCACAAAGGCGTCTCCGTAGCTGCGACGAAGCTTCCCATTCACAAATTCCTCGGTCTTCTCCAGCGCAATGTTCATGTAGCCATCCACCGATTGGAGCTCACCTATCAACAACAAGACTTCATTTCAGCTTCCAGTGGGTAAGGAATGAGGAGGGAAAAGCCATACCCTTGTAAACAACACCAGAGTTGAGCTTGACAATCACCGGAGCACCGATGATCTCGCCGAGGAAGGCCGAGGGATCTTTACCCTCTGAGGCTGCGCCGTTCTCCATATTGAAGCGGTTGTTCTACACAGTATGAATTAGTAAATCTTCCTTGCACAAATCTCATGTGTTCAGAGCGGATGACATCAATCATCTGGCCAGCTCCGTGAGCCAATTCTACTATGCACATACATACCTGGCGAAATGAGGGTTGGGGCGGTCAAAGGTCGGAAGGTGGGCTTGACTCGTGAAGCAGAGAGGATTCCCAAAGGCGGTAAAGCGCCCTTTTGGATCGCGGCGCGGGGACGCCTCTTTGAACGGGGCGCAATGCACCACTTCTAGAAATGATCATATCGCATGTGATGCTGACCTCTTGCGCCTGCTTTGTGTTTACCAGACGTGGTCATTGACCACATACTGCAACTGTTTCTATTCTCACAATGCGCTCATTCTTCAATAAGCCAGAATGGGCAACAAAAGCAAGTGATCCATCAAATACTGGTTTCTACCGTCGCTCTGGACAGACATTCTCCGATATTGTCGCTGCCAACCGCGAGGCACGTCGGAAGCAGAAGCTTGCGGTCCATTCGTCTGAAAGTGCATCCCCCAGCCCTTCAGATGAATTTCGAGAAGCAAAGCGACCGCGGGGATCAGACGAACATGAGGACAAATCAGAGTCCAAGAACAAGAAGCCAGAGGTGACAGTGGCCGTGGCAGACGAAGCCGACGCCGAAACCGAGGTCGAACCCGAACTTGCGCACACGGCGCAAGAAAGCGAGCCTGAAGCAAAGACGAGAGAACGCACTCCCTCATTTGCACATCCGGACCTCGATAGCCATGTCGGCAGTTTCCAGACCAGTGATGGGATCTCTCGGCCTGCAAGCCCTCAGCGTCCCATTTACATTGACGATTCCGCAGACGAACAGTTGACTCCACCCATGTCCCATCATACCACAGACATCAAAACAACAAGTGTTGATAGCCCTAGAGCGCAAGGACAGAAGGATCATAAGTCGAGCGATTCCTCCACGCTCTCCACAATGACGACTACCAACACCACTCCACTACCCCTACCGACGCCCCCTCCAGTCGACGATCCACGTGTGCATATCCTTATCACATCAGAAATCCCAAATACAAACCCCCTGATCATCCAGCGCAAGATGTCGCAGGCGCTGAAAGATGCCCGACTAGCCTGGTGTGAACGACAAGGGTTCACCAACCAAGAAAAGTCAACAGTCTATCTGACTTGGCAAGGTCGCCGAGTGTTTGACGTGACAACCTGTCGCAGTCTTAATATCAAACAAGAGAAAATGTCTCTTTTGGACATAGATGACGAATTTGATGACGAGGAACCTCCGTCTGAGCTCCAGATTCATATGGTGGCGGTCACCCAGAATCCAACGCTGTTGAACCGTCGCGGTCCTTCTCCCGATGCTGGCGCTGGCGCTGGCGCTGGTGCACGTGGACAAGATGCATCGCCAAATACCCAAAATGATGCAGAGGATGCGCCCATGAAGCTCTTACTAAGAAGTCCCGGTCTGACTGACTTCAAAATCAAGGCGAGACCCTCGACCACAGTGGCCAAGATTGTAGCGGCATTTCGAGAAAAGCAGAACATATCTAGAGATAAGAGCGTGGATCTCATATTTGACGGTGATCGGCTTGAGTCTGACTCCTGTCTCGGTGACCATGATGTATCTGACTTGGACATGCTCGAGGTCTTGATTAAATAATTCTCAGTTGCATGAAGGCTTGGGGTTTTCTCCGGGCTGTTCTTGATACACTTGATCTTTCGTTTTTCCTTGTTTTCAAGGCGTTTTTCACTTTTGAAGCGTTTCTCGGCCTTCTTTTTTTGGAATTCCAGCCCGCTTCATTTGGAGTGTCTACACTTTACTGAATAACGCTTTAGTTATGTGGTCTCTCAAAATGCTTCCAACCTGGCTCTTCTCTTATCTTGACGGGGCTCACATGGATCAATTGCATACTATCATCTATAGTGACATGGCCTCGCGGATATAGATGTGGATCTTATCGATAACAAATCACCTGACGTGGGGCTCCGCGGGTATTTTTTTCTTCTCGCGGCACATTCACTTTGATATCGCAGAGATAAGAGCCAGTCGAAAGAGCGATTATTCGACCTCGAAACGCAAATTCCAAGCTTCCACCGTCAACACAGCTTTTCCGCTCCTATTCACGACCTCCAACTTCAAATAGCATCAAACCAATCGCAACATCTACCCAACAACAACAACTACAACCTCCTCCTCCTCCATTACACCCACCATGAAAGTCATCACAGCCAACTTCGTCACCTGCGCCGTCAAGGAATGCAAAACCTCCGCGGCCTCTTTCCCCCTTCACTTCCAAGACGCCGAGCTCGAACAATTAGAATTGGACCTGCAGCCGGAATTCATCCGCAATGTTCTTCCCCGCGTAGACTGGGACAGTCTGCGAATCACAGCTACAGAGGTATGTCGATTTTCCGATCCTGCCCACCCCCGGAGTCCAGGGTGTCAGCACTTCCCATGGAGTTCTGGACGAGGGAAATCAACCAGAAAATAAAAGACTGATTCCTCGGTGTTTATTTGTGTGGTTTTACACAGCTCGGATTCCCTGCTCTTCCTGAAACAAAGCCCGAAGGCGACGCATTGAACGACGAACAGACACTCAAGGATCTACACCGACTACTGCTGGAGACCTCGGTCGTGGAGGGAAAGTTGGTCTGTGGGAATTGTGGACATCAGTATGTGATCAAGGAGGGAATTGCCAACTTCCTTCTACCGAGTCACCTGGGTAAGTCACTTTCTTGCTTCTAGCCTTCTACTGCACCTTTGATGTGCTGGTTGGCATTTTCATGTTCGACTTGACCTTATAACATGGAATGACTGACTTTGATTGCGCCTGGCTTTGCCAGTCTGAGGCAACGACGTTGAATTCATGTCTCAATTCATCAATTATATACGGCTAGGGCTCATACATCCGGGAGACCACGATTCTTCGACCTCGGTGATTCGAGTCGGCCATTATCTTTCTTTCTTGCTGGACATTCTTGTCTCCGGCTTTTCTAGCTTTTTTTTTTCCGAACTCAATAATACCCAATTCGCTTCGCGGAAAGGACGTCGGTTCTGCATCTCGTATGGGACCTATAAGTCTAGGGACAAGCGCGACGAGACACCCATCCGTTGGTCTACAGCCATCATGTACATCCCGGAGCGCGGTCCCACAGATCAGAATCATAAAGTGTTCGAGGCAGGCCTCATTATGGCAAAGTCTTGTGGAATTCTCTTTTGCATATTGTACATCAAGGATGCCGCCCTTGAACTCAGGATATCCCAACCATATAGGCCCTCGAATGCTCCCAGCCTTCAAATAGAAAAGAACGCCGAAGCAGCTTCCCAACGCCGGTCCGGTGATATGAGTGTGTTAAACAATAGGGAGAAATAAAAATCCAAGAGGATTAGATGTTTGTTGAATAAAAAGCCCGCCATGCAGATGTTAGCTAGAAAACCCAGGGCGAATTGGGGGGGGGGGGGGGGGGGGGCGATAGATGAAATCGTTAAAACAGAGGCGATTGGTGATTAGGTCACTCAGTTGAGGAAACCCTTGCATCCCGTGGAACCACAGAGACATGGGATGCGATCGTCACTGTCCCATTCACGTTCGAACTTGTAATCATAAGTGAGCTCTTCGTCTGTGAGATGATGGGCAGTTAGCTCAAATGTTCATAGTTCAAAGGTCAAATTGCACAAGTCCCGGTTCGTTTCGCGCAGTTCTAGAATCTTAGCCTCTGGTCTCGCGTCACACGTACCTCTTTCGATGTCCCGGAGCGCATAAATGACGATGCGCTTACTACCATCGACCTTGATGATCTTGGCCGTGCAATTCGGCGTGCAGCTGTGGTTGATGAAGCGCGCGATACCGCCACGTTTCGTGGCATCAATGACCGTATTCTCATCAATTCGGAACAGGTAACTGCTACCAATCCCACTCTTGAGATACCGGCGTTCGCGCATATCGGCCACCTGCTGCCGAACTTTTTCACCAACGTATTCAATGATCATGTCGTTGGCAGTGATATTTTCTTCGGCGTAAAGCCCCCAGTTGTGAATGGCGGATCGAGCAAATCGCACAGGCTTCTTCCGCTTCTTAAGCTGGTTGAAGCGCAGGACGTCGCCGTCACCACTGGATGTGGGCAAAGCTTGTTTCTGAGCGTTGATGTCGGCAATGAGCCGGCGATTGTTGACCCGATTTGATCGGGACGAGGACTTGGAAATAACCTTGGCGGCCGCCACTCGCGCGGCCTCTGCAGCGGCAGCCTGCGGATCGGCCTTGGCCAGCGCCTCTCGCTCCTCGCGGGCCTTCTGGACCTTGATACGATGGGGGAGGTACTTGGATTTTTCAGCTTCCATGATCCTCTTTCGTCCTTCTGTTCTGGCCGCGCCAGTAACGTTGGGCACATAGTAACCAGGAATCCTAATCACATCACGAGTGGGACCACTGGGTTCTGTGGAGTTGAGAGCCTTGATCTCCTTCTGGCGCCAGGCCCAGGCGCTTGGATCCCCAAGCTTGGAGGCAGAGTGGTCGACCAAAGCTTCACGGAGGAATTGAAAGTCCTCGTCATCCTTGACCAGCTGTTGCCAGCCATCTAGGTCGAGGATGATGCCATCATCGTCTTCCACGGTAGCTCGCGGCTCATGCTTGGACACGCCCCAGTTGATCTCACTCTTGGGCTTGCCCTCAACTTCTGTCTCCGGAGGCTCGGTAGCTGCGACTTCATCAGCCACAACGGGTTTGCTATCGCCAATGTGAGACGAATGATCTTCGAGTAGCTTGTCCGAAATTGACAGCTCGTCCTGGGCATCAAGGGTCTTTGATTTGGTCTCCAGTAGATCCTCAGTAACAGCAGCCGGAGTCTCTGGGTGTTCATCCTCAAGCGTGTCTTCTGAGGGACCGACGCTAAAGAGCTCTTCATCTTGCCGCTGCCGTTTTCGAGAATCATCTTCCCCTGGCATACGCTTCCTCTTCCGCGAAGTGGGTGAAAGTACATCATCCTCCAGTAATGGATCATCACCGGTCGCAGCTCCGCCTTCGTCGAAAATGTCAGAGGGGTATTCCTCATCCTGCTCTGACGCCGAGGAAACGGACGTTGCGCGACTTGGAGGCCGACTGCTCCGGTCCTCTGTGTAGCGCGTGAGAGGGGTCCTTTGGTCCTCATCAGAATCGTCGTCATCGTGCAACTCTTGCAGGCGATGGTACAGAGGGCGCACTTCCCTCGGCCGAAGAGGTTGCCGGCGGCGCTCGTCCACGAAGGCCGCGCCTGAACGGTCCAGCCCGTGAGCTTTGCGTATACGCGGCAGAGCAAGGACATCGAGTCTGGCAGATCGCGAATCCTCCCGAACATTTGAAGCTTCAGATCGAGAATCTGGGGTGGCCGCTGAGCTACTCATACCAATTCGGAAAGTTGGCCGTTTTGAGCCTTCAGGGCTAGCGATCCCCAATCGTTCCCGGCGAGCTGCATGGCGTTTGGGATCAAGGTAATCGTACAAGGTTGGTGCGGCGATGCGAGATTTGACATCTTCGAGCAGCTTGTCTCGAAGATCCCGAATGATGACCGCCAACACCTCCCGACACGGGTCCAGGTCCAGCGCGCGTTGTTTCTTCTCCTCCTCCACATCGAGCTCGGCCTCTCTTTTCGCCCGGTCGCGGGCAGCCTGTTCCTTTTGTTCGGCGAGTAGACGTTCGGGACTCGGACTGCGCACGTAGTTGGGGTTTCCGTAGGGCTGACTTTCCATGTTCATGATGTAGGTGAAGAGCGGTTGCATATGGCAAAGTCGGAAGCATCTGTCGGTTTCCTGCTCACCAGCTCGGGAGTTGTGGAAGATTACGTAGTAACCTGTTCTATCGCATCGGATAGCTTTGTAATCGAATAGTTTGAGTCGCTTCTTGAGATGGGGGACAGTAGTGCTGAGGACGGGGACGTAGCAATGGGCGATGAAAATGTAGGGTTCGCGTTTAATTTGACTGAGAATCGGAGTTTCCTCGACCAGAGATGGGACTGTCGGTGGTCGAAGGCCTGCGCGAGGCCCTTCCGGAATGATCATTCCTGGTCGCATCGCAGATCGACCGGAGGGGCCTTTCGGGGCAGTTGGAGGTGGTTCATTCTTCTTTAATGGGACTTCAGCCGGCTTGGATTCGCTGATCGGTACGGTAGGGGGGCAGTCTTGGAGGCGAGTCGCTGCGACTCAATTGCGCGCGAGGCCATGCGCTCCGAAACTGCGCCATCTCGATCTAGGTCAACTCTGATCCGGCGGGTACCAATGCGCTGCTCTTTTTTGCATTCCATGTAAGCACGCCGCGCTGCGGCGGCCGCTGGAAGTGGCCCAGTGCCTCGGAATGAGACGCTGTCCTTGTATCGTATTGAGCAGATTCCTAGAAATCGGCCAGTTATCGGATCCGTCCGGTTGTTGATCTCCGCGATCTCGCCAAAGCTAGAAAAGATTACGCTGATAGACGCAACGGGTGTCAGTGGATCAAAGCCGGTCACAACTACCTGCGAGGGAGGGCCTGGTCCAATGCTTGTTGCGCGATCGTATGGCCATGGTTTCAAGGTGTAGGGCATCGGTCGATATTTTGTCTTTTGCTTGCAGCCTGACCCACGCGTGTAATTGGGGATCGCCAATCGAGGATCTGCAGCCTTGTTTTGAGGATCTGCGACAATCTCAGCATATTCGGGCTTGCGACGCTTCTCTTTGGATGGTCGTTTGTCCAAGTCCGGATCATATGTGATCTTACGCCCTTTGATCACCATTTCCGGGCGCGTTTGTGATTGAGGGGTTGGCGGAGTGTGAACAGGTGTCACTGAGGGTTTTGTTGAATCTGTCTTGCTTCGACGGCTTGAAGATTGGTCCGCCGCCTTGGGCGAAGCCGCGGCCTTACGCGGCGAAGACGATTCTGTGTTAGTGAAGGGGGTCAACGTGTCGGTTTGAGATGGGGCATGAGGGTCGGCGATGGCTGGTGAACAGAATCCATTAAGCTCTGCATGAACATCCGACCTTTTCGTTGGCGCTTCCGATGAGCATTGAGCGATATCTGTCTTCTCAGCCGGTTCGTCATTGAACGATGCCCCGCCCGTCGCGGCTGAGCCGGGCACGGTGGACGTTGGAAAGTCGAAAGGCAAGATCTCGTCATCGCAACTCTTGCCTCGGCGATCTCTGACCTTGCCACGCTTCTGCGAGAGGACTGATGGCGCGGTGGGGAAGAAATCCGCAAACCCGGCCGAGGCGCGTGACATGCTGTGAGATATGGCTACACGCCCGGGACGGCCTCGCGACGACTTGGCAGCATCCTTGACCACGGGTCTTTTTTGCGAGCGCAAAAGACTTGGGGCGCAGAATGCCCTGGCGAATTCAAAGGGGACTGAGGAATCCGTATGAGCAAGACGTCGGAAGGGAGATGGTGTTTTTGCAGAAAGGGACTGGAGCAGCACGATAAAATTGACCTGGCCCAGCAACCCGTGAAAGGGTCAATTAATTTCAACGCGAAAGCGAGTTTTGCAGGGAAGCCAGCCCATCAAAGAGGTAGGCGGTATGCGGGATCACCGGTGGGCGGTCAGTTGGGGGTGGGGGAGGCTCGGCTCTTCTTTGTTCCAGCTGCGGAGCAGACTGATGGATGGATCTTGAGAGACTTCACGAGAAAGAAGTCCAAATTTGAAGGTTCAAATTCAATCTCATACCTTACCACTCAGATGTCTCTGAATCTATGGTCCTATAATTTCGTGAGTCTATTGCAATGATAACGCTACCGTGTCTTCCTCATCTTCGACTTGGGGCGCATTTATCACTCTACTACCATGTCGGTAAACTTGGAGAACCTGTCTCTTGAATCTATCCATCTTCAACTGAATACCTTACTATATCCTACCCTTTTCGGTAGAATTATTCTTCTGAGGGATCGTTGCCTGAAGTGCAAGCTCTGCGGATGTCACAACACGACATCTGAACAAGGGCCAAAGTAAAGTAGTAGCGGGCTCGATTGAGAAGTACATCGAACCAAAAACACGAGTTGCCTATTTGGGACTCCTTCTCTTGAAGCTCTGGGGGCACCCCAGGTAATTCGACTGTAGATACGATATGTCTGACTCATCGTGCCGTATGATTGAGGTACTGGCTTTTAATGCCTATACGAGCCCAGGTAACTAGATGTCTGATGCGGAGTTTGGAGATTCAGCCTGGAACCACGACGCCTCAAGAATAGGATCTGCTTGACAATCATTTTGAACGATTCGCTGGCGAGCGAAGTTCCAATTCGTAGGTAGATCGGAAATTGTGCTTATCTTCCATGCTTCTTCCGGGATTCTGTCTTTACCAGTATACGTGAAGTGCGACGGTACAACGAGGCATTGTCATAGACTCATTAGGTAGTAGATATTCGATAACTACTACTAGAGGGCCAGAATGTCACAGTCCGCCTGTCCAGACAAGGGGTCCCACAGGCCACCAGAGATGTGGCTGTGTAGCAGCCACACCGACTCCCGCCTCACGTGGTTGAGAGACGGAGAAGAACCACTAGGTTCATTACATGGTAGTCAAGTCTAAGTTATAGGTCTTGTTAAAATGAGAAGGACGCCCAGTACCAACGCCGCAGCTTAAACCTCGTACTGATAAGGCTCGAGCCGTCGGCAGTGAGGTCACGACTACGGCAGTCGGGGTACAGCAAGACAGATAGGACTAAAATAGAATAGAGTCTGATCCCCGGTTTTAAATCAACATGTTGTCAAGGAAAGATTGTCCGGGCAAGAAAAGTGGATCACCGTTCGCCAGCTCCATCCACTGTCGTGGGCTTTCATCCTCATCCTCATTGATAATGATAAGCCCATGTACTTCTCTACCAAGTCCCCGGGTGACCTAAGGAAGCTATTGTGGTTCGGCAGGTTTTGCGAAAGACGAGGGGCCTGAAGAATTTTGGAGTACCACAAGGCGTTCTGATATGATTAAGGAACAAGTTCAGACTAGCAGTTGGTGCAGGATGTCTATTGACTCCCGTCCACTCCACCTCCCATAGCCTCCCTGCAGGGATCACCAGTGCGATAAACAAGGAATAGGCTTTCTTAGTGCATCGCCACTAGCTTCCCAGAAGGTGATAACGCCACTGGACAGGTACGATATCCGCGACATTAAAGAATTTAGAGACCCCCAGATGGGCGCAAATTTCCTCGCTCACTGGACCGGGGCCATTGACAGACTGACAGTCCGTGTGGTGCTTCCGTTCGCCGCAGGGGCAGGTCCGGGTATGCGCGAAGGTGGAGGTCTCGCTTTGAATCTCATGAGTATGGGATCATGAATGATTGTTCCATTCTTGTTGGCTCCTTGATTGGAAGAACAGGATCCCTTTTGCAATCCACGCATGCACGTTGGAGTCTTGACTTTGACAGATGGTCTGCTGTGGTCGGTCATCCAGGGAAGACATACCACCAAGCGTGCTACTAGGTAGGTTTAAGCGGCCAATGCTCGAGTCTGATGGAGAATCATCAATCGTCCTTGCAGACAAGCAGGCGATCATCCAAAGTCAATTTGAACGAGCTGTTGTATGACACCAATGCTGGGTACCGTGGTGACAAGTGCTGGAACCTGTCGATTGTTTACTTGTTCATTCGGTAGATACGTAGGTGCCAAGTGGTGTATTGGCAATTGAACTCTGACTGGGCCAGATGTAGTAATCCAGCATCAGTACTATCCCCAACAGTCGAGTCGCAATGTGGTGATGACGACACGGGCGGCGCAGTTGTTCTGGAGACGGGAAGTAGAGTGGGGATAGCACAGACTACACCATGACCTAGTGTTCTGTGGTGCCCTGCAGGTAGTCTCTTCCAATGCCGGTGGCTAATGGCTGTGTATCGGATTTGGTTGTCGACTTCTGGGATGTCCACGACTCCTTGGTCTCACAGGGCGAGGAGCCGATCAGGCCGACTGCCAGGACAGGACTGCCAGAGAGACCGGGCAGACAGGAACTCAACCATGCCGCGATGGAATATTTTTATTTTTAAATCCAGCGTGGCCAAGACAGGCCTGGGTGGAGAGCGCCATGGACTGCTCGTCAACCCAATTGGCCTGGCCCTGGACCAGGTCGCCCCTCTCCGTTGAATCTCCAGCGAGCTCAGCCATGGACGAAGAAGCCGAGCTGAGACATGATCGGTGACGGCAACGATGCGTGGGCCCAGAAAACCAAAATACAGCCGCCTGTGGAAGTGGATTCGAACTGGAAAAAGGAGGAGAAAGGGTGGACAAGAAAGGAAAACAACAACAACGACCCTCACACACACTAGCCCGGATGTCAACCATGGGACCACCTTGGCCGTTGACAATTCGGAAACGACATAGCCGATGCACATGACCTTGGAGCCGATCTTGGGTGCGATTCATTTGGGTCCATTGGGTCTGATGTGCAGTCCTTACTGCAGAAGACTAGAATGTAGATAGTACTGTAGAGTGTAGACTGGTAGTATAGTACTCAGGGAGATCCCCAGAGCTTGGCTGAATGGCCTGGGAGATGCTGGGTGAGGGTCCATGACTCGCCCATTGATGGTGATCTTTAACCGACCTAAACATGTCAAAGTGCTGGATAGGCTACTATTTGCACCAAAAAAAAAAGAGAAGAGAAAAGTGCAAGTCCTTGGGAAAGTGCGATAGGATCATCATCACCACATCGGCGCTGAACTCACTGATCCACTCTCACCATGTCAAACTGGCCGAGTATGACCTGTCGGACCGTCGGCTGGGATAAGAGCTCTGACCATCGGAGCTCCTGTATGGTGGTGGTGGACAATGCAGTAATGCACATCCGAGCAAGAAGAAGCGACTTGAGAGAGAGATTAAATAGGCGGTGGAGTGCATGTGGGAGTGGACTGGAACGCTACTGGAACCGGTGGAATCGGGCTGCAGAAAAGTACCCGCAGGCTGAGGTGTACACAAAGAGCAAGTCTCGTCAACGGCGACAGGTGGTACACAAGTACACGACGATTACACTCTTACAAGATACTCAATCGTGAAGAGGGAATACTAGGTACTACTGGCAGTTCGTTGATGGTGTATTTGGTAATACTTTCGAGTCGAGAGAGCTTCCGAACTCGTTTCTTGTGCCAAGAAATAGCCCACAGCAGAGTGAAGCTCATATTGTCAACATTATGAGACTTGATAAAAGTCGTCGGGGTGTGGCTTGCAACAGTCATCCGCAAGCCTCAGTGCTGCGTGGGCGACAGTGGTAATGGACTACCTTAACTACCTTCGTACTTCTGCTAACTGTCCGAATTGTCGAGTGTAGAATGGATGGGACTAGGATGGGAGACTAGTCCTGAAAAGGACCTTGCGGTGGGGTTGTTTCGCATTTATTTTTATTTTGGTTCGTCTTTTCTTATTTTGAGATCGGAGCTGATTCACCACCGCCCCTCCCTTCCCTGCAGCTGTGCCCTTTCCCCTCTATAAATACGATTTCCAGACATCGCTCGCTACTTCCTGCATTTCTGTGACTTCTCCTCCTTGCTCCTCCTTGCTCCTTCTCTCTCGCTTTCTGACCATTGACCCTTCTCCTTTCCTATCTCTCTTGAAGCAAACTCCCACCACCAATTTCATCAGCGTCCATCTTTCGGCCTCCATTGACCTTCAATCGCTTTCTCATCCCCGCCTCTCTTTTGTTACCCCGTCAACATGTGGTACGTGGTGGCTGAAATCCAACCCTCCCCCCCCCCCCCCCCCCCCAGAACCAACCCCTCCTTCATGCTCTCTAGCGCTCGGTGAGCCTGCAACGGCGTGGTGCCTATACTGACTGGCAATCCCAGTGGAATCTTCGGTTACATCAACTACCTGGTCGAGCGTGACCGCCAGTTCATTATTGACACACTCCTCAATGGTGAGTCCCCAACCTGCTCTGGGCCCAGATTGTTGACAGACACGGTTGGTGCTGATCCGGGAACAATGACTTTTTAGGCCTGTCAAGATTGGAGTACCGTGGTTACGACTCAGCTGGTATGGCCGTCGATGGCGACAAGAAGAACGAAGTCCAGGCGTTCAAGGAAGTTGGCAAAGTCGCCAAGCTGCGCGAACTCATTGCCGAGACCCAGCCCGACATGACCAAGACCTTTGAGTCTCATGCCGGTATCTCTCACACCCGTTGGGCCACCCACGGCACCCCTTCCCGCCAGAACTGTCACCCCCACCGGTAAGTCATGCATCACCCTGCACTCCCGTAGAATCGGTTGAGTCCATTCCAGTATCTCTGACCTGGTTGCTGCGGTATGTCCTTACCAGATCTGACCCCTCCTGGGAGTTCTCTGTCGTCCACAATGGAATCATCACCAACTACAAAGAATTGAAGGCGCTGTTGGAGACCAAGGGCTTCCGCTTCGAGACCGAGACCGATACCGAGTGCATTGCCAAGCTGGCCAAGTACTTGTACGACCAGCACCCCGATATCGAGTTCACTGTCCTGGCCAAGGCGGTCATCAAGGAGCTGGAGGGCGCTTTCGGTCTACTCCTCAAGTCCGTCCACTACCCCCATGAGGTCATTGCGGCTCGCAAGGGTTCTCCCTTGGTCGTCGGTGTGCGCACCACCAAGAAGATGAAGGTCGACTTTGTCGATGTCGAATTCTCCGAGGATGGTCCTCTTCCCGCCGAGCAGGCCTCCCAGAATGTCGCCCTCAAGAAGTCGGCGGCCAGCCTCCTCGCCCCTCCCGACAAGTCCCTGCTGCACCGCTCTCAGTCTCGTGCTTTCCTCTCCGATGACGGCATCCCCCAGCCCGCGGAATTCTTCCTGTCCTCCGATCCCTCCGCCATCGTCGAGCACACCAAGAAGGTTCTGTACTTGGAAGACGACGACATTGCCCACATCCACGATGGACAGCTCAACATTCACAGACTCACCAAGGATGACGGCACCTCCAACGTGCGTGCCATCCAGACCATTGAGCTGGAGCTCCAGGAGATCATGAAGGGCAAGTTCGACCACTTCATGCAGAAGGAAATCTTCGAGCAACCCGAGTCCGTCGTCAACACCATGCGTGGTCGTTTGGACGTCGCCAACCAGATGGTCACCCTGGGTGGCCTGCGCCAATACATCTCCACCATTCGCCGCTGCCGTCGTCTGATCTTCATTGCCTGTGGTACCAGCTACCACTCCTGCATGGCTGTGCGTGGTGTGTTTGAGGAGCTGACTGAGATTCCTATTGCCGTGGAGCTGGCCTCCGACTTCTTGGATCGTCAGGCTCCCGTTTTCCGTGACGACACTTGCGTGTTCGTCTCCCAGTCGGGTGAGACCGCGGACTCCCTGATGGCTCTCCGCTACTGCCTGGAGCGTGGCGCCCTGACCGTCGGTGTCGTCAACGTCGTCGGTTCCTCCATCTCGCTCCTGACCCACTGCGGTGTCCACATCAACGCTGGTCCCGAAATCGGTGTCGCCTCCACCAAGGCTTACACCTCTCAATTCGTCGCCATGGTCATGTTTGCGCTCTCCCTGAGCGAGGACCGCGCCTCAAAGCAGAAGCGCCGCGAGGAGATCATCGAGGGTCTCGGCAAGGTCTCGGATCAGTTCCGCGAAATCCTCAAGCTGAACGAGCCCATCAAGGAGATGTGCGCCAAGTTCTTCAAGGACCAGAAGAGTCTGCTCCTGTTGGGCCGTGGTGCTCAATACCCCACCGCTCTCGAGGGTCAGTTGTTTCTCGTGTCGGCCCCAGCCATTCCACTCGCATTGTGATACTAATACGTCGGTTGCTTTGCAGGTGCCCTTAAGATCAAGGAGATCTCATACCTTCACTGCGAGGCTGTCATGTCTGGTGAATTAAAGCACGGTGTCTTGGCCCTGGTTGACGAGAACCTGCCCATCATCATGATCCTTACCCGTGACAACCTATTCACCAAGTCCCTGAACGCCTACCAACAGGGTAAGTGGCTCGCTATCGTTTTCCCATTCTGTCTTCTTGTTTCGTTCACCCCAGCTGACAAGTCTTTGTTTGGTAGTCATCGCCCGTGGTGGTCGCCCCATTGTCATCTGCAACGAGGACGATCCCGAGTTCTCCTCGGCCCAGACGGAGAAGATTGTTGTCCCCAAGACCGTGGACTGCCTCCAGGGTCTTCTGAACGTCATCCCTCTGCAGTTGATCTCCTACTGGTTGGCTGTCGGTGAGGGTCTGAACGTCGACTTCCCCCGTAACTTGGCCAAGTCCGTCACGGTGGAGTAAACGGACACGCATCATAAAAAGCGTTGGGAGGGAGTGAGTGATTCCCTGGGAGGGATTCAATTAGACGACTGCAATGATCTCGTTTTTTGTTCGTCGCTTGGTGTTATTGGCCATGTTTTGATAAGGCTTGTTTTGCATACTATAGTCTACATACTTTTTTTATGGTCTACCTCCCTGGCCACAATCTAGGATTTCATTACTCTTCATCACTTGGTTGGCCGTTTCGATCTTCACTGTTCAGTAAGGATAATGAAGCCGACGCAGTCCCAAAGACACAGTACATGTGGGGAGTTTGTACTGTGTACGTTCTGCACCGCTCGTTCCGCTCATCGTTGGAAGGCTTCAGATGCTCTTATTCCCGTGTCTGGCCATTCATTGACTGAGCACTCCGCCCTGCCCCGCCTCGGCTCGAATGCGGGACCCCATCCCTTTGATGTTTGCGTAGAGTTTCATGACCGTAAACTTCACCAGACACCCCCCGCCAATCCTGAGCTTTACGCATCTCTCACTCTCGTCTAAGCCCTTGCCAAATACTTTCACTCCATCCACCATGACCAGCATCAAGGGACCCGGTGCGCCAGAGACCTTCGACGGTGAGTCTACACCCTCACGTGTGTCAAACACTCGCCAGGCACGGCGCGGCGCTCTCGGAATTCCAGCTCAGGAAAAGCTGGTCTGACCCAAACCTTGGCCCTCCGATCAATGAGCGACCGACTAATTGATGGATAGGCTCTGATCTGCGCATTGCTATTGTGCACGCTCGTTGGAACACCAAGATCATCGAGAGCTTGGTAGCCGGCGCCAAGAAGAGCTTGTTCGCTGCTGGTGTCAAGGAGGAGAATATCACCGTCCAGACTGTTCCGGGCAGCTACGAGTTGCCAATTGGTGTGCAACGGTGAGTCCACAGACAGATCCCTCTCCTATCTCGAGCAAGTCCAGGGGGGAATGGAAGCGTGGGAGAAGGAAGATAGCAATCGAGAGGCATTTTCCAGCTCCCGACTCCCCTCCTCCTTCAGCAAAGACTTTGATTTCCAACGAGACCAATGGAGGACTAACCGATGCACGCTATCACTCTGTCTCTTTCCCTCTCCCAGCCTCTACGCCGCCTCCCAAGTGCAAGCCAGTCAGACCGGCGAAGGCCCCAGCGCCACAGACCTTCTCTCCGGCTCGACCTCCGATCTCAGCAAGACCGCCACCAGCCCCGCGACGACTCCCAAGAAGCCCTTTGACGCGATCATCGCCATCGGCGTCCTGATCAAGGGTGCCACCATGCACTTTGAGTACATTGCCGATGCGGTCAGCCATGGGCTGATGCGGGTGCAGTTGGATTCGGGGGTTCCTGTGATCTTTGGTCTGTTGACGGTGTTGACGGAGGAGCAGGGGTTGGAGAGAGCTGGGTTGGGGAATGGGGGTATGCATAATCACGGTGAGGATTGGGGGAGTGCGGCGGTGGAGTTGGGTGTGAAGCGTCGGGATTGGTCTGAGGGGAAGATTCTGTAGAATCTTTCTGGTTTTTTTTTTTTTTCGTTTCTAAAGAGGACTCTCTCAGTGTTCTGGGGTTGGAGACAAGAGGAATGATGGGACGTCGGGTGAATTGATAGTGCGCATCTCCAAGGTGGTGGCCTTATTGAGGAAAGAAGAGCTCACCGAGCTTCCTGGTACTCTGAATTTACTCTTGTGTCCCACACTCAGACGGCAGTAAATGACAAGGCCTACTCGGTCGAACAGTTCCAGAACATCCACAATATTGGAAATATCGTGGAACATGGGGGGGGGGGGGGGGGTGCAAGAGGTAGGTAGGATCTGTAATTTGTATCTATTGCGCAAGAGTATCACCGCTCAACACACAGAAGGTTTACTCCTCCATCTGCTCTCCGGAAGGCTTATCTGCTTCTTCCTCCTCATCATCGTCTAACGCCCGTCGTGCGGCTTTCTCGGCTTCCTCGAGAATCTCCCTGGGCACCTCCTCATGACGGCCCTTGGTTGGGCCGTCCATGGAGCTAATCCATGACATTTCCAATTCAAAGTCCTTGTCCTTGCTGTCCTCATGGGCCACGTAGATGATACGAGCCGCCTCCTTGACACCCTCCATCAACGACATCTTCCCCGAACTGAGATCCAACTTCTCCAATTCGGCCTTGGCCGCTTGTCGTCCCTTGCCGGTCGCAGCGCCATAGTATCCCTGTAGGAAGCCGTCGGAGTTAGTCACCGAAACTCATCCAGAAAAAACAAACACTTCAGCGGATTCGTTGCTGGGGTCCAAATCAAACATACCCAGTACAATCCACTGGGTTCGACCATGTACAGACCAGGCCCGCCAGCCTTTGCGTCCTGAACCTTGCCGCCGGCTCCTGATTTGGGGCCCGAGCCCACCTGGCCATCGACCGGCAACTCGGCCTCACTATCCCACCCGGCAATAATGGATGTCACGCCAAATGGCCGTACACTGGAGTACAAGGTGTATGCTTGCGCGTAGCCACCGAGACGGTTCGCAAGTGCGGACGTGGGAATGGGACCCTTGTACGTGCTTCTCCACGAGGAGGCTTCGTCGCGGGCACGGGAGACAAAGTGACGACCATCGGGGATCAAACCCGCCGATACCTAGAACGTAGAAGAAAGGACCAGCAATTAGTATCGGGATGTTTTCCTTACATCCAATCGACATTGGTGGATTGAGGCCAGGGTGACTTCTCATCAAGAAGCTCGGTGCAGCCTAAGCTTTTGGAGGAAGCACCATGGTGGGAAAGTGAAGGAGATTGACGGGACGTTTCGCTTACAATGCCGACGTGACGATCAACAGTTGCGATTCTCTTGTTCGCCCCGGGCTTGAGGAGCTTGCTGCTGATGATCTTCTCCACAGCCAAGACGACACCGTCCTTGCATCGAATACCAATCGCTGTGCTGCCATTCTCAACCGCCTTTACAGCATATTCGACCTATATGGCGAGACAAGATGATCAATGTCAGACCCACACGTCTTCAGAGAGCTTGGGAAAGATTTCAGGTCCCCAAATGTATATGTTGCTCTCGGGGTCAAGGGATCGGTACCTGGAAGTTACGGCCATCTGGTGAAAAGACCGAGTTGGAAAGATCGTAACCCGTTCCGATTGATGTCTGTCCGTTCGCTTATGAGATTAGCTTGCTGGTTGATTGTTCGTTGGGGGGAAAGGATGACAATGTTCAATGTCTCTCGGGGAATGATACCATGATGATATGTGATTTTGATCCTGTTTGGGAGCTCCTCTCAAGGACAGGCTGCTAGCAGATTGGGGGAAGAGAAGTTGATGGGGAGACAAGCCGAAGCGGGTAACTGTGGACGCGATGGAGGGAGAGCTTCCTCATCGGAGCTGAAGCTGCGTCACGGGGGCAGTTGCCTGGGTCACATGATCTACATCAACATGGGCGGACTGGAGTGACAAAATCAGTGAGAGGCGAAAGTAGTCAAGGTACTACTAGGTACTCTACTACTATCAAGTTTAATGAGTGTCATTTCTTTTAAGTTGATCTGAAATAGATAGTAATTCCCACTACTAATTGATTCAAGGTAGGGAACTCCAGAATACTGGATAATTTTCAGAATCATTCTTTGATGCACTCTGCTTAGCAGTAAGGTCCTCGGCACCGTATCATTGCTGCAGAGAGTATCCCACTTGCCTCGGAGCAAATACTCAATGGTAGCTTCAACCCTCGTGCTGGGCGTTTCAGTAGAGAATTAGTCGATCATTTCCACTCGATTTGACCGTAAATATAGAAAGTCCATCTTATAGAGCACTGACTGATGTACATGATCTTGATCTACAGCCTGCGGCGTCCAGCGACTGCAGCCCAGGTGATACCTACCTGTTCCCATGGGCCAAGCTTATGACCCGATCGAGTATGAATATATGGATACTTCCATCTCATTCAGGTAGTGGAATGTCCATCTTTGCGCATGACGTATCAGAGACGGGCTCATTTTTCTATATTGAAGCACTTTGTACCACTTCCAAATGTTTACTACTTACATGGTTCCTCTTCGATAAATAGACAACTCTGTTCGCTTGCATGTGACTGGAAACTGGAGCTCAGAATCCGTTCTCTTTATCCATGGGAATTCCGTCGAGATCGTCTATAAGTCTTTTCGAGACAAGACTGAGCGTGCATGGAAATCAACGAGAGATTTGAAAATTTCTGATGGTTTAGTGTCATTCAAAAGTTTATACTCCGACACTTGTAGGCTATCTGATGAGAACCAAAACAAGAAAGTGCTGTAGAATAATAAGGAAGATGGAATAGAAAATGATTAAGATAGGACTTCAATATGCTAACCCCCTGGATCGCATACAGTCCACCAATATAATAGTCCAGAAAAGATTCGCAGTCCCGCACCTCTACCACATAGGTAGTAAAGTCATAAGAATGAGTCCAAAACACCTGCGGTGCGGCCCAACTGATCTCTAAAATTTCTTGTTTGGGCATCGCGGGGTCAGGTGCACCACTTTTGGTGAGAGAAGGGGGGGGGGAAGGCAAATGATTAAACATTCTGTTCTCGATCCGCCCTGTCTCTCTCCATTTACTCTTGCACTGAATACACTGCTTTTTACTCTTCTTTCTCTCTTCTTGAAGCATTCTATAATACAAAGTGTTGCTTTGCCGGAGCTCATTGCTTTCTTCCACTTCGAATCGCGGTCTTGCCGATCTGCTCTCAGAAACCCGATCCCAAATCCACTCCTACTCCCCGCTCCCCGCATACTATCGACGAGCTGGTCCCCTCCTTCTGCTTTTGCGAAAGTTGTGGACAATATTCTCTCTCTCAGGGGTTGTACAATTGTTGCCTGGATTATAAAGACCTATTACTCTCTTGTCTGGACCGTGAATATCTAAAAAATCCCAAGAACAAGCACAAGATGTCATCATCAATCCTTCACCAGTGCTCCCTCTGCGGCCATGTCTCGGACATTTCGCTCTCGTTGGCCGCTTTCATCGAGAATCCTCACTGTGTTCAGGTAAAGAAACACCGTGTACTGCGCTCACTTTGACTCACATTGTTTCTTGTATATCCTGGGTTTCCATCGAGGTTGGCCATACGCATAATGCGTTCCGACTAACTTCGGGATGTTCCTGTCAATTATAGTGCGGTCTGTCTGTCCAGGAAAGCAATACCAAGATGCAAGATGAACTTTCCTCTCTCTTCGATCGCCAGATGTCCATGAACCAACAAACCACCTATACGCCTGCCCAACCTCAGACTCAGCACCAGCTTCAGGTGAACCAAATGATCAGCCCGGAGCCTGAGCCAGTCCCGCAGCCTCAGATCACCTACAGCATCACCCAGCACTACCACCACTCAGCCCACGTCGCGCAGCCCACCGCACCCGCCAGCAGTCCATCGCAAGCAAAAACCCAGCGGTTACGCGGCCTCCTCCTTGCGCATGGCATCGATCCGTCCACCTTGTCCGCGGCTCAATGCGAGCTCATCCAGAATGCTGATCTCGCGCAGCAGCAACGCCTGCTGCAGACATGGCAGGTCTACGCTGAGCACGGACTGGCTCAGAGCGGATCTCCAGACACTGCGATGGAAGACTCAATGGACGAGGACTCGGTGTCTGCGGTGGAGCCGTACATGGCCATTGGATATAGGTCTCCGAACATGACCCATTCCGCCGATGGCATGCCGACGGAGCCCTCGACCGGTGAGCCGTATGCCAAGTCGACTGATTCGGTGTACAACCGCCAGTTGAGTCAGTGGTGGGAAGTCGGTTCAGCACCGGTCGAGTCGCAGTACGGCTTCTTCGAGGGCACGAGCCGGCGGGCGGCCATGCCTAACTGCGCGGGGATTCAGATGCCGCAGTGACTGTGAGGTGGGAGAAGGCCTGATCAATTTGAATCGTGTTCTTTCGGGAGGAGTCAGGCGTTGGAAATGATGCTTTGGCGGAATTGGTCGGCGCGGGTTGCTCTTTCTTCTTGCATAGTCCCGAGAACCCCGCGCAGTATGCATTATAAGGCGCCAATTCAAAAGATGTGCTTTCTTTCAACATGCTCTGCATACTGCAGTGGGACTGACAGGAGCAGTTCAATTCATAGTAGTACGTTTGAGTCCCCGTAGTATTGGGAAAAGCGAGCATCTGCTCATTCGAAGTGAGAGTCTCGGTAATTTCCCTCGATTGAGTGATGCATCGTTGCCTGGCCGTGATATCGCCTCATACACTAGAACTTCGGAAGTAAGAAACGACAAAGTCAAGGGATTCAACAAATGTCTATTGAGATAACTTGCCAAGGGCGGGGGAACATCGTGAGCTAAATAGAAAGAAAGATAATACATAATTGAGAACTCTTCTCATCATCCCAGATGCTGTTGCAGTTTATTGCACAGGCGGAGTGATGAAGAATAAAAGCCCCCAGTCGTAGCGGTCAGGTATAGAACAGATGATGAGGTTCAAATTTACAGAGAAGACTCCATCTTGTCCAGGACAGCACGAGTGAACTCGTGGGTGGTAGCCTGACCACCCATGTCGCGAGTGCGAGTCTTACTGTGGCTAAGGGTCAGTAAAACTCAAAGAAGAGTTACAGGAAAGAAGTCAGATGGAAGAAGCACTTACCCCTCGCCAATAACATCGTAGACAGCCTTGGAAATGCGGTTGGCGTGGTCATCGAGACCGAGGTGGCGCAGCAGCATGGAGCCGGACAGGATCAGGGCGCTGGGGTTGGCCTGGTCCTTGCCCTTGATGTCGAGACCGACGTGACGGCAGCCGGGCTCGAAGACGGCGACGTCACGACCCATGTTGCAGCCGGGAACGACACCGGGGCCACCGACGAGAGCAGCGGCAATGTTGGAGAGGATACCACCGTACAAGTTGGGCATGACCATGACGTCGAACTGCTGGGGGCGGGAAACAGCCTGCATGGAGGCGTTGTCGACAATCATGTCATTGACCTCGAGGGTAGGGTAGTCCTCAGCGACCTTGTGGAAGGTGCTGCGGAAGAGACCGTCGGCAAGCTTCATGATGTTGGCCTTGTGGATACAGGTGATCTTCTTGCGGTTGTTGGCGAGAGCGAAGCTGAAGGCGAACTTGGCGATACGCTCGGACTTGGCGCGGGTGATGATCTTGAGAGACTCGACGACACCCTGGACGGACTGGTGCTCGAGACCGGAGTACTCACCCTCGGTGTTCTCACGGATGATGCAGAGATCGACATTCTTGTGGCGGGTCTCGTAGCCGGGGATGTTCTTGATCAGAGAGATGGAGGCGTAGATGTCGAGCTCCTGACGGAGAGCGACGTTGAACGACTGGTGGCCGGAGCGCTCAATGGGGGTGTGGAGGATACCCTTGAGACCGAGCTTGTTGCGCTTGAGGGAGGCCAGGGACTCGCGGAAGAGCTCCTCGGAGTGCTTGTTGCCAGTGTCGACACCGCTCACGTCGACCTGCTCCCACTCAATGGGAACGTTGTCGGCCTTGAAGATGGTCTTGACCGACTCAGCCACCTCAGCACCGATACCGTCACCTGAAAGGCCAGATTAGTTCCAATTCGATTCGCTCGGCATCGTCGGCACGAAAGAGGAGACGCCGGATAAATGGGCCGATCGAGGAGGATTGGCGACAGAGAGCATACCGGGAATCAGAGTGACCGTGTACTTGCCGCCATACTTGGTGGGCTTGAAGATGTCGGACTGAACGGTCGCGAAAGCTAGATGCGCCAAAGAAAGTCCGAGTCAGCGATCTCAATCCATGTTATGCTCAAGCGAGTCTCAGAAAGCAACCAAGACACCGCTTCCATGCTTGACAGGGGGTCAATTGAGACATACTTCTCGCGGGGATGGAGCGAGGGAAGGAGGAAGCCACGGAGGCGCTGCGAAGCAGAGTCTGAATTCGGTTAGCCAAGGAACATGCGCCCACGAGGCACGGGGAGATGCAGCTGGGGGATTGCGTACCCGGGCAGGCTGGGCCGTGCGAGCGAGCATGTTGACGGAATTCTTTGACACGGTGAGGAGGAGGGAGAAGGACGAGAGGGGGTTGAGGAAGTATCGGGAACCGGGGACAGACGAGAGGCTGGAGACCGAAAAATTCGGGGAAGAAGAGGGGGGGGGGTGGAGGTTTTGGGCGGTGGAAAGGAACGCGAGGTAGAGACCGAATGGGTAACGGCTGGAAAAAACGGGAGAAAAAAGCACGGGCGGGAGGGAGATTGCTGGCGGATGGGCTCGGCATCTGCGGTATGCATACCGTAACGGCGTAACCCTTTTGGGGCAGTTTCTGGCTTGTGTACCAGCTTGGCATTGGCATTTGCGGTAGCGTCGCCAGCGAGCCCATTGTCACGGTCGTTGCGGTACCCACTGCAGTCGGGCACTCTCGACTCACGGGTCACCATAGTATATTAGAACTCGACCTTGACGCTGTAGACAAATATACATAACCGCGCTGCAGCCTCCACACTCCTAGGAACCTAGGTCAGCAGATGACGTAGTCCCGAAGCTGTAATAACGCGCCCTACTTTCCTAACGTCGATTGACTCGATTCTTTGAATCTTGCCTAAGAATGTGAAAATACCTCGTCCCCACGTACTCTTCCACTTACTCTCTTAATGCTAGTTTGAATGACAAACACTGTGAAGTCGTCGCGGTCCTCGCAAGACATGTACAAAACAGCTTTTGGCAGACCGATCAAACGCGCTGGCTTGTCAAATGTATCGTCGAATTCGGCGACACTGTGAAAATCTTCCAAATCATATGAGATCAGCAAGCTCTGCGCAAGCGGGCGAGTGCTTAGCTGTTTGTTATCACCGAGGAAAACCCGGCGATAGTTGGTATTGGAGACTGGGAAATCCTCGAGCACGATATCGTCGATTGACGGTACGGTGTTCTTGTGCTGGTCGATGAGCTGCGCTAGGATGTTGGAGATGGCATTGAGGACGGTCGATTGGACGAACGTCACCGTCACTTGGGAGGGAATGCTCAGTTCTTAGTGCATGGGAATATTCATTGACCCCTGGCCCCTCCTCTTCTCTAGAGGTGAGCTGAGAGTGAACCCTTTGCAAGAAGGTGGAAGTCGAGAATGGAGACGGTCGAGATCGGCGACTGCCAAGACGCGTCGTGACCACTTTGGGACCGACTATCATATACTTTATTCTGTTTTGGCATTCATCTATGAGGTAGATGAGTCGTATGAAAATACTCGTCTTGTTATAACTACTGGTCCTCTCCAAGATCTACAGTCTTGGGGAGACCGGAAGACTCCATCGAGTGCAGTCTTTGTATTGCTAGCCAATGTTCAGAGAGGAATAGGTGTGATTTATTTCTGACAGCTCTTATCGAAAAGACCCCATTCAAAAGTTCAGTCCTCAGGCCCAGACAAGTCACCTTTATGTCCAGTCTCTCTAGCGCGCGGATCTCCAGGAGCAAAGCTTGTACTGGAGGCCTGGCCACTCCTCTGACCGGTCTCTCTGGCTCGGGAGTTCACCAGCTTCGAAGCTGGTCACTGGATGCGTGGCCGCCTTGGGATGGCGATATCCCGCTGCCGGGTTGATTAGCTATGTCTCGCATACGTACGCTCGAGATGTTGCAGGCCTGCTTTTGGGCGTCCATACTGGCAAAGCCGTCCTGGTAGTACTTGGTTTACTTGCATGAATACTATATGGGACAATGTCTAAGGCACTAGAAGGCTGATTAAAATAAGAGAGTACCATCTTATTAGCATACCTAGCCTCTAGGATAGTCAAATGTGAATCTATCTATCTATCCTCCATAGACTCGCGAAGTTCACTTCTAAAGAGCTCAACTATGACTATCCTCCTAACCTAACAAGAGAAACTGGCCGCTAAATGGGCTATAGTTAGATGCTGAAATTGCTTCTCAATTGCGCCTCCAGTAGAGGTCTTATAATAGTTTAAACCAACCAGGTATTCTAGGCGTGCCAGCAAAGTAGCCGCTCTAGCAAGAACTGCAAGGTAGAGCTTTTAGTCACTAAAAGCGGAGATACAATATTAGCTTTACAAGATAATATGTCCACTTAGGAATCAAGCGCAGTTGAGGTATTTGCCTATGATCTGGTTAATTTGTGTTGAGAGAGCCACAGACTCGGTGAATATTTTTTGAGAAAGCCCTAATTGTAGCGAAAGAGAGACGTCATTCTCACGTAAATGCGAGGACCACTGAACACTCACTTCTTGATCACATAGCGCATCACCTCTTGATCACATCTATCAGCATTTCAAAGCTCATCTTCTCGAGGAGTGCAAGGCAGGCTAGAAGGGCGAGCAGGACTCGTTTTGGGCGCCGCTTTTCGTGCCCAGCAGCTGGACCTTGTGCTAGGAGACTCCCGGGGTGCCTTGCCGCCGTATCGTGGCTACTTGCGACAACCCGATTTTGTCATGGAGACTAGTTCGGACGTAGCCAAGATCGTGGGAGAAGGCAAGACCCACTGGATAGATGAGCATGACCTTGACAATGCACTTTGGAACTTTGAGGCTGGTCTCGATGGGAGACTCTTTCGGCACCAACTAGGTCAGACTTAAGCCACCATGTTTGATTCTCGTGCTCACACATATATAGGCCAAATTGCTGAATACATGTTTGACATGCGTCTCAAGTATGGGTTCATGACAACGTACAGCCAAACAATATTCCTTCGAAAGGTCGATGTCGGTCGTGCATGGGGGCTAGAGTATTCTCCTGTAATCCTTCACAGCGCGGTAGGGAATACCACGGGCCAGCAGGTGTCCGTTTGTTAGAGCTTTTTCCATGTCGGGCTCTTGGCCCTAGCAAATTCGGATTTTGATACGAGTTCGGGTATACGGACGCAGAGGTGGACAGAGAGATTCTCTCGAGAGGCTAGACTCGTTCATCAAGCAAATATGCAATATTGATCAATCAATCGTCTCTTATTGAGACCAGTCTGAATGAAGTGATCCTCAGTCAGAGCTCGACGGCGTGGAAAATAATGTTCACCTTTGTAGAATGGGAGCAAAGAGATGCAAAAAAATATCCATTTACATACGCACCTGAAACCCGTGTATTTGATCTCTGCTCACATCCGTAGCAATACATTTCCCCAATACGAGACCGTTAAGCAGCTCGGCGCACTCAAGCATTCGATCGATTCATCACTGAACTCAATATGCGCCTTAGTCACAGCCTAAGCACCATTGCCAGCAACCGACTTATAGTCTCCTCGTTCTCATGATCAATGCATTTGCGAGGGAATCGTCGATACGTCACGTCAAAATCTTTTGTCATAATTAGTGACAGCTTTGGTCAATAGTTGTCGTTGATGTCTTCGAGACTCCGTCTGCTGTTACACACTGAGCTTTAGGCCTGAGAGTGGGCAGTGAACGCTTGATTTTGCTCACCTTTTCCTGGATAGAGGAAGCAGAGGATAAAAAGAAGACTGTGTTGTTGACTATTAAAACAGTCCCTGGTCCGTACACAACATCAAGAGCGTGCTGTTATATAATGATCCGTTCGAATACCACGGCTGGGTTTCTTCTGTTTTATCCTTGCTCGATAAGAGTACCTATTGATAGCGCCTGAGGCACACTGCCAGGGCCAAGGGACACAATAGGAGCTCGGCTTTTCTGTTGCTTTGTGCTTTCTCCTCTGGTACGCTTCGACCTGTCTGCTTTGTCAGACTACTTCGAGCATACCGAGCCTCCCGCTTTAGAAAAGCAGACAGGTCGAAGCGTACCGGTTGGCCAGCTAGGGCATCAGTAAGGTGATGAACGTAACTGCCGTGGCTAATAGTTGCGTTTCTTGTATCTCGGTGTGTTGTGCTGGACTGCTTCAGCCGTGGCTTGCGTGACTGAAGGGAGAAGTACAAACATAACAAACACTCTTAATGTGTCGGAAACAACGAAGGAGTGGATATATGCCTCAACCAATGGAATCACAAAAAGGTTTGAATTGTTATGAAGCCACTAGAAGTGGCAATTTATGGGGGCAAGCTTGACGGGATCGAGGAGATCCCAGGAGAGGGAGGAAGCTGGAGAAGCCAAAGCAGCGATCTAGAAAACTACTGTGTAGTACGGGGAAAGCGGAAACCGAAGGAAAAAGCTGATCATGAAGCTATCCCAAAGGAAGCAGAAACAAAAGCAAGAACAGAAGGGGGAGCACCTGCATGGGTGCCCGAGGCACCTAAGAAAACTGCGGGATTTCGGTCTGAGGCATCAATCACGAAGCTGACTAACTACAAAACAAGGCAACAAGGCATAAATCGAAGCTTAAGCTTTGGGATCCACAACCTAAATTCCGACACCATGAATGAGGTGCAAATTAGACTTTCAGCCAGCAGTTCCCCACCTACAGCAACCTAGTCTAGGAAATAATACCTACTTCTCCTGCCACCTTCTGTTTCTTCCTTTCACCTCTTTATTCATTCGCCGTCTCTAACTCAGGACTATTCCTACCGCAACATTCTCTTTCTTCAACTTTCTCTTCAACCTTCTTACAGCAATGTCGTCCCCATCCTCGGGCTGGTTCCCCCAAGGAACAGACCCTGGCACAATCATCACCCTCGATCAACCTGTCCCTTCGCAGTAGAAGATCCTCGAGAAGCTCAATGAGCGTAACTTCCAGGCTAGTGAAGAAATTCGTCGTCGCCATGGCCACTACTCTTACGCTACAGCTAAACTCCTCTGTTGCGACCCAAAGAAGCCCTACAGGAGAGCCTTTATGCGAGTTTATCTTCAGGTTCCTTTTAAGGACACTGAGATACAAGATCCAAAGACCAGATCCCGCCAGGCCACAACATACGCACCCCTAGAGTTAACTTCCTACCAGAAGTTTACTCAGCAGGATTTCAGCAATGTACCAAAGCTCCTAGGATACAAGGTCAGCACTCAAGATAAGTCAGGGCTGGTCCCAAATGGGTTTGCGACCTGGCTGGCGTGGGAAATGGTCCCAGGTCTACGCCTCGGTGACAAGTTTGGGAATGATCCCTACTGGACTTTGTCCGCTGTTGAGAGGGAACATGTCTGTATGGCCTTTATGAAGGCTCTTCCGTATGTCGATCCTCCCGTTTCCCGATCATGCTAACGGTAAAGTTTAGTCAGGCGCTCGAGAAAGGATATGGACCTTATACGCCCAGTCTACTTAAGCTAGTCTGGTACAGTTAAACAGGCACCCTGTATGTTATTACATGTTGCGAATTATGTCAAATAAGTGGACCTACATTTTCCGGTCTCTTCAGTTACTTCATCGGTTACTTCTACGGCATCAATGACGAACCTAAAGACCGGAGATACATCAAGATCAGTCTTGAGGCCCTTGCGCGCTATGGCCTCGCGAAACCCTCTTCAAATGAATGGCGCAACAAAAATTGGAACGGGGATACCACAGGCTGGAAAATGTAGCTCATACAGAGGGGGAGTCCATCTAGCACATCCCTTTCCAGCTTCATCATTGCTCATTATAAAGTTACTTCTTGAATCTAATGTGAATATGGTTTGCCAGTACCTGTAGTGACTATTGCATAGAGGACAATACCTTTCTCCGGTTGCTGGCGACGCCGTCGATAATACTCGGGGCTGCGGATTTGCTTCTTCTTTGAAGCAGGATAGTTCAAAATAGACATGCCTCAGGAAATAATATGTTCGGCTGAAGATCATGGGCAAGTATTGACGCCGCAGAAGAAGAACTCAATGACGAGAACAAAACTGTAAAGACTGGAGTTCAGAAGGACCCAGAGAGCAGTAAGTCACTTCTCTCTCTTTTGATGCAGGCCATCGAGCAGTGTATACTGCTTAATGTATATACTAAAAGTGGGTCGTGTTGGATCACGTGTATTATGGTGACTAAGATTCTTCGTAAATGGACGGGATGGACGCTCAAAGTGGCGTCAGAAGTAACCATTTTCAACGCCCAATTTACCGTCACCTAGCGTTGTGCTGGAAGTTTCAAGTGACACGGTTTCCAAATGGGTGGAAGCACGATCATGAACGTCGTTCGGAGCATGTACTTGATTTGACTAAGCACCATCCGATGAGCCCAATGCCAAATGCCAATAGCCCCGAATTATGTACAGACTACAATTACTGTAGTTGTACAAGTGTACATCCGCAAACCAGTTGACCTTCCGACACATTACCGTACGGCGTACATATCAAGTCCTGCCGCTGTCTGCGGTCCGATCTTATCGCAGACATACCAATCTAGTCATCCTGAACAGCGAACCCGATAGCACCGAAACATCTTAGTCTGGCCATAGCCATATGCATGTGGCCTCCACCTGCTCGTGCGTTGCAGGTACTTCCAAGTACTGACTCCTGAAGATTTGGCTGCAGCAATTATCTCCCCTGTAGTCATGCTAGCCGACAGCAAAATGGTACCAAATCAATATGACTATGGAGCGAGTCACGAGACAAACACATGCGCGGGCTCCATCCCCATCTCCAGCGCTCCACAGCCACCAGTCCCCTATTGAACACCCTTTTGGGAAATCGGTCCCGCGCTTGCCCCACAATTGAGTTGGTGGCGTTTCCTATTCAACCATCTTTTAGGAAATAAACAGTAGCCTCACACCATGTGGAAGCACCATGGACCCTGCAAACAAGGAATACTTAACCTCGAGGATCGCCGGGCTCTCTGGTCCGATTGGTTCCTTGGTGATCTATACGCCGCCTCAAGATCAACTACACACACAGCAAGCCTTGTTTGATGCCCACTTGAAGCGCACATCGAGGACCATCGAAGACAGTCTAGATGGTAGACTCAGCCAACATTACCATCGCCTCGTATCTGCCTGACTCAATGACAAAGACTATCCATTGCGGAGACGACCTCGAAGTCCGCCGGGGACACAGGCTATCCTGGCCAGGATTTCCCGATTAGGGTTTGAATAGAGTGCCCCCAGCCTACAGAGTTCTCGACGGCAACCAAGAGTAGCCTCAACTTTGACAAGGGACAACATCGTCCTGGGATGACCGTGAATGAGTATTTAAATGCTCTTCTTCCCTCGATCAATCTGCTCTTCATCACGACCATCATCGATCGATCTTCGTCTTCACTGTCAATCTCCGGCCTCCAGCCTCCAGCCCAAACCAAACATCTTCATTCACTTTCCACTCTTCAATTCCCCAACCTTCCCCTCGCAAACCGCTTCTCAAAATGAAGTTCGTCTCCATTGCCCTCGCCCTCATGGCAGCCACTGCTGTCTCGGCCGCTCCTGGTCGTACCATGCAGAAGTGGTGCGGCCACCCCGGTCAGGGTTGCGTCAAGCGCTCTGCTGAGCCAGCTCCTGTTGCCGTCGCTGAGCCTGCCCCCGTTGCCGTCGCTGAGGCCGCGCCTGTTCCTGAGGCCGGCCGTACCATGCAAAAGTGGTGTGGTCACCCCGGCCAGGGCTGTGCCAAGCGCTCTGCTGAGCCTGAGCCCGTCCCTGCTCCTGGTCGTACCATGCAGAAGTGGTGTGGCCACCCCGGTCAGGGCTGCTACATGATGAAGCGCACTGCCGACGTCACCTTCGAGGTCAAGCGCTCTGCTGAGGCCCTCGCCGAGGCCATGGCCGAGGCTCACCCTGCCGCCCTTCAGAAGTGGTGTGCCCACCCCGGTCAGGGCTGCCAGAAGGTCAAGCGTACCGCCGATGCCGTTGAGGAGGTCAAGCGCTCCGCTGCTGCCCTTGAGGAGGCCATCGCCTCCATGGAGGATGAGGAGTAGAGGTGAGGATTTTCTTTTTCTTTTTCCGCGAAAGAGTCCTACTTGATGATGTACTAACTTTATGGCCGACAGTATCTGCGATGCTCTCTCCTGCGCAATGGTGCTGAGAACACACCCAGTCAATTCAATGAGTTGACGGTGACAGCATTGAGATGTCCACTTGTGGAGATCTCCTAGCTTGAAGCTGGATGAGGATCTGAATTGCTGATTGCTGTCTATGGCGGACACTCCTTCATCATTTTGGCCATAGCAAGCGTTTCTGTCTGCTTTGATCTTTTTATACACCCCCCAAAAAAACCCCAACGACACCATCTATCCTTAATCTGGAGGCTGGCCACTCTTTACATCTAGATGAATACAATTCAGCATTATTGTGCTTCGCAGCATGGTCTTGCTTTTTGGACTTGAGGATCTCCAAGGCTTCAGCTGTATCATTATTTTTAACTGACATTATCATCTGCAGTATGAGATTAGCTGAAGTGCGAAATTGAGTTCTGTAATGCTGACCGGTTCTCATTAAGTTACCATGTAATCCTTTCGCCTCAGAGTATCAAACTTTTGGAACGATGAGACTCCTCGATGAATACAACATCCCTACACCTCTGGAGTTACTGCCAGAGAGTAGGCTGATCCTTATACATCTATTTCGAATCTTGCAGCTCTCTTGCTCAGTCCTGTCTTGCTTGCTTCCAATAGGAACGATGAGGTTCAGTCGAGAAGCTGGAATGAGGGCACAATTACAGTGTTTTCGGGAGAACGAAAAAGCCTGTTCAATACGCATAGCTGCGGACGAATCTTTATCGCCTTCATCCCACATGGTCCAGCGGTCAGGATCACCCGCTTTCACCGGGTAGGCCCGAGTTCGACTCTCGGTGTGGGAGCTTACGTTTTGCTTCCATTGCAAATTTCACTCTTTTTGCTGTATGAATGAATCTATTGGGCGACAATTGTGGTCGTTGACTATCAACTTGTTCATCGTACTTTATGTCTCCATGACAGTTTGTTTGAGCACGTGAGTGAATTTCATTTCCTCTCGTTCCGTATATCCGCCGCAGTGTTAGGCATTATCATAGTCCTTCTAACAAGGAGTAACTAGGGCTTCTTCGGAGGTGTTGTATGTCGGATAGCGGAGCCGCCGGAGCGCCACTAACCAAAAGCTCCTCGTACAAAATGGTCCAGTAGGTTTTGTACCCATGTTCATGGCGCAGATGCTCTATTAGTTCTTCCGTGCCAGATAGGTTGACACGCAAACGAGGGGCATTGACTCGAGTTCGCAAAGTGAATACCGTTCTGTGAAAATGAATATATACATACACCAACCAATAAGTTTTCTTAGTATTTCAAGCCTTCGACGCTTTTGAGATAGGGAACTGCGCACGCCGTTTGCGCCTCACTTTGCTCTTTGTATGGTAGGGGCTGGTTCACTACAAGAAAAACAAAAATGAAACCTCCCACACCGAGAGTCGAACTCGGGCCTACCCGGTGAAAGCGGGTGATCCTGACCGCTGGACCATGTGGGATTTGCATACAAATCTTTCGTCTTTCTGCCAATATATACAAATTTTGTTGGTAGATTCGAATCTCATGACCCAGTTGATTTAGACAGGGGCTTAATATGCAGCCAATTCCCATACGTTTTGATCTACCTCAAAACTATCTAGAGATCTATGACGATGACAGTAGATTACGAGGTTGACAGGTACTGACGAGCCATGACGCATCTACCGTCCGGCCTAGCAAAGTTATTACAAAGTGCAATGGACATCAACACTTTCAAGTTGTAGCTCTACTGTGAGATATCGTGAAGCTTCGTTTATTCAAAGAGCAATGTCATCACTGTCCCTTTCCAACACGGCAGGCCATTTTCTGAGTGGCCTGACCGACAAGTCAAGGTGCTCACGGACCAGCCAATAAATCTTTCGATTCGAGGTGACGATTTGAATGGCCCGATGGCTCGATGAATATCACCGCTACCGAATGAAAAACGATTGGGGCCCATCTGCTCCAGGGAACGACCAGAAGAGCTTGCTCAACCAAGGGTGTCTCGAGCGTGCAGAGCACGGTTTGCTGGGAGATGGAGTACTCCAAGGCCTAAGGTAACCACCAACCTCTCGCTCGCGGGTGCAGTATGTGAGATTCTCGTCATTGAACCGGGGGTAGGGGGTATCATTAATAACGTTCATGTGATGTAGTCATGCATGGGAAGTGGCCATGGCTGACTGAGCTGGATTGATCAAGGCAATCGCAGTGAGAAGGGGGAGGAGAAACAAGGTTCGAAATGCACAAGGCACAGACGGATCAGAATGCAATGCGTCGCTTGCGCCCAGTATACTTGGAGTTAGCCTTGACAACCTTGCCCTTCTTCTGCATCTGTTCCTTCTTCTTCATGATCCACTCCTTATCGCCCTTTCTTGGTGTACCGCGCGCCTTGTTCATTTCCTGGGCCTTCCTCCGCGCGTCCAGAACATTCACGCCGTCCATACCGTTGACGACACCGGTGATATCGCCTGAAAGACCACCACCACCTACCGTCAGAACCAGGTAGAGCTTGCTGTTCTTGGTACCAGGGTCATCCTCCAGCATACCAGCGCCGAATCCAGCCTTGATCGCCGCACCGCTGATCATGCTGCGCTGGATGTCGTTCTTAGGATAGAACTGGCAGACGGCACGCCCACCACGTCGGAGACTGGCGTACAGGCCCTCGAAGAAGCGCTTCAGGCGGCCTTCGGGACTGACATCGCTGGTCTCGGCGTTGCACAGCCATTGAATAGCACTGATACTGATGGCAGCATCAAATGTACCTGGACGGAAAGGCACGCCTTGTCCAATATCTGCGAGAAACAAATCACCCTCGACTTCGCGCTGGAGGGCGACATCCAGCATGCTGGGTGCAATGTCCATGCCCACCCATGTGTGTGGTCCACCATCTTCGGGAGATACTTCGGACAACATTTCGCCAGACAGTCCTGAGCCGCAGCCGAGATCGAGGATGAGTGATGGAGACTTGAGATCGAGCAATTCGAGGGCACGTTGGGTCATATCGGCCTGGATATTCCGAATACGGGAGGACGTGGTATATTTGCGGGACTCATTGTCGTTGTAGAAGAGATCAGGCGGGCTTTATAATTTGTATTAGCAAGAGGCTTGCCGAGTGATTGAGACATTGGATAAGGTCACTCTTTGAACATACAGAATATCTTCAGGGCGCGACATGGTGGGCTTTGGGTTCAGTGGTCGTCAAATTATCCCAAAAAGAAACGACGATAAGAAGTAAACGCGGAAGCGGAAGATCAATTAATTTTTTGAAGAGCGGGGTGGACACCTGAGAAATCTGGCCTCCATAAGTTCGCCGGGAGCGTCATCTGGGTCTAATTTTGGTACTACCCACTCACGCCTTATGTGGCTGTCGCCAGCTCTCCGCAGCTCTACATCTTCTTCATCTTTCCTCGCACATTCAGTGGTCGCAGCCCTCTTGTCAAAATGTGGATATTACCTCTTGTAGGCTATCTGGGGGTGATTGTCGGATTCTGCTTCCTGACACTTGCAATCGGTGAGTTACGTTGCGTCAAACCTCGCCATTGTTTGCGATCCTCTCAAGGTGGACAAAACATGGAAATACGCCTCTCACACCACTTTTAGCATCCGGCTTGTACTACCTCTCCGAACTAGTAGAAGAGCACACTGTCTTTGCCCGCAAACTCCTCAGCCGACTCATCTACTCCATTATTTGCATCCAAATCCTCCTCGTTCTAATTGATCGGTTCCCCCTCTCGCTATCCCTCCTCAGCATCATCTCGCACCTCGTCTACGCCAGCAATCTCCGTCGCTTCCCGCTCGTCAAGCTGACCGACCCGCTCTTCATTCTTTCCTGTGTGCTGGTCATTCTCAACCACTGGCTCTGGTTCCGCCACTTCTCGAAGCCACTCCCCGCGACGAGAGCGAACCAGGGCAATTGGCGCCAGCCTTACCAATTGGACTACAGTGATGTACCCTCCTTCTCGGAGGTTGCTTCATACTTTGGACTATGCGTGTGGCTGGTGCCCTTTGCGTTGTTTGTCAGTCTGAGCGCGGGGGATAATGTCCTTCCGACTATGGGCACAGAGTACGCGGGTGGTGCACAGTCTGGCCACGCCCGCAACGTATCCGACAGCAAGGCCAAGAACAAAGGAATGGCGAAGGCCTTGGTGGACAATGTACGGGAATGGGCCGGGGAGACTGGGGAGCTTATGGGATTCTGGCGCGGCGACCGGACAAGGCGGTTCTGAGAAGTAGAGAAGTATGAGAAGCGTGTATGGCAAGGTGTGAATTCCTTCCCCTACGTTAAATCATGATTAGTTGTCCGGAATCAAATGCTTCTCCTGATAGAGGCCAACTAGTGATTGTACGATATAAGTTCATCGCGATCAGAAAATTCGTCATCTTTATCAGCAGGTAGAGGCAAAACCGCAGCTCAATACTAGTGTGTAATATCAAAAGAATGGTTAAGAGACATTGGAATAACAAAGCATTTCGTATGTGAGGAATCGAAGTGCGACGGGGCAAAAGTGACAAAAGTTTAGCCATGGCTAATGTGAAATGGAAAAAAAGTTGAAATAGAAAGAAAAGAGGGGGTATAATGGTAGATCGGTACCAGAATCGATTAGTACACATGAAGAAAAAGGAAGAAAGGTAGAAAAGTCGTTCGGGAGAAATGCGCGCTCGGCCCAAAGGCAAAGAAAAAGAGAATGGCGCAAGCGCTGGAGTCCCCATCCTGATTACCATTATCATTAGATAGCATCTCCGCAGAATTTCGGTGGTGATAAGTGGGTGGTCCAAGTCGTCGTTCCGCGTGCAAATCGTAATCAGTGAAAGAGACGTTCAGAGGAAGGATAATTGAAAGTGAAGGCGTGATGGCAGTTGAACAGTGACGCTGACTGCGTGACTGGGTATCGAATCAGATTTGACCAGGTGGAGCGGAGAAATCGCCGGGAGCTAGATGATCAGGGAGTCAATTGATGTTCGCCCCAATTAAGTAAAACGAATTTCACGTACTACTTTCCATGTAAAGCATGGAGCTCTCTCGTCGCTTCGCCTTGGCGGAACGAGAATCATTCGAAGTTGGGTTAAGCATGTCATTCATTGAATGGTATTGACTCGAGTTCCCCGGCATTGCGCTGTAAGTCTCGCTCTTATACGTTGGCTGTTCATAGGACGGCTGCATAGGGATGAAGCCTGTGTCGTAATTATGAACGGGTTCTGTAGAGCCCGAGCCGCTATTTGATCCATTGAAAGCAGTTTTGTTGTATGACGGAGTGGGGATATCCGAGAACATTTGATGGCGTGGTGAGCGGACATCGTCAGGAGAAAGACTGTTCTCCACCGTGAGCTCCACGGTAGGCACAACGGCCTCAGCATCGCCAAAGATGCTATCAAAATCGGTCAAGAACATCGAGAAGACAGGAGCTGGAATGTTCAAGGTCGGCGCGAAGACGATTCCCACGTTCCGGACCGTCATCTTGTTGACATCTGAATTGTTCACGATCTCGATCAAGAAGAGCGAGAGCGCTCGTAGAAGAGAAAGGTTCGGCTTGGGTAATTGATGCACAAGCGAGTTGAATGCAGTCAATTTCTTCTGCTTGTCATCGAGTTCTATGTCCAAGTGAGTTAGTTGTGATCGAAACAAAACGCACAAGGATATCAAACGCCGATGCTAATTAGCGGCCACGAAAACTCACCCAGAACCCGGAGGAAATCCAAATGGAGCTCTCGAGTGAGAACGGTTGTCGGAAGTTCACGAAGATACTGTTTGAAGAGAGAGGCGACAGCATGAACATCATAGTACTGGTCGCCGGTCAAGAAGTCAACATCTCCTTCGTTATTGAAGCGCTCCTTGAGCGCTTTGATCACCACGTTCGAACCACTCAAGCGGAAGATCCCCTCTTCCAGGGCTGCGTCTTTCGAGTGTAAATATTCGATGCAACGGTACACGACAGCAGGGAGATCGGCCTCCACTCCGTGTGGGCCACAGTCTTTCACAGCTTCTGCCAGAGGAATTCCAAAGACAGGCTTGACATTTTCCCTCCGCTCAACTGGTGCAACAGAGGAATCGTTAGCTGACCCGGCGAGGTCGAAGGAAGAGCGCGTTCTGAACCCCCAAATACTGCGCTTTTTCTCCTTGACCGAGGTAGTAGTCGTGGGTTTGTTACCCCATGCCCCGGCATCTTGAATCACCGCTCCATTGGTGGGCGCCGAGATAAACTTTGGCGACTGCGAGGCTGGGTCGACATGATGGTGCTGATGATATTCACGTATCTCGTTTGCCAAAGCTTGAGGGATACGTGGGGATCTAGAAGCATACTCAAGAGAGGAACCGATGATAGGAGGCTCCTCTGCGATTGTATCATCAAAGCGAATGCCTGTCACGGAGCTCCTACCATCTTGATCAGGGCTATCAATCCCCCGGCCAGTGCGCTTGCTCCCACTGTGAGACAATTTTGTCGCCTTGGAGCTGGTTCCAGAGGACCTCGACTGACCTTGTTGGTGCTGGGTCTTGGATAACGTGCCGCGGCTATCTGCGTCTGAAGAAGAAGGCTCCACGTACTCCATCAGCGCATCGACCCATTGGTCGCGCTCCTCATCACTTTCGGCGCACAAGACATGGCGAACAAGGGCAGACGAGTCTTTCTTCTTGGGCTCTAGAATCAAGAATGCGTGTCGATATTGGTTATCATAGTCTTCCTCTGAAGCTGGCGGCGAATTGGCGTTCTGGGACTGCTTGCCAATCTGCGCGTGGAGAAGCTTGATATTTCCCATATGGGCGCCACCGGGCGACTCAAAATACCTCAGCTCAGGCCCGTGGAGTACGAAATAGCGAGCTTTCCAGCCACCGAAGTTCTTGCCGCGCTTGGTCAGGTAGCCTTCCTTCCTGGGCTTGCCATCAGGACCCCGCGGCATCTCGTGTTTCGTATGGGCCGATCCCTTCAACAGGCTGGTCTCATCGTCCCTTGGCTCAATTGCATCATCAGTGAGGAATTGACAGAGCACCAATGCCGCTCGTTCGTCCATCTGGATATCAAGAAGACTATCGAAGTACATGTTGAGCGCGGCACGACGCGCATCCACTTTTGCCGGCGAATGACCGCTGAAAATGCTGCGATCCGGCAACTTGCCTGGAAGAGTGACTGACTGTCGAAGTTGCTGGTCTAGAGTGGGTAAAGCTCCAATGACCTTCTCAATACGCCAAAGCTCCGCCATTTGTGAACGAGAGATCACGCTCAATGTGAATACCGGCTCTTCGTCCAAAGGCCTAGAGGCCATATAACTGTTCCTTGACGGACGCAGACGGGAGGAGGATACACGAACTTGAATCAGTGGCAAAGCGTTCGGTGGTAGAAGAAGGCCGGGGTACTCGTCAGATACCAGGCCTTCGTAGATACTCGTTTCCGCGAACTGGGGGGACTGTGGGCTGTCAATCTTGACGTTGGGATCAATTGAAGGGATCTGGCCGCCATGTCTGCCGCTGGTCGATTGTGATTCCGTATTTGGGAATCCGACGGGGGGCCTCCCCGCCCTCGGAGAGGTGGGAAGACCGCTGGCAACCAGTCCTGTTTGAGCTGCAAGGTCACGAGGCATTCGAGGAAGAGGGGATCCAAGAGGTCGATCTTCGGGTCTGGGACTCATCGGCAGACCGGGGCTCTTCGGCATCGAGGCAATTGACCGATTGTTTGGCGCCAAGATGGTGGAGCGGGAGTTGAGCATCGAGCCCAGAGACTCAGTGGCGCCAACATTTGGCGGCGATCGCGTCACGAGCTCACGAGGCAGCTCAGCTGGAGTCCCACCAGGAGACACAATGGTAGTGGGTGCTCCATAGGGTGAGCCATTCACGTCTGCGCTGTCAGCACCAGGCGCCTCGATTCCTTGATGTAGTGCGTTTTCACGATCGCGATCATCCTCTTCTCTGGTCTTTCTTCTTCCTCGACCCAAACTGGAGCTTTCGTCCGCATCAGCCTGATCACCGTAGTCGGAGTCGGAATCGGCATCGACTATGTCCTCACTGACATGATCGAACTGCTGCAAATTCAAGGGGGCGGGTGGTGGCTTGCGGACCGGATGAGGAAGCTTGCGCTGGCCTGGACTAGTAGGCGAGGAGAAACTCCCTGCAGAAGCAAGGTCAGATGCTGTGCCACGAGGGAGGCCTGAGGTCGTGATCGAGGGAAGAGCTGCCCGCTGTGGTGCTTCTGGCTTTTCATCGTCGCGACTAGGCATCACTGTCGATTCACTGCTGGCCGGCTCTGCGTCGTCCAGGAAGGTTTGCGAGACAGAGGGATCGACCGGAGGAACGGGAGGAGTCGCGTCTTGTAAATCCTTAAGCTTCTTCTTGTATTTTTCCTTCTCTTTGAAGGCGCGATCCAGATCTTTATTGAGCCCTAGGATGAGGGTGCGCTGCTTGTCAACCAACTTCCATAGCTGGGAGTTCTGCGAGGCCGCATGATGCTTCTCCTTCAACAAATGTACTATAACTGCCTCCGCCGACCCTGCCGCGTTGACGAGGTTACTGATATCGGCCTGGCTTATGGATTTGACGTCGAAGTTGGATTTTTGAGAGGCGGAGGATAGGGAAGAAATCGCAGAATCTATAGACGATGTGCGAGGCATTGCACGGGGTGTTGGACGGTCTCCGGATACCGACAGATCAGAGTTGGCAGGGGATGATGTCGGCCGATCGGGTTCGTAGCTCCCGGTCGGTTTGGTAACGCTGCCTCCCTCGTGTCTGGAAGCCATCTCTCGTTCGTCTGCACTCGTCGTGTCGGTGGACTGGTACATGGGACGCACCGTGTTCGAGGGAGGCACCGGGAATGCCGCATTGGCTACACGGGACGCAGGCGATCGGCTCTGGGTAGGGGACTGGTTCGCACTCGTCTTGGGGGAAAGCGGGCTTTGCGTGACTGGAGAGCCTTCGGATCGATAAGACAGCGGAAGTGACTTCGTGAAAAGAGGTGAAGGCTGATTGAGCTGACTTCCAGGAGGCCCCGGGCGCGCAGCCATGTCTGATCGCGCCCCGAGATAGTCTCGAGGAATGAGCCCCGTATTGAGAGGAGGGTGTGCCGAGGGCTGAGGCTGATTCCTGGAGAAACCTGACGGATCCTCTTCATGTGCTCGCTGATGCGACATGGTTCCGAGATCAGCAACGGAGAGCTCTCAGGGAGGAGAGAGTCTCGGTCGAGCAAAGGCCCAGGAGGGGGAGGCGTGACCCTGAAGCGTGACCTGTGAGGCGTGAGCGGCGGGATGGCGGGTCCTCCCAAGGAGCCGAAGCTTTGGGCTGGGATGGCCACCAGAGGAGGGAGAAAAAAAATTAATTCCAAAATCGAAATTAAGAGCCAAGAAAGGGGGCATGTCTCGGCCAACAGAGCCACCAGATTAGCCAAACATTGAGATCAGTTGGTGGAGCAATGCGAGGAACTTAAAATTGGAGATACAGAAACGGCGTGAAAAAGGGGTAATCCAATCTTATGAGCATTCATGCTGTAAGGTGTTACTGTACTAGGGTAAGGTACTGGTCGTTTGTAGTTTGTACCAAATTGGCAGAGAGGCCGTTCAAGGACTGGCGCTTTCGTCGGAAGAAGATTATCTGATGACTACATCGTGATATCCCTGAAGGATGGGGTTGGACCGTGACAGAAGCACGTTCCCTGGTGGAGACTGGAGCCACCGCTGACGATTGCGATCATGATGAGGACATGACTGCCTCAGCCAAAAGCCTTATGGCGAACACCCGAATAGGAACGACCAAATCGGCAGAGAACAATCCTTGTCGCCGCCTTAAACCTGCTTGGGCTAAATAGGTCTTGACTAGGGGAGGCAAAGGCCCGAACAGTGCGCTAATCGGTCTGAAGGAGCAAACCGAGGTAAACTTTTAAGTGACGATGTCTCCGAGAACCGTAGTCCGTACTAAGTACATAGTGGAGAAAAGAAACTATAACTTGTGAAGAGATCTGGGTATCCACGTGATCTCTCTTGGGCGACTTGAGGCCCCCTCCAGCTCCCGTGTTTATGAGGCGGAAGACGATGTGAAAATTCATCTTTGCTCGTGGCATGCTTGTATTGCTCACGTTGTGGATCGTTGATTGATGTCTCAGTTGTACCAGGGATGAAGAGGGGAGCGAGCGTTTGCCCATGCTCGAGGACGTGGCTCCTCGAGCCAACAAAACATGGCTCATGAACTGGAAAATAATACACGAGAGGAGGGAAATCTATAATAGGTTGCGCCAGACCCCAGATAATGCAATAGACTGTCGTGATACACTGGAAACCCGTCAACGCCTTGATGACTGCATGTTTTTTTTTGCACCAGATGCGGAAAAAGAGTCGTGAGTGATCGGAGAAGATGGTGGAAATGTACAAGGTTATGCAATGTTACCGGCCATGCCCATAAAGATGGCCTGGGCGGCCAATTGGAGGGACCAGAACCCTACTTTCTTGAAACGTCGCTTGCGCGCTTCGTCATCAACAATGTCGCGCGAGAATGCGTCGTAGGTCTATATGGAGCGTCAGTACGATATCGGGGAGCACAAGAATCCAGAGATAAGCAGAAGTCTTACCGCAGCGGACAGATCATCCATGAGACCACTGTCAAATATCGTCCAGCTTCCGTCAAAGTCGCTGGCGCGCTTGACCAGACGGCAATTGATGGGAATGAAAGTGCGCTTGGAGTTGATATATGCGACGATCGGTCGAATGAGCGCGTTGTTGATGTAAGAAAGATCGCGGGTGAAGATCGGGACGGCAGCCCGAACGTTGTTGAGATGAACGCGCAAATCCATAGCAATGAAGCGCTTGTTGGCTTCAGATAAGGAGGAAGGATCGCCACTAGACTCAACAGGCATCGACTCGGAGTACTTGTTCGTCGTAACGGTAGCCTCCAAACGATCATAGAAGTCTGCCATCACTTTCGCGATGCTCTCGTCGTTCTCCGCGGGGAGCATAATGTCCGCAACGATATCGACGGTACCTTCATGGATCCATGAGAAGGGACCCTGAACGCCACGATTGAGATGATCTATATTTAGACCATCCACTCGAATCCGATTATGTTTTTTCCATGGACTAGGCTTGCCATCTCCATCTCCCCCCTCATCCCATCGAGCGCCAACGAAGCCATGACTTTGGCGCGGATGAATGGTGAAGAGCGAGTTGTCAAATGATCCCGACATCATGTTCGCGGACAAGAAATCGTAGAAAAGCCATTGCTTTCTCAACTGAGGAAGATCGCATGAGAATATGCTGACCGAAAAGGGTCGGAAATTGTCCGGCTGGTAGATGGAGACCAGGACATCATGCATTTTGAACGAGTCAATCTCGAAGTCACCAGGGTTGTGCTCATGACGATAAGACTTCGGGTCGAGATCTTCGGCCGGCCAATGAACATGACGGCGGTCGACGACACCGCGGATTCCTCGAACTTCAACATCTCTGAGCGGGCCCTTACCATTGAGCCATTTAGCAAAAGACAAGGTCACGTTGACGGTCTCGATAGAAAGGTCAAATTGAGTGTAGTTGGTATCTTCCTCCTCGGCCATGGAAGCCTCTGTTGCTTGTTCACCTCGAGCCGCGGCGGCCGCGGCGGCCGCCGCAGTCGTGGGTGAGCCTTTGCTAACATGACCCGTTCCCTGACCGGGTCGCCGTGAGACAAAGACATTTTTGAAAGTGATTACGCCGCCTCTCCATTTCGGGACGATGGCGGATTCGAAGACTACCTTGACCCCAGATGATTTGGTCAGGTAATTGCCAACCCATCCAGCCAGCGTTTCTGTCACTTGTGAGCCTAGATCCTCAAATGCGAGGGGAGAGGGGCGAAATCAGATGTCATACCTTGGGCGAAGACTGTGTTGATGGCGAGGATCAAAAGCGAGAAGAAGGTTGTAGTTCCCACAACAACCCAGACAACGTGGCCTAGAAACACCCACGAAAACAGAGCTGCGATTTCATCCAAGTTAAATGGTCGCACGCTTCGAATGGAAAACCACTTGAACCGAACTTTGAGGCGGGACCAGAAACCAGTAGCCGCTGAAAGAAGCTCTTCCTTTGTCGGCCGGTGTAAATGCGGCATGTGAGGCAAACGATCCATCAAGTGGTGGCGATGGGGAGGGGTGAAGTAAGACGATGACTGTTGGGAAGGGTCTGAAATTTTCGTGGATGGTGTCTGAGTACATGCGCCGTTAGGCTTCGCAGTCGAGGTCGGCTGCACATGTTCGTCACTCTGTGATGGTTGGGGGCGGCTAGAGGGGGTGACATCGTGTTGAGCATCGTTCGACGAGTGCAACGCTCGCTTCCAGATGTATTGAGCCGTGAGTTTTTTATTGGAGATAATGCAAGCAGCACCGGTTTCTGCCGCTGTTGAGCTCTGAGAGGCAAAGACAAGAAGGCCACCAGAAGCGAAGCGTCGTGTTAGTTGATTTGATTTGAATGTGCCTGATGATAGACGTCTCCGGCTGGATATAGCTGAATCGAACGTGTTTCGGGAAAAGCAATCGAGGCGGGATGTGCGATGTTGTCGTATGCGGCCAAGGAAAGGATGTGCGAAATCCCAGATCTCGGCATAAAGCCGACGTCCGAAGTTTGCGGACATTTCGATCCTTCACATCCTGTGTAATGGCGAAGAAAGCAGAATGCGAATCTAAGATGAGGGCGAGAGGTCGAGGCGCGGGCGGCCAAAGCTTAGGAACGGGGACATGAAATCATCAGAAGTTTGTCTCGTTTGCACCGAAAAATCCATCCGCCCACACTTTCTTTTTGGTCGAGGGGTCCGCCACTGATAAATTCTGCGATAACAGATTATTATCATTAACACCACCCGTTGAAACCGACAATTTTTCCTCTCCGCTTGGCGATCTGCAAAGAAAAACTGGACAACCTCTCACAATGCCTGCCCCAACTGCTCTTCGCCAGCCAGTGGAGGACTCTGTTCCTCAACAGATCGACACTCCCATGGGTTCGTGCAGCGTCAACGCTTTGTGGGATTGATGGAGGACAAACGAGGCGCTAACCCATTTTCCAGATCAGGATGATGAGATCTTGATCGATGCCCACGGAACTACGCAGCCAGATGTCGCCAACCCTGTCACAGAAGCCGCGGAGGATGCTGAGATGCGCGTGGACGAGGAAGGTCGACCAGTCTTCACGCCAGCAAAGGTGACAAGCAACGCTCTGCGCATTGAAAGCCGCAAGGTGCCTGTTCCTCCGCATCGCATGACACCTCTCAAGGCGAACTGGGCCAAGATCTGCCCGCCGATCGTCGAACATCTTAAGCTCCAAGTGCGCATGAACATCAAGAGCCGTGCAGTCGAGCTGCGGACGTCGAAATTCACCACCGATACTGGCGCTCTCCAGAAGGGTGCTGATTTCGTCAAAGCTTTCACTCTCGGCTTCGACATTGACGATGCTATTGCTCTGCTTCGATTGGATGATCTGTATATCGAGACTTTCGAGATCAAGGATGTGAAGACGCTGAACGGAGAGCATCTCGGACGTGCTATCGGCCGTATTGCTGGCAAGGACGGCAAGACCAAATTCGCCATTGAAAATGCTAGCCGCACTCGTGTTGTGTTGGCTGACCAGAAAATCCACATTCTGGGTGGATTCAAGAACATCCACATCGCCCGTGAGGCCATTGTCAGCCTCATTCTTGGCAGCCCTCCTGTAAGTCTTGCTTCAAAGGATTCCCGGCTTATATTCTCATGCCAATTTTCTAACAACACATAGGGCAAGGTCTATGGCAACCTTCGAACAGTTGCCTCTCGGATGAAAGAACGATTCTGATTTATGCACCCCTCTATATCGATTCCCGGCATGGTAACGGCGTTCAGGAGCACCTCAACATCTGAGGGTATTCTTTCATGGTAATTTGATATGCGTGATGACATCAAGATCCGTAGAATCTTGATTTGAAACCTTTTGTTCCACAATACCCTACTTTATCTGCACAGCTTGCTCTACCTTCTTAACCTAGAACAGTAGAATGCTTCCATTAAAGACTATCGTAGCCGGAGCGATCTTCCATCATCTAGTCCTTCTTCAGAGGATGGAAAGTCTCCTGGATCCCATCCTTGGTGATGATAAGCATTTGCAAATTGTCACCAACCTCAATGTGTCGCTCGACCGCGCTTGTGAAAGCATCCCGTACGAGACCCTTGACAGTCTCTAATGGAAGAGGCTCGGGCTTTCTGGCCACGAGAGCGTGTCCCTCTCCGCTCCCGGGGATGTATTGATTCTTGAAATTGACCTGGTTGTCCAAGAAAGGCATGATCAAACTGGAAGCGGCACCGGCAGCGCGACATTGCTCTCTCTCATATGAGCCCACCGGGTCGTAGCTGTACAATGCTCCCTTGCCCTCCTCATCCAAACCAGCCAAAATCGCGTGGACATAGTAGGGGAAGAAGCGCTTCTCGTATAAGATTGTCGACAATCGCTGGGCGCAGGCGGCAACAGACATGGGTTTCCCGTGCTTGTACTTGTACATTTTCACCATGGCATCGAGTCGTTCTTTCAGGGCTGTGCCATCTGCCGCGAATCCGACCACAGAGAGCATGATTCTGGCGCCCTCACCAGTCTCTTCATCACCACCAATCTTGAAGACCTTGGGGACCATCCGTGAGTTGATGTTGTAACCAGAGGTGGAGCGAGTGTCCCCGGCTAGGATAGCGAAGTCAGATCCTGTGATGCCCAGGGTTGAACCGCCATTGTCTGTGTATCTAGCAACCGAAAGCTTGGTCAGCTGAATTTCCTGAACTTTGGTCTCACTGGAGTCCATACGGGTAGAATCCATGTTGCTTAGCACCAGCAGCTGTAGCCTCTGAGAAGGAGAATCCAACAGTCTCCCGAGCGGAGTGATCCACAAGGGACGTCATTTTGATGATTGTTGATGGTTTTCGGGAGGTAAGAGTCTGGGAGAACTTCAGGCAGATGTAGTAGACAAGGAGGGGAGAATGAATTGAAGAGCACTTCAAGTTGATAGAGGTGGATGGTGATAGGCGGCTGTCGGTGTCTGACGCGATGCTGTAGCTGCCTCGCTTATGTAATACCGCGGCCGCGGGAGCTAGTTATGGATTTAGCATTGGATGGAGGTACCCAGTAGACGCCGCCTGCCCTCCCGAATTTGTACCATTCCTTACGTGGGCTGCTAACTACGTAGCCAAGCGGAGCTCGATCGGTCGAGTGCCATTGTCCTACAAACGGCCTGCGCAGCATTGGCAGGAGCCTGAAACTCAGTGGAGGGTAGACTGTGAGGCAAAATCACCTCCGGACTATTCCGAGAAATTTTCAATCTCAAACTCGAAGCCGCGCTCAGCCTGCCGGCCCGCTAGCGACATGCTCGGCCTCGGCGCATATGAAAGCAGTAGCGAGGATGAGGACAGGGTGAGATCCTCGCCCGAGCGATCATCAGCGGTACGTACGCCTCGATCATGGATGCAGTCTATCTACTGAAACTTGATCTGCAGACCGAGAGGCGGCCAATTGCCCCACGATCGCCAATTCAACATCAAAGTCAGTGACACGATTGCGACTTTCTCAAGCACCCCTAAAGAAAGATTCAAGAAGACTAATGAATCAAAGACATTACGCATAGAGCTTCGAAAGACGAATCGATCCCGGCACAGGCTGATTCGACGATCTCTGAGCCCCCCAATGGCCCTGTTCTTGGGCCCGAATCTGGTCCTGTGCCGATGAACGATACACAATCGCCTGGAGGTCGTTCAGCAAGTGGACGTTCCTCGCCTTTCTCATCGACAAGGGCTTTGGTGCACGATCTGACATTGCCTCCAGTTCCCAATCTGAACATCCCACCGTCTCCCCCTGGGTCACCGAACGCAGCTCTGAACGCCAAATTCGAGCACTTCCTCGCGCTCAAGAAGCAGGGCGTTCATTTCAATGCCAAGTTAGCATGCTCCTCCTCCTTGAGGAATCCCAGCCTGCTTAAGAAGATGATGGAACACGCCGGAATCAAGGAACACGAGCAATACAATACATCTTTGCCGTCGGATATCTGGGATGTGTCTAACTTGCCCCAATGGGCTTTCAAAGACGAACTTCTCAAGACACAACAAGAAGTTCGGCAGAGCCGAGAAGAGAAGAATGCGACTGGTCAACGCTCATCCATTGATTTTGTATCCACAGCCGCCACAAACAAATGATAAAGTTCTCGCGATCAGGAAAATTATCGTTAGGGTTCTCCCTGAGAGGTGCATTTCGCACAGGGCAAGCATCTTGAACACCGGAAGAGAGGACTATGGGGCTGGATTGATACCATCTTCTTCGACGACGATTCAATCAACAGAGCAGACGCTTGTGGTCGTACCCAGGATACCCATCCAGTCGTCATGAATCAAGTGCTGATTACGACCCAATCTGGCCGGATGACAGGCTCAGCCCACGGATCGCTTATGGCTGACTTGCCCAAAGGCCCTGGCGATGAGCGCCTTCATGGTGCCCACCGCGACATTATTCTACGCTCATCGATAGACAGAAAGTACATCACTTTATATTGCTCGGGCTTTGTGCAACCTTTCCGCTGTCGGCATGCAAGTCATACAAGCTTCAATGTCAGGGAAGCTCGAGCTTTCAACGCTGGTTTCAAGAGACGGCTGTTCCCAAGAACAGAAGATGCGAAAACTGCTAACCAGTTGTGGCGATGAGATGCGCAAACGTCTGTTCTCCTGCCTGAAGCCTACAGCAGCTGATAACTCCAGCTGTAGTCTCTGCGTCGCATTGGAAAATTCGGATGCCATGCCTGACCTCGCTGCTTTGTCCGATGCTCTCATACCTATCCATTAGCGCCGACCCGTCTCTTTTCTGTTCAGCATTTACTTATTTGCATATATGCTTTACGCAGAAGACTTTGCCTCATTGTGAGCCGTTCCGTTTTAGTCCTTTGCATGGGGATGGGTATTTGATCTCGATAATTAAATTTTCAACGCTGGAGGTCCCTCCATAGTCCATAAGTTAGGTAGTTACTATGGCCCAGGGACAGGTAAGTCAGAGCCGGGCGGCGCGGGCGCATTTGGAGGCTGAGTCAGCAAGAGCTCCCGCCCGCGTCAGCTCGCCTGCCTGGTGAGCTCTCCAGATTCCGGCGTCTCGTCATTGCTCAAGTCCAACATCTGCGGCGCTTCTTTTATCCTCCAACGCATTATCCATCTCCAAGCCGTCAGATTCTTCATCGCATCTAGTCAATCATGGATCACTTTCCTGGTACCTGGGGCCGAGTAAGATCCCTTCTGTGAGCAGATTCAACCGTGTCGATGCACCTTGCTAATATTGCTTCTACAGCCCCGAAACGATGTCTACGGAGCCTACGACCCATCATACCTCCAGAGCACTGGACCCAAGACACATACATCGTCTCCTGCTGTGACTGGTACATCAGTGGTGGGGGTCGTATTCAATGGCGGTGTCGTGATAGCTACCGACAATTTGGGTATGTAGATGTGATTCCGATACGATTGATCTTTCTAGCAAGTCTGACACCGTCCTTCTTGCTTCCTCTACGTACAGCTTCATACGGTTCCTTGGCACGATTCACGGACACGAAGCGACTGCGGGTTTTCGGCGACCAGGCCGTGGTGGGCTTTGGCGGTGATGTGTCCGATATGCAATACATTGACCGGCTCCTTGAATCGATCGACATTCGTGAGAACTACTCTTCTCACGGCAACACATTGAACGCCAAAAACCTGCACACGTACCTCGCCAAGGTCTTCTACAAAAGACGATCCGAGTTCAACCCTCTATGGAACCACGTGCTGGTAGCCGGATTTGACAGCGCCGGCAAGCCATTCCTTAGCTCTGCGGACCTTCTTGGCACCACCTTCTCTGCACCCCATCTGGCGACCGGATTCGGTGCTCATTTGGCTGTGCCTATTCTTCGTCGCTTGTTCCCCGAGGAGAGACCTGTGGAGGAGATTAGCCAGGAAGAGGCGGTGGAGGCGCTCAAGCAGTGTATGAAGGTTCTCTTCTACCGCGATGCACGGAGTACGGACAAGTACTCGATAGCCGTGATTACAAAGGACAAGATCGACCTGAAGGAGGACGAACAACTGGAGAAGCAGAGCTGGGCCTTTGCTGAGAAGATCAAGGGATATGGACGCCAGACGGTCTAGACTTTTTACAGGCACATCTGCAAGCTCGGTTCAAGTATACTTGGTTTCTTCTCTATGCAACTGGTCAATGGAATAAGTCAATGAATATTTCTCTCTATATAGACGGTATGCGAAATATCCTGTTTAGAAGTCGGATGACCACAACAGTGCTTCATTACTTGTTTGGTGACGCACGCCATGTATCTCTTCAGACATCGGCCGGACCGAGCTGGGTCTTGCAAATTTGTATATACGACGCTTGGCTCGCGCGATACCGCGCACCTCAGCATTAGAGCTTGGATGTGGCCTTGTCAAAGACCACACGGTTGCTGATTGTTCCCACGCCCTCCAAGGAGATATCGACTTGATCGCCATCTTTGAGCCACAGGGCAGGCTTTCGGCCCATGCCCACACCTTCTGGCCTATGATGAAGTTAGCCACCAGAAATCTCGACAAGCCACTGTACACATTTCCAACTCACGTTCCAGTAAAGATCAGATCTCCGGGAAGCAGCGTAGTGCCCTGCGACAAAAACGCAATCGTCTTGGCCACATTGAAAATCATGTCCTTGGTCGAAGAAGACTGCACCACCTTGCCATTCAGCTTGGTCCCGATATGCAACGCATTCGGATCCCGAATCGACTTGGCCGACACAATTCCCGGCCCAAACGGCGCCCACCCATCAAACCCCTTCCCCAACCCCCATTGCCCTCCTCCCCGCTTGATCTGCCAGTCCCGATGCGAAACGTCATTGCCCACCGCATAGCCCAGCACATAATCGAGCGCCGAGCTCTCCGGCACATTCCGCGCCTCTTTACCCATTACAATGACCAGCTCGCATTCGTAGTCGAGTCCCTCGCCTTCCTGGGCGATTGGCGCCACGGGGATATCGTCCTGGGGACCTGCGATGGCTGTGACGGGCTTGTAGAAGAGCACGGGGTATTTGGGGATGGGCAGGTTGGACTCCTTGGCGTGTTGTTCATAGTTGAGGCCGAGGCAGCGCACGGTGCCGATGTCCTTGCGCGCGAGCGGAGAGAGCAGCATGCGCACGTCGGCGACTTGATCGGTCACTCGGTGTTGGCCGAAGAGGTCGCCGTGGATGACGCGGGCTTGCGCGGCTTTGGCTAGGTCGGTGATGCCGTTGGGGAGGAGGGCATCGCCGTAGTAGACGTGCCCGTCTTTGGCAAGGAATCGGATGAGACGCTTTGGAGGAGGGATTTTGAGGTGAGTAATTAACTTGAAGATTTTGGAGGCTTTTCGGATTACCTCTGGATTTGGATAGGAAGACCAAGTGGGCTGTGTCATTGTCTAGGGGAACTGGTCTTGAGACGTACCGTGAACGAGGCCATTCTTAGTGAGGTCCTCTTCTGGAATTATCAAATTGTCAATGGCTGGTGTCCAGTATCAATACAGGTAGATAATTGCGAGCTGCGGGCACCTGGGGTATTGTCTACTGTAGGCTGATTGTGAAGTTGGAGAGACTTAGGTTGGTATGGGGGTAAGAATATGGGTCGAAAGGGGAGGGGGATATTGAAAGCAATATATGTTGTCCGTTGAGGAGAAGGTGGAACGGAGAGCAGATGGAATATCTGGGGCTGAGCGGGGATGAACCGGAGAAATACAAAGGCTTGAGTGCGGTGTTTGAGAAGCTGACGGCGATCCATTACCAAGATGAATAGCTTGAAAGACCATTGAGTTCTCATGAACTTGGGGTAGTTCCATACCCATGAGGGAGTAGTTCTTCTCCAGGAGAGCGGCGCTTTCTCCCCGAAGTTGGACCGGATCTCGATCTTGACACCCAATTGAGATGTGTCCAGGTACCGATACCTGAGAGCAAGCATCCCAGTGTGCAGTGCCTTGAGTCAAGGTACCTCGAGAGCCGCGCTCCCGCCGCCCACTCGGCCGGGAAAATGACGACACTTGTGCTCCGGCGGAAAACGGAACTTTCTCACTCCAAGTCAACCCTTCCATCAACGCTCGATACTAAGAACTACCACCAAACGGCTCAAGCCAAAGGGTACTGATCAGACCAACATCAAGTCACGGTCATATTCGATTGCTTGGCTCCGAACACTGCAGCAGCTTAGGACAACGCTCAGATCGCGGATCTTCGAAAAAGGCCCGTCTGAGCGTGCTGCGTTCTCGGCTATTCGTCCCGTCAAGCTCAATCATCGCTTGTCTTGTACCTGTCGGTTCCTATGGCACGGCTCTCGGGTCTACAGCGAGATGTGCTCTCTCTATACAGACAGTGTCTCCGGGAGATTCGCAAGAAACCTATTGTAAGTTTAGATAGTCCAGTCTCTTCTCAGTTTATCACACCATATCCCAGCCTAAGCGCAAAAGACAAGTGCTACCAGAAACAGGGTTGAGCACCCTACCATAGCCACGTATTGTCCGCAAGGATCTCAATTCCTGGGTTTCTTTCCTCCCCTTGAATTCGACAGTGATCATTCTCATCGCTTAATTCGTTCATTCAACAGGAATCACAACCCAATTTCAAAACTTATGCCCGGTATGTCTTGTACCCTGCACGCTTCATTCCTGCTCATCCTTGGGCCATCGGAAGCCTCCGACTAACCGGCAGACGTGGGCGGCGAAGCGCGGAATTCCAAAAGCACCTCTCGGTGAATAAGAAAGACTTTAGTGCGATAGAGTATCTCTTGCGAAAGGGCAATCGTCAGCTCGAGATGTATGCTTCACCGGGAATTCGCAATATCCGATGAGCTTCGACCTGTGGGACAAGAGCCGGTCTCTTGGTCGAGAATATCATTCGTCTCCATGTTCGTCTTTCGGGGCCCTTTTTTGACAGGGCCCATGGTGACAGAGTGAACTTGTCCTCTGTGATGGTGCGTTTCCGACCAAACTCAAGTGCGCGTGCTTCTTTTTATGACCAGGTTTATTTGCGCGTCCCGGTAGACTGACCTCATCGTTGCGACTAGTCACTCTACAGGCTAGTTCTATAGGGTGAGGTGGGAGAGATGATAGTGGAAGGGGATGGCCGTGTGAGTCTACTAAGATTCACTCCGTTGTACTACTAGTGTATAATACATCGATTTCTCTTCTCAAATCGTAGACCCGATTCATGGAGAACGGTAGATGCTTCAACACGCCTACAGGACAAGTACATGAGGTACTTTGGATGGCGGGTGGTGGACGGGAAATTAGCCACGTCTTTGCACACCAAGTCCTCGACAATGCTCAAACAGTGCTAGTAGGCATTGACGAGTTGACCCGGATCCCCTCGTAAGCAACCATCTCTCCTCACACATTGAGAGCAAGCAGTAGATACCCTGTTGAAAATTGAGTAGTGCTACCCTTCGGTGGTATTGCTATTGCGTAGAAGGCGGGCGATTTGGAAGCGACTGGCTTACATAGCAAAGGGTGGACCACAGTGCACTAGAAGCAGCTCGAGTCGGCCGCTTGGATGTGTAAGCCAAGGCCGACAGACATGATCAAGCAAGTTCACCAGGGACGAAATGCATCAAATTGGTCAGGACTGTCTGGGTACCTGACAAATTGACCGTCATGTCTCGTCAATGACCCGTTGGGTGTGCAGCTTTCCATCTTCGGGTGGCTGGAGGATTGGAGAAGCTGCCAGAATCGCCTTGCCGTTTCGGGAACTTGCCGCCCCACCCGTGCGCGCTCGTCCATCACCAAGTATATATAACAAGCCTCACAAGCAGACAACTGTGGACCATTCTTATTCTCATTCTCAGATCAGATCAGACCCTTGGCTACAATCGCAATCTCAAAATACTTTCCAAGCCTCATCTATTCCTCGCAGAAAAACCTCCCAAAACTCAACCACAGTCAAGCATCATGGCATTCCTCTCCTACGGCTCCGACTTCACTCCACTCTTCCGACTGCTGGACGACTACGAGACCCACCGGTCCCGAGCCGCACCGTCTCCACAGTCTACATCCGCTGTTTCGAAGTGTACGAAATCCACAAACACCGGATCTACTACACCTTCAACCCCCACTCGCCGCACCTACTTCTCTCCCGCCTTCGATGTGCGCGAGCTCAACGATGCCTACTACCTTGATGGCGAGCTGCCGGGAGTCGACCAGAGCAACATTGAGATTGAATTCACTGAACCCCAGACCCTCGTGGTGAAGGGTCACACAGAGCGCAACTACTCCTCACTCAATGCTCCCGCGACTGGCCTCACAGAAGAACACCGATCCAACGCGCCCGACGACACGACTCCCAGCTCCAGCCGAGCGAATTCTCCACACCGCTGGCACCAGCCCACCGTGGAAGATGACGACGAGGATATGGACGGTCACCAGTCCGATACTCGATCCACCACAAGCCACCACTCTGGTGCGACGCCTTCAGCGGCAACCGTGCAGAAGAAGCAGCCTGCCACGAGGTCGGTGGTGAAGACTGGCAACAATGACAGCTCCTCATCTGCATCCTCCAAGACTAAATTCCACTACTGGGCCTCAGAGCGATCAATCGGTGAATTCCAACGGACATTCACCTTCCCGGTTCGCGTGGATCAGGACAACGTGCGCGCTTCCTTGAAGAATGGCATCTTGTCCGTCATTGTGCCCAAGGAAGCTGCCCCCAAGACGAAGAAGATTCGCATCTGCTGAAGATAAGAAATGAAGAGTGAGGGATCCGATCATATATTCGCTCGATATGATTTCTTCTTCTTCTTTTTATTTGTTCCACGGGTGAAACTGTCTTTTCTGGTTTCTTGGCTTATGAGGGACTTCCCAACGACCTCGAGAAATCTATGATATTTTGCTATGATTTTTGCATTATGGGTCTTGTTTTGGCGCGGAATATTCGGGGCATCATGGCAATCATCACCCACTATATGGTAAAGGGTCAATTGGGTCTGCGTATGTATTTCAATCTAACTTTTGAGACTTTCATCAATACATTGAGTTTATGAAGATCGATCACATTATTCAACAACACCCTAGTAATTGAGACTCCCGGTCACTTTCATAACTTTCACTCTCCACACCGTAAATATCGCAAATTGACAAATCAAAACTTTAGATTGCTTACTTAAACCTCGACAGGTCCCTAGGCACCTACCTAGTACTTTCTCACTGTGACTCCAGGGTTTACCAGACTTGTTACTAAGACGAAGCCACTGGAGGGATATTCCGTCGTGTTACACATAACTAGCGAATCGTAAGGTAAAAAGGACCTTTGAACATGAACCTGCCTTAAGTACCTAGTAGATGACTAGATAGTAGATACAGAAACCTACCTAAATCTTGGTACGAACACGCCCGCTGACGATATACCCTCGCCAACCTAACGCACAACTCCCGATACAATAATCGATCGCCGCCCGGACCTCTACAACTCTATAGTAGGTACTAGGTAGTAGGTACTAGGCTGAGGTAGTCGGTCCTCCTACTCGGTAGTCGATATTCGGTAACCCCCAATCCCATGATCCATCTTCTCGTCCCTTTCCAGCCTCACCCTCACCCTCACTCTCACCCTCACCCCAATATCATGAGCTTTTACCCGAGACCGGGCCAGACGAAGCTGCTCTGCTGTGCCCCTGATACCCCTGTTCCTCCCTTGCGTCACAACACTCAGCCCAAGCGACGCGATGCATACACTAGGACCTGGACAACGGAGCTAACCTACCGTATCCGCATGAGCTCCCAATGCACCAACGGACTAATGACAGATCGTGTAACAGTGCTAGCTTCGTATAAGCGAGGTCTTGAGAGTTCCTGCGGTCTGCACTCTGCGGGCTGCGGGCTGCGGGCGAAAAAAAAAAAGGCCTGGAATTTCCAATTAAACGTGGATCGAAGCTACGTTGTTGGATTTGAAGGGTGTCAGTGTGACCGAGTAAATTTCATCGTTGTGCCGTGCTTCAGAACCCCGACATGAAAGGAGGCCTTGCGGTGAGTCGAAAGATGTAGAGGGACCGGAGGGAAACGCTCAATCGAGACTAGACCCTTTGAAGCCCGAGGATGTTCCGACTTTTCTGGAAAGGTAAGAGAGCAGATAGAATCCACATGGTTTTACAACGTCCTTCCAGCCCTTCGGTCCCAATGGTCTGGGCTCTGGACTCTAGACCCCACGATTAGGCCGATCTCGTCTTTGCTTGCTGGGAGCGGTCTGATGTGGATTATATTTGCGGGCGATACAGCAACGTACCTACCCAGGAATGAAGTCAAGTGTCAAGTCCAGGGAAAAATTCAAGACGAGAACCATCCAATCTGATTTGATTCGCATGAACGAAATATGCATTCATTGTGACCAAGTAGATGACATGGGAGCTGAACCTCGAGCCAGGCAGTTGCTTCGCCCAGTCACTCGCAAGCTTCATTGCCAAATGGAGGCAGATATCAAGGATTGGAAAGTAAAACGAAGGCGGAAAACACCCCCCCCCAAAAAAACAAAACACACAGAGTATTGAAAATGAATGACAATGTATGACGCCCAGCAGGTTGATAAAATGAGGGTATATCTTGATAAATTCAAACAACTCCTGACCCCACGCATGTCAGGTTCACGCATTCAAAAAAAATGGACAGGCCGGGGAAATGATGGGATAGATCCCTACTAGACCAAAGGATAGTCAAAGTGCACAGACTGCAATCCGGCCACAAGCAACGCCGAGATCACCAGACTTTTTTTCCGCCAAGGCGAGGGGTGTTTAGACATTAAAATTCCTCCTGGAATGCAGCCAAGCCTGACTTCATAACTGAAAATGAAAACCTCAAGAAATAAATGTAAGGCGTTGATGGAAACAAGAAGGAAAGAACGAAGATCGACGGATGGGGAAGAAATGGTAACGACGGTATGACCGCCCTGGCTAACCGCAGAGCATAAGCCTCGAGAACACTCAGCGTTCTAGTCAAGAAGACCTTCAGGCCTGAATCTCATTTTGAGAAGTCTTGGTGAGCTTGCGACGGCGTAGGTCTTGACTGCGACTTCGGGGCCGACCACGTGCAGCCTCGTCAATACAGCACTCGCCAGCCGATTCTCCATTCTCGAATAAGGAATCAGTCGACTTGCTTGAAGGCAGAGGCGGGGCCTCAATTCCGGGCGTTTGGCTCCAATTCCGACCACCATGTCCGCTGCGAGACCGTGCGCGATGCGCCATGAGCTCATGCTTCGCGCCGAGTTCAGGACACCGCCCCGAGGTTGATCGATGCACATGGGTCTGAACCCGCTCAGTGCTAATACACAGCTGCTGCAAGCTTGGCGGCGATTGTACGCCGGGCGCAGTTTCCGGGTTGATCACGTCAGAGACGGTAAGCACACCTGTGGTCAAATAGCGGTCCACCTGCAAAGACCCTCGAGACGATGAGCCCCGTGGCTCGTGGCAACCAGCCGCCCATGAAGGTGAGGCGGTTCCTGCGGATACGAGGTCAAACTTCTGCATCTGGTACTCGCTATAACGAGGAGCACAGAGCGTTGACCGACGAGTGCGCGGGGCAGCAAGGGATGACGATTGGGGGGCTGGACCCATCGTATCGTACCAGCGGTCAAATTGAGGATGCAGCTGCGAAAAGTTACCCATATAGGCGGTCGCATCACGCAGACCCACAGGATGCTGCTGGATACCCTCGTTTGGGAGCTCAATCGGAGGGTGGTCATTGGCGACTCGACCTTTTCGCGCGTGATTGTCGACTGCGGAGAAGGAATCCGAAGCTTGCGAGTCAAATGAAGCGCGCGTCCGGCTGCGGTGATGAGACGCGACAGATGCTGCAGAGCTGTAACCGCTGTCGGACTTGTTGAGTGAGCAGGAAGTACTTTGATCAGCACCAGAATCGAAGGTTTTCTTGTCCGACTGGCAAGCATTGTCATCGTCGAGGGCAATCCCTTCGTCTTCTACCCCAGCCCCCTCAGCTGGAAACAGAGACCGGGAGGAGGCTGGATAAAACCCCATAGGGGATTTCTCAAAGGAGAATGGGCTATCTGGATGATCGTCAGGCTCAGTGAGACTGGAGATCGCGGAGATCTTCAAGGTTGACTGGACGCGGTCGGTCGTAGTGTCAATATGACTCAAGCCTAGACCAGGCGATTCCAAGGGGATACGATCACTAGAGCAAGGCGAGGTAGAACCATTCACGACCCGTAGAGAACCGAGTTTCAAGGCCCCCAACTGCGTATAGCGACTGTCGGGAGGGCTCAAGGGCCGCGTCACCCGCGTATCTTGATGGACAGATCCTGGGCGCGACAGTAGCGGCCATTGCAATGTCCCAAAATCGACTAGATCGTCAAATGAGTCCTCCGCCAGAGCAGGAGGCTCGCCGATTGGGGAAGGCGCCCGTCGTCCGGATCTAGTCGATCGTCGTGTGGCTACACCCGGCCGAGTAAGCAACGAGCGCCGCCGAGTCAATGAGAAGCGCTGATTGTCGACCATGAAGTGGGTGTTGGAGGCTGTGGCGCCCTCATAAGCATCCTCGTAGATCGTGCTGCTCTGTCGGGTCAGATTGGTCTGCATTGAATTGGCTCTTCTGGGAGGCTCTATCACTCGGGTGCGTTGCGAGGAACCATAGGTGCCCGGTTGATAAGACGCTCTGCGCACCGAGCGACTTGTCAGCACCCGACTAAACACCGGCAGTTGCTGGTCGGTGTCTTCCGCCGTGGGCGCGGGGGCCGCATGGGCGGTTTCATTCTGTCGTGTGGGCGCTGAGCGTGAATCAGTCGCGAAGACGATTGGAGGAATCTCCCTCGCTTTCGACCGGACGCTCCTGGCGTCCGATGCGAGGCTCGATCCCACCCACGGATTCTGCCACCCGATCAACCCTGAATTGAGTTCCTGACCTTCAGTCTCGTGGCGGGAAGACCTGGACGAGCGGGTCGAGACGGTTGATCTTCTCGACAGTGGCTTGGAAAGGGGCTTGGAGAGTCGATTCGCTCGGTGTGTATCCTCCTTGGTCGAGCTTGACTGTAGATTACCTATCGCCTCGCATAGTGCCGGCCAGCGCCAAGGCGGCATGGTGGCTGTTCCAAAAAAAAAGAAGCTAGATCAATTTGGTAGGAAAAGGGTCACAGCAGGTGTCGGGGAAACAGGAGCTTGAAGGACGCCCAGGAGAAGGAAAAGATATACTCGACCAGCGAGAGAGCGCGACGACTTTTAACGGCGTGAAGGACGGAGCTCTGAGCGACCTCGAGCTCGCTTGTCACAGCTCGCTGGAGGAAGTGCTCGAATGGGACACCTCAGAGGAGGAGCAAAGTGTTGACGTCAACCCACGCTGGGATTGCTGAGCCGTCAATCCGGGCGCTCCAGAACTTGTGCACCAGGCGAATTTTCAATTGGACGCGCGATTGGCGGCTGAAAGTGAACCGTGCGGAGGTACTGGAGATGAGCCGGGTTTCAGATTGGAGGAGAGCGTCGGCCACGGTTGGACGAGCGAACAACGTGTGAGAGTGAGGGGAAGAAAGATGCAGATAGCGGGGAAAGTTGACGTTCTCAACCCCAGGGCAAATGGGAGGATGAGGATATTCACAGTATCACGAAAGAGGATACCTGACCGAGTGATTTCTGGAGTTGAGCAAAGCATAAGACACCCTTTCCACCCAGAACAAACAGAGGTCACGCAAAGGTGGTCTCGCGGTCACAATTCAGCTGTCTTCTGCGTTGAGGTTGACTCTCGTGGCTGTGCAGATGTCCGTTCATCGACGTCGTTGAAAGCGTTGTTGACCCCGAAAACTTCGGGGAAATTGGACCCGAGGCGAGCAATTAGATCCCAAGAACCCGATTTCAAATCGGAATGACCGGTGACTTTGTTGAGGACCAGGTGAACAGACCCAATGCACTGGTGGAAAGGAAACAAAATCTGGAAAATGAGGACTGGAAATTGGACAGGGGGGATACACTTCTCCGACCTGCACTGATTTTCTTGCACAGAGGAGTGGACACTCGAGCCACTCCGTCGCGACAGGGTCAAGGTCCAGGGAATCGCGGAGGAGGTAGGGCGGACACACGACGGATATCGATTAGAACCCTGTGGAGAGAGAGAGCGAGGGAGAGAAGGAGGGAGGGAAAGAGGGGGAGGACACAAGGACGGTTGCAGGTGAGGACAATTATTATGGCATCAGGCCATGACCGCGGCGGATGCTTGATACAGTAGACAACAGACAGGACTGACGAAAGCATGATGGACGCCACCCACCGGAGGTGCCCTGATGGTCGCAGCCTCTTTGCTGTTTTGTGGGTTCCTTCACTTTGTCCCTGTGGTTCCAGGCTTTCAGATCAGGGTGGGCCGTAATCGAGAAGAGGCTCGAGTCCCCTCTCCGACCATGCAAACAAGCGATCAGGACATGACACTACTTGCCGCACACGGTGCATGCGCAATTGCTGGCCCGTCTCGATGAAAGAGGAGACAAGCGAGACAGGACAGCGAGTGGCCATAGGACCCGCCGTGATAGGCTGTTTAGCAGACGGAAGGAGCTGCAAGCGGAACAGGACAGGGTTGAGCTCTGATACTGGCGTGGACGGTGGACACCTGGAGTGGGAATAATCATTGTGGAGAGAGAGAGAGAGAGAGAGAGAGAAGAGGGAAGGAAAGGAAGTGGATCGTGGGTGGGGGGAGAAGGAACATGGAACATGGAAACATGGAAACATGGGAAAAAGGGAAATTACTGAAAATCGGCAAAATAGTACATAGGAAGTTACTACTAAGTCAGTTGGTACTACTGTACTCCAGTAGTACATTAATATTGCTCAAACTACCTGGGGGCAGGCACGTCTCTTCTTCACTAGCTTATTGCAAGACTGCATCGCTTTGTGAGTGGTGCAGGACTATAGAGACTAGAGATCATAGAAAGCAGCTTTCTCTTCTTGCCTTGCCAGAATCATGAGCTCCTCCGAAGCTCCTGAATCAAGCCATAGCTCCTCACAGGAACCGGGCCTCGAAGGCAGCTAACCAAGGATGGCGGTCATGACGACCAAAAGTACTGCTCAGGTACTTCTGCCTACCGTGGTTGACTCCATGGCACGACCAGTCCTCAAAAGGTACCCGTCCTCTGTGGAATACCAGTCGTGCTCTTGTTACTCGGAACTCCTTAAGTTCCCACCTAAACGCCGAGGCGCTTTCGCCCGCTTGCGGCACTAAAGGAGGACCCGCCCGGCATTCCAACAATGAAGGTCCTCAACGGTCCAACCGATTATGTCTACGATAATACTCAAGTAGTCAAGTTCTGTCGTGCCGACCTGCCTATGACAAAAAAAAACTGGAAAATCATCGGTGGCTTTCTTCGTTCATGTTCGGCTGGTCCTCAGGGATTGAGCTTTCAGGCGTCATGGCGTGTATTTATCGAGTTCTATTTCACAATGCAGCTGTACTCAGTACTGATTACTTCGATCTCTTTAGTCTCTTACTAAACCTGTTGTTAGGATGTCGCGAACGGTTCTGCAACCCCCATCCTTGTCCAATAATTCAGCCAAGGTGGTGAGTGTCCCGAGTCCCGAGTCCAGTGAGTTGGTATACTGTATCAGTGAATTTGATTCTGATCCCTGGTGTACAGGTGACAGGTGTACACCGTACAGTATTACCCCAGATTATCACCTGGAGAAAAGTGCCAGCTCCCGGAGACAACCCCTGACTGGGAGCTCTCTTTTACTTCAGCATCCTCAAAATGTCACCTAGAGGAGGCACTGTCACTTGCATTTCTATCTTGTACCTACTGAATCAGTCCGATCATGTTGTTCTCCACGAGCTCTCGAATTTCCATATAGTATGAGTATCGATGTCCAGAGCATGTGAATGATTTAAAAAATCATGAACTTCGACCTGATGAGTAGCAGAAGTCATCCCCTGTAGATCCCCCCCGGCAAATAAAGCTGATGTGACGTGACTGATCCACTTCTACTACCGAATCCAACACAACTGCATTGTTCTAAGGTTCGACTTGACCAAAGTATATCCTCGTCTCGTCCATCATTGGAATATTTAATCTATTTTCCAATATTGACAGTCCTTCCACCCCCGCCTTCGGCAATCCTCACCCTCTCGAGACCAAAATGCCACACCTCTCTATTGGCTGTCCCTGCATCTCTCACCGCGTCTATTGTCATTGATCGATCGGATCGACATGACCTGATCGACGGATCGCTTTGGAACTGTCAAGTGATCCCAAAGCAGCAGGGTGACAGCCAGACCGGCCAGACCAGCCGTCACGGCTGAACCGCCTTTTGCTCCACAGAGTCCACTCAGGTGGAATGATCAATGGTCAGGCTGTGGCTGACTGGCGAACTGAACCTCAAGGTTGGTCCATCGGGCAGTAAGGTTTCTGCGCCACCAATTTCTCTAGATCGTCGAGACGGATAGTTTGTGGCGGTAGGCGGTGGGCGGTGGGCGGTCGACAAAGTTACAGCTCGCCATTTCGGTTCGTGATGCTGCGATCGAGTGGAGACGAGATGGAAAACGGGAGGGATTGCCAAATCCGGTTGACAGGACACTGACAGTAGGAGTGACTGTGGTGTGCAACTATGCATCAACTGGGGACCTTTGAATTTGAGTGGCTGCGAACCGTGTCGAGTTTCAATGGTCTAACAATAATGGTCTCATTGTACTTCCCTTCGGATATACATTAATCGTTGCAGCGGTTGGGGAACAATAGCTGTACTTCCAACTGCTAATGGAGAGTCTGTCAGTCTAGAGACTGTAATCACTATTCAATATAAAGTGAAACTACCAACTCATCAAGTACAAGTGGCTAGAGATCTCATTTTCCGAACCGTTCCGTGGCCGGACAACTCGGGGGGTCCAAGTAGACGAAACGACCGGGTCCTGCCTGGCACAGGACCCAGGTAAAGCTACCAAAGGTATCTGTTTCCTTCCCCAGCCTCGTCGGAGATAAAGTAAGCCACCTCATATATCCCAACACAGACTGGTCATCCATCCACACTCACTCCCACATCCACACCACCTCATGATGCTCAACTGCGATGCAGTCAAAAGTTCCGCCTCCCCGCTGTCCGCTTTTCCCTTCCTCACAGCGGAAGAGTTCAATTGCGCCTGTCACAAATTTGCCGAGCGAGCGCGCAGCTGCACGGCCGCCCAAGAGGATGGAGGATGGTCGTCGGTGCGACTGATCACACAGGTAGATCCCTGCGGCTGTTGTTGTTTCACCGATGAGGGGAGAGAATATTGACTTTGATCCTCCAAAGATCTTTGCTTTTTGATTTTTTGATTTTTTTTTTTCAATTTTTGGGATAAATTTCCCCCCAATCTATGAAGATACTACTGAGGAATGGCACTGACCCTTACCCGTGGGGATGGATGTCCATGGTGGTGGCACCCTGGCCAGGCCATCCCCGTTCGGTTGTGTGTTTTCTTTAGAACCATGACCTTTTCAGCCTCAGAGTGACCAAACATGTCGAGGTCCAAGCTCCTGCATCGGAGGATGCAGATCTACGCGAACTGTCGAGACCTACTGTGCCAGCTACGTCTCGGTCTATGACTGCATCGACGCAGACAGATGTACAAGTTCGCGATGCACAAGACGCGGACGAAGAACCCGAAGAAGAGGAAGCAAAAGATCCGGTCTGTAGCCCATTGTAGGGAGAACTTTCGAAAAAGGCAGGCATCCAATGCCGAGTGGAAGGGGGATCCAGAGGGCGGACACGCGGGCACACAGCACATGCAATGAATATACGGAAAAGAAGGTCTAATTCTTTGAATCGAATACCGCAGGAAGCATTGATTCGCACCAATCTTCGACCGACTCTGCAGCTGGATTATGACATTGTGTTATCCCAAACGTATCAAGTTCCCGTCTTGTATTTCACGCTCCGATGGCACAATGACTCCAGCCCCGTGGGTCTCGACACGGTCTATCAGTATGTCGTTCCGCAGCAGTACAGACAGCAGTTGCAGAGTGTCGGTGTCATGGGAGGAATCAGTCTCGGGGTAGGTGCATATCATGATTCATTGCCCCACGCTTCTCTTCATTTCACTTCCTCTCTTTCTCGTAAACTTTTCGAGACAAGGAGGGAGACAAGCTGCTATTGTGACTTTCTTTTCTTTTTTGCTGCTGTTCTCAAAAGATGCTCATTAATGGTTTCGTAGTATCATCCAGAGTCTGGGGCCCCGGCTTTTTTCGTCCACCCGTGCAACACCGCAGACGCCATGACACATGTGGCAGATGAACGGCTCATCACGGGCGAGACATATCTTCTCGTCTGGCTCGGCCTCGTAGGTCAATCCGTGAACCTGCACGTTCCCCGCGAGATCGCGCTTGGGAATGGGGCCAGCTCAAGCTAAGAGAAGAAGCAATGGGGTGGTGAGTCCTGCCTTGCAGGACTCGAAACGATGATTCTGAAGATCAAAAACTCTCTTCTTTCTCGTGCTTTTTCTCCATCGCAAGCGACCCAATCTTGGCCGCACCTTGGTGCGCATCTAATCTTCATCGGAAGATGCTTCCATGGACACATCGCTGTCCTCTTCCATCGGGGCTTCTTCCTCGTCGCTCTCATCTTGACGTGGGCGCTTGGTGCCGTGCGCTTCCCCATTCGTCTCCCCAGCAGGTCGAGGCGGGATCGCACCGGGTGGGCCATTGAAGATTGACTTTTGGAGATCTGTTGAGGCGCCAACAGGCGCAGCACCGAGAGTCGGAGGATTGTACGTGCCACGAAGCTTGGCCAGAATGTCGGAGGAGCCCTTAGCATAGACGATTTTCTACAAGGAAACGGCAATATTCATCAGTCGCAGCTCCACTTTGATAGATGAGGAAATACTGGCATGCAGAGTACTCGGGCGAGGAAAGGTCGTGAACTCACCATCTCTTTCCCGAAAAAGTTAAAGCCTTGCAAGGCGCGCATTGCTTGCGTGCTAGCTTGAATATCCTTAAACACGATATGAGCCTGACCGCGCATCTTGCTCGTCTTCATGGCCACGACATCGAGGACGGCCCCGTAGGTGGCGAACAAGGAATAAAGGGAAGTGCGGAGATCGTGCTTGCTGATCTTGTCGGGGAGATTAGTGCAGTATAATCTACAGCACTGTCAGTACGCGAGAAAACATCCAATGGCATGTGCAGGTTCAATCAAGCTCACGTTTGATTGGGATGCCCTGTGGCCTTGAGATCAGGCCGGGAAGCGGTGGTGGTTTTGGATGCCATTTAGACGGTTGCGAAAGAGGAAAGGGAAGGATGGTAGTTTCGCAGTTGTGGAGTGGGTAGAGAAATGCAGGTTCGCTGGTGGACAGGAGCTTTGGTGAATACGACGCCGCCTCGGGGGCCATCGCGAGTTCGCGAGAAAAGAGAGTCTTCACGTGACTTTGTCCCCGGGCTTGGGTGCTGGCGGTCTGCGTGCGAGATGTGGGAGACTGCGGGTATTGGCCAACCCAGCCGTCAACCGTGGGGAGCATCGTCACTTGCAAGAGACGCAGGATATTTCAAGACTGACATGGTAGAAACTAGAAAGATATGAAGTAGAGCACCGTGAAAGGCCGAAGCTTTTACCGAACTTCAAAGTACTGATATCAGCTTTGGTACAGGCTCGAAGAAGGGGAACAGCTCACCTTTATAAGGTTTCTATATCGATTGTCGATCCCAGCCATTCTAATGTGTACCAATTTGCTACTAGATTGACTCGAGATGTGTATTGGACAAGACTATATTTTCAAGGTTCAACATTCTCTCATCCGGTCGAACTAAGATCGGACGGGAGGGATTGGGCTTGGATATGTAACTGAGACCAATCTGGAGTCTTGGTGACCCCCCGGCCTCAGTTCACCATCGAAAGGACATACGGTCTGTCCTGCAACGCTTCGTCCCTGAACTCCGGGAGTGCGGTGGACGACGGTAGACCCAGTTACCTCCATTGCGGCGTCGAGTGAATTGGAGACTTAAGGTATGCCTGGCGGGTCTTAAACACAATGTTCCTCTCCAATGCTTTGTTGCTGACTAGCACTGATTGTTCGAGCTTATAGCGGATCGTCACTCTGTTGGATTAAGGGTACTATGATAAGGTACTAGAGAGTGTATTCATAGAGAAAGAGCCATGGAAGATTCAATATTGCCAATTCGAGTTCCAAATCTTGTAGGACTCTGAAAGTTAAGCACCTAATGAAGAAACGAGGCAGTGCGGGTAGCAACAGTTCAGTATTCATGATACTCGTGCTCATAAGCCCCGGGCAGCGTCATCGCCAAGACACCCGCCTAAAAGTAGCTTTCCCCGTCTCCCGCTCGCAATTTCCCCCTCATTCATCGCCCACAAGCCCACCCACCCCCCCCCTATTGACTAACCCCCCACTCATCTGCTTGACAGTAGAGAGCTCCTCCTGTCAAACACCTCGATCATGGCCGTTCCTCAAGTGCACCACCTGTTCCACGCTCCAATTGCCGATCACTCCTTCTCGTCGGACCGCCAGACCCTCGCAGTCGCGCGCGACAACAATGTGGAGCTCTACCAATCATCCGGCAACAAGTTCACCTTGAGCGACGAGCTCAAGGGCCATGATAAGACTGTCACGAGCGTCGACATTGCCCCCAACAGCGGCCGTATCGTCACTTGTTCCCAAGGTCGGTGAACACTCCCTTCGAGAACGATTCCATGTGCCGGCCACATAACTGACCAATGTTTGTTTCCTTACCCGAAGATCGCAATGCCTACGTCTGGGAAAAAACCGCATCAGGTTGGAAGCCTACACTCGTCCTCCTTCGTATCAACCGCGCTGCAACATTTGTGCGCTGGTCGCCCTCTGAGCAAAAGTTCGCGGTCGGCTCCGGAGCCCGCGTGATTGCGGTCTGCTACTTCGAGGAAGAAAACGACTGGTGGATTTCGAAGCATCTGAAGAAGCCAATCCGCAGTACCATCACCACCTTGGCCTGGCACCCCAACTCTGTCCTCTTGGCCGCCGGTTCCACCGACTCGCATGCTCGCGTCTTCTCCAGCTTCATCAAGGGTATCGATCAGCGGCCCGAGCCCAGCGCCTGGGGAGAGCGTCTTCCCTTCAACACCATCTGTGGTGAATTCCTCAACGACACTGCCGGCTGGATTCACGGTGTTTCATTCTCTCCCAGCGGAAATGCTCTAGCATTCACTGGACATGATAGCAGCGTGACTGTGGTGTACCCCAGTGCACCGGAGCAGCCCCCTCGCGCTATGCTGAATATTTCCACTCGTCTGCTGCCGTTGAACAGCTTGATCTGGAATGGCGAGAACGAGATCATCGCTGCTGGACATGTATGTCACCCCAACCCCCCCCCCCCCCCCCCCCGCCCGCACGTAGCCATTCTGAGTTCATCGAACAAAAAACACGTGCTAAGTAACAACTCGCGCAGGACTGCGAGCCCTTCCGTTTCCAAGGGGACGAGAATGGCTGGCAGCTGACCGGCTCCATGGAGAAACAAGGTGGTGCCGGAGCCGCCGGAGCTCGCGAGGAGTCCGCCTTGAACATGTTCCGTCAGATGGATCTCAAGGGCCAGAGCTCCGTGGACACCAAGCTCAAGTCCACTCACCAGAACACTGTGAACACAGTTCGTGTGTTTGAAGAATCGAACGGACAAGTTCGCTCTTTCAGCAGTAAGTTTTGAGTGTATCCCTGCATAGCGTCAAATTGGTGCAGGAAAGCTGAGCTAAACTATTTAATTGCAGCGAGCGGCGTTGACGGACGTGTTGTAGTCTGGTCTACTTAGATTCTACCACGGGTCGCATATACAACAGTCAGATTCGTGATGGTCCTTCGGTCTGCATCGACACGAACTACAGTCGTCTTTTGTGTCTCGATCGAGGGATAGCGTTGATAGGAAACCAGCGACAAAGACTTTCACGTGCAATTGAGTATCGGAGTGAAGTTTATGCATGTGTGTCTTCGCCCCATCGAATATTAGTGACAAATCGTAGCAAATCACTCGCGTAAACTGCACATTCAGGCCAAGCTCTTGCTTTCCGAGTTCGAACACTTGGACTAGTCGAAAATTTTTACAGATCATCATTGAGAAAGAAAAGCCAAGACTTGTCTGTGTCATTGCATTGAATTATAGTCATTATCCAACATTGTCCAGTCATCTTCCAGAAGTCAATTTGATCACGCGTGATCTCACCTTCGAGGAGGTCCAGCCTCCAACAACGCAAGGCTCGAAACCCTTCACTCATTCCCACCTAGCCTTGCGCTAGCAATGACTCTGGAAGATACCGCATCATATCCATGAAAAGCCCAAGATTTCAGAGGGGAGACGAGATGTATGTGCTCGGCCAGCCGTGACCCTGAGAATTGATGCTGCCTCTCCCATGTGGGTTGGGGTTTGGGATATCATCAAGCGGTCAGTGGCCTCGGGTCACATTCATCTCCACGAACTCATGGTGATCTCATTCTGAATAGATCATCGTATGTTCTTGGGAATTAGGGTTCTCCATCATTGACAGATTGCTTCAAACAATCTCCTATCTGTCTTGCTTCATACTTCTCCAGTCGACCTCGCCGATCACGGATTCATATGCTATAGCCTGAAATTCGATCCCATCCCAAGTCTGTAATGACCCGACGAGAGACATCGGGCGAGGCGACTTTTTGCTGTCGTGATGGTGGAGTGGCACGCTGAAAATCATCATAACCTGATGTGTCAAGGATACGTTTGCAAAGGGCACCGAAGAGCGGCCAGGAGAAGCGTGTTTTTTCTCGGTTCTCAGTTCGGAGCCAAAAGAAAACAAAATAAAGGGGGTTGGAATGCCAATTATCGTGTATGGATTGGCATTCAATCACCCGCAGGGGCAGCTGGGAGATCGGTCAGGTCGCGACCGCGCCGCCGAAGTGATCCAGAATTTCATAGTATCTAGGGCCATTGTCAGAGATGCAGCGTGTGGTTTTTCGAAAGGAGATCTTACACAAGGGTCTTCCACGTTTCGAGACTATGGTCGACGTCCAAGCTCGCCCAGTCAAACGGGTCTCGTGCTATCGGCTCATCCGCCGGGTCGTGGTAAGCACTGAGGTATGGGTGGAGCAGAGCTGCATCAGCTTTGATCCGTTTCACAGGATCCCACACTAGCAGCTGCTCCAGCATATCCAGAGCTGGAGATAGAAAGTCAATAGGTTGGCTCGCATTTTCTTTCGGCAAGGAAAACAAACGTACCATCGGGAAAAGCTTGCTTTATCTTCTTCTGAAAGGGAATTTTCTCTCGCTCCGGCAGACCATCAATATAATCGGAGGTCTAGGCAGTCTTATCAGCATCGGCAGCTAGTGGTGAATTCTCAACGCTGTCAGACTCACACTTTTAGAGCAAATGGTCTTGATCACCTCGGATGGGATGGATCCCAAAAGATCCGCAATGATCAAGAACTGATCCGTGTGGTTGCGGCCCGGAAAGAGAGGCGATCCTTCAATCATCTCGGCCAAGATGCAGCCGGCACTCCACATGTCAATTTCCACATTGTACTTTTGCCATGTGAGCATGGTCTCTGGGGCACGGTAGAATCTCGTTGTGACATAGCCAGTCATTTTGCGGTCTACTGTTCGAGCGAGACCAAAGTCACAAATCTTGAGATCGCAGTTGTTGTCGATCAGGATATTACTCGGTTTGAGATCCCGATGTACCACGCCTGCGGAGTGGATATACTTGAGAGCACGCTGCAAGAGCATGAATGTGTTAGAAGATCGCTTAGTTGGCCCGAGAAGCCCGAGAAGCCCGATAAGACTTTAGGGTCCATCGCATCACAGGCAGGAATGAACACACCATAATTTGATAGAAGAAGTACTGCACAAACTGATTCTCCATAGGCTTCGCGCGAATGATATGCGCAAGGTCCGTGGAGAGAAGCTCAGTGACCAGGTATCTGTCATCGATCCCGTCAGCCGCCGTCCTGCGCTGACAGCAGTATCTGCTGACGATGCACGTACATGTCGTTCAGCGGCGAGACAAAAATATCTCTCAAAGAGATGATCTATGAGACCATTTTGATTAGCCGTCTTCGTGGCAGATGTAGATGTTTTCAAATCGCACAGCCGAGTCCCTCACATACGTTGTCATGAGAGAGACTTCGTAAAAGTTTGACCTCTCTGATGGTTCGTTTGGCTTCAATGGCCGACTGAAACGGCCTGGGGATTTTCTTCACGGCGACCCCTTCTTTCGCGAGCAAATCTGTGCAAGCGCTGTATTCATCGAGCGCCCGGGTCAGATGAGCTGCTTGTCTATAACACACCTTCTATGGCTTTCTCTCTTATGGAGCAGGGGTCCCCAGAAAGACTTACCAAACGATTCCATGTGTGCCAATTCCGAGGATTCGCGGTTCCGAGTATCTGGGAGCGCCCAGTTAGTATTGCCCCATTCTGCGCGCACGCGCGGCCGTGCAATGGGGACTGGAAAGTGGCGTGGCCAACCACATACCTTCCGGTCAAATCAAAAGTACAGGCCCCGACGTGATGGGTGCGGATCTCAAACTCGGCCATGACCGCAAGCACATCTGGGGAAGCTGAAGCAGGACGGATGATGAGAGAAGCATGAGTGATCCGCTCTAGGATTTTTTCACGGCTCTCCCTGCGGCTGCCGCGTTGTGTGTATAAGCGCTGGCATAGCTGTTTTGGCGAGATGTGGTCCAAAGCACTGATATCAGGAGAGGGGGGCCAGAACTACCCCACCGGGCTGGCGGCAATCGGTGGATGAGCGAGATCGAGCCCTTCAGGGCACATCAAAACAGGTTTCCGTGGATGCTCCAACATTGCGGCCAATCGTGCTACCCGGCTGAACTGCCCCGGCGCCCTGGCCAAAAGCGAAACCCAAGTGATTCGTCCATTTGGTGGACGCGCTGCCTTTTGCTGAAGATCAGCGTGCAGTCCACTCCATTCCTGCTCCCTGCCCGGGTTGCGCTGGTTCGTCGGTACTTTGGAAATTTGAATGCACGAGGATCGTGGGTTGAGCAACCTAATCTGCTGCTTGAGGATGCCTCTCTCTCTATCTCTCTCTCCCCCTCTCTCAGTTTGCCTGTTCCCGCGGCCTTTGTGGACACAATCAATGCAAGAGAGTGAAGCAGATCCCGAGCCGCAGATGGAAGAACGGAGCTCCGCTGACGTCATCGACTCCGTGACCCCCGAGCCGCGGAAGGGATTTGGCGCAGAATAGTGGACTCGCCCACCTACACTACACCAGCGTGTTTCGTTGAGCTACCAAAAGACGAAGAGGAAGGAAGCCTGACCGAGACCACGAACGGTCATCCTTGCAGGATCTAGTCCATTCCTGCTGCACTTGGCATGACAATGGCCGTTGGGCGTCCGACGAGTCGCAAAATCCAGCGACATGCTTGACATGGAATAAGAGCTTAGCGAGCGCGAGGGCTGATCCTGTGTCCCTTTGATTGGAGCTGCGAGCGTTGCCCTTGGTTACAGTCGGGTCCCCGGATTGCTGCCATAGACTGCCATGGAAAATGGAAGATCCATGGGCATGGCGATGGTTTGATAGCGTACGAGTGGACTGGCGCAAATGATCCTGGTCGAAGCCGCCATATTCTGTCGCCGGCAGCACCAGACGAGCGGAGAGCGTGGCACGGTCGCCATACCAAATTGGGTGGCCAGTCGCCACTATCACACCCTTCCACGAGGAGACCCCGTTTCAAGCCTCGCCCGCGCAAAGGAAATCAACGTGATTTCGAATATCGAAATCCATTCAGGAACGAAAGCCGTTGCGCGTCTGTCGCTTAAACGACAAGACGTTGGTGGAGCCCTTGTCTGCACTCTGCTCAGCCTTGTTGCTTGACTCCATTGCCGATTCTCATCGCGATCGGGAACAGGCCAATCATCGACCTCGAATCGGTGCCGGTACAGCATTTCTTTTCACCACCGTCCCGATCCGCTGGACCGCTGCACAGACATGTGGCGCCCAAGGTGATACTCACATTTAAGATTTTCCAGAAGTATGGAGAAGGCTCAGGAATTGAATGAAGCCTAAACTTGATAGCCTGACAGGACCATTCTCCACCGGTGGGACGCCTGCATGGGAAATATAAACGTCACCTCACCCCGCAGCCACCGCCGTCCCCTCCCCCAGCATCACCAGACAGGTACCAGTGAACGACCGACGATTGATGTTTGTTAGTGTTCAAAGCGAGTAAAAACAGACCAATCTAGTGTACTTGTGATCCACGCTCAACCATTACACTGTGTTCTTCGTCCAGGACGTCACGAGGTCGCTCTACAGGAGCTCTGCCGTTGTAGTGCATACGAGGTCTTTTCCCTTCAAAAATTAGTCCGGACCGCACCGCGTACAGGCAAGCGGGTATGTGAGTAACCCTACAGCCTTCGGTGCCTCCGTCACTTTCGTCTGAAAGCGGACATACATGGGCAGAAGGAATCCCTCGAGACGTACCGACCGGTTGGATGCGACCGACGAGCCCGTCAAAGAGGCGTCCCAACTGGTGTTGCCCCGGCAAATGGACACGACAAGCTCCTCGTCGAGTCCATACTCAGCGATCGAAAACAGCCTGCCGACTCCTCGCTCAGAGGAATCACCATCTGCGGAGTCGGGATCGGCTCAAAGTCGTCGGGTCTCCATTACTCACCCAGGCGCTCCAAATGCCAAGATCGCCATTCCGCGCGACGTGGGCAGTATCGGTGCATTGACGACAGGACGGGTCTCACGAGCGTGCAGCTCCTGCCGAGCCCGTAAAGTCAAGTGTAGTGGTGAACAGCCTGTGTGTCGGCAATGTCGTGATCTACACTTGCACTGTCACTATCCCCTTGGGTGGAATGAACGAATGAAAAAGTAAGCTCCTCTCTGACCGACTTGTTGAAGCAGGAGCCAGACAGAGAGACTAATGAAGCACACAGGGAAACACACGATCTCACGGCTCTGTTACAAGAGTATCGGAGTCTTGTCAAAGATCTCGTCGGCAGCGACAGCCAACCACGCCGCCCATGTGGCTCGGCGTTGATACATAATGTGAGTACTGAAAGGAAAAAAAAATAAATCAAATTTAACGGCCAGAACTTAGTTACTCGGAGGGCGATAATTCTCTTGGCTGACAACATATGACAGTATCCGTTGTTGAAGGATGATCTGGGTGATTCGATCCCAGCACTGGAAGCTCCTCAAGACTCAACCTCCTCAAGGCCATCAGCTCCATCTGTCGGCCAGACCAGTCAGTCGTATCTGCCCGCGGACATTCTATCTCAATTCGTTAATATGGCTTACGAGGTTCCAGGTGTTTCAGGCCAGGGAGGGAGTGCCGAGAGGCCCTTGGTCACAGACGACATGCAAATGGACACGGCTGAGCAGCCCGTCAACACATTGTCATGGGACATACCGCAGCCGATCGACAAGCATGGTCTACCAACACGCGAGTTGGCGGATTATCTGTTTGAACAGTATTGGTGCAACGTGCACCCGTTCTTCCCCATGATTAACCGACCGCTTTTCCGTGTCCAATACCAGAATTTCTGGGATCAAGGCCAGCAGCCAGGAGGCAAGTGGCGTGCTATCCTCAACGTTATTTTCGCCATTGCAGCCAAGTACACGCACATGATTCAAGCACCTTCGCGAGGTCCAGAAAACGATCACGTTGTTTATTTCAACCGAGCGCGGTTGCTGAGCCTGAACGGGGAAGAGCTATTCAGCCCGCCCAATCTCCAACAGGTGCAGCTTGAGGGACTGGTCGCATTTTATTTGTTGGCAACTGACCAAATCGGCAGGTAGGTTTGGACGAACCATCTCATACACTTTCCGTATCTCCGGATCTCAGACTGATGCACTAGTTGTCTTCGCCAGAGCTTGGAGGATATCTGCCCTGGCTGCTCGTTCCGCCATCACGCTGAGTGTCAACCGCAGCCATTCCAAAAAGCTTCCCGCAAGATTAAGAGAGGCTCGCTTCCGCCTCTGGTGGTGCTTGCACACCCTTGAGCAGACGCTGAGTCTGATCTCCGGTCACATTACTTCGATCCCAAAGGATCGACACGCACCGCCTTTGCCGATCCCGTTCGAAGAGGAGGAGTTTGAGACGAACTCGTCGGCGTCGGCCCTTCTTCAGCACCCGAGCGTCCGAATTCAATGGCTTCAAACTCTGATGCCAAGTTCCAGAAGCTGGCCAAGCGATGGTGACGGCCGACCTGCTCAAGAAGAAACCAGACCCAGAGATGAAGCCTGGCTCAAGAGGCTTGAACCAAACGCTGGCCTTTTCTATCTATTCTATTGCGACCTGGCGGTGATTATCGAAGAGATCATCAACCAGCTCCATGTTTCCAATATCTGGATTGATAAGGAGAGAAGGCTTGACGACCTCCAATCTCGACTTGAGTATTGGAAGAATAGTCTTCCGTCTTCCTTGGATATTACCTCCATCGATCCACAGTGTCCAGTGGAGCAGATTCGATACAAACTCGGCCTCGCATTACACTACCAAAGCGCGCGGATAGTACTTGGGCGTCTCTGGTTTTGTCGACGGGATGAGCTTGGGCCCGACAATTCGCTAGTCTTGAATCAGTCAATGGCGACGATGACACTCGACGCTGCCAAGCAGATTCTCGACTTGATTCCCGACCAACTCGATACGACCCAACTATACAAGATGTTCCCATGGTGGAGTGTGCTATACTACATCTCGCAAGCAGCCAGAATCATCCTGTTCGAGCTGTCGACGGGATGTGTACACATGCAGGACAGCACCGCACACCTGATCTTGCTATCTCAAAAAGCCCTGCGCTGGCTGCACGCCATGTCCACACGCAGTCCTGGTGCAGAACGAGCATGGCACTCATGTGATACTTTCTATCGCAAAGCATCCGAGCAGAGAGGATACAATACGGACAGCATTCCCCTGCGAGACGTCAAGGCAGAGAGCATGTCTTTCGTGGGGCCTCAAGATAATGGCTCGATGAGTGATCTTGAAAAATTCGATTTTCAAATTGACGAATTTGAGTTGACGGACTGGATACCATGATTTGTTTCTTCTTTGTTTCTTTCTTGTTTGTTCTTTTTGATTGGGCTTGAGTACCTTCATACATACGAGAGATGCTGCTTATGAATGATGTATCATGAACATTGCTCGATGTTGATGGGTCATTGGTGAGGGGATAGACAGGATCGCGTTTTCATATTTTAATTCACCCAATCAACACTAATGTTTATACCTTACTATCTGTCTTCCATCCATTCCCAGTTACACCAAGGCTCTCTTTTTCTTGAAATTTCAAGATAGGTCAAGGTGTCAACACGAAAAAGTCTAATATTCATTCAGAGCTTAAACCAGGAAGATCCCATTCATGGAAAATAAGTCCTCGATGGACCCCCCCCCCCCCCTAAGCTCAAGGCCACCAAATCCCCAGCCTTTTCATCACAGACTCTACCGCGCCCATATTTTCCGCGCTGTCTTCATAGATCGCCGCCAAAACAGCCTCCATAGCATCCGCCACCGGACCCGGTTGAGGACACCCATTCTGACCTGGCGTGACTCGAATACACGCAGCCAGACCAGTTGAATACCCCCGCTGACTCAGATGCGCATTCGAAGCCGTTTTGAGAACCTGATTGATTCTCCCTGCCAGCTCATCAGCGTTCCAGTCAGATCATTTGGGGTTGATCGTTCGTGGCGTTCGCGCGCGCGCGTTTGCTTTCGGGGGCCCTCCCATGCTCAACTTACCTCTCGACGCGTGGCGATGTAGACCCTCTTTTACGAGGATATGTTGGATCAGCGCGTCCCCATGGAGAGCAAGGGACTTGTCGGCGCTCAGCGCCTTGTGAAGGGTAGAAGGCTTGTGGAAGTGATATCCGAGAATTTGTTGGGCTTTTGCCGGATGGGCCTCGCGGGTTGCGGATGGGCGGTGGCGAGGCATCGTGCTTGACCTTGATGACTTGCTGACTTGATTTCTCTACCGTCCCATCCCAGATTTTGAAGTCCTTGTACGATGCGGAATCCAAACTTGACGTCCTGGACCGAATTGCGTTACTGACTTTGTGGGGGACGCGATTAGATTCCACTTGTCATCCTCGTTTTCTTTTAGGGGTTCCCGAGGAGCCATTTACATAGCTCTTATATGAGGCAATGGCAAATTCAACACGTGGTGTTGAGGTCATCCCGACGCCCCATATCAGGTGTTTTCCTTGGGTATGCTTTTAGAGGTTATCTTCCATGGGCTGAAGATGTGGTTCAGCGGAGCTCCCTGATGCCGATATGGATACTGTCAGGGTTTCATTACCTGAAAAATTTGAACCCGACAGAATCCGCATCGGGACTGTGGTGGCAGACGACCATTTTGAGGTCATGAGATGCAGCTCGCTATTTCAAATCGGTTGGTCAAGGAGCATACATGGAAAAAAGCGTGAAGGTAGCTTTACCGATGTGATACGACCCGGCACCTGCGGGAATCTGCGATGCTGCATGTGGTGGAAGACCAGAAAATATGCCAGTATCATACATGATTAAGAACTATTGACAAACTGATGAACGAATGTGCAGATTTACACGGTAGGTATAAGTTCCCCAAAAAAAACACATTTCCGCCGTTCCAATGTGAATATGACGGCCGCCTGATAAGAGGTCGCATCCGACTTTTGAAGGACCGCTCTCACTGGGCACGCTGTCCAAGGGTAGAAACATCATACCCATGAGCTTCCAAGTATTCACGGAACTCACGATCATGCTTGCTGATTGTATCCTGGAGAAGAATGTATAAGCCTCGAAACACGACCAAGTAAGGAGAGCCGACCGATTGGAGGTCGGCGAACAGACGCCGGATGGAACTTTACCTGTCCGATATGAGGAAGCCCGAACCAGACAATCGCAGACGCAAAAATGCATAGCGAGCTGGCAACGAAGAATGGATTCTGGCCAGCGGCGATCGGGTCGGGGTTGTTCTGAAGGATAGGGAACACGTAGGTGCCGACGAATGCACCGATTTTTCCAATAGCTGCCGCGATGGCGTAGTATTGACCTCGAACGGCAGTGGCGCTGGTCTTGGATGCCAGAAGACCGATGTTGTCGCCGGGGCCGAGCTCGCCCAACGAGAGGAAGATACTAAGGTACAGACGTGGTGTTAGTAAACGATTGGCTTCTTGATCTGGAAGATCCAGCGGTTGCTGGTGATGCAAACTTACCCGTAAACGACAACAAATGCGGCCACGTTCTGAGGCAATCTCAGGTACGCGTAGCAGCCTGACATGATGAAACCCACGACGGCCTGGGCGGTCATCCCGTAGACCAGACACTTGCGGGGACCAATCCAGTCACTGATGAATGCTCCGGCCATTGACCCGGGCAAGTAGAAGAGATTGACGACCACGTTCCAGCCAAAGGTGTGCCACAGGGGGGCTGATTTGCCAAGGATTGTCGACAGCCAGACAGAAGAGTAAGTGCCGAACGCGAAGACGGAGAAATCATAGATGAACCAGACGAGGGAGACGATCAGCTATGGATATGTTAGCGTTGTTCCTCAACAGCCCGCCCCTCCCCGTACGGAGTCGGGAGGGGTATCCGTTGCCAAGGTAGGGGAGATATGGCGTAACTCACGAGGTTTTTCCAGTGATACCTTGGTGAAAGTTCATGTTAGCCCCCAGAAGACGGTCGTTGGGTATTCAGTCGCAGTGTGAGAGACTTACTTGATGATCAGACCGTAAGGGAAACGACGCATACGCTCCTGGGTGAACTCCTCCGGCTCTTCCAGTTTCAGACGCAGGTAAACCAAGCTCAACGGCGGCAAGACACCCAGCCCAAGCGCAATGCGCCAGGGTGCCTCGAGGCGATCTTCACCAAAGATCAGGACCAGGACCATTGGCACGAACGCGGCCACCACGAATCCAAAGTCGATGATGAAGTCGGTGAAAAAGATGAACCAACGGTTACGGTGACCCTCCTTGAGTTCGTTTGTACTTTCAGCTGCCGCGACAGAGCCCGCGGGGTATTCACCCCCAATGCCGATGCCCATCAGGAAGCGATACGCGGTCAGCGCGGCAAAGAGACCGTTGGGGCTGCCGTTGGCACCGTACGAGCCAGCACTGAGCGCAGCGAAGAGAATGACAATGACGGTCGAGGCCATCAGAGACCATTTCCGCGAGAAATAGTCACTGGTGATGCCAAAGATCAACATGCCGACGACTTCGCCGACAAAGACGAGGGAGGAGACATTGCGGAGCGCGGGGGAATTTTTGTAGCTAGTGGGGTAGATCCGCGATAGCATCGTGTCGACGGAGCCGATGACCTGTTTTTCATCAGCATCGTGTCAGCCACTTGTGGGATGTCTGGGCTGTCCAAGGATAGACTGCGCGCAAGTTGGGTCAGTCGAAGTGTCGAGAGGGCAAACGTACGCCATTCAGATACCCATCGGAAAAGAGGCCAGCACCACACGCAATGATAGGCCAACTGCGCTCCCATCGCCCTTTTTGGACGACTTGCAGTTCTTCCTCGACTGGGGAAGTCTCCTTCCCGGGCTTTTCAACTTGAACTGCATCCATTTTCTTCGGGAGATGGCTGCAAGTCACCACGGAGTTGTTGAGCTACCTGGCACGAAGTACAAAGGGAAGAGAGTGACTGAGGTGAAGCCCGGGGGCTACGGGCAGGATTAATATAATCGATTGATCCTACTCCAGCATCCTTTCGCACCGTTGGCCACGAAATGCAATCTTCAACGCCACAGGGTCTGATCGCGCGGACACGAGTCCAATGCTGGGCTCCAAAGTTTGACCTCCACCACAGGCAGCTTTCCCTGCGGGCAGTTGAAGAGCGGCAATCAAGTTGTCTCGTGGGATTCCACGCATGGCGTGGACTTGTGGAGACTGGAGAACCCCCGACTGTTCGCCGACTCCAATGCGACGGTGGAGTACCTTTTGAAGCTTGGCGTTCCTTTCGCGGTTGAGCAGCCTCTCCGGGCGGTCCTGGATGCTGAGGCCTCCACCGGATGGGCCATGGAAGGTACGACGAGGAAGACAGCAGAATCATTGCGACGACCAGCGTATGGAAAGATCCGGGAGGTGGCGAGCTCCAGCAGGGCGACAAATCCCCAGGCACACGGCATGTCGACCTCTCACCACGTGCCTCTCGAGACTAACCAGGATTGGTGCTTGATCAAGCGTGGGAAGACTTGAGGTTCGGCTACTCCATCCAAACTTCTGGTTTGGGATTGACGTACTGTCGAGTCACTAGAGTGTAGTAGTGATGTAGTGATGTAGTGATGTAGTGATGTAGTGATGTAGTGATGTAGTGATGTTACTCCCTTACTACTCTGTAGTCTCTAGTCTCTAGTCTGTACTCTGTACCACTACCTCGGTCCGCGCAGTGGCTTGTCTCGTTGTGTGCTGACAACGACTTTTCATGTCCAATTCAACCAGACGATGCACATCACCTTGCTTTATGTGGCAGGCTTTACTACTACCGGGTGGCCGCACATTGGTGTTGCTGCATCCTTCCTCAAGAAGTGCGACTTGAAGAGTCTGCTGCGCCGGAGATCAAGATCAGAGCGACCGATCAGGTGCAAATCTGTGACGGCTGATTCGAAGTTGAAGTGGGGTTCCGAAGTTCCGAGTGACATTTTACCGTCGTCGGTCGAAGTACACTACGACACTTCCAGTAGTTAGTAGTGTACCTCTACTGAGTCTGTATTTCCTCGCGAGCACGTGGCCCACGGCAGAGGGAGACCTCCGTATGGAAGATGGTCGAAACCCGAGTCTCTCGTCACACGTGCCCTTGAAGTCTTTGCAGTTTGCACACGGCTTACGACGCACCCTGGACAGGACCACACCAACAGAAAAAGGGACCGACCCAAGAAGATCGAAGGAAAACAAGATATGCCGCCAATCAGTCCGTTGGGTTTGAGGATTGCCTTGTCCCAAGATAAGCTTTGCTTTTCCTCGCGTCAAGCTTTGATGGAACCGAAGAGGGCTGCACACGAGCTGAGGATGGACCCCGCTTTCACCCGGATGGGTGTGGCCAATCCCTGGCTGGGAAATGTCTCAGCCGAGGGCACGGGTTGGGGCCACCTTCCCAATCGGACTTCACGTGCTTCTTTCGCGCAAGCCTGATGGGATTCCGATCATCTCACCGGCCCACCGCGGTACCAACGGTCACGCCGAGAACCGACACAAAGCGCGTCTCACCTGGCCGAGAGGCTGAATCCTTTGGTCGTGGATTAACCCCTTCCGGGCGAAGGCGCCGGCGATACTCTGAACTTGGGAAGCTGGGACGGATCCCATTCTCGGCGGTCAACAGTGCAATCAGGGGCTGGAAATATGACCCTCGAGAAATCTAGCGTTCCAAGTACCACTGTGGCACTACTGTCAAGGAAGGAACCCCCTCCGTGGCTATTGAGTTCATCTAGAAGCCATGTGGAAATTTGCATTGACCCGTCTGAAAAGCGGACTGTTCTGGATAGAGAAACCTAAAGTCTGATGAATCGGCGATGAACGTGGCCTGGAGACTCAGGAATCTCGAGATTCATGACGAATCACACTGCATGCGTGGTTCCATTCGCCCAAGTTGAGGCTCACAAGTGTCAGCTCTGCAAACGACATCATCATCTGAAGTTATGAACTACCAATCGATACCCTCGTCTCGATCCTGGTGCAAAAAAAAAAAGTCCGACTTCACAACCCCCTTCCTCTTCAAGCCCAGACTCGTTCGATGGGTCAACCTTACAGGCATTGAGAATACCATTCTGTCCATCGAAAAAGAAGATTCCCAACGTCAGTACTCTATCCAATTAGGGAGATCGCAGGGCAAGGCAGGTCAAATCGAGGCACACTACTTAGTACTTACGGTTCTGTGAATGGCAGGTCGCCGGCGGTACACATGCCGTGGGTCCGGTCCAACCCTGACCGCCGCATTGGCCATACTGAGTCTGTTGAGGACCCTGACCTCCCGCCGTGGTCGTCGTGCCGGCTTGAGTGGTTGTGGCCGTGGTCTTGGCGGTGGTGGTGGTCGAGTCTCCCACGGCGCGAAGGCGGAACATTCGACAGCCCAGGGCCGGGACGGACTGAGAGATGGACCCGGTGGCGCCGGAGACGGTCCCCACCGCGGTGCCCAAAAGCTTGGAGTCTGCCTTCTCCAGTCCGGTCTTGTAGCTTTGCTGACTAGCATTGTACAACCACGACGAGTGAGCGGCAGCACCGTCGTTGAGGACAGCCTGGGCTTGGCTGCTGCTGAGTCGGGATCCCCAGAGATCACGAATCTCAAACTTGCCATTCGGCACGTTGGAAGAGCCGAAGATGTCGGCCAGACTGGCAGATGCGGTGGTACTCGAGCCGCCGTTGTTGTAGAGAACGACCACCATGTCATCGACTGAACTACCGGTGGTAGAGGCCAGAGGGCCACTCCACAGCTGCACGTTGTTGTGCGTCCATCGGTAGAGGGCGGCTTTGCCCAGCGGATCTTGATTGACCGCAATCACTGCAGGGTTGGCCAGGATCGACCAGTCACTGGCCTTTAACTTTCGCATGTCGTTGCCCATGATGAGGGGGCTCTTGGCGGCGGACCCTGCAAAGCAACACACAGAGGAAACGGGTAAGTCTTGGCCGTGGAACTGCGGACATGAGACGCGGCCTTCAAAACTTACACATGCTGAAATGCGCCACATATTCATCGTCCGTCATACCCCCGTTGCCAACCTCGAGCATGTCCAAGTCGTTCCAGCCACCGGGACCGGAGTAGGATGCAATCTGGGCTTGTTTGGACAATATCTGGGTAACGGAGCAACCATATCCACCAGAGTTGGGACTAGATGTGTGGTCAATTCAGAGGCACCTGGGAATCCGGCGTCGGCGAGCAGGAGTCAAATGGAACTTACACGGGGCAAGTCGAAGACTGAGTGTTGAAGCGATCGGTGATATCACCGGTGATTCTCCAGGAATTTCCAACCGAGGGACCCCAGATCCAAGGAGAGTCTTCACCCCAATTACACAGGGAATAGAGAATCTTGCGACCAGTTGCTGCGAGTGCCTTTTCCATGGCATCGTATCTGTGCCATGAGTGAGACAGATCAGCAAAGCTCCCTACCCGGCAATGAGGGTCTCGAGATTGCACTTACCGAGCGGAACTGACGGCTTGGCTCCCTGACTCGCCTTGGTTGTTGCAGTTGTCATATTTCAGATAATCCACCCCCAGCTGGCGAAGGTGTTGGCGTCGGTTGTCTCCCTGCCGAGACTGGCGGGATAACCAGCGCACTATTGGAACTCACGTGTGAGAAAAGAAGTAAGGGGAAAAGCGGAAAATCCAGCAAAAGAAAAAGGAAAAAAAAAAGAAAGAAAGAAAAGAGCGCCCATCAGGGAGACGCCAGCAACACGATACAGAGCAGTGGAAGTGGTCATACCGTCTTGGTACCAGCGCTCGAGTACATTCCAAAGCCAAAGCCGCTGGCATGAAGCTGGTCACCCACGTACTTCATCCCATTGGGAAACTTCTTCGCATCGGCAACGAGCTGTCCGCTCGAGGAGCGTCCAGAGGACCAGCAATCGTCCAGAATGACGTAGTGGTAGCCCAAATCTCTCAGCCCGGTGTTCTTGATCACATCGGCTGTGGCGAGGATTAACTGCTCGTCCAGATTGCACTGAAACGCATTCCAGTCGTCTACAAATTGCTCACATTAGCATCGACTGGTCACCCATATGTCATGTAACGGAGCTGTGAACACAGTCCAGACTCCTGTCGATCCATTGAATATTATTGTGTCTCGTATTGGTAAACACACTTACTCCAACCCATTTGAGGTGTCACAGCAAGGCCATTGTTTAATGCCGAAACAACATAGGCGAGGGAGATCGCACTCCCCAGCACCTTGGAAAAGACAGCCATGATTCGGTGCAGATTTACCCCAGGCTCAAGGAAATAGAAGAGTGCCACGAGCAGTTCCTTCGAGAGACCACGGATCTTCTGCCAAGTATATACTGTAGGTTCTTCAGCGGCCCCGCGATGCTTGATCGACTCTGAAACATAGCTCCGGTGGAGACGGGATGTGTCTTCTGAGGAATGCGGAGGCAGTCCAATGTGGCGTTTGATCAAACATTGTGCCAGAGGAGATCAAGCCAAGCACAATGCTACACGGTGTCGGAGATTTACCCGATTAGGGATGGACTCTAAGTTGTCTGATACTGCGGAGTGTGGCGACCCCGCCGACTAGGAAGAAAAGATCATCATGTTCCCAGGGGGGGGGGGGAGGATACATATACTGAATTCATATTTTCTTGGGACGAGGTGCGTACTTTGTTGAAACGAGCACATCGCAAACATGCTAACATCCATACCTTACAGAATGCTATCAATCGATCCCATGGAAACAGATGGAAAAGAAACGATAAGTGATGGCCTATCGTCGAGTCCGACAGCTTCCAAACGATGGTTTCAACGTTGCTTCACCTTCAAAAGGTTATGCTTGCACAAGATTACGAAGGAGTCGGAAGGACCCCCTTTCAATGTTCTGACCCGCCGAGATCTCCACATCACGGCCCGTTGAGCCTAAATACCGAGCAAGGCTAAATCAGGACATAATGATCCTTGCATGAAATTCTCCCGAGACATCTATGCGGAGTTCTCCGGTCCATTCTTGTTCCCCGAATGGAGAAGATAGTAAGACACCGGTTCATCATGAACTGATCAAGTGCGATCTCGGAATCAAAAGTACCACAATAAAGATCAGCTTTCTTCACGCCTCGGACTTGGAAGTCAAAGGGACAGAGGTACGAATTCAAAGACCTAATCCCCACACCAGAGTGTCAGCAAGCTTTTTAGAAGTCTGCTGTCGACGAAACGTCGCATTGTAGACCTGATCAGTTGCCTGACTGTGACACAGGTATATACACGCATTGACGGTAGTAAGCGTACGTTACAGGCCTCTCAAATGGGCCGGGCGAGTTTTTACTATAGAGGTAGTACCTCAACCTTTGCCTTTCTCAATCTGGGACGATTCCCTTTTGATTTGAGAGAAAGCAATCACGCTGTTAGTAAAATAAGGGTTGAAGATCGATTTCGGCTCATTATACTCGACGATAGCCATCAAATGCCTGGTCATGGTGTCATGTCACTGTGAGCGTGGGGTCTTCCCACCTAGAATAGCGAGAAGGGAGAGACGCTGACGCCCGTATCTCTCTCTCTCTCTCTCTCTCTCTCTCTCTCTCTCTCTCTCTCTCTCTCTGGACGAGTCGTTTCTGTCCGTTATGTCTCGTGAGTGGTTCAGGAAACTGATCAATGAAAACCATCACAACTCGGAATAGCAAATGAGTCAGAATTCCCCATTCATGATGTCGATTCGAGAGCTACTACTTTGCCATCGTGGAAGAGCTCAGTAGCCTTATATGACACAGGTCTGTTTCACATGATCCGAGCCCAGTAAGCCCTGTAAATTCATGTTTATGTGTAGGCTATCAGGTTCAGCAGCGCAGGTGGACGATGATCGCTGACTACCACGTCCATTCAGGGTACCTTAGGTAGGCAGAAGGTTCTTGAGACTGAACCTTGTACCGCTGAGTTGGATTTGGTCTCTTTGTTTATCGACTCTTTCTCCAAGCTCCAATCCAGGACGATTATCGTCATCGAATCAACATTCGTTCATCACTCTCGTGAAGCGCGAAATATATGAACGGACACATCGAGTCATCACTGTTCTGGAACCCACGTGGAGTCAATGGCGACTTGACCTTGCTGTGCAGATGAGATGATTTAGGAATTGAAACTGAACCCTTGGCTCATCGATACAATATTCACTGAGATTCTTCAATCGCAAGTAAAGAGGTTCAGCGCAATGCACAACTAACAGTAGACACAGGGTTGTCTCGTGCCCTGGTCTCCGAAGGCCTTGACTGATGATGTCAATCTGATGTGGTGGAGCCGCAGGTCACGGCTGCACCTTGACCCCAGATCCACATGACGCATTATGTAACTGTTACTGGGGTCATCAACCTTACCACACCGTCTGTGAACAGTCTCCTCACAGAACGGGACGTGCATCCGTGTCGGCGTGTACAGGTGAACGAAACATGTGGATTGCCCTCCCTCATCTTCCTCAAATCCACTCCAGTAGTACAGTACACATTTAAGAGTCCTTGATTTGACCAGCACCTAGCGACCAGCATCCCCCTCGACACAGTCCATGCCACGATGGTCCACCTGCAGAGCCCCCGGCTCGCACTCGGTTGGATCGCAACGTTAATGCTATGGGCCGCGTCCCTCGGCGCAGCAGAGCACGAAACTACACCCGTCTCAAGTGAACTCTTTAACTCTCTCGAGGAGTTATCACGACTTGTGGATATATCCTACTGTGTGGGGACGACGGGCGTGAAAAAGCCATTTCAGTGTCTAAGTCACTGCGCCGAATTTCCAAATCTGGAACTCATCGAGGTTAGTTCTTCAAGCGTGAAGCATGGCGGCTGCGCTTACGCTCACGCTCACGCTCACGCTCACGCTCATTGTACTCTGACCACTGACTCTTTTCTCGCGACTCGTTCGACTATCAGACGTGGAACACGGGTATCTTACTCTCCGATTCCTGCGGCTACGTCGCCCTGTCACATTCACCGGGTCCCAAGCGCATCGTCGTCGCTTTTCGAGGAACGTACTCGATCACAAACACCATCATCGATCTTTCCGCATACCCTCAATCCTACATTCCTTACAACGGACAGGAAGACGACCATAATCAAGACGAGAATCTCAATACTGGCCACAAAGACCATACCGACGGGCACGACTCCACACCAACAACCATTCCCCAGTCCCTTCGCTGCGACAACTGCACTGTCCACGCCGGCTTCATGAAATCATGGCTCCACACCCGCCCCATCATCCTCCCCATTGTCTTCGGCGCTCTCCAAACCCACCCAGACTACGAAATCGTCCTCGTAGGCCACTCCCTCGGCGGGGCCGTCGCCACACTCGCCGGTCTAGAAATGCGACTGAAAGGCTGGGATCCACTCGTGACGACCTTTGGCGCGCCGATGGTGGGGAATGCGCAATTCGCACGATTCCTCGACGCAACGTTTCAGATTGGGAACTATAGCGACAACGGCAACGACAACGACGTCGGCGACGTCAATGTTGAGAAGAGTCGGATTCGGCGTGTGACGCACGTGGATGATCCGGTGCCTTTGCTCCCATTGCAGGAGTGGGGTTATGCACCGCACGCTGCGGAGATCTATATCGCCAAGTCTGGACTGCCGCCGAGTGTAGAAGATGTGCGAATTTGCAAGGGCGACGAGGACAGGAGGTGTATCGCAGGAGCCGGAGCCGGAGCCGGAGCCAAATCGCCCGTGGATTCGTTGAAAACGGACCTCCATGACATAGACATATCTCTCTCGAACGACCTCAACGCAGATGATTGTTCCTCTTCGCCGACCAGCCACGAGAACCCGAACGAGAATCACCAAGCAGGCGAACCACCCAAACAAGCGATCCTCGGAAAGCAAAAGCTCCGCAGAGTCTCACATTGCCGAACACCCTCACAAGACACATCCGCCCCGTTATACCCGCGATCCTGGAACTGGAATGTTGTCCCCGCGCGGTATCGGTTATGGGAGCTTTTCTTTGCTCATCGAGATTATTTCTGGCGCATTGGGCTTTGTGTTCCCAGTGGAGACCTTTTTAGTTTCGATTAGATTGGATTGAATCGGATCGGATCGTGGGAGTGGGAGCGGGATGTTGATGGTTATTTTACGGCGTTGGAGGGATGGTTCAGAGTTATACTGATGGAGCGGGGTGGGTAGGCTCTGCTTTTTTGTTGTTGTTGTTTTTTTTTTTTTTTTTTAATTTTGAGCGTGTTCTGAGTTCGCGCGTGTATATAACAACTTGGTTCTGCATGGGGAGAGCTGCTTAGCTTTTATACCTGATTATTTCGCTTATCGAGTACATCAAGTCCTACACAGGACTTTTGCGTGACGCTTAAGAGATGACATCCATTACCTTAGGATTGAAGGATTTTAGAGACGGGAGAACAGTGATATTTCCAGAGGACGGAGTCCATGGCCTAATTGAAGGGCCAGAGAGAAAGGCACGGATTTCAGAAAATCAAGAGATCGGCAGGAAGCCGAGTCCCATCGTACCAGACGTCCAAAACCCTGATGTCGAGGAAAATTCAGTTGACCCAGAATGGAAAAAGTAAGGTATTTACCAAGATAAGATATCGAAATAACGCAGACGCATTCGTGAAAAGGCCCTCGCTCCAACGATGACGATAACAAGAGCAACAACAACAACAGCAAAATGAGGCACGCATCCTTTCCTAATAATAATAAGCACCCTTGCCACCCTTCACGTCTATTGACCCTCCTCCAAACTAGGCACAATGACCGGCCCGAACTTGACCACATTTGCATAGGCACCATCACCCTGGACCATGAAATCTGCCGCCAGACTCAGCTTGGCCTTTTGCGCACTGAAGGCTTGATGCTGCATTCCAAATGCAGGGGTGGAGACAACATCAGGATCATACGCCACGATGGCGACATAGTTGCGACGGGCCATCAATTTCTTATGCTCACGCGCTTGTCCGTTAACATCCGTCTGAAAGATCTCCATCATGTCTTCTTTGGTGTCTGTGGGTTGATTGGTGGAGCGATGACCATTTGCGGGCACGTAGAGGGGCTTGGAGCTGCCGTGGAGGATCTTGACAATATATGATGGGGGCGGGTTGTTGACCACGGGCGAGGCGATGAGCTGGTACATGGTTTTGTGATTGGATGGGTTTGATGGGTCATGAACGAGGCCTGCACCACAGACGTTGACGGCGCCAGAGAGGAAGGTCATTCGGATGGATTTTTGATGGGCGATTCCTTGGAGTGTGCGAATCAGATATGTTCGCTCCAGGTCCTGCGCATTGAGAATGTTAGCACCATCCAACATCGCAACAACATAATAAAGCTCTTGGAATAAAGAGCTGAAAGTGTCTAGATTGGTTACTGACCTTAGACTCATGCGTCCACTGATCACGCAATTCATCCATGAGGTCAAACTCTCCAAATGGGCTCAGAATACCTCCCATCAATCCGGACTTTCCAACAGCACGCTTGACAGAGTCAAAGCCTGATCCAACAAAGTCCTTTGCTCCCACAACGCCTGCCACAGAGCTGGTCACTTTACCCAACACATTGTATGCGCCGGTCACGGCCCTCTTTCCGGTCGCGACAGTTTGCGCAACGTGCTCTGCCGTCACCAATCGGGGGTAGATCAATGGCATAGAAATCATCCACAGGCAATGCTGCACGCTGGGGGTAACATGGCAACTTTGGGGAACAGTCCTTGGTACGTAGGCCCAGCCATGACTTGGTGCGGATTGCGCTCCGAGCGACAGTCGGGTCCGACGACAACAACACCAGGTCCGAGGAACTTGACAAAGTGCCACCCTGTACCCGTGATGGTGAACAGGTCTGTGTCGTTATTGACATTACGCAAGATGTCGAGCGTCGTGTGATGCTGGAAGAGAAGATACATCTCGATGCCGATCCGGCCAATGTTCTTGAACATGTTTGAGAACTGCATGTGCTCGGGGTATGAGCCAAACCCGTCGAAGCTGGAAGTCGGAGGGAAACCAGAATGTCAGCTCCATTCAAAGATCCAAAGACTTTCGTGGATTCGGGGTCTCTCGTTTCGAAAACTCACATATCATGATCGTCAATTTGACAGATGTAAGGAATCTGAGCAAAGCTTTCCCGCAAATGTGGCTGATCAAAATGACTCGTGTAATAATGAAAATACGCGTGCGAAACATCCTGCTGATTAGCCGCTGTCCATGGCGCGTTTTTTCTGGCATCTTTGCCACTCATCGCAAGCCACTGCTTGAGACATGGAATTTCCTTCCACATACGATCAGCGTAGATCTGGCCTCCCAGGCAAAGTTGTGCGTGGAAACCACCAATCTCGTTGTGCTTCTGCATAATATCCTTCCACATGAAGCCCACCCCACCGAGGCGAGCGCGCTCGTTCGCATTCACACTCAGTGAGAAATCGTTGCCGGAGGTCGCAATGAAGCGCCAATTGGTCTCGTGGCGACCGGCGACTAGGAACTCGTATCGTGTGCAGCCAAGGTGGGAGGTGATGGCATACGTCCACTTGGCAGGACCTGCATCATCCATTTGCAGGTCAATCTCGTACTTGTAGAAGGTCCATCGTTGGTGAGCCGCGATGTTCATCGGCTTGAGCTGTCGCGGGTTTGGAGAGAGATCCACACTTTGATGAAGATGGATCGTGGGCGGCTGAGCGGCATCGGTCACGAGGAGAATAGAACCAAGCCAGAGGCCGCGCTCGATGTCCATATTGGTGTATCTCAGATAAGGTCCAAAGTACACTCCGTTAGTGGGGGCAGTCTTGTACAAGTCCATACCACTGCTGGGTGGAGGGCCCGAGAAACCTGCCAAAGGCGATTGAAGACTCTCAAACCCGGGTGTTAAAGGCACACCAGGAGATGCCAATGGTTTCCCAAATGCGGAGAGACCGGGGGATGACAAGGGGTGACTACTGTATACACTCCCGACGGGCGAAAGAGGTGTCTCATTCAAGTTTAACGGAGTTGGACCCTTGGGGAACTCCCATTGCGTTGACTGTGTGGCCAAGTGAATGTAGTAGTACTGTCCAGAATTTGGGTCCAAATGCGCGATCCATCCTTCGGGCAAAGGTGGCGGAGATGCAGGAGGTGGCCCCGAAGGCGCCGGGGAAGCAACCTGGCCCGGGTGCTGTTGCTGAAGTGGTTGAACATGCATTTGTGTCTGCTGCGGTTGGAATTGGGAATGCCCATTTGTAACTGCACTCTGCGGTGACTGACCTGCACCCGACTGCTGTCGAGGATCGTTTGCAAAAGCCGGATGTCCTTCGGTCGAGGTGGTAGGTGCAGGAGATGATGCGGAGGCCATGGCAGGATGGCCCTGGTTTGCAACAGCGGGATGACCGGCCATCCCAACGGCGGCAGCAGCTGCCGCACCAGTGGCAGCAGCCGCTGCTGCAGAGCCTGGTTTCTCGTTGCGATACCCATTGGCACCATTTGGACCTGAAACGCTGGAGTACGCAGGAGGAGGCTCATCACTTATACGCATGCGATCCATGTCATTCTCCAAGGCATTGGAAGGAATCCTGCCCGGCTGCTCGGATGACCCTGGTTGTGCCTGCTGCTGGAGCTGGGGCGCAGGACTACCGTATTGACCAGGGTGCTGAGACTGAGGACTGCCATACTGACTGGTCTGAGAAGGCTGAGGGGAACCATATTGACCAGGATGCTGTGGCGGAGGGCTACCATATTGACCAGGATGCTGTGGCGGAGGGCTACCATACTGGCCAGGGTGTTGTTGTTGTTGTTGTTGTTGTTGTTGTTGTTGGACAGCAGGACTGGCATATGGCACTGAATGTTGTTGTATCGGAGGGCTTCCATAACGACCAGGATGCTGCTGTGCAGCATGACCAGCATATTGCGCTGGTTGCTGCTGCTGTGCTCCACTCACCACTTCCGCACCTTGATAGACGGTTGGAGGACCATGTGGCTGGGTGCCTGGTAATTCTGTCGGTGTCCAAGGTCGCTGGGAATCTTGTTGAGCAAACGTCGGCTGCTGGCCCATATACTGCTCTGCTCTCCTCTGAGCGGCCGAGCTCTGCGACTGTATGCCCGCAAGGGTACCGGTTCCCGCAATTCCCGCGGCCGCATAGCGAGCCTCGATATCGGACCCTGGCTGCTGGCCGGGACCCACGACGGGTGTTTCCGGCGGTGGAGGTGATCCCCGCTGTGCGCGGGTCGTCGATGTCGACGCCGTCGAGCTGATGCGATTAATCCCCGATGACGAGGGCGCTGCCAGACTTGAACCCGACCGAGTGGGCCGGGAAGTCGAGCTGACCGGTGGTGGATAGTACTGCTGGCGATTGTCGTAGCGAGCTTCGATCGTGTCGCTGGGGGCTGCGTTCGTCGGCGGACGAGGATACGTCCGCGCCGCGAGCGCCGCAGCATCGGGCGCATCGGGCCCCGGTGACTCGGGGAGCGGCTTGGGTGCCGCACCGCGACGCTCTGCCAGGGTTGCTACCCGTGGCTCGCGGCCATCTCGGGGACGCAGTGCGAGCGGATAGTCTGCGGGACTTACTGACCCCGAGCCTGATCCCGCACTGGCAGGCGGCGGTGAATTGTACCGCAACGCCGCCTCTGCCGGGTGCACATCTTGAGAGCTCGACGTACGCAGCTGCCCGGGCCGCGGACGATCTTCGGGATATGGAAGTGGGATGTTGGGTGGACTTGTTGCTGAGTGCGGGCTGGCCGAGTCTCTCTTGTTGATGCGTAACGGTTCAACCATCTTCGATGCGCCGGGCCTGCCGGAGGTGGTCTCTGGATGAAAGTTGTTGGTATTGATGTTGGGATTGTTGATGGAACTATTACCAAGGAAGAGTTCCCCCTCCGGATGAATAGCACGGCTCTCGCCAGGATTCATGGTGTACACAAGATGACGCCGGGGGGCTTCTAGGGAGAAAGAGGAAGGGAATGGTCCTTTTGCGGAGATGCAGATCTCTCAACAGGCAGAAGAGAAAAGTTGCAGGATGATACTACTCCTGCACCGCCGCCACTTCGACTTGGACGACTGCTGCATGCACCCAATCACGGAGCCTGCGACGCGGATCCGTGTGATGGCAGCTTTGGGTGGATTTTGGTGGTCCGAAACTCAGAATGAGGGGCAGAGCGGGCACTAATTAGCCTTGTGGCGGGTATCATCAGGTGGAGGAGACCGTGGGAGGAAAAGGGGAAGCGGAGGAGGGGGAAAGAACGAGGCTCTAGTCAGTTGCACAGACCACCGAAAGATAGATGAAGGTTCAAGGTACCGCAAGAGATCGAAAGAAATCCAAGCCCCGGAGAGTATTAAGAGAAAGATGAGATTCGCAAAGGGCCGAGAAGAAGAAGAAGAAGAAGAAGAAGAAGATGTCGCCAGTATGCAAAACGTTCCGCGGCTAGTGAATTCGGGAGAGAAGGGAGGAGGAGGAGGAGGAGGAGGAGGAGGAGGAGGAGGAGGAGGAGGAGGAGGAGGAGGAGGAGAAGGGGGTAGCTAGATATGGATGTCACCTCTTGGGCAACATGAACGGACCTCCAGGGCTGAAGATCTCAACGAGATGCACTGGGCAGCACACGGTCTCCAGTATTCATTAGGCGCAATGCAACAGTCCTGTCCTGCCAGGCTGCCACCTGTCAAAAGACGAGACAGACCCAAGACCGAGAAGACACTTGGCGTCCTAATGTTTCTCGGATGGACTCCCAGTCTCACGCTCGTGATAAGCGCCTGGGCGGAGCCCACGCGCCCCGCAGGTGATGAGAAGGCAGCTCAGGAAAAGACTCCGACTGAGCGTCTCAAGGGATCCACAGAACACAGTGATCAGGGGAGTGTAGACTACTGTAGACGCTTGGTAGAAGGAATAGAGGAGGAGGAAACAAGTATCCTCTTGGGAGTACACCGTGAAACACAGTCCGATAGGTGGAGATACTACTACTTACTACCTTGGTACCACACTACCTTGTGCCTGACTAAGAGTCCATTGGTCCCCGTCTACTTGATAAGTAGTTCAGACTGTTATACTCGGTCTGTATAGATGCGGGAAACCATGGATCCTCTCGGAACAGTTCCACCTAGGATCATCCTGCCAGCGGTGCTGCCAGTCCTGCACCCCTCGACGATGATCCTGAGATCATTGTCATCTTGTCGGATTCGGCATGCAACGAATCTCCGTAAAGACACGACTCTCAATGGAGTTTCTATAATCATTGCAAATACTGCAAAATCCTCGCCAAGTACGAAACGAAAATCGCTGATTGGTGGGAATCAGACAAGGAAGAATTATTAACAGTCGTGTTCGTGTCTATACATACACCGATCCAATCCGTCGTCACTCATGCCCATGGTACAACGCCCTGCTTTCCCGAATGCCGAAATGAAGAACAAAACCGAATCAAACCACGCGAAGAAGAAGAAGTCAGTGGAAAGAGACAGCGAGAATCGGAAAAGGGGAAAAGAGCCAGCTCGAGAAGTAAATCAAACAGAGAAGTGAAATGAAAACATGAAACCTTCCCAGACAGAAACAGGTGAAAAGATCAAGATCCCAAGCACATACAACGCAACAACGCTCAATACGATCCAAACAGCACAGGATCCTGGAGATGGTAAGCTGGGGAAAACATGATTAAAATAGAACCAACAAGAAACGGAAAGACTGGATGGGTGACCACAGGCCCGCCAGTCACGACTTGATATAGACCCGGCTGAGGATCGAGGGCCGAGTCTTGGGAGCCGTCTTAGAATCCAAAGTTGACCATTTGTAGGCCCTGCTGCGTCATAAACTCGGACCAGTCCACATCGAGAGTATGACCCATCCGCATCAGAGAGTCCATTTGTCGCTCATAGATCGTCTGCAGAATCGCTCGAGTAGTGGCAGTGTTGCGTCCCATTCCATCTTCGTCATCTTCCATGCCGGTCATCAACTCCATGGCCATCATCTTCAGGCCACTGTCCGATGCTGTGGCACCGGCTAGAAAGAGCGGAAACACCAAGAAGTGACGGTCGGCACGGCGATTGTGCGTGGTTTCCTCCACGATGCGGAGGATTTCGCTAGCGTGGTGGTCGATTTCACTGGCCGAGTCAAAGTCGGCTTTCAATCGCTGATGGGGGAACATGCTACTGTAGGAGAACAAGTGGCTGAGATGGTACAAGGTGGCCGACTAAAAATCGGTCAGGACTGTTTCCTTGAAGATCAAAATGACAAAGAAAAAAGCTCACCTGCTGCAAGATCTCTTGCGATCGCTGCGGAAGACTTTCCCGGTGCTGAGACCAATAAGCCACATCGGATGCCTCCCATAGTCGTGCGAGGGTCCGTCGAAGTTCAGCAATCTCTTCGGTATGAGGATGGAACTCCGAGCGTGCAGGAGAGTGCTTTTCCCGCCGCAGGCGAGCGCCGAGAAAGCCAATTTGGGCGGTCACAGCGAAGCTGTTGGCGTAGAGGCGCATTAGAGCCGGAAGACTATCGTGCTCGTCGGAGTAAATCACGCTATATCCCTCGGTCCCAGACGGGTATAGCAGACTCTGCCAATCTGGAAGCATCCGGTGGTCCATGAGGGTGCGCACAAACTCTCCCTGTCCGGCACCGCTCAACAAAGCGTAGAGGTCAATATGGCAGATCCACCACAGGATGAATGGATGTGGCTCCCGTCCGAACTTGGCGTGACGGAGGAGCGCAATGTGTAGAAGACGAGAGATGTGATGAGACCACAAGTTGGATCCGTGGGGCTCGGCGGCGGCCACCTGGAAGAGATGAGCCCAGAGAAGTCAGCATGCCATTCTTTCGGGTGTAGCCTCCAACAGGATACGGATGGCGAATCATGTGATGCGTACCTCGTAAATCAGCAAGAGGAAGTGAGTGAGGAAGAGTCCATCCGACACCAGGTCATCGTTGTTGCGAAGACTGATCTGAAGAGATGGGAATGCCTGCTGGTAGTATTGAAGTGCGTCGACCTTCTGCCCAGTACCACTATGAGAGAGACTGAGGGCCGATACCGTCATGATTGCATGGGAGAGCTTCTCACTCGTCAGCATCTGCATGTTTTGGGAGTAGAAATCCAGCCGGGGACGGAACGCGAGCAGCAGCTTACAGGTGGAAAACGCGCCGCCTCTCTCTCTAGGAAGTCGACACTCAAGGTCATGCCATTGCGATCGAATCCATAAGTGTCATCCATGTCACGGTCATGGGGGAACAGTTGTTTCCAGACCACGTGTCGAAAATGTGCAAATAGCGTCAACTCCTGTTGCTTCTGTAGATCCTGATGGGTCATCTGCGGCTCTAGACGGAAAGAAGACGACCCCTGAGCCTCGCCCGGCACGGGAGACGGAAAGGCATCCATCGCAGGAGAGAGCGACAGGGAGCAGAAGGGATCTGAGATCTCCGATGTAGGTGAGATACGGGAGATACGACCCGTTGAGACGGAGCGTCGAGTCGTATCCTCAAAAGTTCGCAGAATGACTACATTGGGATCCTCCGTGGCATCGCTCTCACTTCGGGTTGTTCTGACGGGGCTCGCAGTCGCAGAGTGTGAAAAGTCACCGGTGAATCTGGAGTCATCAGTCTCTTCGGCATACTCTGGGAGCGAGCTGAAGCTCTCCGGTACCATGACCACATGGTAGGTTCCGGGGGTCGAGCTCTCTGCTTTCTTCTCGCGGTCCTCGTCAGAGGTCAACAGTGAAAAGTCCGGGAGCTCCTCGGACAAGGAGAAGTAGTCGCCGCCGGTCCGACTCCCGGTCGAGCCCGGGGAGGAGACTAACACTGTCATTAGCTTTCCATCACGCGGTGCGGGTGGATGCAAGTATGCATCGAGAGGAATGCTCACGGTCCCAGACCACATTGCCCTCGGTCTTGACGTCGGCCATGCGGCCCATAATTCGTGGCGTGTCATCCCGAAAGGCTAGACGTGGTCGATAGTCGCAAGTATGACCCAGTCGCGTACATTGCTAAGTGTGGGGGAGAGGACAAAGGTCAGCTGGAGGTCGTTTGCCCATCGGCCATGAAGGACCCGCGGAGCCGTGCCGCAGCGGAAGAATGAGCCCTACATTACACTGTGGGTGGCCCTCATCGCATTTTACTGCAGGAATGCCGAGTCAGTCAAGGGCGCCCATGCACCAGACAAGGGATTTTTTGGGGGAAGGGGGGGGGGGGGGGGTGGTGGACTCACCTTTTCGACTCTGCATGCAGACACGGAGAGAAGAAGTCAATTGGACCGAACTTGGAAAGCCTGGAACGGTCTTATTCTGAGGGATCACTCACCCGACAAGTCCTATATCACGGAGGTCAGAATTTGTCAGTCTCGGCGAATTCTCACCATTTTGGGGAGTCGTCTCTCATCGATTGATGGCTCGAGGAGGGTGGAAGCACTTCAGGCAAGGAGGGAGATCAGGAGACGTACCAACATCCCGTCCGCGATCGCGGTGGTAGCCGAATGCGCGGCGAAGAACCTGGGATTTTGTCCAACCTGCCTTCCAGAACCTCTTCCTTGGGAGCAATCATGGGAAGATGGAGGGTGCCTTTGGCGGAGGCATGGCCGCGGCGGTTTTGCATCACCAAACTTGTGACCGTCATGAGGCGAGCTCGACGGATGGAGAATCACTGGACTGGGGGACCATTGATTTGAATGTTAGATCAGACTGATGAAAGGCGTGAAAACATGGGAAGATTCTGTTTCGTACCGAAATGCTGGTTGAAGGGCACAGTTGGGAGATAGTCCCACCCTTTCTTTGACGACCGAACTTGCGCGGGGGTTCAAATGGAAGATGTGGGCAATTGCGATGCTGCTGCTGATGATGATATGTCGATATTCTTCGAGATTCCGTCGAGGTTTTGGAGGGGGAGGACACTGTTGAAGAGGAGCAAGAATCGACGGCCTTGAGCGTTGTCTGGGTGTATGGTATATAGTGTCGATCACTATCCGTGATCGAATGATCAGCGACGGAAGGACGCGGGGGTGGAGAGAAGAGAAGTATAAACGACAAATAAACTTTCAGGCCTAGAACTCGAGCGCCCGGGACGAGAGAGTCGAACACGACGGTCCTGACGGTCTGGGAATCTCGGGGAAATGAAAGGCTTGAGGGAGGCCTGCGGGCAGGGAATGTAGGAAGCGCAGGCGGAGAATGAAGCAGGAGAGGGCGAAAGTGGGTAATGTATGGAATCGAGATGGGGTGGGCGGATGAGTGTAATGGGGGATTGACTGGCGATGGTCTAGATCGCTGGCGACCACAACCTTAAAGAACCACGGCCGGTGAAGAGCGGAGACCGCAGACGTGATGTACTGTCCTTGTCGATTTCACATCATCGGCAGGGAGGGGAGGGGGAGAAAGAGAGGGGACCGTCGATGCCACATTCGGGGCATCCACTTTTTTTTTTTTTTTCTTTTTCTTTGGTGCTCGATCAGAGAAGGGGACCCGGTGGCCTGGAGAGGCGCAGCCCTGTTTGATTCTGGCTCGACGGGTGGCGGAAATCTGGGATCGATGGAGGAAGCTCGGATGCGACGACAAGGCAGCGACAGGAGACACACGAGGATGAGGAATGATGGGATCATGGGACCCTGTGGACGGGAGAGGAGAGACTTTCCATCCCCGTCGACCAGCGAAAGGTACCGTCCCAGGCATTCTCGAATTTCTCTGATTTCTACGGCGAAGCGACACGGACACGGAATGCAAGTGTCGAGCTTCGAATTCCAGGGAAGATTTCACAAATTGGAGGATAGATAGGTTGAGGGGAGAAGAAATTTAAAAAAAAAATAAAAATAAAAAAAAGCAATGACACAGAGACCCTGCGGACCTCTCCCATTGCGCTGTACAGGATTCGAGATGCACTAATTGGTCCGAAGGAAGCGATGCAGACTGCAGAGTGCAGAGGACAGACAATGCAGACTCCAGACTCCAGACTCCAGACCAGACTAGTAGTAGACCAGTCGTAGACGACAGAAACGAGAGCCCTGGAGAGGCAAAAGAAAAATAGATTTCCAAATTCAAATTCACGGACGAACAGGTCAGATCGGATGACGCTGACTGGCTAACCGAGTGAAGAAGCTACCACAGTAGGGAGACTAGGCCGATTTAGGGATAGACAATCGGGACCACCAACGAGGAGGATGTCCGTTCTACACTGACACAGAACACAACTTGTGACCGTAGTATCTCGATAACCCAGCAGAGACAGCACACATGGAGTGTACTACCTGAGTTTGATACACGCATCTTCTTTGACACCGATCGAAACGGTGTCCATGCGTCACGCACAAAAAGACACGGGCAGCCAAAAGCTGAGCGGAGAGGCGGAAGACCAGACAGAAATGACATCCAGCCCGAAACACCCTTCTTGGGACGGTCTGGGAGTGGGGGACGCTCAGACGGGACTAGCAGCTCGGGTTGGGGCCTCGGGGTCCAGGAGTGCGCCGAAAAGAGGGACGATCCGCGATTGAGAGACAGCCCGGAGCAGCTGAACCAGATCATGTCATTGATGATGGAGAGCAAGACCGCAAGTCCATCCCTCTTCCAATGGGTCCCAAGATAGAGGTGGAAGAAGTCATGGATGGCCCCGCGTAAAAGCTTCGTGCCTCCGAGACTGCGGGCCAAAAAGAAGAAAAAAGAGGAACAAAAAGAGGAAAAACAAGAGGAAAAAAAAGAGAGAAAAAAAAGAAAGAAAAAAAAAGGGAAGAAACGGAAGGGAAAGCGGAAAAAGTGGACAAAAAGGGAAGAAAGAGATAGAACACAAGTGAAAAACAAAAAAAAAGCACGGAGCAAAGGACGAACAAGTCCGGTCTCATACCTGGAAAGGAGATGGCGCGATGCGCACGCAGCCCAGTTTACGCAGCCGGACCTTGGATCGAGTCTCCAGCGGTCCACTCAGTCACTAGAGACCTACCGACCGTACCGGTACTTGGTCTGAACTTTGGCAAACCCTAAAATACTGTAAAGAGGCCCAAACCTCGGATGGCATGCAGGTGCCAACCATGTGGCCTTGAGGTGGATTGCTATTCTTACCTACTTTACCCACTTCCCAAAGAGGGCCGGGTACCACTCGAGAGAGAGAGAGAGAGAGAGAGAGAGAGAGAGAGAGAGAGAGAGAGCTCAGAGCACTGACCGGCTCATTTTCAGGCCCTAGTACTCGCGAGAAAATGGACACCGGAGTGCCCCGGTGGAGGGGAGTGCCATCCGTCGGTTAATTGATGGGGGATGGCGCAGAGGAGAGAGAGCGGACTATCATCTTATCCCAGCCTCGAAAAATACTCATTAGAATGGATCACGGCTGTGACACGAGGCAGAATAAAAGGAATCCAAAGAATCACGTGAGTATCAGGTCAGCATAGAACAACTTTTCAAATTCCAACATCCAGCATCCAGCATCCAGCAATGACCTCATTTATCGATCAAGCACCCTAGATTGAGGGGTCTGTACATTCAAACATTGTGCAGGAGGCCTACCCTGGGCCTCAGGACTCCCAGGGTCCTGTACAGCCGGCCCCGCCATCATTTTGACCCAGCAAGTGCAGTTGCAGATGCAATCCGTCCTGCCTCAGGACCAGACTGTCGGGTAACCAATCTGCACGACCCGGTGACACAAAGTGTGGAAAAACACGCCTTGGTGAGACCGGGGCCACCTGCCCGTTTTCCATCCTCGAGGCTCGTCACATGATACTTGTCCTTTGGACTCCAGTATCGAGTTTACAGGTACGAAGATAGTGATAGTCGTATCACTATCAATTTATCAAGATCCACGATGATCTGCACTTCTACAGTGCTGATGCCACAGTTCGATTGCCAAAGCCCTGCCTGAAGGCCAAGCTTTTCAAAGTCCCTTGCACTGGAGCAAAGGAGCCCAGAGGACAAGCAGCAGCCAGTACCGGCACTGCTATTGCTATTGCTACTGCTACTGCTACCGCTACTGCTACAGCCCTGAGCCTACTAGCCTACTAGCCTACTAGTACTGCCCACTCTCATACAGTCCCTGCGATAAGTAGGTACTAGGTACTCATGGTCCAACAACGCCAAGTCCACAATCCACATAGTACCGTATGTAGTGCGTCATGTCGCGATAATAACCTTTTTCTCCCACCCCCCCCCCCCCCCGCCTTCACCCGTTCGTCATTCACTTTCTCATGATCTACGGGATTAACTCGTCTGGGCGAATGACCAGATCCGACAGGCCTTGAGATCGCTCGTCTGACCATTCCCGCCTAACGCGGGCCCCTTTCTCCGGGGACACAGGGCTGGCTGAAGGATACGTCGAACTCGACGACTTCACACGGGGATTGGGTTGGTGGAGGGGTCCATTCAACAGTCCCACGCCACATTCATTCCCGCTGGGGGCGCAGGGCCGGCTCCGGTGAGATAGAAAGTCAAGCCTCCATGAGTCTTAGCGTCGGGTTTGGGGGGGGGGGGGGGGAAGCCACAGGGGAAGAGAGGACTGGGCTGATGCGTGACGGGACCAGGAAACATATCTCTTTTGGAGCAGCTCGAGGTTGGAAGTATAGTAGATACTAGAGAAGACCCAAATTTCTGTAGCTGCACTAGTGGAATGTGTGGAAATCACATGACACGGTCTACACTCTACAGTCTCCGAGTCTACACACTAGACCGGATTGTACTGAAAACAACGGCTGAACTGAACCAGCAACTATATTGGACATATTTCAGACATTTCTCTTTTCTTTTTTTTCCCGGACTGTGTCAAAGGAGCATCAACCTGAATCAATAGTTCCTTTTCGACTCTCTTGACTGGGGCGTTTAGTCTGCGGTGTCAACATGCAAACGCCGAAAGAAGGGGGAAATCGACAAACAGACCTAGTAGTCTACTGTCTCGTTCTACAAGTCTATTAGTCCTCGCCCACCAGCCTTAGTTGAGTGATCAACCCAGAGAGATCCGCCACACTCCTCGGAGCCGAAACACGGCATGGGCGCAGCACTGCCTCAGTGCATCATAGCTGGGGGGAAAAAAGCAATCCATGGGCCACACCATTTCTTCGCACACAGAAGAACCGGCGAAATCGGACCAACCTGAAAGGGCATCGATTGTATGCGCAGCCAGCGGTTGTTGGGGGCTCTGGTCGATCGGCCCGCCCAGGCCCGTGTGGACTTGTTCGGTTGGGGGAACGTGAGATCGCTGGATCGTTGAACGGAATGTCGGGTCAGTTGCTGCATGACTGCATGAGTCGACGGTCGGCGGGAATTTGAAAGTAAGCTACGAATATTTTTTTTATCATGCATGTATGCATTGCACAGTATGCGTATACCAGGAAGGATTGAGGATAAGGAAAGCACCACCTCATCATACAAGACATCGCCGATGTGGGAGATGCTCGATCTTAAACTACTGGGGCCAGCTACATCCATCATGATGAGGATCAAAGGTCCGGCCTTGCAAGGCCTAAAAAAAGAAAAAACAAAAACAAAAAAAACAAAAAACATCGTGTCCCCGAGCTCCAATCCTCGTCTGTCGTGAGGACCTGTCGAAAGTCTAGATAGCTGAGAAAAGGAAGAGGAGACTCGGTGATTTATCGATGGATCCGAACAAGGACACATCCAACGAGCCTCCCAGTCGGAACGGGTGCGGGCACGGGTTCTTTCCCAAGTGTCGGGTCCAGTCTGATGATCTGATCACTCATCTACAGTTCCACACATCCACCCGTCGGCTTTTGCAGATTGAAGTTTGCAGGCGGGTGGTCGATTGTTCTTTCCTTCCTGTTCGGGAATATAGTACGGTACATCCAGATATTATCATCATGCATCGGCTTCTGCAGTTAGTCGACCGGTACAGGATCGCTGCAGACTTTTCCGCTGGGCTGATGCGCGGGAGTCCCATTTGGGTCAAAGGTACATGTCCACTCGACGTGGGCATTGGGAATGGGACGATGATGTGATCTCGATGTAGCAGCTAAGCAGGTATCATCAGGGAGAAGGGATGATCTGTGTTGTTGTTTCGTGTTGACTTTGGAGCAAGTAGGATAGTACAAGTCGTGTTTGAGCTGACACTTCACAGCTTACACGGTTTGGTGCGTAGTGTTTACTGGCAAGTCTATGATGTGTCGCGATATCTACTAGGCTAATCTCATCTTATCTCACCAGCACAACCACCACACATATACGGTCTATGTTCATTCCTGGTGCTTACTGCTTACTTATCGGCTGTCCTGAAAAGGTAACAACCGAGGTAGTCTGGAAATCGTCTTCTTTTCGGTCGCTGGTCGACCGCCGATCCTCGAAGATAGCATCATCATCGAAAGGTGAGCATCCATCCTGCATGGCCCCGATTAGGAGTCCGGAATTCGAGCGTAGAGTACCATAGAGAGGAAAGGGTGTTCAACCAACTATCACGCTTCCGGACAGAAAAAGGAAAGGCAGTTAGTAGTGAGAGACTGAGAGAGGACTTCATTCTCCACCGGCAAAAGTACCTACAATCCATGATTCTATACTCTCCCTCTGTCCTGGGTACTCTATCCGTCTATCGGTCTAGTCGATCCAATCCAGGTCAAACCCAGCCCGAGCCACAGCCCAACCTGTCGCTCAACCTCCCAAGACTACTGGAACCACCCTGTCCAGTCTCCCCGAGGAAAAGGCAGGTCAAAGGGTGGAAAGCCACCATCCGCCCCGGGCGCATCCTCCTCACGGACATGACCGATGCTTAAGCGAGTGGCGTTTCACTAGCGTGTCGTTTGCAGAAACCGCCGCCTCTCTGACCTATTCCCAATCCTCAGGCCCCGGCCAGAAACCTCGTCGAGTTGGTCCCTAGCGACGTCGGATTTGTGAGGCCAGTGCCTTCATGCTGCAGTGGCCTCATCCGCTGCCCATGCTAGGCCATGGTGGATATAGGGAACCAGAGCGCTAGCTTCTGCCCAGAACCTCCTGGTTTCGGGCTCGCGGTTTGAAGTCATTTACAGTAAGGGCAGGACGTAGTTCTGGAGAACCCTGCGGACCATTTCCCTTTCCCCTCCCCCACTCCTTTGACGAGCGAGAAGCGATCCTCGCCAGTCCGGAGATCCGAGACACGGACCATAGCTTTGGCTGGGACCGCCCTACAGTACTGCTTCTGCTTTGCTTCCAGATGTAATGGGCTATGCGTGTACTTTGTGCGCTAATTGTTTTTTTTTCCCCCCCTTTTTCCTACCTGGTATTGATCTTCCAAACGAGATTGGAACATGTAGATGGGTTGGAATTATAGTACTGATGTAGGTCACAGTATGTCTAACGTCTCTGCGACGATGCATTTTGGTCGCATGGCCCGACACTCACCATATCGAATACGCTGCTCTGCGTTCCTACAGTACAACAGCGACATCACTACTCTTCCACCCCCTTCCAAACAGAGCAGACTCTCCCCCGAAGACAGAAAGAAATGATACTCCCGTGGACCCCTCCACGCGACGCCACGATCGAGGCCATTCGAATCAGGGAACCCACCTCTGGAGGGTTGCCACTCCCACTAGCACCTCGACCATCCCGAAATCGGGCGCCGTTAATTCGGTGACTTTTTTTTGGTTCCTTGGGAACCCATTCTTTTCCCAAATTAACCCATCCCACACAATCCGTTCTCTGAGCCAAACAGATTCCCAAAAGTGCACCAGAAAAAGAATGGACCCATGTCGATCAGCCACGTGGTCAGGAATCCGTCCTGATTTGGAACAATCCCGTCCCAGCAGGGAAAATAAAACACACAAAAAACAAAACACAAAAAAAAAGAAAAACAGAGAGAGAGAGAGAGAGAGAGAGAGAGAGATGTGGATGGCGATGAGACCAAGTCGTCCCCGTAGAATAATACCCGAACTTGAATGTTCTGCTGGAAAAGGCCCCGACTACTTGAGCACCACTGCTCCAGTCTAACCTGTTTTTCATTCCTAACTCTGTCTTGCCTCGCTGACTTCCACATACAGTATGGTAGTGAGGTACCACACTTCTCAAGTCATCAGCTAAACTGCCCCCTCACCAGAGGGTGTCTTCCAGTGATGACCTGGAACTCTCGATCCGCTGCAGGTCAGTTGTACAAGTCAAAGAGGCCAGCCCGAATGGATCATTGGATACACCCTTGATCCCCTACATTGCACATGCAGGGGGACATTGTCCCTTTCGCGGTCTGAAACACCAGCCTGTGGATGAGATTCATGGGAGTTCAATAGATTAGTATTTGAACGGCTTCAACTTTTTGCTCACAGTCACATCCCCTCCGGCGGTCCTGTAGGACGCTGCTCCCCAATGGCATCGAGGATTGCTTATTGGTAGACGTATCCCAGCTGGGAAGGTGACCCAGTAGCTAGACCGATCCCTCGGAAAGCAGAGAAAAAGGGGTTCCTCTGGGTTGAAGCTGGCGAGTTGCATCATTGCAGGATATTCTCCATGGCTCATGTCAGCATCATCGTACAGTACGAGGGCGGACGGGCTGCAGTGGCCAGTCAGGGCTGTGGATCTCATCTTCCTTCCACTTCCTCCAAGCTCCGGAAGCTTCACGGTCAAGATTTCCAAATGCCCGAGGTCAGTCCAGGACTTATCGAGGATGTAGCTGCGCACTTACAATTCGCTCAAGTGCACACTCGTCTACTGTACAGTGTACACTGCACGACCATCTTCTTCATCCAATCGCCCACCCAAACATCCAAGTCTCACCGAGCAGTCCCGTCTAGCGTTCTCCTTCGCCGCTTCGCTTTCGAATCCATTGCCCAAAGTTGTCGCAGTGCTCAGTGCCCTGTGCCCACTGCCCAGTGCCCACGATTCAGAGCCGTTTCTCCTCCTCCATCCAGTCCTCGTCCCCGTCTGCGCATTAAGCTTTCTTGGTCTCGTTCGTCTCGTTCATCGGCCCTCATCTAGTAGTATCTACCTTACCCTATCTCCTATCCTGGCATGGTACCGAGATTCCTGCACAACGGGAGACACGCATGAACTGCGTCAAGGCACTACTAGTAGACTAGCCTTAGTCTAAGCGTTCGCTTAGATTCAAGTCGGGTCCGCTTAGAACGAGCTATATTCGGTCCTTGACTCATAGGGCGTGGTCGGTCACTGCTGATTGCCCGCTGGACTACCCAAGTCTTTTTTGGACGGTCGGAGAAAGGGTCGCCTGCCCGGGCGGCATGAATGGGGAGATGGGAGGAAGAGGAAGGTTTTCGGTCTTGCCGATACGCGGGGGGGGGGGCGTTGTTCTTTCGTGGGATCAGTGGACAACTGGACACCGGACAAACGTAGAATGGAATCCCGGTGGATTGGAAATGGGGAGAGTTCACGGTTCTACTCATGGGTAAGGTGTTTTAGAACCATGTGGGTGTTGGTGTTCGTGCGCATAAGATGGGATTGTTCTATGTGATCGATCATTGCTCTGCTTCACTTGCAGGTGCTTAGTCTACCACTGCAATGAGTATACACCCAAATGGCCCCCAGGACGCCGCTTCATTTTTTGAAAGTGTGCCGAGTCGCTGGAATACAGATGTCTGTACCTTTCTAAAGGCGAATGGAACAACTATCTCAATCCACCCAAACCAGGGCATCGATACGATGGCGCTGCAAACAGCGGCCCCAGACAATGACATACTCCAAACATGAGGTTCATGAGTAGTAACTTGACTACCCTGAGTACCCTCCAGTGAACGAGGTACTTCATTTCGACTAGCAGTGCTATAAGTACAAGCAAGCACGAGTAACTTACTACTGGATGAAGTCATGACAAGTGGGACGATCAGTAGTCACCTTTCTAAAAGCCGAAATCTCTTTCCAGCCCTGTCTTCTTTATCCAACGCACAGGGGACAAAGTAAAATCTCTAGTGGCTGGAAAACCTCAGCTGGCCAATGTCAACGCCTCGTCCAACAATCGTTGCACCGCATTCGATCGCTCATTCGTCCTCCACCCCTGCAGCGACTGTTTCAGCCGCGCCTCAGGCAAGCCACGAACTTCCGGCCGAACCTTCAGATACGCCAAAATGGCCTCTGCGCGAGCCTTGCGAACCATCTCCACTGCGTCACCCTCGCGCAGGAGCACGGCCGCCATCGATCGCATGGGCGCTGCCAGCGCAGCGTCCGACTCGGGCGCGACTGCACTTGCAGACCGGGGTGCAGTCGTCCCCAGTCCGTCCGACCCCTCGTTCAGTCGTGTGAACAACGCTTGGAGCTCCCGATAGACCGTGCTGACGAGCTGGCGAGCCCCATGTGTCACAGCCTGTTCCAACGGACGGATCACCTCTTGCATGTATTCTCCCAACACTGTGGTTAAACTTAGCAGGTGAACGGACGCTAAGGGGGCTCCCGCAGGAAGAAACGACCTAATCCGGCTCACTTTTCCTTCTCTTCTTCTCTTCCTATCTTCTCTCGCCAACTCGTCTACCAATTCCTTCGGCCTTCCGCATCTCCGGCAAGGTTCTTCTTCTACCCGAGATGGTCCGAGATTCCCGAGGAGAAAAGGCACCAAGAAAAGGGGAGAGAAGATAGAGAAGGACGAGATAGAAAGGAGCAAAAGGTGGACGGAGAGGGGCATCCAGAGACTAGAAAAAAAAAACACAACGATAGCAAAGTAAAGTGAACTCACCTTTTGATTCTGTCGTGGCTGGGTTGAGACACTGCAACAAACATTCGATGCCTGCAGCCAACGTTTCGGATGAATCCGATCCTTTGCCGTCAATGTCCATTTTGTCTCCATCTTTGTCGTCATCCTCTACGATCTCATCGATCACAGGAATTACAATTGCGAGAGCGCTCGGCATCAGGTCTACTTTGCGTGCTTGGGCGATCTGGCCCAAAGCCCTCAGCCCATGGGGTCGATAGGTTGCATTATTGCGTTTCGCTTCACGCACCGCAATATTCTAGTAGAGGAAGAAAATGAAAGCAGGGTTAGTCTGAGTCTCACCCCTCTTCGAACAGGTTCGGAGTGTTCACGACCGCGATCATATGACGGCGAAGGAAGCCGGGGCAAGTAGATGATACGTACCCTGAGCAAGTCAGCCAAAGCTGTTTGTGATTCCCACAGCACCCGACCGGAGCTCGCGAACTTCACAAGCGCCGTCAACACCACTTCTTTGCCTTCCCAGGTTTTGCCCGCAAGAGCTTTCTCCAGAACCGGCCATACCAGCTGGGCCGTGGGGAGATCCAGCTCTCCTTCCAAGGATAGTACGGCCTGAGCAATCCCTCGTGCCGCCGTGTGTTTGATTGCCCAGCGCGCAGAGTCGATGTTCTCAGCAACAAGATCAACAATCTCCCTCAGGTAGAGCGATACAGCCCGATTGCCACCCACGTTATCTTGCCAGACCTTTTCAAACTCTTCTTTCACGTGGTCATCCGCGTCATGTTTGCACATAAAGACGAAGGGAAGTGCGGCAGTGGCAAATGCCATGAAGCGATCGTTGGAGAGCTTGGAAGCCGAGTAAAGGATCTCCGCCGCAATGTTTCGAGATGTAGCGTCTTCCCCGTTGAGATAGAGATTCTTGGCATGTTCAATCGTCTTCAGCACCTGTTCATCAGATGCCAGTCGTAAGAGATAACCCATTGACGTGCAGTAGGAGGCGCTGACGGTCTCATTTCGGTCCACCACGTATTTACTCAAAAGCTGGATGAAACGATCGGCGTAAGGGCGGAAAAGCAGTGTCTTCATACTAAGCAGCACTAACACTCGGCTGCAACCAACTTTCGAAGGGAGACCGACAGCAGTGCGAAGGGTATTCTCGAGCTTGGGCGACAGATCCTTGACGTTGTTCTCGTCGAGATGGTCAATCAAGTGTCGCTCAATCACTTCCATCATCGGGGAGGTTCGAATACTTGACAAGCGCATCTTGTCGATATCTTGGCCAGTCAGACCATATTTCTCAGCGTTCAAATGAACATAGTTAACTGCTTGAGGTTCCAAAGAGCTAAGAGAGCTGAGGAATTTCTCTAGAATACTTGGCACGAATGGATGCAATAGTGTACCCGGACTCTTCTTGATGATCTGAACGAGTGCACCGATGGCGTACCCGCGGACTTCTTCAACACTAGAATCGAGGCCCTTGTCGCTGAGCAGGAAGGGAACGGCACTGCCGAGAAGGACTATTGCTCGTTTGTCGGAGCCATCGGTCTCCAGCGTACGGATCACCGAGTTGGTAACGGTTTGACACAGTTTAAGTGCAGCCGTTCGCACAGACTCTTTGATATCATCCAAAAGCTTAAACGCTCGACTGTAGATCTCGTCAAGATGCTGGGCGTATTTCTCAGGTCGCTGTCCGGAAACGAGGTCGGCCACAGCGGCGCAACTTGCCTGGCGTACACGCCACTCGCGCCCCGAAAGCATGCTCTTGAGCAAGTCTTCCATGATTTGATCAAAGTGCGTATCAACCACCACTGTCGGATCTTTGACGAGAGCCTGCCAGATTGAATTCATTGATCGCTGAACATTGGGGTTCGGATCGAATCGGTAGCGGAAGAGCTTTGGATAGATTTTGGGGTTCTTGGCCAAATATCCGTCGACGCTGGAATCGGAAAAAATGGTACTAATGCCAAATCGACCGAATGCGGCACGGTTTGTCCAGAGTGCATTGTTCGATGCCATTGACATGAATCTGTAAACAAGTGTTGGATCACCGGCCTCCGCAGCTAAATTCATGATGTCCTTGTAGGTGTTGACTGAGGATCCTTCACCAGTCGGCAGAGCTCCTGGTTCAAATAGTTGAGTATCCCCAGTGACATTACCACCGCCGAGATTTGAGCCTGTTGCGGTGAAGCTGTCCACCAAATCCCGTACGAGATCATCCTTCAAAGATTGGTCGCCAATCTCGTAGACGAGGCTCAGGCCGTGGGCGCCCGTCTCTTGTACAACCTCATCCCTGCCGCTCAACAAGCTGGAGAAAGTGGCTTGACACTGACGCAGACGTTCCTGCATCTCCGGAAGATGTCCACAATTTTTGACGAGAGAGAGGAGCCAGATAGCCGACGCCTTGCGGAGGGACGGCTTAGAGGTACGACAATCCTTGATAAGTTTATCACACACCTCAACAAATACTGAACGGGGCACGTCTGAGCCTGGGAATTCTGCATCCACGTCGAACTCCTGGATCAAAGCCCGTGAATCCCATCCAGCGGCCACATTACTCAAAGCGTCGCCAATTGTGAACTGAACTTCTGGACTTTTAATCTCATGAAGCTTGTATAGCGACTCGATAAAATCGCCGAACAAGGCAGAATTTGGCTGGGCCCGAGAAAATGTAAGTGTCAAAAGGCCAAGCGCAGAGATAGGTGTGCTGTTCTCGGTCTTGGCATCGGTTGCCAACTTCATCAAAAGTCCTTTCCAGCCATCCTCATCCAGCGTCTCGATTGACAGAAGGCCCGATAGACTGAGTTGACCGAGGGCAGTTTCAGCCGTTCGCTTAAGTAGAGTATCCCGTGAATTACTGATGATGTCAATCATTGTGTCAACGTAGCTCTTAAGAGTTGAGTCTGGAACCCGACGAGAGGACTTTCGATAGGAAAGGCGGCTAAAGATATAGGACAAGGCCATGATTGCGCCGCGCACACGAAGTGCTGCTCCTCCAACAGCTGATTTCCAGCCGTCAACCGTGTCCTTCATATCAGTGTAGACACCTAGCAACTTAGTTTCATCAAAGGATGGGTGGGACGCGAGGATCCCCAGAGCTCTAGCAGCAAATTCTTGAACGTCCTGATTGTGGCCCAAGACAGGTTGCATGAGAGTGGGAGCAAGGACAAGGAGCTTCTCGACTGCATCGTTCGGCGACAAGGCACAAATCTCAACGAAACTTGAACCGCTTTGCCGTAATCCCGTGAGTGACTCTTTGGCGAGCCCCCGGAGGATCGCAGACAAAAGCATGACCACGGGCTCCTTCGCAGAGTCGCAAATATACTGTCGCACGGCAGATCGTGCCTCGTTGCTGCTTGAGAGCTCAACTTCCAGCTTGTAGTCCCAGTCCTGCTCAAGCTCCGTGGACATGCTAGCGGCATGAAGCGACTCTGCAAGGAGAGTGTTCCGTAGAAAAGCCACAGCAGGGACGAGGGCTCCTTCATACGGACCTAATAAAAGCTGGGGCTGTTCAATGCCTGGGACGCTGGAAGCTCCCTTGCTGTCGCCCATTCCCAGGAGAAATTGAGCCGCATGAGCGAACTTGGGAAATTCGAACCACGCGTCCACAGTTTGTTTTGCATTTTCCCGATCGATTTCCCACTTCTTGTCTTTGGCGGGGTTGAGCAACCGGAACCAGTACGGGTGAAGACCTTTTGTTCCTTCTTCAACAATTTCATGTTGTCTCTCTGATCCATGTGCCACTGCCATCAGATCAACCCAGCGCGCCACAACATCGCTATACGGAAGGAATCTGTTCGCAAGTCGGACTGCCGCATACTGTACGCTCCGGGTGATGTCAAACCCAGTATCAGGGTCAGTGTCCCCCGGAGTCAATCGCATCTGGCTCACCAGGAAAGGGCGCAGTTGAGCCTGGAACTCTTCATTGTAGTTGTCGAGGGAAGAGTTCAGGATACTGCCCAGGGCTTGGTCAATGCTCACAAAGATCTGCGGGCTAGAATCATCAGAGGCAAGAGATGTGAACAGCCATCGGATGAGGTCGAATTCGAAATTCTCTCCGGTCTCGTCACGAAGTTGAAAATCAACTTTGGGTACCAAGATACCGATGCTCTCGTATGCAAGACCCCGTAAGCTTAGATCTGTTGCGGGCAGTCTCTGCCCACTCGCCCCGGGGCTCGGCCAGCCCTGAGACTGGATAAAATCTCTCAAGCCAGCAATCAACTTTGGAGCAATCTGTTTGAGATTCGATGGTAAGCCCATTCGCACTACCCATGTCGTGAAAGTAAAAATTTGCGTTCTCAGCTTCGATGCTTGCAGTCCATGCGCCGACCTGGCGGCATCAGAAAGCAGCCCTTCTTCGATGAGTCGGTAAATTCGTTGCGTATTCTCTGTCGCCTTGATGGATTTCCCCAGGAACGTCAAGATTTTGATCTGCAAAGCCGGGCGCACTGGTAGAGTGCCTTGTGCTTCCCCCGCACCGAAATAGAGATCGTAGAGTTGCTCTACCATGAAAGAGTCTTCAAGATCAACAGCGAATCGCTTGAGGGTCTCATCGCCCAGATCAGCCAACCGTGAATTGGCGTCTGCCGTGGCAATTAATGAAGGCAAGAATCGCTGGGAGTCCTCAAAGGCGCCGCTCCCAAGAAATCGAAGAGCAGTGACTTTCGTCTCAGTCAAATTCAACCCTCCTTGGGATGCGGGATTCCACGTCTCGGTGACAGGCGCATCTTTGGTCAGAAATTTGTACTCGTCCACCGACAAGCCTGGACATGTCTGAGCATTGCCTGCTGCAGGCGAGAAAAGGAGGAGCCTTGTCAGCCAGAAGACAAGAAAACGACTATCCTCATTCGAAAGACTCAGAGTTTCCTTCAGCTTCTGGTCGGCCTCGCTGCCCTTTGGTGGGATCTTGAACAGTGGCAGCAGTCGTAGGACGAGGTTGAACACAATGGCACCCTGCGATGGCGAGGTGCCAATCTGCGCAATGCCTTGTAGCAGAGGGAGCAAGATATCAATTCTCGCGTCAGCCCCCAGACGATCTATTCCTTGCTGAGCGTATATGAGGTCAAAGTGACGAATGAGCTGTGACTTCTGTTCCTTGAACTGCTTCAACAGGGCCGCAACGGGCAGTTGAATGGAGGGGTTCTTGACACGTGTGTTGACATGCTGGCAGACTGAGATGACTTTGTTGCGAACCGCGACACTGTCTGATGACAGTTTCAGCAGCAAAGGAGGGAGATATGTCATCAGCAAGGACTCCAGTTTTTCGTCTGAATCAGCCATGGCGATTCGAAACTCAACCTTGCCTACGAGGCTCAGTTCGCGAGCCTCGAGGCTCGGTGAGTCTGACGCCATAGTGTGGGCTGTGGACTGCGTAATTTCAGTGCAGAGGGGACATGGAGCGGTGGAAGATATGATTATGCTTCACGAATCTTAAGAGGTCAAGTATTTAATTAAATCCTGCAGGCTCCCTCGCTACACGTAACCGTAGCCAGTCAGCGGATGTCTAAGTGTTTAGGTTGGATGCCCGGCGATTCGCCGCACTCCCAGAGGGCGTCCTCCACCTCGGCCGGCAGGTCAGCGGGCGGAGTCCGGGCACCGTCTTTGCTTAGTAACACGGATCGAAGTCGGGTGAATTGCTGCCTGAGGCCGTCACTTAGAATGTCGAGCATCGAGTGAAGAAGACCTCAGCATCTGAGCACACCGTGCTGATGTAGTGAGATGTGAGGAATATTACACACAAGTAGGTTCTTGCTCAACAGCGTGGTTCTAACTGTACTGGATACTCCGGAGAATTGCATATACTACCTCCGCGTGTATTTTATCATTTTTACACAGCCAAACAGTACTAGGAGTAGGAACTGGTACTACATAATTGAGGAAGGGAAGATAAGGTACGCTTTTATCATAATCACGTATGCACTACTACGGAATGGATTAAGTTTAACATCACAAGGCAAGATCGCCGCGATCGTGCTCGTGGTGGGGTTGTTGTCATAATCTACCAAATTCGCAGATGTCAGTCTCCCCTTCTCTTCAGTTTCTACGTTGAAGCCTAGAAGCTACCTATCAGCTAAGGCTACATGAAAGGAATTCTCGCATAGACTTCTAGGGTCTAACCAAGTACTGAGATCCAGGACTGATTGATCTGCTGGATATCACCTGACTGAGCGACCTTCGTGGAGTCCTCAATACTCCAATGATGTCCGGTCTTCACGAGCTCATTCACAGGCAGCGACCAGGACCATGGCAGAAATTCTGGTCTCAGCCGTTTGTCTATCTTGCACGAACGCTATATGCTTGGCACAAACCTCTCATAGCCATGCCGCTTCGAGAACCGGTCGAAATTGTCTGTATTTCCGATACACATAATGCCCAACCTCTGATTCCCGACGGTGATATCCTCATACATGCTGGGGATCTAACACAGTCTGGCTCTTTTGAGGAGATTCAAACCACACTCAACTGGCTACGCTCCCTGTCTCACCCCGTCAAGATAGTAGTAGCAGGAAACCATGACTTGCTGCTTCATTCCATGCCGGACCGCCCACGTCAATCTGCGTTTCAGAGGGCTCAGCTCGAATGGGGCGATATCATTTACTTGGAGAACAACGAGATAACAGTTTCGTGCCCGGGAACCAGTCGCCAGCTTCGAATTTTTGGAAGTCCCTACTCTCTAAAGCATGGAAATTGGGCCTTCCAATACCCCCGAAACCAGGATGTATGGACCAGCTTGGTTCCCGAAGGAATTGACGTTCTGATTACACATGGCCCACCACTCGCGCACCTGGATTTGCAATGGGGATGCCCTTATCTTTTGCAGACGCTGTGGAGAGTCCGCCCCAAACTACACGTATTTGGCCATATTCATGAAGGCTCAGGAACCGACGCCTTGTCATTCAACAGACTTCAGAAGGCATACGAGCGTACAATCGTTTCTAAAGGAGACTGCAAGTCCCTTTTATTGACGGCATGGGAACTGGCTAAAGCTTGTCTTCGCCCAGCTGTGGAAGCAAAATGCTTACTTGTTAATCCTTCTATTCTTGGCGGCTTACGAGACGACGAGCGGAGACAGCCTATCAAAGTTGTCATTTGAACCGGATCAGCTGATAAGTTCAAACTGGTCAGCTACGTCGAGACTTTGAATCTTGCCGTGGTCGGAGCTATGGCTGTCAATTTCATAACAGCCTTAGAGCACGAGACTTACTGTGTATCTGGCTACAGTACCAGCAATTTGAAGGCCGTTTTAATCTTCATGGTCATTATAGGCCTGCTAATCCATGAAACATGTTCAAGAACGGGCCAATGTTGACGGAGATGCTCAGCAAATGCATCGGCTTTCAAATTGCTCTCTCATCTCGCCTTTGTTCAGCAGCTTCGCCGCGCAAGAACCGGCTGACTTCCCTTTCTGCATCTGTTGAAAGGCCACGGTTCTGTTTCCCAGCAGTTGCTCCAAAGAGGCACTGCCACAAGTCGTCCTTTTTGACTAGTTCGCCGCCTGCTGTTCCACTCGTCATCAGGTTGTTCAGGGTCGCGCCCTCCATCTCCAATGAGTTGGCGGAGTCAATTGCGGTTTCCGTGAGATCATTGATCAAAGACTCATTTCCATGACCCAGATCAACATTCTCCTTTTTCACTTGTTTTTCTTTCTCAAGTATGTGGGCAAGGCGGCGAGTCACCGATAATTCATATATAGATTCTTCAACGGTTCCCGATATGAGGTACATCCAGACAGTCGTAGGGCGATGCTGACCGATTCGGTGCACTCGCGCAATAGCTTGAAGCTCAATGGCAGTGTTGATAAGCGGCTCACACAAGAACACATGGGTTGCATTGACCAAAGTGAGGCCCGAGGATTGTGCCTTGCCATGTAGCAAGAAGCATTCGATCTGAGTTGCCGAATTAACTCCAAGGTCAATCAAGAAAATAATATGACGTTCTTCACTTACCGCTGGGTTTTTCTTGAATTGCTCAATTCCACCAGGGGTATCGACGCTGCTACTAACGATGCCGAACCGCTCAAAGGCTTGTTTGAGGACAGTCAAAAAGTTTCGATATTGCGAGAAGACAATCGCTTTGGACCCAGGATCGTGCTCGCGGAGCCATAACAAATGCCGTGCCAGGGTATCGACTTTCGTGCCGAAAGATCCATCGAGACTGATAGTATCAATCTCTTTCAAGAGTCCAGAACTGATGTCTGTGTAGATCGCGTTTTTGGAATGTTTTCCATGCTCAAATTTGAGTGGTGTCTCCTCCTCCTGTGCAATGATTTCTTGCGGTTTGTACGTAATCTGGTGAAAATCCTTCAGTTTGAGAGGCTTCTTGCAGACAGGGCAGGTTCGGTGTTCGCGCCACCACAGCCGAAGGCAGTCCGAACAGTATTTATGACCACAGACGGTCAACAGGCCTGATCGAGCGTTAATTAGCATGGGGATGCAGGGGCCTGAAAGCAAAGCGTCGCTAAATCGTACCTGTTTCAAAGTTTGACTGACAGATGATGCATATCCGAGCACCATCTTCTTCTCCCGACTCGTCTCGTAGATGGATCAAATATCGCCTTTTGGACTTCAAAGAAGAGATCTTGGAGTATATCTTTTCTTCTTGTTCTAGTTTGGACTCGAACAAATTCTGGTCCAACGGCTTACCCGCGCTTTCCTCATCGTACGGCGCGACTGTGTCGGAAATCTGCTGGAGGTGACGATAATATTCCAATCGATTGTTCATTGTGTCGCGAAACAATTCCACTTCCCTCTCGATCTTAGAGCAAGTCCTCAACTGCTCTGTGAGAATCTGGCCAGCATTCTTTAAGACCAAAGTCACCATCTCAAGTTCGGCACCCGCGCGCGAGCTGCCTCCTGAGGCTTGCCAGTCCAGTGAACCAACAAGACTGCGGAGTTCACTGACTATTCCGCGGAGCGATCCGAGCTCAGGTTTCGGCATCAACTCACTCCGAGTGTTCATAATGGAGAGAAACAATTCCGGGGAAGGACCCTCCCCCTTTTTCGCTTGTGAAATGCCAGCCCTGGTTTCGTGCGAAATGAGGATGTTCTTCTGCCCTGTAAGAGCATCGTGGCGATCGGCATACATGGCGCGGAGAGCTTCCATGTATACATACATTTCGTCCTGGTGCTTCGTCGAACGCTCATACTCATTACCTTCTAACTCGGCATCCTCCTCTTGGTCAATGAGTGACTGGGAGATTAGGCGAGTCATGGCCTCTCGCCAGACTGTGTACTGTTCTGCATGCTGGTTCAAAGCAGCACAAAGGTCTTCGAACTTGTTGAGAAGCCTATAGGACTCGATTCCTCTGCTGTAAAGGTAAGGCTTCATGGTCGGGATGCGGACAAAGTCATCGTTGCGAGCCTTTTCCCGGATTCTTTTCAAGTACTGCTCAACCTTCCGGGAGATGTCCCGTAACATTTCTTTTCGAATCAGCTTCGCTGCCTCGTATGCTTCTTCCTCCTTCTTCTCCAATGCCTTGTATTCCTCAGAATCTGGCGCGGTCAATTCAGGGTCGCTTTTTATTTGGTAGTACGCGTTGGCAGTGAAGAAGACTGCAATGTGTTGCACTTCCAAGGACGCGCGAAGTCTGAGACGACATTTTCCGATTCGACTGTTTTTGTCAACTTCCCCTTCGCTTTCGTCGTCAGTCAGGTCGGCAGATATCCCCGCCGTGGCTATGGTGCCATTTAGTTGGCCAGCTGCCCCTTGGATTTTTACCCTCTCCAGGCGCAGTTGCTCGCGACTCTCGGTTGCAAGCTTTGAAGCATGGTCCAACACGCTCTGCCAGAGGGCTAGAGCTTCTTTCTTGCGCTTCGCGTTCTCCAGTAGCTGACCACGGCGAAGCTGCGTAAGGAGCAATGTGCGTTCTTCAGCTCGAATGGCGCTGTCGTTTGTCTCAATCATAACCTCCAGTACCTCATCAACTGTTCTCAAGGGACCATTCCCTGCGCCCAAAGCTCGTCGATTACTTCCACTCACTTCTGGATGAAGACATGTTTGGCGGAGTCTTGTCAACCAAGCACGCATCCTCTCGATAATGACTGGATCTTCTGGGTTCCAGTCTCCAGTAAGAGGCGCACCGAGAGTATCAAGGCCACATTGGTCGCACATCTCTTCGAAAAGTTGACCATAGTGCTGCTCTTCAATGGGTGTAAAGGGAACCGTTATGACGATCCTTTTTTGAGGCGGTAATCGCAGTTCGTCACGAACTTTGTCTTTACTGTGCCGAAGCGCAATGGAATTTATAATGCTGATCAGAACAGGACCAAAACGCGAGTAGAGTCGCTTCCAAAGGGAGCTCGAATCACAAAATGGCCTGTACTGGAGAAAGAGCAATAGACCAAATAGGTCGTCTATGTTCTTCCGCAAGGGCGTGCCAGTCACAGCCCAGGCATTTCGCCGAGGTATCAGGCGAGCGACTTTTGCCGCATTGCTGACACCGCTCTCAATCATCTGCGCCTCATCCAGGCAGACTCGCCACCAGGCAATTCGGACCAAAGGTGTTTTGCGAGGTTCGAATCGTTTCTCATGACGGAGGCTCCGTCCCGGTGTAGCGCCTGCATAGTGAATTTCTCGCGAGATGACGTTATAAGTTGTGAGGACAATATCAAAATCAGCAATCTCCTCGACCATCAAATCGTCTGACTGCTCCTGGCTACGTTTGATGCCCGTATAGTGGTAGACACGCAATTTTGGGGCATGCTGCTGGATTTCTTCCTTCCACTGCTCCAAAATTGCCGGAGGAGTAATGATTAATGTGGCTCCAGATATTCGTAGACCATTGTGATCTGGTTTCAATGAGTCTTTTGCAGGCCGTCGATTCAAGTCAATAAGCGCAATCATCTCAACTGTCTTTCCGAGGCCCATCTCTTCCGCAAGGATACCCCCATGTATCGAATTTGCAGTATCGCCCCAATCATATAAATCAGTAGTCACTGTCATGAAAAGATGGCTGAAATAATAAATCTTCCCGTATACGTCAGTCATTTTCCTGAATGAGGCTGAGATGCCATTCGGTGACTGAGAAGCTACCGTGCCTATACTTCCGTCCTGCTGGATCTGGAAGCCCTCCCTCCATAGTAGCCATCGAACTGCGCGCCGCTGGAACGGAAACAGGTCGCATTCGAGGTTAGGGGATTTAATGATGGCAGAGGACTCTTCTGTTTTTCGAGGAACGTGCACGTTTTCGTAGAACTCACGCGGTGACCAATCACGTGAAAATCCCAGAAGTTGTTCACGTCGCTGACGCTGTGACTCTGCTTCAAACGTCGCATCTTCCTCATGCAAAGCGTACTTCCAGAAGAACTCCAACGCAGAGTCTGGCAGATGATTGAGATCGGGGATATCGAGCGAGTCTGTCCACAGCCCAAGCACCTCAAGAAGTACACAATTATCTTCCATCAGCAGCTGTACACTAGCTTGGTAGCAAGCTGTCGGAGGACAATTGTAGTACCGATCGGCAGGGACAAGAGAAGTCACTTGTCGAGCATGGCTGATGAATTCGCATTGTTGTGTATAATCGAAAGAGCAAGATAGCAATGGCTCTTGATCTTCGTCGGTCGTACTTAAGTGTACGGTATATTCGAGCTGCTCGCGAGCACATCCATCGATATTGTCGGCGTGATTCAAGCTTGGCGATTGCGCGCTCTGCAACGCGACAAGAACAGGCAATCTTCCCGAGTACGTCACCAAACCGTCGCTATTGAGGGGTTTGGCATAGATCTGCACGAAGGGGCAAAATTTAATGCAATTTCCACGACACGACAGAGTATGGTATTCGCTTACCAGTCGCAATGACAATTTGGCCAGCGGAATATAACCGATAGGCACATCATTTGAATCGCATCCAAATTCGTATCTCACACTGGAAGTACGGCGCGATTTCGCGCCTCTGTGCCGTTTCCTGGGACGTTCGTCTCCATCAGCTGAATCAACTTGCGCGAATGCGGAGATAAGATTCTTGGGAATCTGCCCTAGAAAACGGTTTAAGAGTCAGTACGTTTTCTCTCGCCATCTTCCAGCCATTTGTTCAAGATCTGTACGTACCAGAAATAGAGCATGTCTCTGTGACTACACTCATGCTTTAAACGAGCGTCAATCATCAGATTGGTCTTGTGCCGCCACACTAGTGTCAGATTGCAAACGTCCCAGATAATGCGCCCGGACTTAGGTTCTGGTAAGCTACGAGGCCGCGGAGGTCTCTTATCGATAACGTCACGTGGCAATTTGTATCAAGATCCACATGTTAAGCTCAACACGTGTTGGGAGGTGGCAGACGGGTCCCACTGACCCGCCGAGTGCTATTCAGAAATATGTCTTCAGCCGCAACTTTGTTCACCTGTACTTCTCCAAATCGTCTTGACGTACTCGCAAGAGTCGGGTCTATCGCGCACACCGAGGTCGCTTCGCCATCGGTCACTCGCAGAGACCAAATATGGGATAGTCTCCTCTAATGAAAATGCTCTAGGACCATGCGAGCGCCGTCATTGCAGATTCTGGAGTTGCACAATTGCGGTGCTTGGCATTCCGACTGACATGGTAGTAAGGGCTTTGATATGGAGCTTGAGGTCTGGCATCGGGTCTTACAATGTCAAGCAACACTTGATATCATTGCAAGTCAATGACTGTCTCCGAATCGCTCAGTCCCTTATTATAAAGACGAATTCTAGCTTGGAGGATTTCCTGGTCCTCTTCCCAGCATGCTCCGGATATTTCCTCGGCCCAACCCTTTCTGAATACCTCCGGGGGCAGCAGATCTCACAGATCCAGGCTCTGAATCACTGACCACAGTTCCATTCACAGCTTCCACACGTCGCGAGTAAGCCACTCCAGCTGAAATGCTTGAGAATTCATCACTCGTAGAACCATAGGAAAATGAACCTGAGCCTGTGACTGACTTGTAGTGTGCTGAGCCAGACTGCGAGGTGTGAAGCTCAGATGGACCTGAGACAAAGGTGTAGGTCGATATGCCAGGTCCCCCAGAGGACTTGATATCCAGGCCTCGTGTCATCCAAGCGTCTATTGACAAAGAATTTGGTGTGATGCCATAGGTCGCATTGACTAGGAGAGGATAGTCGAAGCTGGTCGAATTTACCTGATGGCCATGTCCAAGCTTGGTGATTCTGTTCACTCCCGACGTTTTTTGATCGTTGACTTGACTGTAGCCTTGCTGGTTTAGGTAACCAAAGTTGGAAAACGAAAGTCTTTGCGACCACGTATAATCCGGGGATGATACGGTAAGTGTGCGCTCTGCGGTGACAGAGTAAGACAATGTGTCGTTGCCTCCGGTTTTGTTCTGTGCCAAGTGTCGCTTAACAGAGAATATCGGAGCTGGTGTAACAACGTGTGGAACAGACCCGCGACTTTTATCCTTGCTCTGCGAGCGAGCCTGCTGACCATTGAAAAGAAAGATGTTGCCGGTGACAACCCAGTATGAGCCAACGCTTTGAGTCAGGACGGCAGTTCCACCTGCAGTGATGGCCACACCAGCCACTCGAATCTCGAATGAATGCTGCCGGCCGTCCTGTAACATGGGGAGAAATGGTGAAATGTCGATTTCAGACTGTCGCAGATCGAAGGCATCGATACCAACAATGGGACGCCAAAACCCAGGTGCTACCCCCCCAGTGAAGATAATAGGAAAGGGCCAGACAACTCCAGCCAATATACCATCGATGTAAAGCTGAATCTCTCGGAATGGCGAGTATCCATACAGTTCCCCAACCGTACTGTCGAAGTCATGCGTATCTTCTGTGAATACATTGGACCACCAGAATTCCTCTTGAGACTGGCCGCAAGCTGAGATTGCCACGACGGCCTGCTTGACAGTGTTTGGAATACCGTAGGTAACGGTGGTGTTATCTGATGGCACCGTAAAAGCACTGGCTGAGTTTGCTGCAGATCTTCTGGCGGAAATTGGAAGGATAATGTCCGCACTTGGTGCTTTCTCGGTTTTCGAGAAATGTGCGGTCAATCTGACATTGAAAGGACCCGTGTACACATCATTGATGATATTACCCAAGTCGAAAAGAAGTTTCTGTGGTGCCTGCCAGAGCGCATTGTACTGAGACATCTCTTTAATGTATGTCCATGCAATCCCAGTGGAAGTCGGCTCAGCTGTGGAGGTGCGAAACACCTCTGCATCGCCAAGGTACATCAGCGCCAGTCGATCATATTGACGGCCACTTGAGGTCACAGTCATGTTGATCCGAACGGTGTCGAAGCTGCAGCTCGGTGGTACGTAGTCCCCTGTTGATTTGTAGTCAGACTCAACCCTTAAAGACACAATTGGGAATTCACGGTGATTAGGTCATGTCCTACCGACGAAGGGCTGACCATAGCTCTCGGCGAAGACATGGTACATCAGCAGGACGTTTAGGTCACAGTTGTTGACACTTCCTGGCTGGTAATTCACGGGTTGATAGACTTGGAAAACATCGAGTATACCGCCAGGTGATGCTGATCCATCGACCAGTCTCGGTTGCCCCAGAATGGCAAGTGCGACTAGAATTGGCACAAACATGATAGTAACGACTGTTTCGTCAAGCGCTCAACCACCTGGAAGAACAGCACAGGCGCTCGTGTGGTCGATTCTACTCGAGTAGATAATGATCAGGGCCAGAGACGCCCCGTGGAGTGCTAGCACGCTTTTTGAGACGGAAGTATAAGGATGATCGGCTTGACTGAACCCAGTTCCACTGACCTACAACACAGGGCAGGTAAAGCTATACAGCTGCACAGACATTTGCTGACGAGAAGCCATTCTTATGGTCGTAGTCAAGTACGCTGGGACCTCACAGAGTCATGTGTGATTGGGACAGCGCCTTCATAGCTTTGATTACTTCGCTGCTAACGGGTGTTTATTCAAGCGCTAAGCATGAAAACTGTAACCCTGAGTGTCGATCAGCCAGTAGGTATATCAGGTACACACCACCCACTTGCACCCCCTCAGATAAGCATTCTGAAATAGCCCGGCTGGACCAAGAACACCGCGCAGGTGTTGTATGAGCACCTCTTATAGTCACCTCCTTTTTGAGGCTATTGACTGAAATATCCTCCAGAGAATTGGGGGCGAATTCAGTCCCGATTGCTTATTGGTATACATGGCAGTGACCATGTCGTTGAGAAACTCCCAAGGATGGCAAAACCGTGATTGCTCTGCTGGAGAGAGGTTTGCCGAGAGCCGACTGTCACAATCACGCAGACACGCACCGCATCAGCTCGACTCGACTAGCGTTGAATGAGGTAGTCACCGACGGCCTCCGGGATTTACACCACCAATGGCTTGTATCGTATTTGTCCGCTATCAGCAGTCGCACAATGGCAACGAATAATGAGCCTTGACAACGTTGTTCTGCAGAAACATGAAACTTCTGAAACTTCTGCAAGGTGATATTACTTCCAAGACTATCGTGGCTGAGACGGTCTAGATTGAAGTCGCTCCTCATTGCCTTATAAACCTCTGTTTGTTGGTCTATCATCAGGCCTTTGTTCCGAGGTAGACTCGAAACACTCTAGTCCACGGTCCACTTTCTACCGGGCTGATCGGCAGAGTATTCCCCATCCTGTCGATATATTTTGAGCCATACATAATAATGGCCAACGTAAGCTGTATTTGATATAAGTATTGTGCCCTCCCACTGTAATCATGTTTGAATGACGAGCAGCTTCGTGTAGAGATTCAAACATTCATGGGGCAGGCTAGAACAGTGAATGATAGATTTATACAGATCAGTAAAGACTCGTCTTGAGAAGAACCCCCAGCGAGCAAGTAGAGATTAATGATACAAAAGACACTCCCAGCCCGGCTATGCACACTTTACAAAGGTCACGACAACACAAATCACATGAAAAGACGCCAAGCACCAAGAATCAAAGCAGCGGTACCAGTGCATACACCCCTAGAAGCAGAAGAAAAGTTAGCAACAATCCCAGGAAGACTTGATCGGGTTCGAAATGCATACATCAGCCACTGCAGCGTTGAAAACTTGACAGCTTCGACACGCTCCCGCAAGCCAGCAACTTCTTGCTCAATACGTGTCTCGGTCTCCTTGATTCGCATCTCCTGGCCATTGGCCTCTTCACGGATTCTGCCTTTCTCGAGGTTCAGATCTAGTCGCACAGATGCCTGCGTGCGACCGATTTCGTCACGCATGCGAGAATTAAGCTTTGCAATATCCGCCGCGATCTTTTCGTGCGATGAACGCGTGAGCTGTGCTTCGGTGGAGTCGGCGTTCAAAAGTTCAGAGCGCAATTTAGCGAAGTCGACTTTTTGTGTGTAGATCGATCGTTCCGAATCTGTAAAACCGAAGCTTGATCAGAAATGCGCGTTCCGCGACCACATCGAACTCTGGCTGAAGTTGTATGTCACTCACCCTCGCGAAGTACCATTGTCCGTGTCAAATTCTGAATCGACTCTTGGATGATATCGTTGAGGACGCGCATCATGGCCACGGCCTGCTCTTCGCTGAACCCCTCGGCTTGAAGTCGCTTCACGAAGCGGAGGGTGTCGAAATGATGCTCTCGGGGCCGAGAAGGGGTTGCGTGAAATGCGCGCTGGGCAGGCTTAAAGGCTGCGACATAAACTCCATTGTGTCTGACTGGACTAGTGACGGTTTGCTGTGGTGTCAGGGTTGTTTGAGCAGGGACCGAAGGTTGACGGAGACCGGCAGAGCCACGTCGTGAATTTTGTACGGCCGTTGAAAAGGCTCGGTATTGAGCTTCGATCTCGTTTCTGTGCGTCTGGCATGAGAAGGACGAGCGGGCTTGAGCATAGTGGTCGTATGATGGCCGTTTCGCGATCGCGGCACAATGTGAGGGTGTGACAGCTGGGCGAGACGAGGAGCTATTCCAAGTCAGGCGGGGGAGTATGCTCCGTGGAATTTCCACGAGAGTCTTCTGAGGCGCCATGACTGGCTTCGTGACTGCGATCGTCGGTGCTGTGGTGCTGTTTGTGTACTTTCCCCTGTGCGATTGTTTGAGATTCACCCTCAAAGTTGATTGCAGCTGGTGACGCACGCAAAGCCCGACCACCGCCGATGACTAAAGGTGGACCGGGAAACTTTCCATACAACGTTGGAAGATTAGACAGGCCCTGGCCGTTTCCCCGAGGCGCCCCGCAAATTTCCGGGAAACCTCGTCCCTCATCAATTCTAGTGCACTCAACCACACCGCCACAACGCCACACTGCCACACTGCCACATATCCACCGTGGACGTTATCGTCAATTTGTCACTATGTATGTAAATCAGAGAGACATGGGTACATCATTAAAGAGGGATCATCTTCCGGGCGAAATCACGGCTATTCCATGTGGGTAGAGGGGATTCAATTAGTCTCAAGATCTTGTTATTTATAGGGGCCTCGATTGGTCCATTATTTTTCGCTCTCAATATGCAGACGCTGTATCGCAACACTATAAAACTCCCTCGACAACTCTTCGTCTGAGGTGGTTATGATCTAAAGATCGAAGATCTCCTTCAATTGCTTCATGGTGTCTTCCGGTCCCTCGACGGCATGGCCAATAGTGCGGGAATCCATGTAAATCTCGTAATCGTTACCACCGGGGAAGCACTTGTCACCAAAGAAGTGGATGGTCTTATACTCGACACCAGTGATGTCCTTCTCAGCCTCAACGTGCTGCAAACAGTAGGTCTTGTCCCAGCCGGTAGGGAAGACATCGAAAGAGATCTGGCCTCCAATGGAGTAGCTAATCACCGCGAGGGTCTTGTTAGATGGACGCATGAAATAGAAGCTTCTACTAGGTTGGAGTCACTCACCTGAGACCATAGTCGGGGAATTCCTTCTTCAACGCCTCAACCATATCCCGGCGAATGTTGTGAATCTTGTCGAATCTGAAGTTGTCTCGTCAACTTGCGTTCAATCATATCTGATGCGCCCCTCGCCTCATGGAAAGAGGTGTCGGGAGACTTACGCCTCGAATTCGTTGCGCTCTTCCACGCTGGCGTTACGTCCAACGGGGCTCACGTTGATCATGCCATTGCGAAACTCGACAAAGGTACCACGCTTGCGGGGCAACTTGACGTTGGAAATGTAGCGAAGACAGAAGTCCGCAAGCGCCTGGTACTTGTCCTCACCAAGCCACTGGATGAAGCTGTTGCTCTGGAGGGGCTTGCCGAGACGCCATGCGACTAGACCATTCTCGGAGAAGCAAAAGTCAAACAGACTGGTAACTTCAGTTGTGGCATTACCCAGCTGCTCTTGTTGTTTCACGTAGTTGGAGCCGCCAACCTAAATCATGCACTCAAGTCAGGACTTGGACACAGAACAGAAATATCGCGGGGCTAGGGACGAACGTAGCCGATGGCGCACTTGTGTCGCAGTCGTGAGAGCAATTCGTGCATCTCAGGGGTGGCAGACTAGATTTAAAAATGGTCAGACCAGCTCATGCTCCGTTTCAGGGGGCACTGCCGTCGCAACTTACACGCCGAGCCTTGCTCAAGGTCTCGTCGACATCGAAGAGGACAATTGTGTCTTTGAGAGGGCGATCCTCCAGGGTGGGGTAGACAGCAGTAGCGGTAGTCATGGTGAAATAATGGACAAGCGATTCAATTGACAAGACGAAAGATGTGATCAGAGATTCGCTCGGCAAGAACAAATATACATAAGTGCAAGGTAGCCCTCGAAATGGAGGGGTGTTCTTTTCAACCGCAAGCGGTGAGTACATAAGGGGGTGGGGAGAACGGACACAGCACGAAGTTTATCTACATTCTGAAGTACCTTGTTGAACCCTCAAGAGCACGGCCTTCTGACAATTCCAGACACTGATCAAAATACATTATGGTTCAGTGATTTCATGAGACTCCTCGAGTGCATTTTTCATTAATCTGATGCCTATCATAGTCTGGAAGCTTGTCAAGTCATCACAAAAAGCCAGATGCATCTGGAGGCAGAGCTTCTGGTGCCAAAAATAAGCACCGTTATCGATAAGCAAGTGGAAACGTGCCTGGTCCCAGCGGGGGCACTCTGATCACATGTTTCATGGTTAAGAGACTACTATGACCAGTCATTTGTACACGACATTCAATATTCCCTCGCTCGGGGCCTTGCATTGAGTCCTTCTAAGATATAGATCTTTATACTAACAGACTAAATACTTAAATCATACAGAAAAGTGATTGTCTTGCTTCTGCGCCCGTGTCCCTCGAACATGACTAGCATTATTGAACTGAAGAGATCTGTCCCAACCTTTCTTCCCCCGTCAAGCCCGTCTACCTTCCCATGGTAGTCTGGAAGACCTTGGCTGCGAGCTCACTCAACAGGCGCGCTCGATCCGGCTGCGGTAAGTCCAAGAAGACCTCATAGACGCTCTTTCCCTTCGCATCACGGACTGCACCGAGTCGATTTCCAGCCACCGCTCCAGCCAAGGCCCCGGGAACATTACCAACAATGAAGCCCAGTGCTCCTCCGCTAACTCCACCAACGATCGCCCAGAACCGCCCAGTGGGTTGAGTCCGTCGGTTACCGTTGTCGCCCGTTTCTTCGGCCAGGCCCTCCTCGCGCAACATCTCCTCGAAAACAGACCCAAATTGATCATCGTCTCGCTCCTCGCGGCTGCCGAAGCCGAAGGCAGACCAAGGGAAGCCACGACCGCCTGTGGGGATCTCTTCATCTGCTTCATCCTCGGCTTGTTCAAAGGCGCGGGTTTGATCGTATTCTCGGCGGCGAGTGGGATCCGATAGAGTGTAGTAGGCGTCGTTGATCTCTTGGAACTTCTTGGTCCGCGCAGGCCGCTCGGGGGAGTCGGCAGGTACACGGTCGGGATGCGATTTTAGCGATTCCCTGGGAACCACTCGGTCAGTAATCCATGACGCTTGGACCGGGAACTCTGCTGCTTCACTGAAGTGTCATTCAGCATGTGTTGATCGCACCTCTTGTATGCGCTGCGAATCTGCGGCTGTGTCGCATCGCTAGATACGCCCAGGATTTTATCTACGAACACAGTTAGTGGGGAGTGCGCCTAGTGTTCGGTGGTGAGATAAGTACTAACAATAGTCTGGAGTTTCTGCATCATGGAACGGGTTAATTTTAAGTGACCAAGCCTTTTTGAATAATAAACTCACTGGTCATCTTGGCGGTTCTGAAGTGACTTAAGTGCCGATCAAAAGTGAAATGTACTATCAGCCTTGAAACTTGGGAAGCGATTATGAACGGCTCGAGTATAAGAACCACGGCTTGACGCCAGTGACGTCGTTCAGCCAGTCTACAATGCCTCAGGCAACAAGATTTCCAGCATCATGATCCTACAAATCGAGGTACTGCTATTTTCAGGTGTCGAGGCTTGCAAATCTTCGGTTCGGGAGTCCGGGCTAGCGGGGTCACAGGCTCACAGCTCATGGGGTGGTACTCATACAAAATAGTACAACATCCGACCTGACACGCGTCCCCACACATGAGTATTGCGAGCTGGAATCGAACCGCGCTGGGCACTGGTGCATATCTGGTACACTGCAGACAGAATAGTGCGACAAGTGACTCGGCTACCTGCTATCTCCGGAAAGTTGAGCCGTGTACTCGGGATTGAATCAGTACTAAGTTTGAGTAGATTCGTACATTGTATGTAGCCAGGTACATGAGCTCTGGGTCAGCCCATTCGCCATTCGCTCTCCAGCCACCAGCTTCGTTTCGCCAGGGGCAAAGTTCTCAATTGACCCCTCTCGAAGCTCGATCTGTTCCACATCCCTTCCCCTTGGATCTAGAGGTGTACCACATCTGTTTATATATCGCTATTGGCAATCGCGAACTAATACGAAAGTGCCAGCACACAGAATCCGTCTCTTGCACATGCACGACAAACCCACCCTAGTGGAGTCATTGAAGTACAGCGCGGCCTAGACCAGACAAAGTACCGCATCGCCGCAGCATCTAGCGGCTTTGACCTGCGCTGTCTGCTTTCGCCTGCGTCCAACCCTTGCCACACACTGCTCGGCTTCCTGCAGCATATGCGAGTCTGAGGGGACAGAGCAGAAAACAAAATCTTCTTCTTCATCGTTTGCAGATTCTGCACCTGCAAAGCATTGTGCCATCCTTGAAAGTCAATTTACACGACCGCGAGAGTCCGAAGAGCTCTTTGGCTTTCCGCAATCAATATCGATCGCAACAATCTCCTCATTTAAAATTGTGGTGATCGGAAACGCCGCGAAAGGCCCCATTCAGGAGCTCCACTTGCGAAGGTCCTTGGAACAAATCGATATCTTTACTCGATCGCACACGCCCAGACAGTAGATACTCGGCGCGGGTTACTTCAAAATCATTCACACTCATTCTTTTCGTCCAACCCAACCGCAAACATGGGCTGGTTTGAAGCGCCTTCTTCGAACAGCAAGTCCTCATCCTCAGGAGGAGGGTACTATGTCCGCCGCCGCGGCTCTCCCACGCGCAGCCACAAGGGCCACTCATCGTCCTCCAGCCACAAAGGCTTCTCAACTTACCATGCACGCCATTCTGCGCCGTCGATCTTCGGCTTCGGCCGGTCGACCACTGGCCGATCCACGAGCCCTTCTGTGTTCTCATCCTACTCATCTTCATCTCGACGTGCCCGGCCACGCGAAGGATTCGTCCAGCGCATGATTTACTCTGCAAAGAAGCTGCTGCGGGATATCTGGCGCTATATGCGCCAACACCCTGTCAAGGTGTTTTTCATGGTGATTGTCCCACTGCTGACCAGTGGAGTCTTGCCAAAGCTCTTGGCGATGGTGGGATTGAGACTCCCTCACGGGGTCGCAAGTGCGTTAGGTGCTTCTTCTGCAGGACACGGCTACGGGGGCATGAGTGGGGGTGCTGGAGGTGGTCTGTCGGAGGGTATGAATGGGCTGCTGAGTTTGGCGAAGATGTTCGCTTAAGCGACACACTGGAGGTAACAGCGACCCTGAGCATCGAGTGACATTGGGAACAATATCCCAGCACTCATTTTCTCTTATTTCCGAACAAAAAAAGCGGGCGTCAATGGCTGCGAGTTTTTCACTCGGAGGACCCGAATCCAGTGTCGGATCTTAAGAGCGATATTTTCCTTGGTGTTGGTCTAGTCCCATCTGTCCCCTGTTTTCCACTTATTATGACCCCTGATGAATAGCCTGTTCTCAGTCAAGGGATCCCGACTTGACGAACCTTTGCCTTGAAGCCCTCTCTCAATGTTGCGCTCAACGATTCATGATACTCATACTCACCGCGTTGCTTTTGTCTCTGTGTTGACACTTTACTCCTGGGTGGCCTTTTGCAAAGTGCAGACAATAAACAATAGACTTCCAAATCCCTCTCGAGATCAGGCCCAAAGTAATGGTGGACAAGTAAATTCGAATCGAAGACCATAATGAGACGTGACTAACATTGGTGTCTCTTCACTCTGTAGGCTGTACTTTTTACAAAGTACAAACCCACTGGCCAGTGGCCACCATCAACTGGAATCCACGGGGTATGCAATGGGCGTCAAGGAAAAGTAAGAGCCCGGCAGTTGGCCGAAAGTCCTCTATTTAAGACTGTGTGATACCCTCTGCCAGTGAAGTGGACCATGTTGGTGCCCAAAGTGGGTATTGATTGTGCTCTGGCAGATTCGTGGTCGACTATCACTGGATAATGATATATGCCCGCGGATCATGTATATGACAGGCATGGGAGTATAGTTAGGACTTTGCGTAGCGTTTATGGCATTCCAATCAAGGCGATGGAATTCCAGTCGAATTTCCTTGCGAGGATTCGCGTGTCCGAGGCGAGTTCTGCGAGAGAGCTTGCTGATGCAACACCACATCGGCCTCATCAATGTCGCTCAAATAGTTTCAAGTGTGAACGGACACGGAAAGAAAAGAGAAAAAAGTCTATTCTAGATTATTCTCTGCGCTTTTGCAGCATTTATCATAGCATAAGGAGTTGTACAGATTCACCACCATCTCATGTTTTTTGTGTGACCGTCACTGACCCCCAGTTCTCAAACACGAGGCACAATTTATGACCGCTGATTGCGCTTACCGCGACGACGTGCAGATGACTTGGTCTTCGCAGTGGTCTCGGCAGTATCCTCGACAATTGCCTCGGCAGCAGACACTTCCTCCTCTTCCTCGAGAGTCTCTGTAGAGCCAAACAGGCGACCAACGACCTTGTTGTAGGCCCAAACGGGCAGCTTGCACACGATGGTGTCCCGCACAGAGGGACGTTGAATCTCCTCGATATCCAGCAGGAATTCTTGCTTCTCACCTTCCTCATTCTGTTCCTCGAGGAAGACATTACCAATTGAGTCCACGATCAGAACCTTGCCATTCTCGGCAACCACGCGCTTGCGCTCGCCGACGGACGTGGGCTGCTCGGTCGGGGTCGAGGTACCAGAGGCCGGGGCGGAGCTAGTAACGCCACGTCCGTTCGCCCGGCCAGTCTTCTTCTCCTTGCGATTCTCCTTGTCCATCATGCGCTTCTGGCGGCGGTTCATGGCCATGGCGCCTCCCTCGGGGGTCTCAGGAGCCGGGGCAGGAGCCGGAGCGGGGGCAGAGACCACCCCGGGAATTCCGCGCACACCCAACTCGTCACCCCAAGCAGCACGGCGTGCGTGACGAATATACCGGTCGACAAACTCACGCTGACGCTTCCAGCCCAAGTATAAGGCACCATAGTGGGCCGCGCCACCAAAGACCAGGAAGAGTCCCAGCAGGACCGATCCCAGACCGGGGCGGAAGCGATCGTAGTAGTAGCCGGTACCCTTCCAAAGCGGAAAACCATTCTTCAGGAAGTGATCGTAACGCTCACGACCGGGTCCCTTGAGCACATTGGCGACGAGGTTCAGTCGTGCCGAGCGAGCATTGGCCGCCTTGACAGCAGCGTCCACCTCCCGCTTCGAGGGGCCTTTGTTCACGTTGACACCGTTGGCGGACTTGGCCTTGGACTTGTCCTTGGAGTAGTTGGCAATGAAGGTGCGGCGAACCTTGTCAGGGTGCAGGTTTCGCGACTTTTGGCGATGGGCCTTGATGATTTGATCTTGATTGGCATTGGGACGAATCTCGAGGAAGTCTGGTCATGGTCACCAACAAGGCAATTGCGTCAGTCTGTTGTGCTTCTCCCCAGGACTCGACACACACAATTCTGAAAGAAGAAGTACACGGAGCGCATCGTGCGAAACGACAGACGTTGCTCCAGCTCAGGGGGAATTTAGGAGAGGGAGGGACCGGGGTAGTCTCGTACCATAAAAGGTCACGTTGGCACCTTCAGCAGTGACCAGCTCATCGCGGAGTCGGAAGATTTCATAATCTGCAGAGAAAGGAAGAGTCAATGGTCTGCTTCGGCAAGCATCAGACTGGAGCGCAATTTCCCATGAATGCGACAGCAGTACTCGAGCCACGGGGGTAATCAGCTGAAGTGGACACCTTACCTTCTTTCGACCAAGCCGCCGCGAGACCAACAAAGACCAGCAGGAACAAGGAGAAGAGGGCAGTCTTCATGATTGCCAATGAGAGCGGTCAATCCCGCAAAGACACAAAGGCGATGCAAAGAAGAAAAGACAAGAGGAAAGATAGTGTCCAAGGAAGGTGGGCAAGGGTTATGTGCTGGTGGGGCTCATTGGAAAAAAGATCGAAGCTCTCCGTGAAGTGGACAACTGGGCTTTAGTTTTTCTCGGGATGGAGATACTCAAAATTGTGGGGGAGATTTTCCCAGTCTGAAACAGTCGCGCATCACACCCGAAACCCATTTCCCTCGGCCTTGAGGATAACTGTGTGAGTACTCAGTATTCACTATTCAGTACTTTGACTAATTTCTACGTACTTAGTCCTTTACTACTTACGACCCACTTAGTACTTACTGTTATCTGGAGTGGGGGAGTGTATCACTGCGAACTATTCACGTGCTCTAGAGTTCAGGCTTTAGAGGCGTTCATCATTGTAAACTCGGATCATCTTGTAGGGATGACTGAAGTGTCAGCGATATCACACCAAGGGCCCGGGACCTGTGGAAAGGCCACGCAGGTACACAAGTCGAGTGCAAAAGCTCGCAAGGAGTACTCTTCAGTCTTAAGGAGTTCGTACTCCGTACCCACGATTGCGGAGAATGGACAAACGCGATCGGGACCAAGTCGAATGCGTCTCTACCACTAAATGTAGCGCTGAAAAAGGTCCACTGCAGTGCTGAATAGACTCCATAGACCGGACGGTCCATACACGGTCCCTCGACGTGGTCCAATGGATCTTGAACCCTTATGCAGTGAGTGCAGGCTGCAGTGGCAACCGAAGTGATGACTCTCATGTATGTGACCGCCATTTCGACGTATCAAGAAGACTCTTCAACATGACGGTCAACCTCGAAAGTCTTTCGGTACCTGATAGGCATTGATGGACCGCAGTTACAGTATGATCATATGATGAGTATATAGCCTCTGTGACGCCCGTTTCGAAGAAGTCTCACCCTCCCATCTCAGACCTTCACCTCGATTGATGGCCCTGATAGCCATTGACGGGTGGACAGTCCATACTTCCTAGTTCCTCCCACTCGCAGATCAAGGGCGCAGTCCCATATACGCCTGGTATTACCGACCGCTGGCACTTTCCTCCTTTTTGGTTCATCGCATGTGGTGATTCAAAACGCCAAAAGCCCAGCTCGCCTCCAGACCTGTTTCCAGGCGGACACCACCACACATCTTCGAACGGCTCTATTGAAGGTGTGGCTGAGTCGTCTGAATAAGCGGCTCAGGTACAGAGCTGGCATTCAGTCATTCATTCGTGCTGTTTCCGAATATAGCAAATCCCAGATCCACTTCAGGCCCACGGAGTCGACCACCGTCCGACCGAACGACAGGTCAACAAACCTGGCCGCAATATTGAAATAGGGCTGCCTCTCTGCGCACCGCAGCAGGTGATCAGAGGGGGAAGAGAAAACACGACTCTCGCGGATTGGGAATACTACCGCATGAAGAATCACTGCGGGCCTGAGCTGCTAGGGTGGGTCATCTCAAGGTTGAAGTCCTCCGCCGACTTGGTATGAGGAGGAGTGGAAAAGTGACTGCCTGTGAACTTCCGCCCTGGCCCAAGTGCCCCGAAGCGGCCCGCCACACGCCTGCGCTTTGCCCCCTTTCAGCAGACTGAGAACTCTTCACCCGTTGTGGCTTCGTGTTATCGTGTCTGCCCCGTCCTTGCATTAAATCCCCATCTTCAAACCTTGTCAATTGCTCAACTCTCCCTCTCCCTCTTCCTCTCCCTCTTGACCCGCGTCAGTCTCTTTTGAGCTTCTTTTGTTTTCCTTCTCTGTGCCCTCCTTCTTTGCACGTTCATCCATTCAGTCCTTCTTGTACCTTTGACTCCGTCCCTCCTGTCACAATGGCGATCCAAATTCCTATCGAGGTCATCACCTCGCGATTCGGCGACCGTTTCAACAGCCTTCGCAGCCAGTCCATGGGCTCCCGCTTCGCCAATCTGCGTCCCATCTCTGAATTCTTCGATCTCAAGCGTTTGTCCAAGCCAGCCAATATTGGGGAAGTGCAGAGCCGTGTCAACTACAACCTGGGCTATTTCTCCAGCAATTATGCCGTGGTCTTTGTGATGCTGAGCATCTACAGTCTGTTGACCAACTGGCCGCTGATGTTTCTGATCATGCTGGTTGCTGTTGGTCTCTGGGGAATCGGCAGGCTCAACGGTCGTGATCTGGACCTTGGCTTCCGTCGCTTCAACACCTCTCAGCTGTACACGATCATGGTCTGCATCGCGGTCCCCTTGTTCTTCTGGGCCTCCCCGATCGGCACCTTCATGTGGCTGATTGGTGCGACCGGTGTCACCGTCTTTGGCCACGCCGCCATGATGGACAAACCAATCGAGAATGCTTTTTCCGAGGAGGCGGTCTAGGTGGTCGGCCGCGAGCTCCTTATGATATGCCCCGATGGGGAAGACCACCTGGGGCACGAATGGGGAGACCAAACCGGGGAGGGCGCGCTCCGTGGGACGAGTCCAGGCGCGTCGAGGAGATTGAGAGTGAGGAAGAGGAACAGCAGGAGGAGAGTGCATATGGGCGGCAGCTGGTGCGCAAGGCTCGCGTCGGATATGAACGGCAGTTGCAGTATGACAGGCGCGGGCGATACGACTATGAGGACCCATTCGACGAGACTGAATCGATAGAGGGAGGGGAATATGATTTGTACGACCATGAAGACAGCACGGTGGCCTACGCGGTGCAGTTGGCGATGCGGGACAAGGAAGATCATTTGGTGGATCAAGCGTTGGAGCGTATCCGTCGGGCACAATTGTTAGGCAGGAAGAACGTTCGGCTTTCCCAGCGTGAATTGGATGCTCTAGAGCGAAGACGACAACAAACGGACGAGGGCAGGTCGAGCGGCGCACGACGCTCCAGGCAGAATGGTGCGGGGACGGCCTCGCGGCCAGTCTCTCGCCGCAAAGACGCTGCGGTCCCGGAGCAACAACTGCCTCCATACCCTTCATTCGACCCCGAACCTCAGTGGAATCCCACGATACACGGTCGGTCCGGCAACTCGTCCGCTGCGCGTCCGCGAACCCCAACCACACAATCCTTACGGCCCCAACAGTCTGCGTCCCCTATCCGGCCAAGGTCTTCTTCCCATTATATGAATCTCGATCCGAGCGGTCATCCCCAGCCATTACAACAGCCACCGTATCCACGACCGCTACCAGACGACCCCCAGTGGGCCCCGTCATCATACTACAACCCCATGCAGATGGTTCACTATGGTTCTGGCCAGTTCCCGATTGATCGATCGATGCCGCCTGACACGGGCGTAAGCTCTCAATACCGTGGAGATTATTCCGCCGGTATGCCGATGCCTTATGGCCCATCTCGGCCGTCAATGATGGAGCATCGTCAGTCCCTGGACCCGTCCTCGACGCGAGCGCCTCGTCCAGGTCGAGCGGAGTCTCCCGCACGAAGCGCCAGCGACGAGGAGAGAACGCGGGTGGAAATCAGTGACGATGATGAGGATGAGGATGATGATGTGCAGATTGTGAAGGTGGTCGAGCGAACCACTCCTACGGGCTTCCAGCGCAAACGGGTGCCCGGCACGCAACGAAGCAGTCGAGCTAGTCGGACGCGGAAAAATCGTTAATCATGGTCATGACCGGCGTGTGGCTACATATACATTCTCTTCTTCTCTTTCTCTCCAAAAGCTTCCTATTTGCCTCTTATCTTTTAGGCTTCGTTCTAATTAATGGTGGTGTTGTATGCGTACCTGATCATTTTCTTTCCATTGTTGCTCCTGTTGTGCGCGAGTCCTATCAATCTCCTCGTAGACTTGACCACTTGCTTCGGACGAGAAGTGCTCTCTCATTTCGGTGGTGGGTAAGAGTTGGATTTATTGGGTGTGAATGGAGATCGTGGTACATATGCGGCAGGCGACATGCAAAATCTCCATTCCCAGCCCTCACTTTTCCGTTTGATCCAGATCCCTACTATAGAATCTGGATGCGTCTTCAATCTTGGCAACTACACATCATTAACCCACCACGAGGCCCCGACGATTTTGAAGTGGAGTGTGGCCATTCGGCCATCAGCCACATGGCGGAGTATTGATCGGTACTATGCATGTTGATGACTACCGCCATGTCGGGGGGAGGCTGCCGTTTTACTATGGTATATACTATGATACTAAATATAACTACTACCTACGTAGTACATAAGTTACTGAATATACAACCCTACTTGGTATCTTCCTCAATATTGAGACCACAAAGTCTTCACATCCAGCGTTGGTCTCGTCCTACTGTGGTCAGTCGGGGTATCGTACCCTCTGCGCTTACGCTTCTGCATTAGGATAGTCTTTCAGGTCTCCAGCAGGCAGCAGTATCAAGTCCGCTTCATTCCAACTTTTATGCACATGGTTCCTTACTAGTAAGTCACAGCCACTAGTTCGTGATCGGAGTAGTGCTACTGTAATAGCGGAATGCTTAATCGCCCAAGGCCCATCTTTCAAGGCTCGGAAACCTGCACTGGCACCCCTTTTCATTCGTACATGTATTGGATCTATCGCATCACTGCATGATCTCGAGAAGAATCGAGACTTGGCTCCCATGGTCAACGTCATATCCAAGCCCCAGTGGGTCTCGATCTCACTCGACATTACAACGGAGGACTTACGCAGCGCTCGTCACGACTTGCTAAAGTCTGTTGCGGCAATCGATCAATGGATCATCCTCAGGTCGATGCGGCGCAATCGTGTCTCCATTTTTGGTTCGGCTCGATGACGTCGGCCGACGATCCCTACGTCTTTTGTTCCCTTTCTATTTGCATGGCTCACCCCCAGCCCTTATACATCCTCCCATCTACTCTTTCCCCTACTTGACACTGATCTTTAAAAGGTGTAGCTCTGGTTGAGAGTGTACACGCGATCATTTTGGAAGCCCAGTCTGACGCTTTCCCATCGCCTTTGTCAGCTTACCTTCTCACCCGGTCTTGACCCTCTGTGCACTGCTCTCGATTGATAATCACTTCCCGAGGACAGAGTCTCCCAGAGAACCCGGCGTCCCGAACTACCCGCAAACGCCAACGTGAGAGCGGGCTTGGGCTTGCGCCTCTTCCGTGTGAAAGTGGAATTCCCGTAGTAGCCCTTCCTTGGTTGCTGAAAACGCCACCACGCGAGATCGAATTCGAAGCGTTCATTGACGCTCTGCATCGACGCGCGGAATTATTGATATACGCCGCCAGTCTCTACGTCGAGGTTGCACGGTCGACCATTTGACGACTGAGAGACTTTTGCTCCAGCCTGAACGCAACACGGCTTGGTCTCGATCAATCACTATCACGGGTGAGTTTGCGCGATGTCACGAATGATGAAATGCGGCTTTCGCGATCTAGCGAACGTGGCTTGCGGCTCATCAACCAGGTCCCTGGTCTGGGTTGAAGGAATTCACAGTTGCTGACCAATTCAAATCGTGCAGCCTCAGAACAGTATTCAGTATCTACTTTCTGGCAGATACTTATTCCAACACACTCCATCATTTGCTCATTTGCAGTCTTGTGCGAAATTTCATCCCCTTCTACATCACGCCTGAGAGTTGAAGTGACACGATGTGGATTATCTCATTCTGGGTGTTTCCTCTCATTTCAGCTGGCATGTGGGTTGGTAAGTACTGCTCTGTCTCCTCTCCTGTCATTTGTGAAGAGACAAACCGTATTAACAATAATCCAGCCATGCTGATCGCGATGCTCGGGACTTGGGTGCACGATGGGAAACCAGTCTACCCGAGTATGGACCAAGGTCAGACCATTGCGTAAGTCAAGCTCACTTTTTACCTTTCATCTATCAGGCGACCTGCCTCTTTGTCAACTCCCGTGCGATCCAATACAGCATACTCAACTTTCTTCATAGATACATCTCCGATGTGGGCGCATTTGGTCTCAAACCTCTCTTCATCACCGGCAGCGTCATCACTGTCGTCTTTCTGGATCTCGCATTCCTATCCGAGCGATGGCTGCGTCACGCGGGTCAATTGGTCCCAAACAAGGGCCTCTTTGATAAGCTCTGTGCTATTGGATCCATCATCTTCTCGATCGCCGGTGCCGCGGGCTTGATCTTGCTTTCGATCTTTGATACCTATCGCCATCCACATCTGCACGATGGATTCCTGATCCTGTTCCTGTGAGTGATTGGCTCCCTCTTCAACTCCTCCCTCCAAGTTCCGCGCAAACGTCGCGCACTAGACGTGCATCGTGCACAGCATCCCAACTGACACAATCTTCTTCCTTACTCTCCTAGTGGCGGATACATCGTCAGCGCAATTCTCATCTGCGCCGAATACCTCCGTCTCGGACTCTCCTACCGCCGCCAGCACCGCATTCTCCTCGCCAGTTTCGTCGTGAAAGTGACCTTTGCCATTATCGAAATCGGTCTGGCCATCGCCTTTGGTATCTGCACTAAGAGCCAGTCCTCCAGCAAGAAGAACACCGGTGCCATCCTCGAGTGGACCATTGCCTTTATCTTCACGGGCTATGTCCTCTCCTTTATAATTGATCTGTTGCCATCTGTTCGTACTCGCAAGCATGTGCCTCAAGGCGAGAAGCAAGCGAGTATGATGAGTACTCCGCACGACAGCATGGATATTCCTCACCACCATGCCTCCCTCGAGGAGCCCTTGACGACGGACTCGACTGGACCGAATTATTATCGCGGTCAGCGAGTTCAAGTCTAAGAGAGAAAAGAAAAACAATCATCATGCATGGCAAAGCGGTTCATCATGCGGAACGGAGAGATAAGTCGGTGAACCGAGCGGAAGAGCGTGAGAGGTCAAGAAATCATGAAATATACCCTGGTATTGGTGGTGCTCTACTCATTGCATTTGTATATATTTAATTACGACTTTATGGACTGCTAATTACTGGCGAGTTTGCTTGGTGAATTCTTTTTTTTTTTCTTTTCTCGTTTCTCTTCGATTCGTTGGTCTGTGTTGCTTTGCTTTGCCTGGCCTTGTACCATTACATACAACTGCGCGAGCCCAACAAGGAAAGTGTATAATTTGAAGTACGCAACACCAATGCAGTTCCTTCCTAATTCATTCGACCTCTCGTCCTCTGGCAACAAGCACAACTTGATCGAGTGATTGAAATATCTGAGGTACAATCTGGTCGGGCCATACCCCAACCTCTAGGGATCCTACTAAGTTACGACCGGATAAGAGGTAAATGCCTCCCTCTTCCCTCAAATAGGTATTTAGCTTACCTACTAAAGTATTAAGGGAAATTGGATGTAGGATTCAACACCAACCTCGTAGACCTAGACACTCTCTATATGCCGTTACATATCCATTGATAGAAAGGGGGAATGCAAGCATGACCCATTGCATATCGAACGGCCTCCGCGATCAAATCTACCATTTGTGATACCGCACATTATTCTTAAGGAATCGCTATGTAGTGAATGGGTACTGGTCCTCAGTAGGTGAGAAAACGGTAGGTAACATGATCCATGAATGACGGAAGCTGACGACAAGCTGGAAGATTAGGTCCTGTCTGTTCTACGTCCACGTCCGCTCGCTCTTTCTGGGCTTCCGTCGTCTATTTTTAGGGCTCTTTCGATTCGAACCTACATGAGTAGTATCACACGAGACAGATACTTGAGGGTTCAGTGTTGTACATCGAGGTACCGCAGGCATTGCAAAAAGGACATTTTCAATTCATGTCAATTCTCAAAAGAGCCCGACATTACGGAGGGAGGAAAGCGAATCCTCCGAAATGAAGGCGGAATCATGAAAAAAATAGCAATGGGAATCATAGACAAATCAAGCCACAAAGGTTCCAAGTAAGGTGTACGGTAGTAGAATACGAGATGTGAGAGCGAAAAGGTCGATGAACGGAGACAGCTTGTATGCTAAAGGACAAGGAGCAGAGGGAGAGAGAGAAGAAAAAGAAGAAGAAAAACAGACAAGAATGAAAAGGGGAGAAAGAGAAGACATCTCCGAAAAGAAAGAAAAAAAAATAAAAACCACCCCAAGCTCCAAGACTACTGTGCCTGTCCTGTCCGTCGTTTGGGAAGATTTCAAACCTGATTCATCAATTTCTGTCGTATCAATTCTTGCGTCACGCTATCAATCCCAATCTTCTCCAAGTACCCTTTCACGCCCCCGTACTTCTTTTCCAAGAATGCAATCATTTCAGGCACGTAATTCGGCGGACACCTCGTGTATTCCTCGCCCAACCCCAGCACTCGAATCTCTCGCATCCGTTCTTCGAATTCCGGCACGAGCTCGAGTTCCGACCGGCCGTAGTCGTCGGCGACTGCGTCCATGCGCACCCCGACAAGAAGCAGGAGCAATAAGATGATGATTCCGGTCCGGTCTTTGCCTTGTGTACAGTGGATGAGGACAGGGTATGCGGCGGAGGTGGCGAGGGTGGTGAAGATGGTGCGGAGTTCGGACATGCTGGACTCGAGAGAGTCTTGGGCCAGACCGATCAGCCCGCGGGGCTGCATGACGGTCTCGCCGATGATACGCACGGCATCGGTGCGATAGCCGGTCAATGCGAGGGTGATCACTCGGCTGTTGATTGTTGGTGGTGATGGTGTTAGCAAGTCACTGCGTCAGATGGCAACGCGGACATCCATTGATAAGACAAGGAAATGCTGAGGGGTCTCAAAAGAGGGGGGAAAAAGCAAAACAAGCCAAGCGACTGATAACACGGTCTATGCAGATTGAAAGGGACCTCGGTGAAGATCAAGCTGGAAAAAAGAAGCACTCGAGTTTTTTGCAGAGGAAGAGGCAAATGCTCCGCGGGTACGGCGCAAGCGCAACCGCATCCACGGCGATGTCTGCAGTCCAAGGTAATAATAGATGGGTGCGATGCATCGCATTTCCAATGACGCAAGGGTGTCCAGCGCCGGGCTCACTTACAGATAGCTCATCCAGTCGAGTCTGCTGAGGAGTGCTCGTTCAAAGGATTTGCCCGTCAGGCTAATAAACATATGTTGCGATTCAGGGATCTTGCAAATATGCTCGTCCGGGTCATTAGGTACGGGGATTTTGGTCAAGTCGGCTTCTTGCGAGGTTGCGCCAGCGCTGACCAGTTCTGTGCGCCGTTTTCGCGTCGCCATTTGGTGTTCTGTTCTGTCATGATAATGAATGTATGAGCTTTGGGGGCAGGAAATCACAGACGAGCAGGTGCTTCACCGTGCCTTCAAGCGCACATGTCAGGGACAGGTCAGGTCACATACTGTGATCGTAGGTCGATGACGGTAGCGATGTGGAGCTCATCGGCGAGACGCCGTTTGTCGCGTTCTGATGCATCATCGGGCTAAATGTGTTATGGCAATCCAGCAGTCAGTGTCATCGTTTCTGGACATTGCCGTTGTGGTATAGCGCGTTTGTTCGGTCACCACGCGAGCTTCCCAGTTCGGGTCGTGTCTTTCTTTTTTGGCGCTCGAGCTCGGAGCTTCGACCACGGCTCCGCCGGCTGGCTCGAGCGGCCGGGGGAAGGACAGAGGATTCTCTCACCCTCGCACTACGGTACAGGACGCCTTCTTTTAGGATTCTAGGATTTTTTGTCAAAATTAGCACAAGCTCTTGGAGGTTCAGAGGTAGTTGGAGCATGCTTGAGCTCCAAGCACCAAATAAGCCTGTCGGTATACCTACTCGGAACCACAGAAATGATTGATTGTCCGGCCGACATCTCGGAAGTTGATGATGTTATCGAACGGGCGATCGGGCGAATCTAGATCGATACTGGATTGGCGACCCATGACTGACGCGGTCGGACGACCAGAAGGTTCACCAGATTCTGGAGATACTGGAGCAGCCGAGGTAAAGCGCCCACGAGCTTGGGGAAAAGAATCTCCTGGCGACAGACGGCGGCGAAGATGAAGAAAGATTGAGTATGCGATGGTCGATGAACAACGATGCAGCGCTAAGATAGGGAGAGAGAGAGTGAGGAAAAAGAGAGAGAGTTTTCACAGGAGGAGGAAAGGAAAAGATCAAGACCAAAGAGAGATCTGAGAAAGCAAGAAAGCATGAAAAGGTGAGCGAAACGCGAGTCAAGCCAGAAGTAGTCCAGAAACAGTAGTCTTGCCAGTCTTGCCAGTCTTGGTCCAAGTCTAATCGGTCTCTTGCCCAAAGCATAAGAAACCAAAAAAAAAAAAAAAAAAAAAAAAAAAAACACCACATCCCCACGACCAAACAAAGTCGGTGCCCGTCAAAGGGCAAATCCACGCCGCGAGACTCAAGTGGATCCGCCGACGGACCTCGTTCCAACCGGTGCGCAAGTGGGTAAAATGTCATTAACTACTGTCATGATCATTTAACTTGTGGACAGTGCCCAGAACAGAACCAAATCCAAAGAAAAAGTGGGCATCGGGGAATGGAGTATTCATGCTTGACCGGCATCCGACCCAACAGGGCTGGAAGCACGCCGCGCGATGATGTCGGAGGACTTCTGGAGGACTGCCGACCCTGGTCGATGATGGAGGGACGCCCCCGCCAGGGAAGGAGTCGGTTGCAAGTCGTCTGGAGGTAGACAGTACACATTGCTCGATCAACACTGGCCAGAGGGAAGCAGTAGTTCCTCTCGGAGGCCAGGGAATGCAGTGCAGCAGATGAATTCAGGTACACGCAACACCACATACCCTCCGCCTCCCCCAAAAGAGCCGCCAAAGCACCCGTCCCGTGAGGATCGTGCTCCAGCATCCCAGATTGGCCGAGCAAGTGACAGATACCGTAGGCTCCATCGGGTGGAGATGCAGAAAGTCAGAATCCATGCAGACGACAGTACAACAGCACGGTACGTGCAAAGCATGGGGCCCGACCTAGAGCGCGCAAAGACCAGTTGACCCTCTCCAGCCGATCAGTGCCGGAATGGCAGTCGTGTTTTCGTGTCTCGGCCATGGAGGAGGAAGGTGGAACGAATCAGACTGCAGATCGATGGCTCCAAATGTCTAAACCAAACTGCAGTGTGTTGTTCAACAAGCGTAATCGGTGGGACTCTGGCAAGTGTGTCAGCCGAGTGAGGACGTCAGAGTTGGCAAAACAAGTAGCGGTGGAGGTTGGGCAGGAAACAGGAAAAAACAGTCGTCAAACCCAAGCAGAGAAGGTCCAGTGGAAGAGACGGGCCGGTCGTCAACTGCCAGATAGGAATTAATCATAAATAATTGACTGAGTACTATGCAATCAATGATGGGATGCCAGCAGGAAGTACGGAGCAAGAGTGACCTAATTGAGAGACCAGCCTAGCACCACTACCTTAGTAAGTTAGTACAGTCATGTTCCATAAGTTTTTAACCCCCTGCCCCACACACCCTTAATTACATAATATACTGCCGGTCGCAAAACCTCCACCAAAACTCCATAATATTGATAATTCTACCAAATAACTAGCTAACGCACCCCCATATGCCCTAATATGGCGTATACCACCCCTGCGATTCAATGATTGCTTCAACCCTGTTAGGCATAGTCTCTGAAAGGTGTTCTAGGTGCCGCATATCAATGTTTTGCTATGCAATTTGCGCAGTTTCGACCAAGATTCGCTTAGTCTCATCGTTGTTCTTCATATGCAGAAGATCAGGCCGAATCTTATAGATTTCTGCCTTTAATAGGGCCTATAGGTTCTCAATTGGGTTAAGGTCAGGCGAATAAGGCGGCCAAACTATCACCTCGATCTCCATATCTGCTAAAGCATCGCGCACAACGTACGCAGTATACGTAGGTACGTTATCGTGCATAAAAATCCCATCTTTAGTAGGTAGTAACGTAGGTAGAACCCGGCGATATAATTCCTCGATAACGAAACGATTGACACCGCTACGCTCTGACTCAGGATCGCTAAATAGAGGTATTAAGCCCGTACGACGCGAGGCCGAGAAAGCAGCCCAGAACATCTGCTTAACCTGCTTTCCACGCTATGGTAAACCCTGGCATTGACCCTCGCGTGCTTGGTCCCGAGGGCGTATAAAAGTCTATTCACGACGTACACCAATTCCTCGCTTAACAGTATATTCATCAGACTAATAAACACGGGCCTAATTATCAGGTGTAAATAAGCGATATTTGAGAGCCTATTAAAGTCGTTTTACCGCGTGAATTTCTTCAAGGTAAGGTCGCCAGCTACAGCGCCATTTGCGTATATTCTTAGCGTTGAGTAGTCGTCGAATTGAGGTATATTTCACTTTATGGTCGACCTTAGTAAGTAGATCTTCCTATGTAACGCGAGGGTTCTCATGAATAACCTGGATAATTCGGTCTTTGTCGGCCTTAGTGAGCTTCTTTGGCCGGCCTTTGCGTGGCTTCGAGACACCATCTTGTCTTTCTCGCTCTTTAATGATCGTATATCGAATTGTTGAGAGAGGAATCTAGGGGTAACGCTTATAAATACGCTTATAGCCCCAGTTGATTGTATGTAGTTCGCATATACGCGCGCGTAGCGTAGGTGTAAGCTCCTTCGATCGAGCCATATCAATACAGTAGATAGTAGAGCGTGTAGAATATATGTAGATGTGTGTAGGATTAGTATAAATCTATCTACGTGGGAAATTTTGCGTAAAATAGTAGCTGTCTCGCGACGCGCTGGTTTTAGCGTGTTCTCTAGTAGCGCGTATAGGGTAGGCGGTAGGCTAACCTAGTAGGCGGTAAGAAAAGTGGGTCAGCAGGGGGTTAAAAACTTATGGAACGTCACTGTACTACTACTGCGGTACGAAAGTTCCAGTTTCATACAACCAACTACTACTACTACTACTACTACTACTACTACTACTACTACTACTACTACTACTACTACTACTACTACTACTACTACTACTACTACTACTACTACTACTACTACTACTACTACTACTACTACTACTACTACTACTACTACTACTACTACTACTACTACTACTACTACTACTACTACTACTACTACTACTACTACTACTACTACTACTACTACTACTACTACTACTACTACTACTACTACTACTACTACTACTACTACAAGAACATGTTTCCCACGCAAGATGAACCATCATCTTCCCCAACTTCCACTCCCGGTTGAGCAAGTCGATCCCATCTGCTCACGATCTGATCGTGACGATGATCGAACCTCAAGGGCCCCTTGGGTGAACATCACGAGGACACTTGATGACATTCTTCAGAGCTGTCCAAGTCATCTAGGGATGATCAAGCCTGAACCGAAGTGATTCGATGAAATTTACAATCGATGGAGGTATAACTTACTTGTACAATCATACAATGACAGGTCAATGACAGTAGTTTAATAAATCGAGTATAACCGTCACACACACTCTTTCTCTCTCTGCCTCTCTCTCTTTCTCTCGGGCAGAATTCACTAACGAAGTTCAGACCAGTGTGCTTGATTCCTTTCAAGGTTCATGACTCGATCACTCCGTCGTACATGTGCTGGACTCGAGCGATCTCTGAAGGGACACAGTCGAGGGGGGGGGGGAACTTATTACCAGCAGTTATTGACAGGTGACCCTACCTACTACCTACTACCTACTTTACTTCGTATTCAGATAGTTTTGGTTTCTAGTCTTCTACTATCGACAGTATAATACGCGAGTCTCGTTGATCATCTTACCACTAGTAGTATAGTTACTGACTGGTAAGTACTAATCATATCCAGTTGTAGTGTCACAGTGCCCATGTACTAGTAGTAGACTAGTTATAATAAGCAGGGACTCACGTGTACCTTTTAGGCTTGGACAAGGTTATCTGCATCTCTCACCATGGCCTTTCGACTCGACACAAGCCACTGGAGATAGCACACCTCTACTGCGATTACCACTCCTACTGGAAACCCCGATTTTCATTAGAACAGACTTCTTCCGTGATCCTTCTCCACTTCCACGGCCACTACAATCGCACTACAGACGATAGAGACCTAGTGTATGTATTTTGTCTCAGCGGTATCCCCGGAATGTATCCACTCGTCCACCGCTTCTCTCTGATGGCTCCAGTCGAGACCATTCCATGAAGCTGTCGCTCTCTCTATCATCTCCACCCCTCAAAGATTTGATGTGCTTCATCTGGCATCCCCACACGATGCTTGCCCTCCACCCACCTCTGACCCTCCCAGCATCGCCAAATACGGAAACGACGCTACCCCTCTCGTCTTGCTCGTCCACCGCTACTGTAATGGGTCCATCAAGGGGACTGGACGGGACAAACACAGACCCAAGTCCAACTCAAGGCCATATCATCCATCCCTCATGGATTGTATGCTATGGAGGTATGAGCACCTCCAACTCTACCGTGGACCTCTATACATACAACCCCCGATCATCCTTCCATCGCGGCTGCAGGTACGACCAATCCTGATTGAAATCAAAGCCCGTCCGATATGCCCCATACGCAACCAATTCCACCCGATCCAGCGCCGCTCCCCGGTCTGTCAACGCCCACAGACTGATCGCCAACGTATTCTCCCCGCGATTGTTGAGAATGCCCGGCGGAAATGGGAACAGCGTCTGAGGTCCTATATGGGGCAAGTAATGACCAAACTGGTACCCATTCATAAAGATCTGCACCACCGCCGCCGTGTTCGCCGCAGCCCCCAGTTGCAGTCCGATCGGCACGTCCAGATCCTCGTCCAGATGGAGCTTGAACGTGGTCGTGTAGAATCGGCCCGCCGCCCCGGACACCCCGTCGAGTGGAGATGAGGGGTCCGCTTGCTTGGGCGGCGTGTAGCCCGGGAGATGCCAGCCCATGCGTTCGCCGAAGAGGCCTCCTTCGTTCATCGGCCCGCGGACGGGGTCGATGTTGGCTTCGCCGCCGGCATTGCCTTGGAGGCGCCAGGATGAGAAGGTGCCTCCGCCGAGGAGGATCGCGCCCAGGATGCCGCGCGGGTTCTGGGCTCCCGCCGGTCGGACATTGTCCTCGTCGTGGCCGGTGTAGTCGGTCACGATGGTGAGGACGTTGTCAGTCTCGCGGAGGGAAGATTGGTTGAAGAGGAGCTCTGCCGAGGTCGACGCCGCGCTGGGCGATCCCAGAGCGCCGCCGACATAGGCGCCGTTCAACCAGGCGGTCCAGCCTGCGACAACGCCATTCTGAACCGTCACGTTGGCTCCGGTGGCATTCCGACCGTCGAATCGACCACGGTAGATCTTGATTCCTGCGTGATAGCCGTAGTCCCCAGAGTACAGAACGGGCAGAGAGAGCGGCTTGACCGAGTTGACCGAGCTGCTCTTGTTGCAGACGGTCCAGCGCGAGTCGTCGTACTTGGGCTGAATCTCCGGAAGCGTATCCTGAGACTTCCACGAAGTCAAGGAGGGCAGAGAGATGTGAGCATCTTCGGCGCCGGGAACAGTCCCGATCAGACTCCCGTAGGGTGTCACTTTGGTGGGGATGTTCTTTCCATTCCACCTGATCTTGCGGGCTTTGGAAGATCCAGTGTATACCCTGTAAGGGAAAAGGATGTGTTAGCAGACGCACATCCTGGCAGGAAATGGCTTCTAATGTCCAAACACTTACTCCACAGTCGTGGACTTTGCATTATCGCCAGTCAGAGCCACGCGGTCATGCGTCAGTTCCGCCTCTCGAACCAGGTACGGCCCAATAGCAAGGATTTGCTTGCTGGGAGACACAATTGGGTTGGACGTCGTTGGGACGGCAAAAAAGTTCCACGCGGTTTCTTTATTCAGCAGGTAGAGAAGGACACCGTTGGAGAATTGCACTACCGTCGTCCCTTGTCCCTGGACGTATGAATACTGAGTCTCCTTGGTCGTCGTCACCGTGGAAGTGAGGTTCGAGTTGCCGAATGTTTTAAAGGTCAGTTTTGCAGTGGGATTCTTGAAGGCAAATACACCCTTTTGCCCAATGTTCAGGTAAAACACAATCACATCCACGTCCAGCGTCGCATATGTCGCAATCTCGGCTGAAGAATACAGCAAGCTCGAGGTTTTGCCGACCTCGTAGTCTGTAACGATGATCTTACTTTGGCGTCCGGCCAATTCAATATCGGGGATCGTCATTGAACCTGCCAAAGAAGCAATGGCCGAGTCAGTCAACAACCTCGAGCTCCATTCGCGCGCGGAGGAACGCTGAGTGTATCAGCAATTGGGTTCATACCGGCAGATGTCCGTACATTCAAATCAAAAGTCGTCACATCACGAGATTGACTCGAGTCGTGAGCCAGCACATAGAACCCAGCTTGAGTTTCAGGATTGCGCAACGCCCAGGTGTAGATGCTTTTATCGCTCGTATACCCAGTCCCGTTGCCTTCCATCTCCGTCTGCAAAAGACCCGACGAGACTCGCGTAAACAACCCAATCAACTTGGTCTGTTTGAGCTTATCCTGGATCTCGCGAGTCTCGCGCAACGGCGCCGAATAGTCGTACGAGGTATACACCACCGGCGCCGCGGAATGGCCCCAATTGGTGCCGCCAAAAGCCATGTAGAGACTCTGCAGCGTGATCCTCGATCCGATATTATTCTTGTAGTAGACGTCGGCAAATTCAGGCGAATGTTCCGCGGCACACTGATCGTAGAAATACCCACCCCAGGGCTGGAACCAGCCCCCCTCGAACTCGGGGATAAACTCAGGCTGCGTGTATGAAAAGTTCTGGAACCATTCGTAATACGTCCTGACCAGACGGAAGCCAGAGTCCGGGTTCGTGCACGACAATCCACCAGGATACGAGTCCAACCCGTACACATTCACCGCACCGCCCACGTCCTTATAATCCGTGGACCAGCTCTGCGAACGCATCCCCTTCTCGTTGTGCGTGCTGGGTACCACGATCCCGGCCTCGTCAAAGGCTGCGGTAATTTGCTCCATGTATTTGACCACAGTGTTCTCCGGGTCGTGGTAGTTCTCCTGGAGTTCATTCTCGTGCTGGTTGAGGATCACGGGTCCTCCCTTGGTGATTTGATTCTCGGCGATAATGGCCCCAACCTTTTGAATCCATGGGTACCATGCCGCGTAGTATCTGGGGTCGCTGGTGCGCTCGGAGCCCATCTGTCCATTTGCTGCCCAGAGAGCAAAGCCCCCGGCTGAGGCCTCGGCGTTGACATAGGGTCCGGCGCGGGCGATCACGTATAACCCGGCTTGTTTGGCGTAGTCGAAGACTTTCTGGATATCGTGGGCGCCATTCTCAAAGTCAAAAGTGTCCTTGGAGGCGGAGTGGAAGTTCCAGAAGAAGTAAACTGAAAAGACGAGTTAGTCACGTTTCACTTCGCCAGAACTTAACTGCTTGTATTCCACAGGCCCGCATCGACTTGCTGGCTATCCCCCCCCCTACATCACAACCATTTAACCCGAAGTGCCAATAGAAAAAAATAACATGAACTCACGAGACACGGCATTAAACCCATTCGACCTAAGTTTCTGAAAAACATCCAACCACAACTCTGGCACCGGCAAACGCAAATAGTGAAATTCGCCCGCAAACACAAACAACCTCTCCCCCTTCACAGACAAACTATACTTATCCCACGTCACATCAGTCGTCTTGCCATTGTCCGTTGCCGAAACCGAGACCAGACTCGACAAGGCTCCCCACAGAAGTAGAGGGAGATGAGCGAAGAACCGCATTTCGACTCAGAGTGCGATCCGATGAGATGCGGAGCTTCCAATTACACAGGGAAATTCGGGCTTGACCAACTGCTTTTAAGAAGACATTTGATTTCATTCAGGCACTGGTCTCACATGAATCTTTGTCCTGTCGACCTTCGGTGCTCGCGGTAGTGATACCCCGTTCAGATACTGGGATTGGTGGATGTTTTGAAGGCGGCTGTTGGACTATTTAGGCAATTCTCCTGCAGATTGCGGGGGCCATTTCAATCCAATGTGCATGTTTTGGTGCTGGTGGAGGGGTCTGCAATCTAGAGTGCGGGGATTGAGCTCCAAATTATCCTCGGTCGTCAGTCGATCGAGTCGGCCAGAGGTCTGTGAGACTGTGACTGCTGCATCACATCGTGGTCGACCTGCATGTGGTGGTCATCGCATCAGAATAGCGAGGTCCGGTCTATGCCTCTTATGGACGGCGGACTCACATGAGATGCACCTTATGCTTTTGGGCATAGAGGTACTAGTATGCAGTTCTCGCCGGCTTACGGGCTTTGAAGTCGAGGGAGGATTTTGATAATATAAGTGTGAACAGAATTCATCAAATAAAGTTCCTTGTGAAATCATAGTAATTAATCAAGATATTATTAGAGATCCGTGTGCGATCAAGAGGAACATCAACATGAACATCAACTGCGTAAATCAAAGTTCATCAAACCGGGCCCAAAAATCATTCCTCCAATCCATGCGCCCTGCACAAACAATCCATCCGCGAACATGAGAGCGCGTATAAATCACAAGTATTCGAACAAAGGCCTCCAAGGAAAGATGAATAAAAAAGCGCAGAGGAAGATGGAAATCGTACAAAAGAACAGAAAATCAAAGTACGGAAAGAACGGGCCGTCATCAAAACTGTTATGTCATGAGTAGATCTAAAGATCTTCGGAAAATCGAGACTCTCGGTGACTGTGAGAATCACTCAAGACTGGAGGCACGGGTAGACCCTGTCCGGCAGCACTGTCGCGGAGGTTCTGTAAATCAGCATTGTACTCGCCATTGCCATCATCACGCTTGTTAAGAGAACCGTTCGTCTTGCCATCCTGAGAGCCCCGAGTGAGGGTGTTCTTTAAGCTCTGGCGAAAGCGAGACTTTTTGGCTGCAGTACCATTCTTGCCATTTTGATCGATTTCCTCTGTAGATGACAGTCCCTCTCCACCTTGCTCCGTCGCCAGGTGTTCATCACCGACAGACTGAGACCGGGGGATGCCAGCACTGGTCTCGAATCTTCCGGCCAGGGCGGCACCACCGCTGAATCCAGCCTCCCCATCTGAGCTATACTCTGGTCCGGGCTGGTGAGGGTAAAGAGGCTGGGGCTCGCTTGTACGACGCAACAACCTGTCGCGGAACCAGGTCTTCAGCTTGGAATCCGCGCGAGGGCTGGCGACGGGCTGCGATTCTTGCGCAGAAGATGAGCCCCCAGTAGCCGCGGCATCTCGCAACTGGGAATGACCAGGCTGAGCACCACCCGGGCTAAGATCAGCGGGCCCATGTGAGATGCTAACAGGAGGTGAGATGGGGGCGGCGTTGTCAACCTTTGTGCGAGACGCGTCAGGGCTTGGGGCAACGGGCTCGGTTATAGTCACTGGCTCATTTGACGTGACAGGCTCTAGAGAACCGACAGTATTGTCGACTGCAGCATAGGGCGTGGTTTCGTGGTCTAAAACCTGCCCTCCGCGTTCAGAGGCAACAGACTCCCGTCGGTACAAGTCATCTTCGTCCGCTGGGCTTGCTGCAGCTTCATTCTGACCGTTCATGTCGTCGTCACCTGCATAGTCCTCTGTCTGCTGCTGCTGCTGCTGCTGCTGCTGCTGCTGCTGCTTGCTCTTCCTCTTCCACATGAAGAGCTTCAGACCTTTGCTCCCGCGTTTCTCGTTATTTGCTGTTCATCGAAAGGTCAGCACGCCGTTGAAATGCATCAAATTCAGGTGACCTAACCACTCACCCCTGTCAAAGTCTTGTTTCTGAGCACGAGTCAGACTGGCCTCACGTTGACGCTGGAGGTTGGCCTGTCGCTGCCTCTCCTCGGCGTCGAGACGACGTTCCAATTCATCTGCTCGCCTACGCTCAGCCTGATCTGTCATCTCATCGAAAGTGGGTTGCAGGCGGGATCGTGCAAGGGCTTCGACATCAGCCATGTCCATGTACCGCGAAGACCCGATGTTGACCTGCTCGGTCGGGTGACGCTGCGACTCCGCTGCCTCGGCCTCTTGACGAACACGCTCCTGTGCGACCTCGTCCCACTGCCTCTGGGTGGCAGGCGGTGCGCGGCCGGTATCAGCCTGTATTTGCATATCCATATTCCGCATTCGCGCATCGACATTCCGACGTGCTGCCTCCATCAGCGAGTCCCGGTCCTTCTGTCGACCCTCGTCCACCTCGTTGAGTTTGTTTCGCAAACTGAACATCTGGTTGCGAATTTGGCGTGACTGTTCAGCGTCCACCTGCTGTGCATCTGCGTCACTTGTAGCTCTCTTTCGTCGAGAACCCAGCAGCGAGCGCGATTGAGTCTGAGGTGCGGTTCCGTAGTACTGTTGCATATCCGCGTGCTCGTCACGCATTCTCGCCAGCTTCTCGGCAGCGCGTCGTTGCGCTTCCTCCTGCAGATTGACCGCCTGTCTGCCGGTCGTTCCATGGGTGCCGCTGACGCTCTTCGATGCTCTCAGTTGATTGTGTCCATTTCGAGCGGCAGCAAGCGCCGGACTCATGTCTTTGGTCTCGCCAGTTGGTCCGGTCAAGTCATACATGTCCCGCGCCATCACTAACGCTGCTGCGTGCAGTGAGTTTCTGCGGTTGCGATCCTGAGACTCCAGGTCGACCGAGGGCGTGGAGGTGACTTGACGGGCGTTCAGGTTCGCATGCTTGATCCGGCTCGCTTCCATAGCCTTGTCAAGATGATCCAGCGGATCTTCGTTCTCCGGTCTGGTGCGGTGGGAGGCTTCGGCTGCCGAAAGCGCCCAATTCGAGTCTGAGCCGATGTTCGGTTCACTGGGTGCTGAATCTGCCCGCTGGCGTTGTCGAGCACCGAATGCGCCCGTTGCGGCGTGGCGTGCTTTAGTTTGGAGATCATTCGCCCCGGTATTTTCTGGCTTCAGAGGAGACTGCTGGCCTGACGACCGAACAGCAGCAGCTCTTTGTTCTCGCACTGCCAGGGTAGCTGCCTCGAGACCCCAGGCACTGACCCCCGTGTTGGGCACGAGGCTCTCGGGGGAGGGGACATCTTTTGCATGATATGCTGCCTTTTCGGCGTCGGCGAGTCTGCCCGGGCGCCAGAGTTCAAAAGGTTTCTGGTTGGCATGCGCAAGGGCGGAGGCCGCTGAGGCGTGACTCAAATCACGGGTCGCGCGGGTCGCTGGAGTATCTATAGACATCGGAAGGTTTGATGAGCATGCCAAGTCATACAGCCAGATCTCTTGCTGGTCGATGCAGGGAGATGCTTGTCATCGGGGGGTCAACTTACTCCACGACTGAGATTCGGCGGCAGGGGCCTCTCGTGGACGGCTTGCGCCGAGGCTGCGTCGCATAGAGTGCAGCGGTCGCAGCTATAGTAGGCAAGCCTCATCATGTTAGCCATGGGCACTTTTGCGCTTGAAGTGTGGGCGTTCTTGTCGCACGATCCACCAGCAGATTGGAGCTTACCGTCGTCGGCTAGCCGACCCGACCGGGGGCCCGCAGGCATTTGCTGCGCCGTTGCCATTCCGGAAGATTGTGCAGATACTCGGAGGACAGACCGATCAGTCTCTACTCCGTAAAGCAGTGGGTTGTATGTCTTTTCTCGATCTTTGTGAGCTGCTGCGTTTCACCGTCCTGGAAAAGGTCAATGAGGAAGGGAGGGAGAGGGGTTTCGTGGTAAATGGTGGACATGGGATGGAAGGCCGGAAGCTTCGCTAGGCGTGACGTCGTGGGCTGCGGAGGGTTCGAGAGCCCAAGTGTCGGACGCATTGCATCATTGGCAGCGAGCCCAAATCGATCGATGAATCAATGAGTTCCGGGCGTAGGCGTATGCGGGGGAAGGCGCACGGGTCCTGGTTGGGGGTACGCTGGGTACTTACTTTGGGAGCGGGCCAGTATGGGGCAGTGAGTACCTTTGGGTACTCGGGCGGATCCGCGCTGGGAGTATTCGGTACCACTACAGCGCACTAGTTCGTCAAGGTTTCGACAATCATCACTCAGACGATCTTCGAGGTCATTCGAATCACAATTCGATGCTCCTACTCGGTCAAAGTTTTGAGATGCTCTGACTGAGAAAGTTTGTATGGAAAAATATCACGGGTCAATGGTCATCCAAGCCGATTTACAGGGACTCGGTATAACCAGCCTGTTGAACAGAGTGTGTTCTTTTCTTGCCCGCTTCCGGAAGACTCGAGCGCGGTCGGTTCAGAGGTCAGCACCAGGCAAGGCCCAGCAGGTAGTGATACTACTACTACTACTACTACTACTACTACTACTCTACCTCTGACACAGTAGGTAGTAGGTACTGACCGCAGTCAGTAGTAGCGTAGTCACCAATTCTTCGACTTGAAAAGTACTCCCCCTACCACGGCGACAGAGTGCTCTCTGTCCTGCGCATCCGTCGTAGGCAGTTGTAGTAGTGACGTGGGGACTCATGACGAGATCTCATTCGATCTTATTTGATCTCAACTTTTCTAAATGCTACTTTCCCAAGTTCCCTCTCCTCGAATCTCTCCACTGAAAGAGAGAGCAGCATCACGAATCAGCTCGCAGGGCTGGCCACACTGGTGAAAGGCTTAAAAAGCGAGTGTGGCTTGAAACTTGGCCGGTTCGAGCTAAGAAGCGAGCGCATGGTTACGTTCTTCTGGTCTCAGCTCGAGTGCAGAGTGGACCCCGAGTGACGATCATGTTCGTCGCCCGCTCTGCTCGGCTTTCATCATTAGTTTGATGGATTTCCATCTTGTCTCGACAATACTACGCAAGGGAATGATGGAATATTCGGCTTCTCTGGAGCGGATCTGTAAAACTCATCCGACTCAAAGTCCAAATTTTCTGGAATGGTGGCTTCGGACGTGATCCTTCTCGTGAACGTATGTAATGACAATGGATCACCCACCTACCACTGAAAATCATGATCCAACCTCCGTGCGCATCCAACAACTTCTTGGAGCAAATTCATTAAATCTAATGATCCATCGACCGGCTGGTCCGAGCTAAGGATTTGATGACCGATCGTGAAGGGATCCGGAATCCGAAGAGGAAAGCTCTGAAAGAGGAAGCAGGCGTGCTCCCTTCATGTACAGGTAGTAATACCTGCTGTCCGCCTCAGCTGGGCCACCGGCTGAGGTCCAGCTACCCACCTGGCTGCAGACCGCCCGTTTGAATAATGGGCAAGTCAATGGGGATACGACTGTAGTTCCAGGTATGAATCAGTGTAGGCCTGTGGAGTTGGCCCCGATGATTGGAACGAGCACCTGCACGGCCTCATTATACCCTAATTCAAGGAATCCTCACTTGAATTCTTTCGATATGGCATCGATTTGTAGGACGAGGACTCTACTGGAGTAGGTAGGAAACCCGACGAGACGTGTGGACCGCTCACTCGCTGCAGAGAGAACCTACGATAGGTAATGAACTCGAATTCGTTGTCTGACCACGCTCAACACCTTTGGTGCAGGTACATTTACCGTGCAAGCAGGAGTCACCGCGGCGCTGGTGCTGGCTTATCCCTTCAATGCCCAGTACCTCCTTGCTTATTTATGATTATGATTAGCTGGGCAATCACTAATCTATTTCTGATATACGACTGCACATTGTACCTAGAGCTACTTACCTGGTACTTTACACTTGATGATCTCAAAGTTAGGTAGAGTTGCCAAGCTATCCATAACTGGAATTGACTTGTGGAACCCATGTCAATCATTCAGTCATGGAGAGCACTACCCCCTTCCCGCCCGTCGCATGCCCAATGCAATACTGTAGGTGGTATACTACGGCTGTCAGTGTCACTTTCACCTGGTCCTGAGCAGCATTGTTCACGGGTACTAGTCGAATATCAATATATGTCGAGTTCCGGTGATTAGAACAGACCATGTTGTAGTCTTGGCATATTGTGCCACATGCTGACAAACATCCTCATCTCCTATGTACTTCTTTAGTAGATAGTCTGGAGTCTAGACATGTCCAGGAAATCTCTTATCTACAAAGCTCGTCAATCATCGGGCCACATCAATGCGTTATACCTTTGATGAGCATAGCAGTCACCGCACAGAAGATAGTCATGTGAATTGTCTTGAACTGCCAGACTATGACTTTAGCCACAGTGCCTGCGAGGTACCCCGTGGGGAAACAAGAGAGACACGACCCACAAGTCTTCGAGATCTGGGGGTGTCCTGGAGGTCCTTTCTTCACCGACGACAAGTACATTTAGACCTCACGAGCCTGACAGAATTCTCGAGACAAAAGTTGTAATTGAGCATATCCCTCGTCATCGCCGTCCAGTCACTGGGCCCAACTCATAGGCCGAAAGCCGGACACCAATCCAAAGGACATAATGGGGTTCGCCCGGTACCATGGCTGAGCCCGTCTATGGATGCCTACAGTACTTGTTCCAGCCTCTTGAAGCATATAGGAGTATCTGCATGGAACTCAGGCTTAGCTATAGGTCAATTCAATCATGACACTGAAACACCCAAGCGACTATAGTGATATAGTCAACTCCAGCACGACTAGCCAATGGCTGGCATGTTCAACACAGTGGGCCTCCAGCAGGTCTTGTCCGAGCGCACGGAATCGACAAACACAAACCGCCAAACCAGATATGACCACATGGTCCCGGGAAAGTCGACGTACCCGAAGCTGACGGGCCAGTCAGTCCCGAGCTCCAAATCAAAATAGCCTGAGAGGCCGCCTCTAAGACGAGCGGCAGTCAACCCACGCGAGGGCCAGTGCGCATAGCATGACGTTTTGAGGAAGGGACCGTGACCATGCACAAAAGCTTGGCGAGGCTGTTTAACGATCCTCGTCAACGGGTTTTCTCCTTCACTTTCAATCTTTTTCAATCATTTCCTTGCTCTTGACTTTCTGTGCTCTTGAGTTTTCATGGACAACAACTATATGAATTGCAACTTCAAAAATCGACCTGCCACTCCGTCACCCATCAATGTCCCGCAATAAGCATTTCTCACCGGATCGGGAACCTCTCTCGCATCATCAACATCATCGTTCCATGTCAGATCCCACGCTCCAACCACACCATGTATCAGGCCCATTTGCCCTCCTGAATCCCACCTCGGCGTACTATACACCAAATACAAAAGTCGATCATCCCAGTCTTCACTCGCACGAAGCGTCTCAAGCCAAAACCAACCAGGAAAAACAAGAAGACGCGCACTCGCCCACCAACACACCTCCCCCGACCCAGGCTGTCGAGCATATTTGGCGCTCGCGCGATAATCGCAAAGGGAGACACGCGATCCGTATCGATTACAATGCTCCGCCAACAGACACCGCGCTCATCGCGCCACATCCCACGACGACAGCCAAGGCCATTGCCCAGGGCATTCTTCGCATGTTCACGCGTGCGCCCGTCTGGGATGTCTCGTGGCTTGTCGCATTCACCTTTGTTGTCGGCTCGATCATCTGGATTGTGAATGCGTTTTTCGTCTGGCTGCCGCTTGTTGATCCGTCGACGGAGTTCTCGGGAGAGGTTTCGAGTGGGGGGAGGGATCACGGGATTCATCGGTGCGACGGTGTTTGAGTTCGGCAGCGTGCTGCTCTTGCTTGAGGCTGTGAATGATAATCAGACGGGTTGTTTTGGATGGGCTTTGGAAAAGGAACTGGGTAAAGTCCATGGGGATGGCGATGCGTCTCGACCGGTGACGAGGTTAGAACCGCGGATCGAGGAGTGCACACATCACCACATCAACCGGCGGAATCTCGTTGGACAGGGATTGAAGAGAACAGCCTCTGATCCCCATCACCATCACCATCACCATCATCATGACTCATTGGATTTCTCCAACGGCTACACGACGACATCCTCGTCCGGAAGCAAGTCCTTTCGCTGGCTCCCGTCCTGGGACGAGCTAAAATCACACTACATCCATGAACTTGGCTTTCTCGCCTCGCTGATCCAATTCCTCGCCGCGACAATCTTCTGGATTGCCGGGTTCACGGGTCTTCCGGGGATAAACAACCATCTCAGCCAGCCCGTGGCGAACGGCGTATACTGGGTGCCGCAGATCGTCGGCGGTGCAGGATTCATCGCCAGTGGATTACTGTTCACGCTGGAGACTCAAGAGAAGTGGTACAAGCCGGCGTTCCATGTGCTCGGCTGGCACGTCGGGGCGTGGAACTTTGTTGGTGGGATTGGCTTCACGCTGTGTGGTGCTCTGGGCCCCGCGAGTAGTAGTCACTCGGGGGTGGAATATCAGACAACGCTGGCGACGTTTTGGGGGTCGTGGGCTTTTATGGTCGGATCGACGTTGCAGTGGTATGAGAGTTTGCAGAAGTATCCTGTGGAAAGGAAACGTGGGACTAGAGGGTCAGCTACGGACAGCAAGGTGTAAAGCTCGGAGGGCTGCAGGTGGAATGGACCAGCGCTATGGTTGGGTCTGGATTGGCACCTAGCGACGTTTCACTTGTGATGCGGAATAGACGGTGGCCATGTACAGTCTGGGAGAAAGGGTGTAATGTATGCATGTGGTCAGTAGGACAATGTCGTATAAGAAAACATTATTGCTTTTTACTATTCGAGGATGAACCATAATTAGACAAGCCAAACAGCGACCTTCCTCCTGCCATCAACGAAGACGACACATCTCCAGAATGTCATGACGCGCAAAGAAAGCGCGGTTCCACTTGCCAAAGACATCTATCAAGCGTGAGATGTGGTTAGCCATGAAGGTCGAGAGCATCAACTGGGAGCGAACCACTTACACATTGGAATACTTAGGCAGCAGATCCCCACCTGGATGCTGCCAAGGATGATCATGGTGTGTTTCGATCCTCCACGAGCCATCCAGTCATAAGCATAGAACGTCAGCACAAAGCTGAACATGTTCTTGAAGATGAGGAGACAGGTGAATGCCTCAATAGCGATTTCACCTGGAAAGTATTTGATCATCGTCAGCATTTCAACCTCAAGGATCATTTCTATTGTCAGGGATTGACGTACGATGAGCGTCCACAATATAGAGAGATGCGGCCACTGCTCCAATGACCATGCCGATGATCAGGAGTGCGAAGAAAACATCGGGCACGACCCAATGATATTTCGTCGTGTCACTGGCTGTGAATCCAAACCCATACAGCCCCATGCACGCGAAGATCAATTGGAAAACAACCAGCACAATGCGGAACTCGGGCTCGTATCGCCCGTGGTTGAGTTTCACCATGGACTTGGTAATCAGATCAGTCAGAAGACCTGCAAGTATGAGGCCGATGAGAGAGCCGATGAAGGCACCGCTGTACAGATAACCGACCTGGTCCACGTGGAACCAGAGTGGTGGACCTTGGAAGACAAGCGCAAGAACCACACCAATCAATACCGTCCAGCCGATAACCACACCTTGAATCAGGCACGCCTGTTACTGATCATTAGTAACTTTGCACCTTGAAACGGATTCAGGACCAATGTATGTCCCGAGCTGTGGTCACTCACCCATAGAATTCCGGGGTGGAAAAACAGCGGAAACGGTCGAAGAAGGAGCTTCCAGAAACTCTCATCCGTTTTTCGTCCGGTGAAGGGTCGAAGGGACCGCAGGAATGAGTCCTTAGGAGGGATAGGAGTCGTGTTGACTTTGGTGTTCTTCGTGCTGGGATCAGCTGACAACTCAGGGTCGAGGGTTTTCGGTTCATTGCGCAGCGCCAGATTGGATTCCGTCGATGCTCCCCTGATTGAATCGCGCTTGAGATCAATGTTCAAATAATCCGGCCGGCGGTACGCTGTCTCGGGAACGAAGAAAATCATCAGCGGCAATGATGCCGCCAAAAAGATGGCGACGAAGTAGAAGGACCACTCCCAGCCGATCGTCGCCGTCATTTTTCCAACAATGACGGGCGTCAGAAACGCAGCGCCAAAGAGTGCGACGTTGGAGACGGCCATCCGCTTGCCACGTTCCTAGAAGATTGCTGATTAGGACCGGGTCGCTCTCACAATCGTTGAGTGCTTCTTCTTACATGGACAAAGTAAAGGTCTCCGACACAGGCATTGACGAGCCCCTCGAAGGGCGCCAGAGCCACGCCTTGGAAAATCCGAGCCCATAGCAAACTTCCATGATTGCTGCCACTGGCGCCGGCCCATACACAGCTGGCAATCATCAAGACATGGCCGAGAAGGAACAGATGGCGTTTGCCCCAGACCCGCGCAGTGGGCACGATGAGGATTCCGGCGACACCAACACCACACAGGTGGTATCCTGTGAGTAACGCAGCGTCGACGTAGGTGATATGCTGGATAGCTGCAATATGGACAGTGTTTGCGGCCAAGATGGAGCTCAGGGTGGTGCATAGGACTGTCACGAAGGAAAGGATGGCGAGGATCATGTCACGCCTCCATAAGGGCCAGTTCTAGCCATCAGCGATCGCAGGGTTAGCCAGTGGAACCATCTTTGGAGCAAGCATACATCTCCCGTCAGGGCCGACTCACCAAAGGGTCATTGGGGTCATCGCTCGGCTGGGGCACGAGAATCGTGGGCTCTTTGGTCGTGAGATCATGTTTCAAGCTTGAGAGATCAACATCGCTTCTGAACGAGGTATCATCGCGTTCGTAGATGTCGGAGGTACCTGGGTGGTCACGCAAGAAGCCAAAAATGTCAGCGAGACTCGAACGCCGAATGGGGCTCATGGACGAGGTCCTCACCGGGCACATGGGCGTCCTTTACGTCTAATACCCCAAGACCCATTGTCACGTAATGTCTCCCCGAGACACTTGGGAATGGCTCGAGGCCAGTGTGAGAGGTCTAGATGATTATTGCGAGAATGTGAAATTCATGCAAGTCGAGAGGGGGACTAAGAATTGATCGGGCGGAGCCCAAGAGCTCAGGAGCTCATGGCCGGGTTCTTGACAATTCAGGTGACCCAGACGGAGAACTTTGCTTACGCAGGCGGGTTTGAGACATCCAGGTGATCTTTCCACTACTTTACTACAGTACGAAGAAAGCTTGTTGTCCAGCACACTTAACTAATTATCATTCCCTGGGCATTGCAGGTATTAGGTCGCCTGTCGCCTAACCCTCACCAGCAATGCGATTAGATCGGGTCCGTTCAAGTCCAAGCCCGCTAGGCCGGGCTGATCATTGTCGTTTTCTGCATAGCCTGGCTGATCCCTCCAGACCGAGCGCTGGTTGAGATATGTGCTGCTCGGCTTCCTGGTCTTTGCCCCCCTCGCCCGTGCCTGCACTTTGACATGTGCTGGACTGGTCTTTCAATAATCCATGAAGGATCCCGTCTGCGCCCGCCGGATTGGCGGAGGCATGTAGATTCGGGGTACCCTTCATCACCACACTTACTACAACTATACGGAAAGGTACAGACACCATGTGATCACATTCGGGATGGCTGCATCTCCAGGGGGTGGATAGAAGATCGACATTCCACTGATTCCAGTGATTGCACCAGGTAGTACTTCTGTGCGACCCTCCCGTTAGCTTGGAGTAATTTCTCGCCATCATCGATCAATGATTGATGATCATCCATCCCAGGATTTGGTAGACTTTGCGCTATGTCACAGGATCAACTGACCAAGTGTGTTCTGGATCGTCTGTCTTGGTAGCACACTCCAGGCGAATACCACCAACCCCCTGGAGAGTTGAAAAGGTGTCCCCATAGAGGCTATATGGATTGTGGTTTGAAGGCCGTCCAGGCCCTCATGAACCTTGAGCTGAGCGGTTCTCCTGTCGCTCTGACTTGACGACTCTGCGCACCCAGTTCCTCTTTTCCAACCTTTTGAGCTGGTGGAGTCCTGCACGCTGCCGTGCACTGGCCGTATTCAGCCGTACTCGGCCATCGATGAGTCGAAGCCTGAATGATCTACTAGTAATAGTCGCCCTCTACTCGCCAATCGCTTCTGCTCACCATGATCATCTAGTACAGTAGTGAGTAGTGAAGTCATCCGGGTGTTGTATTACGTATCTGGCCATCTCTCCTGCTTATTTCTTAGGGGTGAGATTGATGCAACAGCTTCTCCAAAGGGAAGGTGCTCTCTAGTTGACCAGTCGATGACTCGACGAGTTCCAACTATCGCTCATATCTGGGTATCTTGCGGTGGCCATATGCTTTCTAGTGATATATGAATACTGGAAACTCAGACTACTGAATAGTGAATAGTCTATTAGGTATATGGTCAAACGGTTACTCATTGCCGGTCGACCCATGAGCCTAGTGGGGGGACTGGAGAGGCCGAGGAGGCCACAGAATCACGGGACAGTGGGTATACGCAAAGCCTCGGCAACACTGCTGTAGTCGTATGCGAACCCTTTTTGAGTTGACACGAAATTGTGTTTTCGTCGGCTCCAGGAGCTTTGGATTGGAGAAGGCTGAGGTCTCCTGCGAGAGTCCAGAGTCTCCACATCTGGGGAAGGTTCAGCCATCGGTAAGGCTATCTTCTTCGGTACCATTTATGATTCGTCAATGGCGGCGATAGAGACTCGGATCCTGCTGGTTCGAGTGTATATCCCTGCCGCTGCTGATCGGCCGTGGTCATAGTGGCGGAGTAAAGCGATCGATATTGGCACGACCTCCAAACCCTGGGTCCCTCATCCTTCCCGCGCAGCACAATAAGCTGGACAAATGTTGTCCCTACCGTGTCAAAGAGCCTTGACAGTAGTGAATTCCTACGAGCATTAGTGGCTAAGTAAGTAGGTAACTAGACAGTCTACTTACCAAGTTACTACTAGTACTACGTTGGATTTTCGACACAATCACTCTGCAAAAACAGTCTACATTGGAAACATCTCCAACGCACCGTGATCTGCAGTAAAGTTCTGACGATAACCTAAGGTACCTCAGGATTTCAGTAGGTATGTATATCCACACCCTGGTGCTAGATTCCTCCACAGTCGACAATATTACCACCACTCTTCAACACCTTGCCTATATGTTAATCAAACGTATAAGGCTCTTCTGCAGGATTCAAACGATCAAGATCTAAAAGGATCCACTTAATTACCACACGGACTACTACTAAGACCGATAAGCCGGTACCTTCTTGTCTCAGTTATGCAGGATCACTTAGTTACTAACTTACTAGTAGTAGCCTAGTAGGTAGCTTTCCCCACTAGCGGGACCCATAACGCAAGAATAGGAAAGGTCTCAATTTTATGACTATCAGACGGCGGGAACATCTATCGGTGGTCCCCCATCTTATTACAATATTTAGATTGAGGTGAGAAAGTGTCGCTCTACGAGATGTGTCAAGCGTCGCAATGATGATTATTATAGCGAGTTGGAATTGGAAGCTGGAGATGTTTGCCACGTTAAGAAAGGCGACAGGCTAGTATATTTGGTTTAACACTTTGTCGGCATTCTCGCGAAACAGCGTATTGCTTCAGAGTGGATGCTTGATCCTACTAGACCAGACACGGCTGGTGGCCAGGAAGCATCTGGAATAGACAAAATCACAAAAGAGCCTCTGATCGACAGTGATGACTTATGTCTGTTATTAGCCATCATCTGGATATCCTGACGGCCCAGATCCTCTATTGATGAAGAAGTCTTATCTGATGCCGACCTCAGGTACCGGCAACGAGCTGTTCAAATTTGAGGGATGCAGCCATGTACTAGAAGAGACATAATATCAAAGAATTCCGACCATGATACTGTTGGTGGCGGTGCACACAGTGGTATTGTACTACTAAGCGCCAAGACCCGTGATAGGCATTCATTGATACCTAATGAGTCACTGTACATAGGGTCATACAGCTCGTTCATGTGCAGTATAAGTGCAGTGAGTGTGTTGTGGAGTATGGACTGTGCAACTGCACTGACTGCACTGACTGCAGTACTGCACCAGTGCTTCCAGTATAGTTATACTACGCAGCACACACTCACTTAGTATCATTATACTATCTATCTATTTAACACACCCATGAAGTAGACACCTCCTCCTCTCTCCCGCGGACTCAGGTACTCCAACATCTACAAATAATACCCAATCTTGTGACTTCGATAGCGTGGGGTCTCAGGTTGGCACTATGTTTCATCGCCTACTTCGTTCCAGGCTCCACCGGTGCGATGAGCTGGTATCCGGATTCTGGATCCGTTAGACTTTATAATTGGCGAAGGGGTGGAGGATGGTGGAGATGCGCAAACTGTGTTGGCTAAAGACCACGACCTAGACAGGTTTACAGCCACAAGACACCTTGGAGAATAGATGTCCAGAATTGCCACAGTAGTCCCATGAGTCCAGGCCCAGATCTTACAATACGGCATTTACCAGCAGTGCCGAACTTTGGATGTCCCAATGATCATTTGGTTCCATTCCAAGGGAGCTGAGGTGAACGGAATCTCCATAATAAAGTCAAATAATAATCACAATCGACAGCGGCAATAGCTCGATGTATGCTATAGAGGCGTCAACTCAGGCTTCAAGCCCCTTAGTCCGCGGGTCTTCGAGACCCTCACTTGCTTGGGCCTGGATCGTCTGGTGTACAGTGCTCGTTGTGTACCCTCTTTCCCATCGTCGGATCTTCTGTTTAAAAAGGGTGGGGAGGGCTGTTCGCGCCTGCCTTACTCTCTCTCTCTCTCATTCCACATCCTTTAGTGTTTACTTGTCTTGTCCCGCTCTTTACTCTTCATCTTCTTCATCTTCTTCCTTCAATCACTTCAACTTCTTTCTTCAAAGAAATAATCACCTTTTCACACCACAATGAAGTTCACTCACTTCACTCTTGCTGCCGCTCTGCTGGCCACCGTCTCTGCTCAGGGTCTCGACTCTCTGCCTAGCTGCTCCGTAAGAATGCTCTCCCCTCGCTGGAAGACACACTCTTCCAGTTCCCAGACGACACAGCATCACTGACACCTGAGACTTGCCAGAAATCTTGCGCCAACAATGCCATCCCCGCCAGCTGCGGTCTCGACATCAAGTGCATCTGCGCTGACAAGTCCTTCCTGAGCAACATTGCCTGCTGTGTCGCCAACAAGTGCTCCCAGGCTGACCAGGAGAGTAAGCAATGTTCCATCCACCCGACTTTTACAACACCCGCGCGAGCGAGGAGCTGACCCCTTCTCTTCTTACTCTTTTTAGCCACCCTCAAGATTGCCCGCGGTATCTGTGCCAGTGGTGGTGTCACCGACCTCCCCACTGCCATCTCTTGCTCAGCCACCTCCTCCGGCACCATGACTGCCACCTCCACCGGTACCATGACCGGTACCTCCTCCATGACTATGACTGGCAGCGCCATGTCTTCCGCTGCTTCCAGCATGAGCTCCGCCGCCTCTTCTGCCTCGTCTGTCGCGGCTTCCCTGTCCTCGGCTGCCTCTTCCGCCGCCTCCTCTGCTTCTTCTGTTGCGGCTCTCCCCACCAATGCTGCTGTCCTTGGTCAGACCCGTGACACCTCTTTGATTGCTGCTGCCGGTGCTGCTGCCGCCTTCGCCATGTTGGTTTAAGTTTCACCACCCGGGCACAACTTGCTGCAGTGCAGTTGCCGATGTGGAAGATAATGCTAAGGCATGACGGTTTGGAGGTTGTCATTGACGGGCGTTCTATCCATGTAACTATTAGGTCAGAGTTCAAAAAGCTCTTCTGCAACAAGGAAGAATGCAAACTCTATTATTATTCTATTTTTTTTGGATCACTCAGAAGTCCCGAAAAGACCATGTAAGCTCTCTATATAGATAGATGCATGCTCTAGTTAGCCTCCTCTCGCGCATCCTCTAGCATTTTGGACAATCTTTGCTGACGCTCCTCGCGGCACGTGAAGAACACCTAAAAAGACATGAGGTTAGCTATCTCATCCTGACTCGTCAATAAGCCGAATGGGCGAAGACAATGCCCAAGCACCAGACCATCCACCGGCACAGAAACCACATACCCAGAACCACACCATCATCTCCATAAACGCAAAAGTAAAGACCACGCGGGTCTTCAACTGCGCCAAGCCCGTAGGTGCCGCCTTGGAAGCATATGTCGAATCGACCAAGTTTCCTCGAGCCTGATAGATATAGAAAGACAGAGCGCCGTAGAGCGCGAATCGAACCGCGGAGACAGCAATCCAAATGTTCCAATACATCGTCAATGACTTGGTGATATACTCGGGCAATCGCGCCAAAGCTTGCAGATCCTCGGCTGGGAGGTTGGAGTTACGCAGAGGTCGAATGTAAGGCAGGGCATCGTTCAACGCTTCGTGGAAGGGCAGACTTGTGAGAAGGACGAGGTCGACTGCAGCGGCGGTGAAGAGGAGGATGGAGCAAATCACGTAGGGTGAGGTCGTTGGGTTTGTGGATGGGGGGAAATCCTGTATGTCGGTGGAATTGAGTCGTGAATTAGTTCGGTTGAGTTTTTGAGTTGGGCTTCTAGGAAGGTGGGATATGCGTACAATTCGGAGGGCCTCGCCCATCATAAAGACAATGTCGGAGTCGGTGATGGTGGCGGGATTCTTGAGCAGATAACCGGCAATTACCACCAGGAACACCGCATGTGCCTGGATCAGAGTTTTGGACGAAAGGAGCGGCATGGTTTCGGGGAATCGGTAGGGAGTCTCTGGTGAAGAGAGATGTTGATGAGGAAAAAAAAATGATCACTACTTTGAATTCTATTTTCAAAAGATGCAGGGAAGGGAGACTCGACGCTTGCCCGAAGGATCCGCCGCCAAAGTGTCCACTCCAGGCCAAGTGGGGAATCGACTCGAGCTTCCACCGCGGATGTTCCGCTGCGCAGATTAAGGAAAGCAACCCCCGCTAACTGCCCACCACAACATGCTGCCGGTACCACCAAGCTTGTTCATGTCCTCTCTTGAACAGATCTCCTACCTCCAGTGTCACTCCATGTGAAGTCCGGTTCTTCACTACCCCTCGACTTTTCAAGCGGATATTGACCAAACCCCCTGAAACGGCTCTGGATTTCAAACATGGCCGCTCCGATCTTCAACACAGAGCGCCATGTGAAATACTACCTCCGCTGCCTGAAGACATTCCTCCCCTCGGCCTACACATCCAATGACTCGAATCGCATGCTCCTGGCTTACTTGACCCTCGGGGGTCTCGACGTGCTCGGCGTACTTCACAGCAAGACTACTCCCGAGGAGCGGCAAGGGTACATCGACTGGCTCTACCATTGCCAAGTACCCTCGGGGGGATTTCGCGGATTTCCAGGCACAGACTTTGGCGACGAGCGACGAACATCCGAGAATGAAGCCTGGGACCCGGCAAATATCCCTGCGACGTTCTTTGCGCTTGTGAATTTGCTTATGTTGGGCGACGACCTTAGCCGAGTCAAGCGCAAGGAGTGCCTGGAATGGTTGCCAAAACTACAGCGTGCAGATGGCAGTTTTGGAGAGACAATAGGGGTACGAGGTGCTATTGAAGGCAATCGGGATCTACGATACTGCTGTTGCGCGTCGGGCATCCGATACATGCTCCGAGGTCCATACGGAAAAGGCGTGGAGGAAGTGAAGGATATTGATGTGGCAAGGCTAATTTCATTCATCGAGCAATGTCAGGTATGCTAATGTGTCGAGCTGTTTGCTTTCCATGTGGTATCATTCTTGGGGTTCTTCGGGTATTGACTCGTCATTTTCTGAATGAGCAGAACTACGACGGCGGAATGGGCGAGTCACCATTTCGCGAATCCCATAGTTGGTCTTCCGATCGTCCCCTTTGCTGCGCGACACTTTTCTGACCAGGCGATTTAGGTGGCCATACATATTGTGCAGTTGGATCTCTGCACTTTCTGCGTCGGGGAACAGATAAAAGCCGGTCCTCCCTGCTGCTGTGTCCGGGTTCGAAAAGCTTTGAGTCCTTGGTTCACTGGCTGGCATCGCGGCAGACAAACAAGTTGCTTGGGGAGGGCGACGAGGATGAAGTGAACGAGGACGATATTGAGGAGGAGCAGGAGGAGGAGGCGGCGGCGGCGGAGGAGGAAAATATGATCAAATGTGATGAGGAGACACCAGAGTCAGTGGTTGGGATGCAGTCCCACAGGCAAAAGGAGCGACCGGTAGATGAAGGTCACCAAGAGGTCAAGTCAACTTCGAATTCAACAGAGGACGAAATTCGTGGGCTGTCTTATTTGACACCAGAGTCTGGCGAAGGAATGGCGTGTGCAGGATTTAATGGCCGATGCAACAAGTTGGCAGATACATGCTACTCCTTTTGGAACGGAGCAGCACTCATGGTACGTGGATAATAATGAGGGCTGAGCGGTTAGAGCGAGAGGCTTACCACATATATGTAGATGTTGGACCGTTATTCTGTCATTGATGACGTGCGGAACCGACAATACCTTTTAGGAAAGACCCAGCATCTGGTTGGGGGCTTTGGAAAGGGTGTCGGAGACTCTCCAGGTAAGTCGATAAGCTTTTTGTGAGATATCGGAGATCGAGGTTAGAGTTTCGATCGCGGACTGATCTAACAAACATTGAAATCGCGCAGATCTCCTGCATTCGTACTTTGGTCTCGTATCGCTCGCATTTCAGGGCGAAGAGGGTCTCACTCGGGTCGAACCTGCTCTAGTTGCGACCGATCGCACAGTGGCGCATTTGGAGTCCCTGCCATGGTGGTCATTTACCACCGATAAAGTTGAGATCTCTGAGATCTGATCCGACGGCGGGCATCGATGTCGAACTACGTCATGGGATGGATGTCACTCCCCGAGACTCTGCCCGCGCGCACGTGGCGGACTGGAGTGTTCGACCTCAATAGGCATTGTAAAAGAAGATCAACTGCTGTGGAGTACAGTGCAGATAATTCAGATAGCAGTTCTTACGAACGAACGACATTTCACATCGAAAGAGGCATACCTCTGATCTGGGATCGAGTGACATTTGTCTCCGAAACAAGTCGCTGGACTCAGTACAGTGGCGGCAAAGCAGATGGTGGTGTGCAAGGGATCCGTGTGTCCTTGGACTGAGTTCACATTGGAACCCTGCTGCGGCGAGACCAAGGAATCCATTTCCGTCCGTGATCAGTCAATGGGTGATGCTCGATTCCTCGGGACAAATCTCACATGAGAGGCTACTGTGTCCAGCATCATCGGGACTGGGGCTCTGTATCAGAGTTCTGGAGGAGATGTTTCCCCTGTACGATCCATAATGTTATATACGTCGGATATAGGTGTCTAACAGGTGTCGCGCTCTCACTAATATGTATAGATAGCCACAGACCTATGGTAAGCCTTTCCAGGCTTGGTCTTATTGGATGAAACGGGGTCTCGGATTCCGGGTTCACCTATTGATCTCGCTCTGGAGTTGTCCAGGCCTCCATATAAGTACTGAATATGTGCCTGGCCGCCCGGAGAACTAAATAGGCGACATTCCATATGCATCTTTTCAACCTAGTAGCCTCCTGCACGTTATGGCAGTTGGTGAGATAGAATGGTACCTCGCACACACATAACACAGTATTTTCGTGGACCCCACAAACCCTGTTTCCACCCTACCTTTAGATCTCTGTACAAGACCGCGCCCGTGGCCATAGATTCAGAATCCGGCTGGCAGGGTCGGGAGTATCGCAACATCACGCGGGCCCCTAGTTCGTCGTTGGATCTTGGAGGCGATCAATTCAACCACTGACCTGAAACTCTGTCATGGTGCGGTGGTACCAATCCACCACGCCTACTGTGATCGTTCATACCGAGGGTGTCAAGGGTGATGGAGACTCGGATTGAGCTTTGCGGGTTTCAGGCGCAAAGGGGCTCCCAGGGGATTTGCAAACCTGGTCTTGTTGCGAATCATGCTGAAATTCGACTGGGTCCTGTGGTATACCAAAGGGCAGGTCCTAAGGTAGGGTTCGCAATGATCCCTGGATGAGGTCATGCAACGATGCGCAGAGCACGCGAGTCACTCCGTGTTGTTTGGGCTTCAAGTACAACCAAATCGAGACGTACGATTGGAAACAATTCCGTCGCGGGCATAGAGCGCTGGATCTGGGGCAATGATGTTTCACCATCACTCCTCTGCCGATTTGGAAGAAGACTAAACAACTACCTAAAGAAGTGCAAGTGTTGTAAACACGGATGTCCGGAGTATTCACTTCATACTTTACACTTCACACTTCACAGTATACACCAGGTAGATCTATCTCCCTACGACTAGTAACTAGTGTGGGCTTGTAGCTGACAAGCTGCTATGCATCTGCGCCCGCGGCGAGCACTACTTACTTAGTTTGGTAAGCTCCCGTGACGGGCTTGAAGTTGTCTCACATTTCGAAGCAGAGGCGGATGTTCCAGAATCCTCAACACCATCACAGGAGTCCCAAGACCGTTCGAGTTCAAGCCCCCTCGGCCAAACTCCACCGGTCCGCATTGGCACGTTTCCCTTGACGTCCGTCCAAGTTTTGCTGGACGGGAACTCCAGCAAAGTTTAGTGAGACTGGACATCTGCATTTCCCCGTGCTTTCGTCCCCAATTGAGCATCCTCGTCACCTTCACCTTTGCTGTCTCTCCCACCCCCTCGACATTACTCTCCTCCTCATTCTCTCACGTCTGGTCGCTGTTCTTCGCTACGCTTCCCTCGCGGTCCTCCTGAACAGTGCATCCCTGGCCTGCGTTGGCCCGCGCACCCGCCACTCCTCCCGCCCCGGAACTTGTTTCCCCGACAGCCCTGACTTGTGTCTGTTTGAATGGCCAACACCAACACAAAGTCCGCCTCTATCCCCCAGTCTCGCTTTCCGACACCCTCCAGAGATCTCCGTGACCGACGGCAGTCTCGGAGATCGGTCATAACTCATGCCGCCCAGGACAAGAGCGGGAGCGCAGAGCCAGAAACAAAAGGAAAAGGTACGTCGTGGGGAGTCGCGCCGTCGCCGTTGCGACCACCACCAAGAGAAATCCCACCCCCTGACCTGGGCCCGGACCCCCCTTCTGCAGAGGTACCAAAGGCTGACACAAGGATGGACTCGGCTCATAGCTTGTGAATTCATACAATGAACTGTTCGAGTAAGTCTTGCTTGACCTTTCCACTGGGGTACAACCCTCGGCGCCGTTGGTTGACATTGATGTTCTTTGGCAGGGAGTTTTCGTCCAAAGATTTGCGGAGTGTCGGAAACTATACACTGGGAAAATTGATTGGCAAAGGCTCATTTGGCAAGGTCTATTTGGCATCGCATAAACTCACCAATGGCTCCAAGGTACGACTTGACACCCATGAGCGATAGATCGCTCACGGGTGGACGGCGACATCCACTGGAAACCGAAACGGCCAGCGCACTAACCGTTAATCAGGTAGTGCTCAAGTCCTCCAGCAAGGAGGACACCAATCTAGCACGGGAGATTCACCATCACCGCCAATTCTTACACCCACATATTGCGCGCCTGTACGAGGTCATCGTCACAGAGAACCTGGTCTGGTTAGTTCTGGAGTATTGTCCAGGTAGGTGGAGAGGCTACAATCGCGCAGGATGATGAGAAAGTCGCGACCCCGAACTGACCTTCTCAGGTGACGAACTGTACAACTACCTTTTACATCATGGACCCCTCCCGGCCGACAAAGTCAAACGCATATTCACCCAGTTGGTGGGCGCCGTGGCCTACGTTCACAGCAAGTCTTGTGTACATCGCGACTTGAAGCTGGAAAACATTCTACTTGATAAGCACGAGAATGTCAAACTGTGTGACTTTGGCTTTACCAGAGAGTATGAGGGGAAAGCCAGCTATCTTCAGACTTTCTGCGGTACTATCTGCTACAGCGCACCAGAGATGCTAAAGGGAGAGAAATATGCGGGCGAAAAGGTCGATGTCTGGAGTTTGGGTATCATTCTCTATGCGCTGCTGGCTGGAGAGCTTCCGTACGATGACGACGACGACCAGGTGACGAAAAAGCGAATCCTGTCCGAGGACCCCCAATACAACGACAAATTTCCAGAGGACGCCAAGGCTTTGATAAATCTGTTACTTTCGAAGAGACCCCTGATACGACCAAGTCTCAATGATATTCTCGCCCATCCGTTCCTCGCCGAGCACGCCCCGGAACAGCTTGCCATCTTGAAAATTCCCAGGCCGTCCCCATTCACCACACCGCTGGAGAAGACGACCCTGCAACGTATGAAAAGTGCAGGCGTGAACATCGACGAGGTGATTGAGAATGTGCTCGCCCAACGTTGTGATCCTTTGGCGGGATGGTGGGCTTTGTTGATCGAGAAAGAGCAGCGCAAGGAACTGAAGCGTGAGCGGCGCCGCCGGGAGCGGGATGCAGAAGCGAAAAATCTCCGCCGACTGAGTGCGGCCAGCAGCCGGTTGGAGAAGCTGTCATCGGCCCTGGTCGAAGTAGATGAAGAAGGGCATATGCAGACTGGTTCGCTGCAAGACCGTGGGAGACGAGACAGGCGAAGCCTGCCATCTCAGCTAGCGGTGCCGGAGCTTCCTGCCTTGCCTGAACCTTTGCCAGTCCCTTCACCTGATTCGAATTTGCCGCCGACGCCCCTCGAGAATGACTCTACAGCCGCTGACAGACGCTCCATCACATCAGCTTCAACGTCTGTTCGTCGTCGCCCAGTGCCTCCGCCAAAAGATAAGAGAAGGTCGCGCCCCAGCGTGCTACATGCTAGTGCGTCCCAACCAGAACTGACGCAGCACCATGGCATTTTCCGACGCCGCGCGTCGCGCCGTCAGCACCCGATTCTTAGTCAACTCGCCTCCCTGAAGCACTGGTTCCTCGAATCTGCCAAGCGAGCAAAGTCCCCCAGTGCCAAATCTGGCAGCTCGCGCAAATTTCTGTCTGAAAAGTTCAGTCCTGGTAAGAGCCATGATTCTGGGAAAAAGGCTCCCGTGCCCTCTATCACCGGCGACGTCTCTACAGATGTAGCCACGCCCACACAGACCAAACGCTTCTCCAACGCCAGCAGTCTTGCGCCAAGCAGTGCTTCATATCAACAAAATCGACACTCTTATCCACGTCAACCTCGCTCGCTGAATACGGCCCACTCGAGCCATCGCAACTCCCTTTCGCCATCTCCCATCACACCTCGCGGCTCCTATCGGCGGTCATCAGCTGGACTGCGTGGCCGCAAGTCAACTTCATCCTCGGTTTCCTCTATTCGCAGCATCCATCACGCTCGAGCACACTCCAAAGCCTCCTCCATCTCATCTAACAGCATCGACACTGTGGCAACACCTACCGCGCGAATGTCCAAGTCTCCACACTCATCGATCAAGGTGCTGCCGACAACGCCTGGTTCATCTGCACGCTTCCCAAGCAATATCCGTTTAGTGCGCGGGCCCAGTGGGCCCCAGCGCGAACTGCCTGGGAGTGAGGATGATCTCTCGGCGTCTTTCCCGGAAGCTGTTCCAGGTCCCATTCTCTATTCTCCGTCTTCAAATTTGGTTTTTGCTCGCCGAAAGCGATCCGCGTTCAAGGGACCGATGCTGCACACGTCAAATTTGATGACGTCGGGTACCTCGCTCCACTCCCCGATGCCTGGCCAGGCTGTGGAGAGCAGTGAGGCGATGCCTGCCATCAGCCGCTCCACTCATCGTCCTGCGGCTCGTAAGAGTCAAATTATCGAAGAAGAGGAAGACGACGAAGAATTTGAAGAGGACGTGGAAGAAGTGGACGAGTTTGACGCACCGGAAGTAGAGCCACGGACTAAGGGTACGGACGACGATGAAACGCCTCGAGTGTCGGTGGCCATACCGCAAGACACTGGATCTCCATCATCTGACTGCAGGCCAGCACTGGAGCCTGCTCCAGAGCTAGTTTCCAGCCCTGGCAGACCTCCACGGTCGTCCTCGCTGCTTTCTCCGTCTAGCGAGACAGCTGCAGCTCTTGCGGTAGTCACTGCAGAATCGACCACTGCCGGCGGCGACACAAATGCTGAACTAGGCTCTGGAGCAGATACCGAGGACCTTATGAAGCCGGCTCAGACAGAATAGACCAGGAGCGGACGTCTTCTATGGTTACTTTTTTTTCTCCATTTCCGCCTCGACTTTCCTTTACCCATTCTTCCTTTTGTCCATTCATTTGCCCTCTATTTCACTCTTCTGTTCCGTTTCCTTGTTTCTTTGCCGTCGACTGACTGGTCGATGATTGCTTATTTCTTTGGATTGCCCCGGCCATTTAGACGATAGAGGTTGCTTGCATCTGTAACATGCTCCGATTTCTTTTGCATCACCATGTTTGATTTACGCATATACCCCTTCTGTGTTCATCGCGATCTCATGTACGTCATGGGACATTCTTCTTCTTCTTTTTCTTCTTCTTCCGCTCTATCCTTTTATTCCCCACGCTAAGCATCTGTCTTGAAATTATCCATCGCGAACGACGGTCTGTACTCGAACAACGATGCAGATGGCTTGACCCCACACTCTCATTTGTCTCTTTTCTTTGCATCCCTTACTTGACGCAAACTTGGTGAACTTGCTTTCTCCCGGCGCATCAATACCCTTTAGCATCTGCACCGTTGCATCTCTTTCCCAGCTGAAATTCCATGGTCGTCAATCAAAAAGGCCACATTGCAAGTCTTATCGAGTAATCTTATTATGGTGGTTGATCCTCAGTCTTGATCGATGAGTAGTTTCATTTGATTGTCTCATTTGCAAAGCTTCCCGACTTGCTACCGGCAGGGAGTCCACAGAGCGACCGTTTCTGCTTCGAGATAAATGAATGGCGATTTGTTCAGGCGCCGTGGCAGTATGACTATGGATAGCATCTGTCTAGATTCATCAAATGAATTTATGCCATGTCCTTCACCGAGTCAAATAGTCATACCATTGAACCGCCTGTCCATGATACAAAATGGATGTAAAACTCTCAACAAGACCAAATGAACATCACGCACCAAGCATTTTCTCAATTTCCTGGCCTCAATCATCAGCCAAAAACTGAAACGAGACAACGAAGAAAAGCCCCTAAAAAATTTGAGAAAAAAAAATCAAAGGATAACAAGGCACAATCCAAGTAGAAAATTATCTACAACCGCTCAACATGAACCGGACCCGTTCCCTTATCCGCTTCAACCTCCTCAGTCAATATCACCCGCTTTCTCCCTTTTAGCTGGAACCACATGATCCCCTGCGGTCGTGGAAGCAGCTTCTATATCCTTTGCATTTTGATCCTGGAGTCCGACCCGGCTTGCACCGACTTTGTCCACGGTTGATTTGTACGAGGGGACAAAGTTGACTGCCACGGCATAGGTCCATGCGACGACCATGAACTGTGAGATTGTGTAGGAGTTAGTGATCAGTTCTTGCTTCCGAGGGTTATCCATCAGGCCGTTTGGCTTGCAAGAAAGGCTCGCTTTGAGAATATCATATATCATAGTGTCGGGACATTCTTGCCGGCCTTGCCTTGTTTGTTGATGTGGACGGTGGCATAAATCAGGGGAAGGAGGGGGGGGGGGGGGGGGGGGGGTTAGCTTACCATGGTTGGAACGATAAACGCGAAGCCGGTGTTGTTCTTCATGTCTGCTACATGGCCCAGAATCGGGGGAACGACGGCACCACCACAGACACCGCCGATGATCACGCCTGAGCCACGCTTGTAGTGGCGGCCTAGACCTCGAATACCTAGAGCGACGATGGTTGGGAAACAGACGGACTCGAAGAAGAGGACTAGGTAAAGCATTGCTGAGTGAATTGTTAGTTGGGGGCTATTACTCCATTTCAGATGCTTGAGAGCGAAGTTCTTGAGTAGTTTGATGTTTGCTGCATCTCTCCCTCTCCCTCTCCCTCTCCCCCCACCATCTCTCTCTCTCTGTTTTATGAAGAAAGGGACAAATGACCTACCAACACCAGCCTGATTCCTCTGAGTGACAGAGGTGGCCAAAAAAGCCACACAGCACGAAAGATAGATACCAAACACCCAGCGTGCCTTGACATACTTCATGATTCCCGAACCCAGGAACCGGCCTGCGGCAAAGGCACCCTGCGCACCAGCAAGGAGTTTTGCACCCTTGGCACCGGTAGTTCCAGGCCAGGTATCTTCGGCATAGTTGATAAAGTAACCCGCGATAGCGACTATGAGTGAGCAGAAAAGGCAAGATTGGTCAGTACTCCGCATTGCTGTCTTCAGCTGTTGCCCTGCTTGAATGATCCGGCAAGAAGTGAATTGATGGAGCGGAAATACCTTGGGCTCCGGTGTAAGTGAATTGCGCCAGCGCAGCATGGAATAGCTTATATTGCTTCCAGAAGGGCTTCTCCTGTTCATCCACGTGAGTCTCTGCTACCTGGAAAGCCATATCCTCGTCCGTGACTTCAGGGATGCTTGAAACGAAGAAGACAGCAGCGAGACAGAAGACGAAAATTCCGATGGCGAGATAGACCCATTGAACGCGCTGAAGCGCAGTGACGGTATCGTTTGTGCCGGTAAAGAATACATAGGAACCGAGAACAGGTCCGACAACGGTTCCGATGGCGTTGAAAGATTGGGCAAAGTTGATTCGAATCTCTGCATAACGGGGAGGACCGCACACTGTTATGATGTAAGAGAGTAAGTGTTAGTGATTGGTTGCTATGTTTCGATACCTTCGGTCGTCCGTCCTCCTCCTAGCGATGCTTTCCATGAGTGGATCGACGAATGTTCTCTTCCTTCATTCAAACAGAACAAGAAACAAAGCATACCGGTCAAGTATGGATTGGCTGCGGTCTCCAGAGATCCCAGGCCAGACCCAATAACAAATGTCGCACCGCAGAATCCACCAAAGGACTGATTGAGCCCCGCTGGCCACATGCACAAGGCACCGATGCCGTACAAAGTCAGACCAAAGATAAAGACGGTTTTGTATCCATAATGGCGGAGAATCCAGTTGGCGTAGCCGAGCGAGGCCAGTGGGTAGGCGCTACATAGAGCGCTCGTTAGTCGACATGTAAGCGTTACCAATGGAGGACCGATTGGAACGTCAAAGTCTCCTCGCTTGGATGTGAGGCAGTCTATGAGCCATGGATCAGGTGAGCGCATACCCAAAATATGCTGCTTGGAGACCGGCTGATCGTGTGCGATCGATATGTAGCGTATTTTGGAAGTGCTTGTTCAGCGTGTCAAGGAGTCCATATGCAAAACCCTAGCAATGTGTTCAGTACACGTATCAAGCTTGCGGAGCCGACGTTTGACATGTGTCTAAAGCAAAGTCGAGTCACTACATGGATTGCGTACCCATAGAAAGAATAAAATTGTCACGAGACTGAGGGGCCAGAGGCTCTGACGCAAGGTGAGTGTTGAGGCGGACGTTGTCTTACGATTGTCGATCCGTAGACCGGAGCGGTTTCTGAAGACTTCTTTGAAGCCCATCGCGACGTGGACGAAAAAGGTGATCGCCCTCCTTGTGTCCTTGGAATAATGAGCTGAGAATGAATTTCTGAAGTGAATTAAATTGCGCGAAGTTTGTGTTTTCTGAAATCAGTGCACTCGAGTTAAGCGCATGGTTATCAGGTCGAGGGTTGTCTATGACGGATTGAAGGAGACAGATTTGTTCGACATCAGGTAGAACATCGACCGTGTTTTGTACAGGGCGTTGTCCCGAACTTCCAGAAGACTCTGGGAATTGAAGGAGTAATGAACATTCTATACTAAATACCCGCTAGTTAGCTGAGGTTACATTCCATCGATGGCAGTACGTACCTCAGATCAGCAGTAACTCACCCTCAACCGGCGGGTCAACCCCCTCCCCCGCGATACTTGCATTCCTTGGACGAAGAAGTGGGAACAGAGTATCTCCTGCTGTACTCGCTCGCAGGGAAAGAATCAAACCCGTATAATGCCATTCGTCCAGTCGAGTGACAGCCCGAAATAGTATGGGATCTGCATCACATCACATTTCGAAAAGACCCGTCGCATCGCCTGCGCCGCCACTTCTCTGGTCATGGTTCCCCCCATTCTCCTTGAGATCTGAACCCTTTCAGTGTCACTTTTCAAGGAGAGCATCGTCGATTGCCCCGCTTCAACATGATCAATCTTCTCCGCATTCTGTGAGTCGAACGTGGCCTGGGTAGTCACCCCACTTGATCTTCAAATCCGGGGAAATGCCTCCCACCCGCGAGCCAAGCGCGGAGAGACCTTTGTCGATCACTTTCTCTTGGGTTGCCGCGACTTCGGAGGGTTCCATGGTACATTCGGCACAAGGATCACGCCAACAAATGGACCTCGATGAACTTCGCAGTCGGACGTTCACACCCAGTCCCAGTCGCATGCAAAGGAAAGCCATCGTCTTGAATCCTGTCGACACGCGAGCGAGTAGGATAGAGTAGAGAGTAGAGACTGCACTTGAAGTCACGAAGACGGAGAGTTTAGACTTTGTAAAGTCAAAGCCGGAGAAGACTGGAATTTGCGGGGCTGCAGAGCCAGAGCATTGCCGGGAATCAGTTTCATAGACCATCGAAGAGTCGCTGATCTTCAACCACTACTCTACTACACTCCATCCAGTCAGCATCGGCATGCAGCTATTGGAGAAAAATACCCAAACCCTGATTCGCGGGACTATGTGGCGTCTGCCAAGACTGAAGTCGCATCTGGTACGTAGGAAGACGAGGAGAAGAGGAAAACAATTGAAGCAAGTCGGGCCCGTATGTAGCTGTCGGGTAATTGTTTCGGGTATTTTCAGCATTACATGACTGTCGCTCTCGCCATCGAACGCAAATGTTCGATCAAGAAGACAAAGAAGATGGGGGAGTGGGGGGGGGGGGCTGTCGAAAAAGGAGATCTATAGAATTAATCGGATCCTGTCTTGGAATACTAATGGACCAATTCTGGTAATGTTCGACATTGCGGCTGTTTTAGAAGAACCATCACCGAGGTCAACTGGGTCTCTCATGAGCTTTGTCTAGATAGACTTGGGCAAGCCGTGGTGAGGCTGATTAGAAGATCAGACTTTGAGGACCATCATTCCTCGTCTTGGTCGATTCCGCCACGCCAATTCGGCCTCTTCGAAGACCAGGGGAGGAACAGTCATTAGAGTGATGAGGGTTTTCTATTCTGAGTTTTCATCTATAAAAGCCATGCATACTCCAAAAAAGACAAGTGCTCAATCAACACCAACATGTGCCTCGTAGATGGTGCCCAAGGGGCCCCCCAGGGCATCAATCAGCCAACAACACCCGCTGTATTCAAAATCTACAATGACTCCAAGAATTCCTTCCACCCCAAGGTTCATGCTAGACTGCGTCAGTCAATACGTGAAAAGCCCCGTCGGACTCTCCTCTTCAGGCCGTCTTGGGCTTGCCAACACTGCCATTCTGGGCAAGCGGAGCCACGGTGACCTTTTGGTTGTACAATTGACGCTCAATGAATTTGAGGCCCTCATCGATGATACTACAAGCAGACGAGATTAGCTCACAATGTTTCCAAAATTTGCGAATCGCCGCGCGCAAGGAAATTGGGGCGAAGGGCGAGGAACTTACATGACAGGAGCGCTGATCAAAAGAACCGCCTTCCATTCCGTCCAGTCCAAGGGCAGAATCGCAAACAGCGTCTGCAGGAAAGGGATATACAGGATAGCAAAGTGGAGGACCATCGACAAGGTGATGGCGTAGACCAGCATCGGATTGTTGTGGAGGAAGAAGGTGAACAGCGATTCGCTGGAGGACAGAGCGTTCATAGCGTTGAACATCTCAATGACAACCAAGATAGACAGAGAGACCGTCGAGGCGGACTTAGCCATGTCATTGCTGAACATTTCGCAGCCAATCTCTGGGAAAAGCGCAGAGCACTGATGGAAGTGAGACTAGATTGGATCGAACGAGTCAGCATAAAACTTGGTCCTTCTATGGTGTCTTATCATGTCTAATGACTTGGCTTATCGCGCCAGAGAGGGAAATTGAGGATCTGCCGCAATGCAAAACTTACTAGATGATAGTAGGAGATCTGAGGTCCCTCGGGGTTATACATGAACCACCACACGTATCCGAAGACAGTGGCAGCACCAACATAAGTACCAACGACCATGTAACGGAACAGTAGCCAGCCACCGACAAGAGGTTCGTCACGGCGACGGGGAGGACGCTTCATGACATCGTGGTCGGCAGGGTTGAATGAAAGAGCAGTGGCAGGAAGACCGTCGGTAACCAGGTTGACCCACAGAAGTTGCACGGGAACCAAAGCTTCCGGCATACCAAGAGCGGCAGTGAGGAAAATCGATACAACCTCACCGATGTTTGACGAGATCAAGTAGCGAATGAACTGTTGGGTGTTGCTGTAGATCGAGCGACCTTCCTCCACGGCGACGGCGATGGTAGCAAAGTTGTCATCGGCCAAAACCATGTCAGCAGCCAGCCTGGCAACATCGGTACCGGTACCCATGGCGACACCAATGTCGGACTTCTTCAGAGCAGGAGCGTCGTTCACACCGTCGCCAGTCATGGCAACAACGTGGTTCATAGATTGGAGGAGATCAACGAGTTGAGACTTGTGGGTAGGCTCCGTGCGCGAGAAGAGGGATGCAGTCTGGACGGCCTTTATCTTTTCGGACTCGCTCAGGCTGTCAAACTCACGACCAGTGAAGCTCTTACCCGTCAGGTCTTCGTTGGGTCCAAATACACCAATTTGGCGACAAATAGCTTCGGCAGTGTTGCGGTTATCACCAGTAATGACAATGACACGGATGCCAGCATTGTGACACTTCTGGATAGAAGCAGCGACTTCAGGACGAGGGGGGTCCAGCATACCAACCAGACCGATCAGAGTCATGTTCTGCTCAAGCTTGGTGTAATCTTCAGTAGTGGTCGCCCTCTTGAGCAGCTCATTGCCGGAGACATTGTCCACGCTAGCGAGGGCCATGACACGGAGACCACGGTTGCCGTATTCAACAATCTCTTCCGTAATCAATTTGGCGTGACTTGCGGTCATGGAGACACGAGAGCCTTCAGAGCCTTGCAGAATGTGAGAGCAGCGCTCCAGAATTGACTCTGGTGCACCCTTGACGAGGAGCCTTTGGTTGTGGCTTTCACCAACGAGGACAGACATGCTCTTGCGGTCCCGCGAAAATTCATAGGTAGCTTGGAGAGCAGAGCGTGCCTCGTAAAAAGAGGAGGAATTATGGAGACGTTCGGAAGCCGGCTGGCTGAAAATCTTCTGGTTGATAGCCACATCAGGGGTACCGATCTTCTCGACCAAGCAGCGCAAAGCAGCCTCAGTAGGCTCACCAATGTTGGAGAATGTGCCAGTCTTCGCATCACAAGCCAAAGTGGCCGCATTGCAAAGGGCCGAGACCTCTGCAATGCGGGCGACAGTGGACGAAGTTGCAGCGGCATGCTCGATGACCTTACCGTTGCGGGTCAACTTACCCTCCGGCGCAAAGGTAGTGCCCTCGACTTCGATTTCCTCCAGACCGGTACCCAAGCTGTTAACGTAGACGATTTTTGCCACACTCATCTGGTTGGTGGTCAGGGTTCCAGTCTTGTCAGAGCAGATAACACTGCAGCTACCCAAAGTTTCCACAGAGGGCAAGGAGCGAACAACAGCATTCTTTTGGGCCATCTTGCGGGTTCCCAGAGCCAGGCAAGTAGTGATAACAACGGCCAGACCCTCAGGAATGGCAGCAACACCGAGCGAGACGGCAATCTTCAGGTAGTAAATAGCACCCTTGGTCCAGCTGCCACCAAAAGAGGGGTCATTGAAGTGCTCAATATTGATCAGCCAGACGAGGACGCAAATGACGGTGATGACCTTAGCAAGCATGTCGCCGAAGTCATTCAGCTTCTGCTTCAAGGGAGTGGGCTCGGAAATTTGGCTGGTTATGCTATCGTGAATATCGCCGATGGCGGTCGATGCTCCGGTCAACACGACCAGTGCGGTAGCATGGCCAGTGACGACAGTGGTGCCAGAGAAAAGCATATTGATCTGGTCCTGCTTAACAGCCTGGACATCCTGCACAACCTTGGTGTCCTTTCCAACACTTTCACTCTCCCCGGTAAGGATAGCTTGGTCCACGCGGAAGCTGTTGCTGTCAATGGAGATCAAGCGACAATCGGCAGGAATTCGGTCGCCAACAGCGACGATGATCACATCACCAGGTACCAAATCCTCAGCCTTGACCTTCTGAATTGTGCCGTCACGTATAACCTTGGCCTCGTTGGCGGAGTATTCCTGGAGAGCTGCAATGGCTTTCTCGGCGCTGCTCTCCTGGGTCACGCCAACAACCGCGTTGAGGACCAGAATGGTCAGGATCTATGAGCGAGAGGTACTCAGTTAGTCTCCATTGCCAATGTAGTCAAGTTCGAGTCCGGAAGGTATGAACTCACAACGACAGGATCCACGAAGGCAGTCCAGTCATCACCCTCTTCAAAGAGAGCCAAAACAAACGACACAGCTGCCGAGCCAAGCAGTATCAGAACGAGCTGGTCCTTGAATTGCTCCAAAATCAGCTCCCACATCGGAGTAGGCGGTTCCTCGGCGAGTGCTGTCAATCGGCTGTCAGATTTATATTCCATCGCATGCATGCCCGTAGCGTAGTTTGGTAGTTCCGCGTTGCTTACCATTAGGACCGTACTTCTTCCGGGACTCGAGCACGGCATTGGCACTGAGACCATCGTGTTCGGAGACTTTGAAGTACTCCAGCGCCTTCGCTGGAGTCTGCAAGAACGCATTCTCCATGGCTGCGGTCTCACGGCCCGCGAGGGTTGCTGTCGTGTCCAGAGAATATGAGAAGACTGGGGAAAATGCGGGAGAAACGGGGGTAGATCTAAAATGTATTGGTACAAAGAAGGGAATAAAGGAATAAAGAGAGGAAGGACCGAACTAATGACGGCACCTGAAAGTCAGCCGGAAGTCAGCTGCGAACAAGAAACAGCGACGCCGAGAACAAGCGAGGGACAGGGCGTGTTGATATAGGCGGGCCCTTTTTTCGGCAGATAGGATCCAACGAGCGGAGGCACAACGTGTTCTCATCCAGTGGATTCCATAACATCCTCCAGTCTCCTGCTGATTTAGCGGGTACGTGGGTACTTCCAATCGGGGAACAAGCTGACTCATCAAGGGCCCGCGCGGGCAGGGCTGATGGGGGCTGAGTGTCCGTGTCCCGTGACCCAGTCGGCTTCCGGAATCTGCAATCAAGCAGGAGAGCTACGGTGCCTCGGTGTATACCTACGATAAGGCTTCTTTAGGACACTACACTGCGCTGCGTGGTAGCATAGAGGTTCCTCGGACCCGTACGCTGCGCACCTTGATCAGTCGATTTAGATTTACTGGTGATGACATCGTGATTGACGACCTTTACCTAGTCAAGGTCTCTGGAGCTTGACCGCACCGCCAAAAAGAAAACGAAGCACATCCATGATGGAAGCTGCTTGCAACCGGTTATTGTTGTCTTTCTGTCCGGAAAAATCGACGCAAGCTACGGGCCTCTTCTCTAGGCTGCTTTATTTTTAAGCCTATTGCCTACGATGTGTGGAGCTTCTCAGTGCTCTTGGCAAGCAGACTGGACTCCGCCCATACCGCATGGATTGAAAGAGGAGTCCAGTGTCCTCTGGAGAGCTCAGAGTATCTCGTTCCTGATAGGGCTGATGGAGTCAGGTAGGTCTGTCTTGTCAGTGCGTCTCTGCTGATCAATACTCGAGTCTGAGTTCCAGCTCTCTGTCAATCTCCAATGCTTTCCAGCAGAGCTCTCTGGGACTTCGTACTCGCTGCCATCGGTCCCCACCCAGACTCAGCAGTAGTGGCTCAAGCGATCGAAAGTAGGACACATATGCGTGAAGTGATTGAGGTCAGCGCACGATATTTGTCCAGTGGAACGCTCGCATGGGAACATCGAGCTTGTCTAGCGAGGGCGATTCCTCTACTCGATCGGTGCCAAGCTGAGATGGGCACTGGGAATGAGCCAGTATGCACAGGTTTTGACGATTAATCATTTTGCAGCCAGATTCTGCTTTTTGAAAAACAAATAAAGATCTGCTCTCCTCAACAGGCGGCCCTTTGAATGCTGCAGGCTTGACCATGAAGCTTTGGTCCTCTTAGCATGATCTCGTGACTGTAATATAACTGACGATAAAACTGCCATCTCGAGAACTGATCGGCTCCTGTGACCCAAATTGTGTCAATCATCCGGCCGCCCTGAGCAGGAGCGGCTTCCTGAGCTTGTTGACAGGTGCCACGTTGCCGCGTGGTGGTGGATGCAAGTTTCGTATGCTTTGCCATCATACGAATGATAATGAGAAAATGACCAACTTCCTGACAGCTTGCCCATTATGGGGTTAAAAAATTTGAATCCCGAGAAGGACATTCAGACACAAGGATCGATTGAAGGGCCCTTCTTTTCAAAATACGTTGATAACGTGCTAGGGAGTTAAGCACAGCCTCGAGGCCACATCTTGAGCAGTCAGGTCCACCCACTCGTTGGTTGTGTTCTCTCCATCATGAAAAGGTGGTAGCAGGCCGCTATCTATGAGCACAATCCATCACTACACAGACCATCCTGCAGAATAACAATTGTACTTTGGTCTATCAACATCGATATCAATCCTCCATCTAAAGGAAGTAGGAAGTGAGAAGCGACGAACATCTTGAAGAATCCTCAACCTCGCAGGATTGGGTTTCCTTGCTTGACTAAGAAACGTATAATCAGGCGTCAATTCAGGCGACTCGACCAAGTACCCTCCCTGGTGGAGAATCTGTGTCGTAAAAGCGATTTCAAGATAGAGTCCGATTGACAGTACTAGTCTCGAGCGAGTGAGCTTTCCCATCACTCAATAGTACTTCCTGCACATCTTCTAGCACCTTGGCGAAGGCTCGGCAGTAGCCCGACGGCTTCATGGCAACATCACCAGCCCTTTGATACACAGGAATCCCTCATTTCAATTGAGATGATGGAATTTGCCACGTCGCAAAGCACGTGCTCATGTGCGGCATCGACCTCCTTGTCAATGCTGGGTTCACGCATTCTGTGTTATCTGCCAGTACTGTTGGATTATCGCCTCACTCCACTCGCAGAGAGTGCCGTTGCCCGGTAGTTCACCGATGTTTTCGGGGGAATTGGTGGAGGAGCAGGGCACAGAAGTGGCAATAATAGCGTCAGTGGTAATGTCTGCGTCCGGGACCTCTCCCCTGCTATCCGAGTCTAGTCCAGTGTGAGCCGTTTCTGGTCCGAGACGTGGACACAGAGTATCCCCGGGAGATCGAATTCCATGATTTACGACGTATTTACGAGTTTCATCAACAAATGCAGATAATTGAGCGACCGTTGTGGGTTTTGAACAGGGATCAGGCTCTGCTGGCCTCTCCAAAGAAGAATCGGGGCATGTCAGCTCCCTAGCCGTCAACACTTCGCCCCAAAGTTTTTTGACGTGGTGCCAGCGAGAATGATTTGAAGTGTCCATGCCGGTTTTGAGAAGTTCGTAAAGTCGATGTGCTGACTTCCGCAGTGCCCCTCTTGCGTCAATATGATGATTAAGACACAGCTCCAACATGAGGTAGGCTAGGGCATCCATTTCAGCAGAGACCGGAAGTTGCCACTGCCACCGTGCAGTACTCTCAACTTTTCGCAATTCCGTTGCCTTAAGAACGATACGCATGCAAATGTCGTGATAAACAGTTTGCATGTCTGTCAACAACTCACCGTTCGTCCTTGGTTTTGTCACCTCGAGCCTCAGTTGTTCAATAGCAATATCAAAGAAGGCCACAGTGAAATAGCCCAGTGGTCCTTGTCCGTCACATGAACTGAGGTATTGCCTCTCCAATTGTGCTCTGAACTTGTCGATCTCGTCTACCTTTTGTGAAATATCCATGCAAGGATATGAATTGTTCCGACAGAATTGGTCTGAGAATCGGATAGTGCGCGCAAATCTTATAATTTCAAATCGAGCGAGGGTGAATGTCATTTCTGTTCGCCCAGGCCGTGCCTGCGGGGCTTTGTTCATTCCTGGATCAAGCTCCGTGTCGCTAACGTTAGAGGGCAATTGGGTTGTAAAGGTAGAATCCAAAATGGTAGGATCGAGCCCCTGGCACTCGGCAGTAAGAACGTCCAGTACATAAATCTGCCACCAGATTCGTCGTCGCATTTCTATTTCGAATGGAGAGAGGTTCAAGGATGCACCGTCGTCATGAACGCCCATCTTGAGTGCAATTCGAATGGCGACCCCAAGAAATGCGTAAGCATCAGGACCACGAGGGTCTTTTTGACCACAGATCTGTTCTTGTTGGTCAGTGCTTACTTGATTCGAAATGCAAAATGATCCATACCAAGTAGAGAAGGAATGCTTGTAGAACAGTAATATTTGCTGACTTCGGAAAGCCTGCTTGTCCGAAGCCCTTCTCCACCCAGGACCTATAGCTACAAAAAGATCAGCTGGGTTCGTCCGTGAGAGCACTGCTCCCTTACCGGTCAAGCAGTAAGGCCCTGCTCTCTCCCCATTGAAATTCGCACTCGGTTGGCGACAGCGTGGTGATCGCCGCGTAACACACTGCATAGACCAAGCATAACGTAGACGCGTCATGTGCGTATCGCCCACTTAGAATGTGGAAGATGTGCTGCTGGACTGTCGGAACGTGGATTATCTTGAGGACCGGATCTATCCGGCCCAGGTATATCTGCCATAAGAAAGATAATATTGAAGCAGCAGGTTGCGGGAACTCCTGCGGCCGAGCAGAGTCACCCACAAACGCCCAGGACTCCCTTTCACTGGCGACAGATGAACCTCGCTGATCAGTCTATTGAGACACATTCAGCTCGGCCCTCAGGCTTCGTTGTGTGAAATGAGAAGATTCCCCATTCCGAAATGAGATATCAAATACCTACGGACAGATGGCGACGAACTTCAACCAAATCCTCCTTCAGAGATCGAATCTCTGCTTGTAAACGCTTCTCCTGGATTGACATTGTACTATCATTTATGGATCTTGAAGGGGGATACATGCACTGGACGCGAACCCGAGTGCAGTACCCACACGGAAGAGACCGATCACATCTTATCTTGCGGCGACGACATTCCAAGCAAGACCGTCCCGCGGCGATGGCGCGAGGCGACATGAGCGCGCACGAGGCCCACGTGAGGCAGCAAAAAGAGTCGGAGGCCGGTAATAGAGAACAGACTCAGGGTAGTAGTGTCAAAGAATGAGAAAAGGGTGAGATTGCTGGGGGGTGGGGAAGCACCCAGCACTGTGAGTGATGAGAGCGGAGAAAACGGTTGTCTGAATGCGACACATGCCGTGACTCCGATTAGTTAGGGCGGAGGTGCCTCCGCCTCCGCAGCTCCGCCGTGAGCTATACGTGTATAACACCGGATCGATCATGACGATGAAGGTTACCATAGTTGTGCCATCGAATAATGTGATGCTAATTTTTAGCGTCTAGATTACCAACCTGTACGTACACGATTTCTAATCACAGATGATCCAAGCATTGAATAAGCCAAATAGCTGTTATTGCAATTCCCGGGTGAAGTGGTATAAAGACGGGAGCTCTGTCTCTTCACGAATGATTCCTTGATAGGAGCCCAGCTCAACGCATATCTTGCTCAGGAACTATCCCTCAACCCTCATCTACTTCTCTCACATTTTTGCCAATTCCCACAGTTTACCCCTCTCAAGGTCTTGTTCTTGAAAATCTCAGTCGTCACAACAATCAATAAGTGATCCAACAGCGCCTCCCAAATGCCTGCCTACAAGAAAGTTACCATTGCCGGTGTAAGCTCCATTAACGTGCATCCAGTGAGACTGTTTCTCAAGTCATATGATCTAATCAGGGTCGATTAGGCGAGTGGAAGCATTGGCTCGATCATTCTTCGCGGTCTACTCGCCACCGGCGACTTCAGTATTACTGTGCTTTCCCGCAAAGACAGCGCGGCCTCATTCCCCGACGGCGTCGCTGTTCGGAAGACCGACTTTTCTGAGAGTGAGCTAGAGACCATATTCAAAGGGCAGGAAGTTGTGATCTCTGCTCTTGGTGCCACGGGGTTCGGGGAGCAAAAGAAGCTGATTGACGCGGCTCTTCGCAGTGGTGTGCATAGATTCATACCATCTGAATTCTCTGCAAGCAGTCAAAATGAGGCAATTGTCCAGCTGCTGCCACTATTCGGGGCCAAGAAGGAAGTCATTGAGTATTTGAAAGCAAGTGAATCGGCGGGTCTGACCTGGACGGGCATTGCTACCGGACTGTTGTTTGATTGGGTAATTATTCATCCGAATGAAACCTGGGAAAATCTTCCACGGTGGGGACAAATACTCAACTCACGTGTGGTCTAGGGTCTGCTTAACGGCTTTCTTGGATTCGACATCCCCAATCGAAGCGCAACTGTATGGGATGCGGGTGAGGAAAGCTTCACCCTTACGAACGAGTCCCAGCTGGCCAACGCTGTGATCGCCGTCTTGCGGCATCCCGACGGAACCCGTAACAAGTTTCTACACGTCGCGTCGGTGCGGGCGACTCAAAGTCAAATTCTGGCAGCACTGGAGGCGCAGACAGGGGAGAAATGGACGGTGCACAAGACCACTACCGAGCAGGAGTTGAGCGAGTCACGCAAGAAACTCACGGTTGGAGACTTTTCCGGCGCACTTGGTCTCGTTAGGGCTACGAGCTTCGGCAAGATTCCAGGTTTACATGCAGACTATGTAAAGAGTGGCCTTATCGCTAATGATCTTCTGGGCTTGAAACAGGAGTCTGTCGAGGGAACAGTCAGCCGACTTCTGACTGAGCAGGAAACCTTGAAGTAGGACCGCTCACATGTGAACATAATCATCAAGCCTGACTGGCTCTTCATGGACTGGGCTCAAGACCTTAATTGAAATTCATTATTTTGAGGCTTGTCAACTCTCGAGTACCTACAGTTGGGCCATTTGAAACAATTCGTCCAATCCACTGATTGGAATTCATCTTTAATACCATCGTATCCATCGACTGTCCGCATCTGATTGCCCAGATCTCATTCTCTTTAATAGTTTTGGGCTCCATCAGGCTACACAATAGATTTACAACGATTATTTGTCGATTCTCCTATCTTTTTAGGAGAAGTATGCTAAATAGAAGCCACTGTTGACGGGGGCCGAGTCAGTCTTTTTCAGGTATTGGAAGAGTCTACCGCTAAACAGCCTGATAAGTCTATTTATTTGTGTAATTGACGACCACGACCGGATGATATGAACAGACAGACATGATGACGCCTTTGAGGGACTATCCTGAGCATCCTGAAGTGAAGGGCCAGCTTGAGTGCTTAGTGAGCAGTCCATGATCATAGGTATAAGGAGGCAACGGTGACTCGGTGAGCGAAATAACCCACCTGGAATCGTCGTGGGAAATCGATTATTAATGACTGCAAATAAACAATGGGAATGATTCTCTAAATAGCGTCAAAGGTAGCCTTTCTTCAGCGTTGAATTTACTGCTACCTATTATGGTGGTGTTGGTTGAAAAATCATTTCACTGATCTCTTTGGTTTGAGGGTTAGTTTAAATTTTCGTGCTCATGATCTTGCCAATGATCTTGCCAATGCAAAGTTGTCTTCAGTTTTATAGGTAAGATTGAAGTCACTATCATTCCTAGATGCTTCTCTCGGTCGTCGTCTCGATATTGCGCAGATCTACAGCTCTCATCCATTCGCTAGAAAAGTCTGTTAGCCCCTGTCACCCGTTGGCCACCTCATTTGTCGAGGGATGGATTCCTTTCTTGGAGGTTTCTAGGCTTCCATCCATCTTACCAACCGAGGTTCAACTTAGGTCCAAGATTCTATGGTGACGAAAGCTCCGAATCCGATGCATGTAAGGCTGAGCCATGGCCATCAGAATAATGGATAGTATCTAGTAGATACTATCTACCTAGCATATACAGCACTGGGTATGGCTTCTGAAGCTTGATCTTTCATGTACACCCATACTTACTGTATATTGTTTGATAGACGTTACTGTCAAGTACACTTCCTGGAGGGCAGTTGTGTAGATACGGTATCTATGTAGACATTCGTATATCTGACAAGAATTGCGGCCGCGTTTCACGCAGCCTAGCAACTCATTAGAGTGATTATACAAAAACATGCGAGTCTCAAGCCCATGAGTCAGGGATATAAACCAATAACGGAGCCATTTCAATATGGTACGTGGGCTATGTAGGGAGACTTAAGAACAGGATAAGAGCCTATAGGAACTTTAAATTTTGGTAGGGTAATGTAGCAGAACTACCCGTAGGCCGACCGCCCGAAGACCTAATGAGAAGGGAGAATAGACGTTGAAGAATAGTAGACTGAGCAACACACAAGTAAGTATACAATAAGGATTAGGTAGGTACCTCGATCAAGTGTGGTATCAAAGACCAATGGACGCTCCCCGCCTCCGGCTACATTTAGATAATTCATACGGTCGGATCGATCAGATAAGGTACCATCCGTTGATTTATATACATTTAAGCAGCCTCCACCTACCTAGGGGTTTCTGTTTTTTGTAACACCGAGCCGACCACATCCCCTTTTGACGCTACCCAAGTGAACTATATCTGTTAATAAGTCCATGGAGTTGGCCCGAAGTCTTCTGGTAGTAAGGTTACTGTTCACTAAATCCGTTTAGATATTGAAATCCGAAGCGAAGAGACATCGACAGATGAGGGGAGAACGCAGGTTCGGTTCATTTGAAACTAACCCCCGGGGCTGTGGGCTACATACTAGGCAAGTCGCCTAAGAAATTCACGATGAAGAAGTCATACCAATCGATGTAGGTACACTGGACCGTACGACTGCGAGGCAATAAGACTCGGCCATAGGTATCTGACTGCTGGTCGGATTGTTATGTACTTTGGCACTCAGTCTGCGCCGCCCACTAGCTTTCGAACGAGTCAGTCTCCGGGTAGCTGAATCATGTGCTGGTCCTTGATGGTTGACGGCGCCTCTGATGATAGAGGTGCACGCAAGGGTATGTGCACTACATCATCGGCACGCGCCGTGTCAACCTTGCTCGTGCTGGAAGGTTCGATTCCGTCATTGTCGTCTCTCGACTTGGTTCCCCCCTGCATGGACCCAATGACTTCCGCCATGCCGCGGTTACGGTCCTCAGTCACGTCCGACTTCCTCATAATATCATGGCGGTATCAGGGCATATCATCCAATAGAAGAATGGCGAACAACTCACTTGGTCAACTGCGCTGATTGCGAACGGGACCTCGACTTGGCTTCTCAGATCCTGGTAAATTGTCCGTAAACTGACCAGCCAATAGCCAGGCCTAGTGCGCGAGGCTGACTCGGTAATTTGTTTACGTGTGTTGTGTGCCGAAAGGACTGGCCGACGCCGTGGTGGCCGGTCGCAGAAAGAGGTGATTATGCATATGTACATCCCAGGATCTTAGGTCTTGCTCCACAACAGAGCTGATCAGTACCTAATCCCTACTGTGAAATGTTATTTGCACACACTTGCTTGACCTGAGTAGATCGCAGAGTGATGGGCTATAAGACCGTACAGCATTTACCGTCATCAGTGTGGGCATTCATAGATGATACTGATACTACGTCCGTTTGCCTAGTAATCGGGTACACAGTGGACTGAGGCCCGGTTGAGGCCCAGTTTGAACATCGGGATGGCAATCAGGCTGCATGGCTGTAAGCCATGGGAATCTAATAAACGACATTGACGGTAGCACTCTGACTGTCTGCCTGTAAAGTGTAAACATGGAAATCTGTAATGTGCGGTATGGCTGCTATGGCATGTCCTTGATCTAAGTCCCTGAAACATGGCCAGATTACAACAATCAGCACGGGCACACGTGAGGAGAGGAAATAGGAGACAAGTTTTGAGTACCTCGTAAGATTACTCACCTTCCGGTATTGTGGATACAATTGTTTTGACAGCCGTCCTTAAGGTGATACCGAGCGGGCAATAATACACTGGTACAGCGTAGTCTCGGAAGGGTATTATTTGTTATGGTGGTCAACACCCGTTCCCCCTCAGACTCACTCACCACATCGACTCCATCCACAACTCTCTCCCTCTTTCTTTCCCCCCCCCCACTTAGTCTTCATCTAACCCCCATTGCACTTCCTCGCTCCATCCTCCTTTCTTTGAGATCTCCCATTATCTACCTTTTTTCCAACCACCCCCCCCCCCCCCCCGTTTTCAGTCTACAAAACCCCCTCCCATAAATATCAGCCGTCAACATGGGTTCTGAGGTATGTTCTAGTTTAAGGCGTCTCTACCCCTCCATCGGGCGCTGCCTTAGCTGTCACCGCCATCGCAAGTCCATCACGCCTCTCACGGCGTTTTCACTCTCGTGCCTGTCCACAGGTTATGATCAGTCTAAATAGGAAGACATATGCTGACGGATGCCTTTCTTGATTTAGCGTGAGAAGTAAAGATGGCCACCACTTCCCAGCGACTGTATGGTCAACACAACTGACACTGTCAACAGCAAGACATTCCTTGCGAGGCTCTGTGAGCAGGCCGAGCGCTACGATGGTAAGAATTGAAATGGCGATTCTCGATGAGGATGCAATGCTAATATGCTATTATTTGTCCCTGCACAGAGATGGTCAGCTACATGAAGGTCAGTTTTCTAGAGGAGTCGTATTGTCTTGCGAGAAGGGATCTTGATCGCTAACCAACTGAGTAGGAAGTCGCCAACGTAAGCTTCCACATTATATTGCGTCAAGGTCTTTTGTGACTGTCGTCGAGCTTTCTGATTGACATTGCTTCTACTTGCAGATTGGCGGCGAGCTTACCGTCGACGAGCGCAACCTCTTGTCTGTTGCTTACAAGAACGTTGTTGGTACCCGCCGTGCCTCCTGGCGCATCATCTCCTCCATCGAGCAGAAGGAGGAATCCAAGGGATCCGAGGAGCACGTTTCCATCATCCGTGAATACCGTCAGAAGATCGAGACCGAGCTGGAGAAGGTTTGCCAGGATGTCTTGGACGTCTTGGATGAGTCTTTGATCCCCAAGGCCGAGACCGGCGAGTCCAAGGTCTTCTACTACAAGATGTAAGTTGGCCAGAGCGCGCCTCATATCACCACAAGTGTCATTAAGGAATGAGACTGACTTCTACTGCAGGAAGGGCGACTACCACCGTTATCTCGCCGAGTTCGCCTCTGGTAACAAGCGCAAGGTTGCCGCCACCGCTGCCCACGAGGCCTACAAGGTATGTCTTGCTATCCCCTCAGACTCTGCATTCGATAATCATGGCTAATGCTTTGTCCCTTTTCTCCCTCATAGAACGCCACCGACGTCGCTCAGACCGATCTTACTCCTACTCACCCCATCCGCCTCGGTCTGGCCCTGAACTTCTCCGTCTTCTACTATGAGATTCTGAACTCACCCGACCGCGCCTGCCACCTCGCCAAGCAGGCTTTCGACGATGCCATTGCCGAGCTTGACTCTTTGTCTGAGGAGAGCTACCGTGATAGCACCCTCATCATGCAGCTTCTGCGCGACAACCTCACGCTCTGGACCTCTTCCGAAGGCAATGAGGGCGTCGAGGGCGCCGCCCCTAGCCAGGACAAGCCCGAGGAGGAGGCAGCCGCTGCTGCTGCCGCCCCTGCCCCCGCCCCCGCTGCTGAAGAAAAGACCGAGGAGGCCGAGCCTGTCCAGGCTTCCTCTTAAGCTCTGTCCAGGGGACTTCAGCACCGCGCAACGGGTCGCAATCAACCGTTTTGCCAAATTTGTTACGGGGGCGTTCACAAAGTCTTCCCAGACGTGTGGTTTGTTTTAGCAAGTCGCTTGTTCGTTACTGCAGCGTAGCTTGATCGGGACCGGCATCTTCATCATTTGCACGTATTTGGGAAATCGTGTTGGTCGGCCGGCGGAGTTTGATATTCGGTTGAGGGCGAGCGCAGAAAAGGGGCTGAGTGGAAATTTCTCTCTCTCTTTTATTGTCTCTATTCCCACTCTAGCAAGATTCAATGTGTTTATTTTCCAATTTCATTCGGTCCCTTGTCGCAAACTGGTTTGCTTTTGATCTCCTTGTTTTCCTTCAGTAAGATTGCCTTTTTTGACTGGCAAGTCGGTGGATTTTCGGACATCAATCGTACTTAGAGCAGCGACACGATGTCTAGACATGAGCTGCACCATCCGCTCTTGGTGACATTGGGAGCCGTTTTTTGTTGGGCCGCCAGTCTCCTTCCAATTTGAACTATTACAAATTTTCCCTCTGCAAATACGAACATACAGGACCTGCTCCAAGATGAGCACCTACATCTAGCAAAAGCAATGACAGAATGAATCGGGCCCTCTCCTCGAATGGCCAATTTCCCCGATCTCGAAAGCCCCATGACAGAAGGCAGGATATCGGTCAACATCTTTACATCTGCCCGAGTCCGCGCTTGCCTTGCTTGTGATCCGAGGAATCGACCGTACGCCTCTATCTCTTGCAAGCGCCGACCCCCGAGAAAAAGAAAAAAAAAACAAAGTGGGGGGGGGGGGGGATAAGTAGGTATTCCGACCCGAGAAAAGCATTCCATATAAAACAGGTTGAAGAATCGATTGAGGGTGGACGAGTTTCGTCGAAGCGGTGCCATCCATTTGGACATTAGGTAGTCTTTTCGGTCGATGGGGTTCTGTTGAGCTCGTTTAGGGAATCTTTCGAACGAACTTTCCTTGCTTCCTTGGACTGGTTTCAGCACCGTGCAGATCAGGTCCAGTAGTCTTCATTGTACTGCATTGGAACTTCACATTGGGGCATTGGAGAGGAATCGGTGGAGAGGTACCGAACGACCTCGCTTGTCCTTGAGATATTGAGGTCTGTGTTCAACACACGTCCACTGCCCCGGACAAAGTGAGTCTATAAGACTTCCATGGAAGTTCCAGTCACAGGGAGATCAAATAATCGAGGGGGTTTCAGGTGGTGAATGCTTAGGACACCGCGGAAGAAAACAAGTCCAATGGGTGTGCTCGACTATTTCGTGCTTACTGCCTTGGACACGTTCGACGTTCATGAGTGGGTCTCGCGTCTTGATTGATACTTGGAATCATGGAAGTATGAAAAATGATCTGGCTTTGTCTGTAATTGAATTTCTGTGAAGGCGTCTGATGTAAGGGTGCTAGAATCGAAAGAAAGATGTACACGGTGACAGGTCACGAAGCGGATTCCTTGCCAGGAAGAGGGCGCTCTGAAATCATGAAATATGCTCCTCGATATGTCAGAAAAGAAGCATGATTCGATGACGAAATTGTTGCTTAAGAAGATATATATCGAGAGACTTGCGAGTTCCCGAAATACTGTGGGATCGCACAATCAATAGCGAACATATCTGGGAGAGGCTAAATAGAAAATAGGAAGAAGAGGAGGAAGGTTAAAAAGATATATGTCGTCGATTGGTCCATTACATGAAATCATCATCACCAAGACCGTCTTCATCACCGTAGGCAGTGTTGTCAATCTGGCTGTCACGGTTGGCATTGAGAGACACTTTGGTCTTGGCAGCCTTGGTCTTCTTGTTACCCTTGTCGGCGGCACGCTCCTCGCGCATCTTCTCGTTGCTAGCGGTAGTCAGGGCGCTAGCAATCTTCTTGATGTCGGCACTGGGGAGTTCCTTGACGAGCTTGCGGGCGAAGTCCTGCGCCCACAGGGCGTAATGGGGCTTCTTGGACTGAGGAGTGAGCAAGGGGATGAGAACATCAGTCAGGCGCGCAAATTGGTCCTTGGTGGTAGGCTTGAACAGCGGCATGGAGGAGAGGTCGATCGAGTTGGTGGGGTTGGCGCTGTCGGTGATGACGACAGCCTTGGGCGCTCCACGGTTGCGGTTCATATCAATGTCGGCGAACAAATCGGAGGCGTGCTGCATGTCGGCGTCCTTCTCCGTGCGACGCAGACGCTCACGACGCTCGGCCTCGGTCTCGTCCTCGTAACCCTCCTCGTCGCTATCCTCGGCCTCGCGCCGGCGCTGGTCGCGGTGCTCCTCTATCCGTTGAGCCTTAGTCTTCTTGTTGGCAGCGGCGGCAGCCTTGGCCTTGGCCAACGCCTCCTCGGCCTTCTTGGCCTTCTCTCGCTCTGTTTCGGAGTCGTCGGCGGCATCCCAGGAGTCAAGGACCTATGTGGCAGAAAAGGCCTATCAGTGGTGTGGTCTTCATGTCGTGGCGGCATGTTTCTGCGCCTTTGTTTCGCTAGCCTTTGGGACAATGTTTTCTTACCTCTTCCTCCTCTTCGTCGTCAAATCTCCGACGGGCAACGGGCGGAGGCGAGACGCTGTCCTCCTCCTCATCTAGTTAAATTCAAATGATATCAGCCTTGATTTCATGTGGTTCGTCGTGCAAGGAGACTTCAGGCGCATATTGATATAGTGTGGTCACGATAGCGGCTCAAGTATAGAAGGCCTTCCTTACCCCACTTTGATGGCGCCATGTTGGACTAGTGAAAGGCTTATCGGGCGCAACAGAACAAGACAAACAGAAAAAGGTGCGATATACGCAAGACCGAGAACAGAGAAACGAGGGTAAGCTCGACGATTGGATGCTGCTCCGATACCTGTCAATGGAGGGGCGAGGATAAATTTTATGTGGGACAATCAATGCAGGAGGGGCGGTCACGTGCAGGTTCCTTGGTTCCTTGGTGCCCAACACGGACGACCCTGACGTCGAAGGCAATCAAGTCCACGAGTCATTGTTTAGACACATGCCGGAAAAAGGCTTCGGATGAAAGGGGTAAATGAAGGTGAGAGCTTAGATACAGTTTGCTGCTGGATCTGAAGGGGTATTTCCCGTCAGACACTTACTGTTCTTCGGACATTCTTTTTTGAAATAAATTTTTATTAAATTCATAATCATAACTAGTAGCAATTCCGTCACAACAGAATCAGCTATCTATTTTTCCGGCTTCCTTTCACATCTCTGGGTGTACTCATTGGAGAGTTACACTTTACAGGTTGACAGAGGTGCGGAAGTGCTTGCCAGCGTAGATGGCGTTCTCACCGAGCTCCTCCTCGATACGGAGGATCTGGTTGAGCTTGGCGAGACGCTCGGAACGGGCAGGGGCACCGGTCTTGATCTGGCCGGCGCGGAGACCGACAGCGATATCAGCAATGGTAACATCCTCGGTCTCACCGGAGCGGTGGGAGACCATGACACCCCAGTTGTCGGCGTAGGAGTCCTTGGCGGCCTGAATAGACTCGGTCAGGGTACCGATCTGGTTGACCTTAAGGAGGAGAGCATTGCAAGACTTGAGCTCGATGGCCTTCTTGATGCGGATGGGGTTGGTGACAGTCAAGTCATCACCGACAATCTGGAAGTCGGAGGTCTTGTAGAAGTAGCTCCAGGCCTCCCAGTCATCCTCAGCGAAGGGATCCTCGATGGAAACGATGGGGTACTTGGCAGCGAGCTGCTTGTACATATCGGCAAGCTGCTCGTAGGTGATCCACTTGGTGGGGTCGCTGTCGGGGTTCTTGAAGTCGAGATCGTACTTCTTCTCCTCGACCTTGTAGAACTCGCTGGAGGCAACATCCATAGCAATGGACATCTTGCCAGTGTAACCAGCCTCCTCAATGGCATCGGTGATCAGGTCAAGAGCCTCCTCAGCGGTCTGAATATCGGGAGCAACACCACCCTCGTCGCCGACGTTACCAGCGGACTGACCGTAACGCTTCTTGGCGAGAGCCTTGAGCTTCTGGTAAACCTCGGAACCGTGGCGGAGGGCCTCGGAGAAGGAAGGAGCGGAGCTGCCGGTTGCGAGGTGAGATGTTAGCCGGGTCCATCGGGTTGCAATGCAGACTACTTGATGGCAGCCTCAATTGAGACGATTCACATACTCAGGGACAATCATGAACTCCTGGAAGGCCAGACGGCCACCGGCGTGGGAACCACCGTTCAGGACGTTCTGGAAGGGAACGGGGAGAACGTAGGGCTTCTTGGTTCCGGCAAGGTCGGAGATGTGGGCGTAGAGAGGCACACCCTTCTCGGCGGCGGCAGCCTTGGCAACAGCCAGGGAGACACCGAGGATGGCGTTGGCACCAAGGTTACCCTTGTTGGCGGTGCCATCGAGCTTGTTGAGGAATTCGTCGACCTTGGCCTGGTCCTTGACATCGATGTTCTCCTTGATGAGGGCGGGGCCAATGGTCTCGTTGACGTTCTTCACAGCCTTGAGAACACCTATGGTTGACGAGATTTGGGTCAGATCTCTTGCTCTCGTCTGTACACACGACAGTCAGGAGGGGGACCAAGAGAGATGCTCCTTACCCTTGCCAGCCCAGTGGGTCTTATCACCATCACGGAGCTCAACAGCCTCGTGCTGGCCTGGTTGAGAAATTCGGCGTTAGCATCCGTTCGCTGTGGCACCTTGGGAGGATACGAGACAGTCTGATTACGTACCGGTAGAGGCACCGGAGGGGACAATGGCGCGGTGAAGGCCAGTCTCGGTGACAATGTCGACCTCGACGGTGGGGTTACCACGGGAGTCGTAGACGGAACGAGCGTGAACCTTGGAGATAGGCATTTTGAATGTGAGAGATCTGACGGGGAAGAAAGATCAGTGGAAATGAAGGTTGAAAGAAGGAGACTACAAGAAGCAGCGGGCAGTGGCCGGTCGTATATGGCGGCAAAAAAGCCGTGACTAACGGCGGAGGGGAGCAGCTTCACCGATGACCCCAAAAAAGACAGGCCGAACGGGAGCGCAGGATGGGGGGAGGAGGGCGCCGAATTGGACGGAGCTCAGCGAATGTGGATAAATGGGGAGGGGCAATTGGCCACAGCCGTCACCGAAGCTCAGGTTGGGTTGTACCTTCAGATTGTCTAATGCAGATTTGCTGACCGGGGTCGATCAAAGAGGGCGCAAAGTTGTGTGGAATCCAGAGGAGTTGGGTGGGTTGTGACTTGGAGGAATGAGAAAGGAAGCAGAGAGGAGAGGAGGGGAGGGAGGGGCAGATGGCGGGGTGGGGGAATGACCGGATGAAGGTCGAGGGTGAGGTGGGTGGAGTGGCAGCTGGTGTGAGGTCGACTGGTACATCACGTCTTGAGAGGTCCAATCATGACCATTGACTACCAAGAGGAGCGCTTGTTCCTTACAATTTATGCTGCTGGTTCTCTTCTCCGGTTGTCCGTCGAGTACACAAGCGCACGTGAGAACGAAGGTGTAATACAGCAGGTGGAGTGAGATATAGGTAGTTGTCGTAGTAGTGACTCGTGAGAGCTCGATCAATTGATAGAAGAGCTGGATGTCAGACCCTTTGCTTCCAACAAATCCCTCCCATGACGGAAACATCCGATGCTTTAAATAACCTCCACTGCGAACACCCCCCGGGAAACCGTCACAGACGCATGGCTCAATAGTAGTGAATACACTGAATAGTCCTCCGATTCTTTCCAATGCAACAGTGGGGCATGGACGGTCGTCGACGAGACAGCATCCAACCGTGTGCCTCAGTGGATTGGGCCTGAGTTCGATCCGACCCTAAACTCTGACGCTGGGCTTTGCATGTTGCGAGATCTCCCGTCACCCTCGGGATCACCATCAATCGTGCTGGATCCTGATTGCCCGAGGATGCGGAAGTGTGGATTGCCAGATCCGTACAGGTATGGAATTCCAGGGTACAACTGCGCAACGGAGGTCCTCTTTGGAAAGTCCGGGTCCTCTGAGTACGTAATTCCTAAACTTCCAGATCGAAGGGCGCTAAAGCGGCCTTTAACCCTTTAACTCCCGTGCTCGTAACGGCGCTTAGGTCATGTGAGACACTTTGGACCAAGCACTGTGAGTGTCGAGCGTGGGCAGCTATACCTTACCTACCTGCAGGTGGTTCGTCAGGTACATCGTGCCCATGGAGGTGCGACTAGCGGCAATCCAGAATCCCAGATACCACCATTGGCCCAACTGGAAAGATTTCAGAGGCAGACCTGGAATGGATAACAGGACATTTCTTGTTAGCCACAAGGTCCTGGTAGAGAAGCATGGATGGCCGTTCCATCCGTCCTTATCGTCATGGTCGTCGTCGTCTGGTGCTCATGGCAAAGCTTAGAGAATGGGCCCAGATTAGACAATTTGGTATGGACGTCCAGCGACAGCATCGAGTAGCACTGAGCACTGCAGGGTCGCTGCGTATCCATTTTGGAACTGTAAGCTACCTAAGTACTAAGCAATAAGCTTAAACAGCACCCTCGGAGCTGTTCCGCGTGATCCTATCCTATGGTGGGTGGCTCAATGTCCTGCAACATGAATTCATAGTCCATTGCCCTGACCTCCTCGAACCCGATGAGCAGGATGGGTACAGATGAACGCATCTAGGATCACCGAGTAATGGTGCATCAACCTTGGTACATTCGAAGCCGACTGGGCTAGATATCAAACAATTTTTCATCTACAACGAGAGCGTTCCGGGGTCTCTAGCGTGTTCAAAAGACCAGTAAATTGTTTGCATTCGGTACTATAATCAACAGTAACGCACATCGAGTCACTTCCAGAAGTGGGAACTGTCGAGCACAAATTATTTTGAAGGGCCCATTTCACGTCTGGACCATCTGTGATCTCGTCTTATAGATGATCCGAAATGATTCGGGTGCCTGAGGTGGACACTGCGACGGCATCCCGGCGAATGATGCAGATCACATGACTGACGATTACTTTGTCAGGTGACCTTACCAGCAGCTCCTCGACCGGATGCTAGGTAGCTCAACCAGCTTCACTAACTGAGCATTTCCAGTTCTTGCATTAATCTATTATCCGTTCATCACTCGCGCGGCCTTTCTTTTCTTCCCATTTTGACGTCTGGCAATAGTTGACTGTCTCAAAACACTTGGTTCGCGATTCAGCCAATCGACCATCATGAACGGCGGCGTCGACCCGGAGCGCGAGCAAGCGCTTGAGGATTACAAGAACAGCTTGTTGGAGCTACGAGAATGGGAAGCCAAGCTCAAGGGTCTCCGGATGGGGATCAAGGACCTTCAGCATGAATTCGATGTCTCAGAGGACAACATCAAAGCACTTCAAAGTGTTGGTCAGATTATCGGCGAGGTGTTGAAACAGCTGGATGAAGAACGATGTACGTCTCTCATTTCCCGTTGCGGTTGACTCTGCTCGCCACTGTCTAAACCCTGTCATCTGTATGCAGTCATCGTCAAAGCTTCCTCGGGGCCACGATATGTTGTCGGTTGCCGTTCCAAGGTCGACAAAGCGAAGCTGAAGCAAGGCACGCGAGTGGCCTTGGATATGACAACATTGACAATCATGCGAATGCTCCCTCGGGAGGTCGATCCCTTGGTTTACAACATGTCATTGGAGGATCCCGGGTCGGTGAACTTCGCCGGTATTGGTGGTTTGAACGACCAGATCAGAGAACTGCGAGAGGTTATCGAACTACCGTTGAAGAACCCCGAGCTCTTCCAACGGGTGGGAATCAAGCCTCCAAAGGGTGTTTTGCTTTACGGCCCTCCAGGCACGGGTAAAACCCTGTTGGCCCGGGCCGTCGCTAGTTCAATGGAGACGAATTTCTTGAAGGGTGAGTCCCAAGTGTTCCCTTGCGCACAGTGCCCTGTGTTGCGACCGTCTTTCCTAACGAGATTGTCTGAATAGTCGTTTCTTCTGCGATTGTTGACAAGTACATTGGTGAATCTGCGCGATTGATTCGTGAAATGTTCGGATACGCCAAGGAACACGAGCCCTGTATCATCTTCATGGACGAGATCGATGCGATTGGTGGGCGACGTTTCTCAGAAGGCACATCGGCGGATCGTGAAATTCAACGTACGCTGATGGAGTTGCTAAACCAACTGGATGGTTTCGATTACCTTGGCAAGACAAAGATCATCATGGCCACGAACCGACCGGATACTCTCGACCCTGCGCTGCTCCGTGCTGGTCGTCTCGACCGCAAGATCGAGATTCCCTTGCCCAATGAGGTTGGTCGCCTTGAGATTCTCAAGATCCACTCAAGTACGGTGCAACTGGAAGGTGAAATCGATTTTGAGAGCGTGGTCAAGATGAGCGATGGTCTCAACGGTGCCGATCTGCGCAACGTGGTGACGGAAGCGTAAGTTGAATTTGCGCTACTCATTCGTGTGTGTATGTGCCTTGGACTAACAGCAAATACAGGGGTCTTTTCGCAATCAAGGATTATCGGGATGCCATCAACCAGGATGACTTTAACAAGGCCGTACGCAAGGTGGCTGAAGCCAAGAAGTTGGAGGGTAAGCTTGAGTACCAGAAGCTCTAAAGTTTTCAGATGTAAAGAGCGCACGACGGTGAAGCTTGCATCCTTTATGGACGCTTCGATATTTTAGAATACCATGCATCAGAAGTACCGGCAAATATTGCCTGCCCACAGGTGCTGGCAGTCCTCAATCTTTTCCTACTTTGTACTCTATTAGTCCTCAGGAGTCTGATGTACCAGAGAAAATGGATTTGGCTGGCCCGCTACGTAGCGCCCTCGTACAGCATAACTCATCGAGAGCATGTAGAAGAGTTTCCCGTTTTAATCTCTCATCATTCTCTCGATACTGAAGTGGAGGCTGCGGGATAGGGCTTGCGGCGGGCACCATGGTGGAGACTCGGCCCGCGGGCTCAATCCTCGCAGGTACATCCACATCCACGTTCACACTCAGGGCGAACTATCTTTGGCGTGGCACTCGAAAACTGTTTTGTTAACCGGCGATTGCATAGCGCCGGAGTCCCTGTCAAGCCTTACTCGCACAACCAGACTGGGTAGACTGCTTTGGTGCGACAGCGCTAGCGCTAGCGCAATAATACTGGACCTTAAGCACACGTTGGCACCTCGAACCGTGTCTTGTGATTGCGATCTAGCACGACACCGTGAGTCTGCCACGACGCCTACGCCTACAGTTGGTTGTGGTATGAGAACTGGGCTGCTCATGATGACTTGTCTATATCATAGCTGATTTCCCCTTCTTAATCTGATAGCCCTCACTTCACCGAGTCCTTCCCCGCATGACCTGCACGACCTGCACGACTGTCTCCACGCCACGATACTCTCGAACGTACAGCGCGCTAGCAACAGTCTACCAGTCAATGCTTTCTTGAAGTCTGAACCGCCAAGTATTCACACATTCGCCATCGGCGCGTAAAGAGGCATTGATTCGGGGATCATGTCCTATCATGGGAGATCCTTCAACACGAGCCCATTTCCAGAGAACCGTTACCGTTCCAACGAGGGTCTCACTGGACTCGGCCTGTCGACCGGTCCGACCACAGGCGCAGGATTCTTTGAATCAAGAGATCGAACGTTGCCCATGTACAAGGACAAGCCATACTTCACACCGAAGCGAACGGCTCCTCGAAAAAGATGGAGACCGTTGTTCGTGCTCGGGGTTTGTGCGCTGACCTTGTTGTGGTACTACAAGTCATCGATGCCTACGTGGCGGAGTCCGACTGCGTCGCGGGATGTTGGTGTTGAGCTTTGGAAGTGGACGCAAGTCATGGATGACGAAGGCTCGTCAAAAGCAAAGGCAGACTGGAACGAGCGCAGGGACAAAGTCCGCGATGCGTTCCTTGTCAGCTGGCAAGGCTATGAGAAGGATGCCTGGGGTGAGTGTGACCGCTGAACGCATTTCGATGCGAATTGGAGGAAACCAGCTAAAAGTCGAGGTCATTCTAGGTTCGGACGAGTACAACCCAGTCTCAGGCCGGGGTAGGAACATGATCGAGGGTGGCATGGGCTGGATCATCGTTGACGCACTGGACACGATGATTGTCATGAATCTAAGCACTGAAGTGCGACATGCGCGAGAATGGATCTCTACATCGTTGAAGTACACCCAAGATCATGACGTGAGTACCTTTGAGACGACGATTCGCATGTTGGGTGGCCTGCTTTCAGCCCACTACTTGTCGACACAATACCCGACCCTTGCTCCAATCGCGGATGACGACGTCGGCGCTTCTGGGGAGGACCTGTACATCGAGAAGGCGACAGATCTCGGGGACCGCTTACTCGGCGCATTCGAGTCACCGTCTGGAATACCTTACGCTAGCGTGAACCTGAACAAGTCCGAAGGCTTACCGTCCCACGGAGATGGTGGCGCCTCCTCTACCGCTGAGGCTACGTCGGTACAGCTTGAATTCAAGTACTTGGCCAAGCTGACAGGCGAGGCTGAATATTGGAAAGCGGTAGAGAAAGTCATGGAGGTGATTGATGAGCAACACCCTCAAGACGGACTTGTCCCTATTTTCATCGACCCCAGGACGGGCCACTTCCAAGGCCAGAACATTCGTCTAGGGAGTCGTGGAGATTCTTACTACGGTTCGTCAACGGCCAAAAAAAAAAAAGAGGATGCGAACATGAAGACGAGGCTAATATTCCAATCTTGAAATGCTCGCAGAATACCTCATCAAGCAGTACCTTCAAACTTCCGGACAAGAACCCGTATACAAAGAGCTTTGGGATGAGTCTCTACGCGGCGTTCGCAAGCACTTACTCGCATTCTCCAAGCATGCACAATTACTGGTCTTGGGTGAACGCCCTGACGGGCTGCGGGAAAGTCTGAGCCCGAAGATGGACCACCTGGTCTGCTTCCTGCCTGGAACGTATGCTCTGGGTGCAACCGGAGGTCAACCTCTCGCCGAAGCCCGCAAATCGGCAGACTGGTCTCATCAACGCGAAGACGAGATCTTTATCGCCAAGGAATTGATGAAGACCTGCTGGGCCACATACTTGAAGACCGCCACCGGCCTCGCACCCGAAATCTCCCACTTCGTTCTCGATTCCCCGCCCGTCATGATGGAAGACAAATACCCCGATCCCAGTACAGGCCCGGAAAGCACGAAACCGCAAGAGTACAAATCAATCTCAGGACCCCTTTCCCAGTCATCCGATGGCTCGCAAGTCTGGCGCGAGGACATTGAAATTCACAACCTGGACCGTCACAACCTACAACGACCCGAGACCGTCGAATCCCTGTTCTACATGTACCGAATCACCGGCGACGAGACCTACCGAGAATGGGGCTGGGAGATGTTCAAGTCTTTCGTCAAGTACACCGCCGTCGTCGAGGTGGAAGAAAACGAAGTGGTTGACAATACCAACGTGGTCAAACGTATCAAGGGGTTCACGTCTTTATCCAACGCGGATACCCTTCCACCGACTACGCGCGATAACATGGAGAGCTTCTGGATGGCCGAGACTCTCAAGTATTTCTACCTGTTGTTCTCTGACCGGGATTTCATCCCCCTCGAAGAGCATGTGTTCAATACAGAGGCTCATATTCTGCCTCGTTTCAAGCCGACTGGCGAGTTGAAGACTGGTTGGCAGAGGAAGGCCAAGGTTGCAGCTGTTGAGGATGCTGCTCAATAGGTATCTGGCAAGACTTACGGACTTTTGATGGCTTCTGAGCGACACGCTGGCTTTATTTCCATGTATTGTTTTTTTTCCTGGTCCATGAATGACCATCACCGGCAGATGGTAATCTTTACGGCGTTTCTCCTCGTGTCTTGTCTTCTTCCTTGAAACACTGTCTTTTAACTGGAACTACCAAATTCGTGTCTATAGTACTCGAAGGAAAGAAAAAAAATGGAACGAGTGATGGTGGATATGATGTACATTCACAGGGTTCAGTCTCTTCAGTGCCATATTGTATGTACGATATGAGGCTTGGTTTCTGTTCTTCTAATCCCGTTCCAATGCAGCGTCAATGAGCTTTTTGAAACCCTTGACCGCCTCCTTCATGTCGCGGACTGTAAGGGCCTCGTCGTCACCATGAGCCACAAAGATGCTTCCCGGACCGTAGAGGTATCGTTTCACACCGTCCCGCACAGTCAGATTGGGTACGTCGGTGCCGTAGTTCACAGGCATCACCTCGAACCCATCCACGTCTGTATCGAGGTCTTGCGGCGAGTAAGCTTCATTGTGATTGGAAAAGTCAACCTCGACGTCGGCCTCGACTTCGCGCGTCGCATCCTTCACTGCCCGGCGGATGATTTCGCGCGCCTCCTCGGCAGTACCGGCTGCCAGACGAACGGCAACATCCGCACGCGCCGACGCCGGGACAACGTTTGTCGCCACGCCAGCTCGAATGGTTCCGATATTCAGCGTGGTATTTCCATACTTGTCCGAAGAAGGCAATCCACCTTGACTGACTGGGAGGTTACCGAGTTGATCCACGCGGCTCAAAGCGGGTAAGATGGCAGAGACGGCACTCTTGCCCAGCCACGGGTAGCCGGAGTGCGCCGCTTTACCGTGGGCCAGGACCTCGAAGCCCAGCATGCCCTTGTGTCCGGACACAAGCTTGGCCTCGGTAGGTTCACCGAAGATGACGGTGTGGTAGGCGCTCTTGAAGTTGATTTCAGACTCGGAGAAGGTCTTCATACCGTCTCCACCGATCTCTTCGCCGACAACGAAGAGCAGGCCTAGCTTGGCATCTGGGTTGGCCTCTAGAGTCTCCAGGACTGCGTAGACCTGTGCGGCAACGCTACCCTTTGCGTCGACCGAGCCTCGACCAGCAATGACATGGTCGTCAACACTTTCAGATCGTGAGGTCGCCGATTCAGGCTTGTGCACGGAATAAGGGATGAACGGTGGAACGGTATCAATGTGACTCGTGACTAGGATTGAAGGTTGCTCTTGCAGAGATGAAGGATACGCGTAGATATTATATCTTGTCTTGGGTGTCTCGTCATCATTATCCGGGACATCTCCCTTCTTCTTCTTGACCGATGCAACTTTCTGCTTGACGACGGTGAAGTTCTTGGCCCTGAGGAAGTCGGCGACGAAGATGCCGACGTCATGCTCATTGCCGGATATCGACTCAATTGAGACCAAGTCTCGGTGGAAGGACAATAAGGGATCGTGTTGGAGCAAGTCTTCAAGAGACTGGTCGGCTTTCTCACCGACAATGGTCCGGTGAGCCTCTTGCAAGCTTCCCAGGGCCTGTTGCTGGTCCAGTGCGGGGTGCGGAGAAGCATGGGACACAGCAACAACGGCCGCAGCCGCTAGCAAAGAGGTGAGCTTCATTCGGGTTCAATGAGAGAGAGAGAAACACCGGTAAGGAGAGGCGATCATATAGAATCGAGAAACTGTTTCCCCTCGTCAATGTCAGCCAAATCGGACGTGAAGGACTGTCGAGGTTGGTGAGTAACGTAACTGCGCGCTATTGCAGCCGATCACGACCTGCCAGGTCATGGAGCAATGTCACGTGAGATTGTGTCACCTAGCGTCGATGGAAAGCAGTCCTCCTCGCATCGCGATGCAGATCGCGCCAAAGCTTTTGTATAACCAGCAAGGCCAGATGATGGGGAAGTGTCTGATCAGAGATCTTATGGCTCTCTCTCTCTCTCTCTCTCTCTCTCTCTTTCTAGATCTCGTGGGCGTTGACCTGAGTGCTTGTTCAGGGGTACCAGGTGTGTAGGCAGATGGATGTCATGCGCTGTATAACAGTAGCGCTACCAGGCTTCCAACCACTTGGTCCAAGTCGTAAAGCAAGTGGTGAGACTTGATGTGCAGTCCAGGCAATAGATCCTTAGGACTCATCTCTCGAGAATGTGCTTGTCCGATATGGATGCCGTGCAATTGCACAACCTGCAATGGCTGCCGCTGAACCCCCTCTGGAAAATGGCGAAACTTCAATTGCATTCGATGTGGCTCTCCAAAGAAAGAAAGAAAATTATGTGACTTTTCCGAGAGTGCGCATCACCGCTGATTAGCGATAGATTGAGTGTTAGCCGTCTGCGAACATCGCGCGATGGAGACCATTGGTCGCACTCATCGCTAGTTCTCGAGGCTGTTGGCTGTAGCGGAGCAGGGACAAGTAGAAGACTTGAGTTATCAGTTTCACAAATGGGAGGAAACTTCCACCATTTCCCATCAATGGAATGGAACTCCTTCTACATAGCGGGAAATGGTATGTGTCAATGTCTATACTTTATGGTCTATACACAGTATCCGTATGGACAAGAATTATCTAACCATGTCCGCGTCTCTGTACAATGCTGGGTAATCGGCCAGTCCGCTCGTTGGGTCTCATTTCATCTTTGTGCAATCTTCATCCAAATAGGCTGGTTCATGAGATTGAGACCATGTTGCCCGTCGAGCTAAGTATCATATTACTTCGTGGATGAGTCTGGGCTTCGAATAGATTTTGATCCAGCCCGCGCGAGAGTTGAGTCCCGTCACGAAGCCACCTAACCTCTGCCTGATGTGTCCCCACGCCCTACGCATGTTATGTTTGTGCTTGAAAGAGCTTTCCATGACTCATGGATGGAGGGGATGGAGGGGATGGAATGGGGGGTGACTGGTGCTATTGGCAATTGGTCTAATAGACCACGACCCGAGGGGGTAACGGAAGCGAAATACCTAATCAGGTATAAACGTGTAGAAGAAACGGATGCCTAATCGTGGATATGGTCACCATCATAGAATTATAGGCAAGGTCATCCTGAGACTGCCTACCTACCTACTTAGGTAGGAGGAATGCTGTCGCTACTAATTACATGACGATGGCACGCCAGTGGAATGGCTTGGATCCGAGAAAGAATACTGCTTGGTGACATGGTAGGAGCCAGGGCACATGGCCTAGCCACGCGAATGGATGTATGAATGCATCCGAGAAGGAATGGTGTTGACCTTTCAGATATCCGACCCAGCCTAACAACGTGGGCACATTCCCCGACTTTGAAGGGCGCGCTGACCTGTTGACACTCGGAAACCCAGCATTCACCTCGAATATGCGACAAGTAGTGACAACCAAGCATTGTTCTATTGGCTCCGCAATTAAACCTTTGACCCTGAATCGAATGCGAGCCCTGGAACGGAGAGAGGGTGCCACAGATGTCAATGGCAGAGTTTAGAAAAGAAGCGTCTGAGGGTTCCGCTACCACTACCAAGTTCCAACTACCCAACTACCTGGTTTGAACTTTCAAGGTTGGAGACCATCACCCGGCGCGACATCTTGATCTCAGTGACTCTTTAACTTTCTGATTCTCTCAAGGATTGCAAAGTTCGCAATATACTGATCCTTGTAACTCAATATTGATTGATCCGTGCAAACAGACGGTTCTGCTTTGGTTTCCTGCTCGGGTTCTCTTCTCCGAACCAATATTGTCTGATGAGCCGCGATCCACGGGATGGGACTCATTCACGAACCGCCGGATGGATGATCCTCTCGCTTGCACATCCTCACGTAGCAGATGCAATTATAACTGGATGAATTGGCCCAGTAAATATCAGTCGAGGATTTGGGGCCACCAGGTAAGTGTTACTGGACCTGAGCGCGGGACAATAGCAGACCACACAAGTATTCTCGGTGTCCAGCCTGTGGAGGCTCGAGTCTGAAATATGGACAGGTGGATTCGGGGAAGAATTTGACAACGGACTTGCGAACGGTTTTGACGGCGTCTCCACCGACTTCCACAGGCATGACAGGTGAGAAATTGACTGGACTCCGGAGAGATATGTCTAGGTTTGGGATCCTCCGTGACAGGGATGGGCAGTCAAGAGATCGTGAGGTCGAGCTCTCGCGCGACAGACTACATTATTCTGACGTGAGGAGCCACCAGTCGATGGGTAGGATCAGGATGAAGGTCAGTCCTAGTACTGAGTTCTGACTACTGAGTAGTAGTCTTGACTACCGAGTCTACTGACTAGGTGGTACACTTTGGACAAGTCATTTTCGTCACTGTAGAATGGACGGCGACCCAAGCAGAGCTGTCAAGTTGAAACTCGAGCGACGAAGAAGCTTCCAACTGTCCACCGGGATGACACCGGACTTCTTACGTCGGTGAGCCAGTGGAACAGCCCGACCTGACACCCGCATGAACGATCTCTCGCTTCCATGTGTATGTGCATGTTGGCAAGTACAGGATCTTCCTTGGACCACCCTTGGGCCCGGAGAAACTCTACCGGAGTGGTCTCGGAACATTCCATCCCGCCCACCACATCCACTCGGTAGACTCAGTAGTACTGAGTCAGTACTATCATTGAAAAATCAAATCTCAAACTCTTACAGATCAATTCTGCAGTGTACTGGGTGTAGACTGTAGACTGTAGACTGGACTCTACACGAGTCGACCCTCCGGGGGCCAACAACCGCCCAGCCGCGTCCAGTGCACGTACTGTGGACTTGGTACAGTAAATGTCCAGTACCAAACTGGCAACTTGTCCGATTGCCAGATTGCCAAATCTGTTGGTCCAAACAGATAGTCAGCTACTACGAAATGGTGAACACTAAACGTGGGCTGGAGATATGACCAGACTGTGCATTTACTATTTAGTGCATGCCTAGTGCCTAGTACCTACTACCTAGCAGGTAGTACCTACTACTATCATATCATGATCAATTTGATTGCAGACCCTCTTGCTGCACGGTCGACTGGGCGTAGCGAGCCGGTCGGGGGACCAATGCGAAAGTTGGAGGTTCCCCTCTAGGTAGCTTAGTAGGTACTGGGTACATGCTAGCTAGATACCTAGTGAGCGTGTACCAAGGTAGAAGGTACTAACGCAGTACCTAGGTAGCCACCACGTCATCCTGTCGGGTCAACACAACACGCTGGGTTCCTCTTTCTTTCGGCCCTGCGCTGACGAAGGGCGCACCCACGAGGGACCGGAATTCTCGTGAGTTTGTACGATTACAAAGCGTGCACTATTTCTGGCGAACTCGCCTCGCCTACGAGACCAGTCCTGGAGTCGGGAGGGAGGTGTCAAACTGCCAATGGGGCAGTGGTACTGTGGTAGTACCTTCCAGACTCGGTAAGAAGTATCCAGGATTCTAGTGAGTTTACCGAGCTCAAGATCGGCCATGACAAAGGTCATGATGAATTCACGGTGATGAAAAAAAAAATGAAAAATAGGGTTGAGACGGAGTTGCTTGTTGGAGTAAATGAGTGGTAGTAGTGGTTCAATGTGTGAAATAGCAATCTCTTGACTAGTAGCACTTCCTTTTAACAGGTAACTAGTATAGTACTGATTACAGGACTACTGTACAGGTCGGACGTTAAACCGTCGCATTGTAGCAAAGTTTCGTCGCAAGGCGGAGCCTGAGAGGGATCGTTTGTTGAGTTCATCCATGATTTAGGCGAGGTTCTAGACCCGGAATACCTGACAGGGATGTTTGTGAGAATCTCGAAGGAACAGGGATTGATCGGAGGACTGTTCAAGTGTTCACTTGTTCACTTGTTCACTTGTTCACCGGCTGGTGGGGGTCGTGCTGCCTCGGCTTGGTCGGGTGTTCACGTTTAGTTGACATAACTCAGTTAGTCGTAATATACTTGTATACTTGTACACTTGATCAGTTGATATGATGGCATATGCTCAAGGCTGACTTGGATGCATGTGTGTCCGAGGGAGATTTACGATCGCATGGCCCTTCCAGTCCCACCACTCGTACTCCTATCGACCGGACTAGTTTAGCGGCCATCGAGACACGGGCGATATGGTAGCGCCCGTGCTCAACTGTCTCACCTCAATCAATACTTTGGAACGGCATTGCATCATCGGTGTTGGTCAACGGCCAGGACCATCTCCGACCTGATCCAGGCGCCCTGGACGGGACCTTCTGATTGTAGCACGGCACTGAAGCATATTCAGCATATTCCCGCGCAGAATGCAGTAGCGGCGAGCCTTCATCATGTCGTGCGACTGGTCTGACTTTGGGCAATCGGGCAGAATTTTCTCCATGCGTAGTCACTCGGCCTGATTCTTTCCGGGTCCCTGGACTACGACGTTTGACTTTGTCGAGTGTTGTAAACTTTGGACTAGTCCGGATGTCCTATCTGGAAGACTCTTCAATATGTCCTATCTGGAAGACTCTTCAATTGAGTCCACGAGTGTTCAAACAAGTTCACACTGTGTAGTCTCACTAGTCATCACAGTGTCCAACTTGTAGTACTGTTCAGTGTCGAGTGTAGACGGTATCAGGGTAGGGTGTAAAACCCACAACCAAAAGTACAATCTAGGTCGGGCGCTAAAAATCTCAGCGGCTTGAAACTTCCAAACCAAAGTACCGGGTAAGAGGGGTGTGGCTCTCTCGGACACCTCAGAATTGAAGCAACACCAGCAAGCTGTTGGGGAGGGAAGCACAGACGTGTCACAGTTGCAATGACGATGGCCCTTCTTGGCGTGTTCCACGACGATCCTTTCCTCTCTGCCACTCTCCTCTCGAACCCAACATGGAAATCATGATGAGTGAGAGGCCCCAAGCTTGAAATCTTTGTGTACGTGTTCGTCCAATCCCAGCGGGCGGGAGAATCCCCGCCCAGTGGTTCCAGCAGGGAAGAGCATCACATCGTATGGGAGGAGTCGGCGAGGACGATCGCATGAGTTCTTAAATGGGATCGGCCGACTGGGGCTGCGCTGAGCAACGGTCCTCCACCGAGCGACTTGTCGAGTCTAGACGCTGCTGATCTTGCATCTCACCAAAACAATGGCCAAGCGGAGCTTCTGTCAGGGCAACACCCTGATTCCACTCGACCCGCCCGTCGTGCTCGTCTCCACGACACGCGATGAGGTACTGATAGTATTGACTTGACTGAGAGTGAGAGGAGCACCTCGGCATGATCATCATCCTAGTCCGACTACTAGTCTACTATGACTGACTCTCCTACCACGAAACCTACAAAGAATCCGGCCAAGTAGGCGTAGTACAAAGGATCAGTGAGAGACACCAAACTTTGCGGCCGTGGTGCCGCTGCTGTGATGGACGAGTCAACGATGCGAATATCAAATTGATCGGGTGCAGAGATGATCATGGTGGTGGTGGTGGTGGTATCACGGCAGTGTACAACCACCGTACATAGTTGTACTCCATGAACGTTCATGATTGTCCTGACATTGCTGAGTGTCCTGACTCCTCAGTCCTGCCTCCTCAGTAGTCCGTAGACGACTAGACTCAGTAGTCAGTACTGATGTCCTTAGCTCGGCTCTGGAGCGTGTGTGCAAGCCCTAAAGAGCAGGGCTCTCTCCCCTCTTGGGCCTCTTATGGGCCTCCACGAGTCCTCCCGTCATAAGATCAAGACCCTCTCGGTGCTGTGCTCCTCTCCGGCCCTGTCGTCAGAAGATCCACCGTTGACATTCCAGAGTCTTCTGAGTGGCGTTTCCCTGGATCGGGGCTCTCTCGAGGGAGAGGCTTTGTCAGGCTTTGCTGAACCACCGGACCGGGACGGAGGAAGAAGGTTCTTTCAGGCAAGCGACCGAGGATCCGCCTCTCGGTCGCGTGGGAATTTCCGTCGGTCGTGCATCTGGGAAGGAGTCGCCGCAACCACCAGCCGCATTGATTACTCCAGTACAGCTGTATCCTTCTTGCACCCTGTCGTAGTTCCTCCTTCCTCGCTTGAGTGCTCAACGGGTAGATCGGAAGAGCGGGGCGAAAGTCACGAGCATTCGGAAGGCCAAAAGTCTTGATCTGGGGGAAGTATGATCGCAGTTGAGCGTCTCGGCTTCCATCTCGAGGAATCGAGACCTCGACAGTGGAGTGTGGACAGACAGACGGCCGTGACTGGCACTCACACGCTTGACTCTGCACACTAATCACACGTACGTTTCTCACGAGTCCCAAGGCCCCAACGAGACTAGCCCATCGCAATTGGGGTTCGTGAATCATCATTGGGTGCACCACCGACCGAGGTGGAGGTGGTGGGCAGCACAGAAACGAAGCAAGAGTTTCACAAAGGCCCTCTGGACTTCTGGAGAGCCACAACGTTCACTGGTGACTTTCGTCAGAACTCCGACTTGCCCGCTCGGCTCGGTGGATTCTGGGCCCCGGTGGAGCCCCCGGCAAAGAAGAAAGGCAAAAAAGGGCCTCGAGTGTCGAGAAGTCGAGACTCGAAGAATCGGGTTCTCTTTCACGCCCTGAGTCTTCAGTCTACCACTTCCAGTCCCTCCAGTCACGCCCAGGACTGGCTTTTCCCAGTGCCGTCAACCCAGTGGAGAACCTCGATAGACGGAGAAACGCAGTGGACACTGGACACTGGACAATACATTGGCCACGACCAGACCAGAGTGAACATTGCATACCCAACGGTGTGGAACGTGGATCCCGAATCACTCAAAACAAAGGCTGAACCATCGTGACTCGGAAACCACACTTACACAGTCTCGCCTGTCGGGGCCATCTTTTCTCTCTGGCACCTCCTTCCAACACGCATTCACTCGCCCTCCCACTCTCACTTTCACTCTTCACCGATTCCCACGACCAGTCCAGTCAGAGTTTCTGATCCCTCGCGTCACTCCTCTCTCTCTTTCTTTCTCTCTTTCTCTCTCTCTCTCTCTCCGTCTCTCCGGCCAACACGCTGTCTCTCCCGCGCTCGATCTCTCACCTTGGAGTCCTGCCAACTACCTGATAGCCTCGTTCTCTGCATCCTCCAACTTGCTGCACCCGGCCTTCTGCTCACCTGCAGGTTGCACGATAGCGGGGATTCCCTTGTCAGGCACATCACCACTGGCCCGTTTGCTGATTCTCAGTATTGGCGAGTCGTCCTAACCACCCGTCTCGCGGTCGTTCCTGCCCAGCCAGTTGGCAAGCATCGTGCTTGTCTTCCTTTTGAGCTTCGCTCCCTGTCAGGGTCCACGTTGGTTCGATCCGTCCTTTGGTCACTGCTCGCTCTATCCCATTCGACCCGCTTGCCATCTCTCTCTCTCTCTCTCTCTCTCTTTCTTTAAAAAAAAAAAAAAAAAAAAAACACTCGCGCCCATCGGGCTTGTCCCCTCGGTCCACTCATTAGTGGCGCCCTTGTGCTTGGGCTTGTCAGTTCCTGCATCACACCGCCACGTCCCGTCGGGTGCTTATCGTCGATCGACCCTTTGTCATCAGGCAATCACAATCAATCTTGCTCAGGACTCCTTTGCTGCCGCCCCGCGTCCGTCGTCGGCGTGGTCGCTCATCAAGTGAGCGACACCATCACACTCACGGTCCCTGCGTTCCTGTTCAATGCTGTGCAGCGACCTACCACCACCGTTACTCCAGAATCCGCGACGCCCTACGGCCCCGCCTTATATTGCGCGATGCACCAGCTGTCTCAGCACCCCGAGACGCAAAGACCGTCCTCAGACACCATGGACTCTCCTCGCCCCTTCCAGTCTTCATTAAGTATCAACGCCTCATCGCCCGTCTCCCCCGCCCTCTCTCTGTTCTCGGCCATCGGACACAGCCGTGTCTCCAGCTCCGTCTCGTCTCTCGTGCCCCCCGCCGGATTGGGCAACATGGAGAGCTCCAGTCGAAGCCATCTGGCCGGCGTCAAAGAAGAGCTCCCGGCGCGAGACTCGATCGAAGATCAATATTTCCGTATGTGCACCTGCTCATCATAAGCATCCGGCCTTCGGGGCATCGCGTGCTTACGGGCAATGATCATAACACTCGAGGAATTTTGCGGCTGACCATGTGCTGCGTGACTCTTTCTAGAACATTTCGAATGCAGTGTCCCCACGACAGACGAATCCTACTTCCCCATGGACGACTCGGCTGGATACACGATGAGTGACTCGGGGTTGGAGATCTGGGACTCGCCTCCCAAGCGTCGCTCAGATAGCTTGTCCACCAAGTCCATCTCCCGCGTCGGGTCGCACGTCTCGACCGTATCGGCCCGGTGGAAACCCAAGCGTGCTTCGGGGAGCCCGGAACAAGAGGCGCCAGTGGAAGATTCGCGAACGCGCGCAGACTCCGCCGCTTCTATGGCTCTGGCGAGTTCTTTCATCGCCACTCCCATGAGTCGCATCAACTCTCATATCCCTCCATCCCCGGCCCAGACCATCTTCGAGGAGCGCGTCAGTAATTCGGGCGCCCGACCAATCGATATCACTCGCGCAAACAGTATCAGTCAGCAGGAGAATGAGGAAGAGGATCTGCAAGCCACGACCCCTCTGCTTCCACCACTGTTAGGGGATAACCACTCCAGCACAACCACCTCGCGAGTTCAGTCCCCACTTCAGTCGCCGTCAGTCGCCGATGTGAGCGAGAGCACATCCCCAAACATGGGCGCGGAGCCTCGCTTCATGGGCGTGTCCGGTATTCCTTCCCCGCCGCTCTCCTCCAAGCCTTCCTTGGCATCCATCTCCCGAGCTCGCGCGGGCACAATCCGCACCGTCTCCGGCGAGGCCGCCCCCTTCGTTCTCACGGATCCGAACGATGTGTGGGCGGCCAAGCTGGGTCATGCCAATTTCACTATCCAACCTGAACCGTACGTCCCGGAGGTCTTTGATCTGAAGCACTTCCAGCAACTACGTACGGACTGGGATCTCGCGCGGTGCAATTTCGCGAAGCACCTGGTTCGCACCGGCGAGCATTACGGGGTGACCTCCAATATCTACAAATTGACCAGCCTCAAGTGGGAATCGATTGATCGCGAATGGCGCACTCAGCACGAGGCCACTCTCAATGCCCTCGGATCAGCGGACGGCGTCGCATTGGCTCTGACTCACACTGAGCGACGACCCTGCGAACGCGTCTGCGTCCCGCGTCTCCACGATAACGCCAAGTTCCCCGATATGGGGGATGAAGACATTGTCGGACCGATGACTGTCTCCCCCGTGGCGGAAATCGCAGGTCCCTGCCGTCCCAAGTCTTATAAGAAGCGCAACTTTTTCCGTTTCTTCCAAGATTTGGTGGGTCGATCGTGAAAACTGATGCTTCAATCGCCACAGCTGATCATATTACACGCCCCCCCCTCTCTCTCTTCTTTCTTTGACACTTGTTTCTGAGCGATCTTCATTTCCTATCATAATGACCTATAGACATTGCTCGCAGCTCACGCCCCCCAAGTCGTCCTTCGATTCGGTACAGTTCCCTGTGCTGTGGCGGAGCTTGCAGCCTCACGACTTTAACGTCTTTTCCTTTCTGTGTTGCCTTCAGAGTTCTGGATCCTGTTTGATGATTGTCATGACTCACGGCGTCGAGCTGCGACTACTGCTCTCGCAGCCGCGCCATGCCTTTCCTTCGTCTTGTCTCCCCGTCCAAGCCTATCACGGCTTTGAGGTGTTGGGCATTCTCTACCAGAGCTGTCTCATGCCTCTGGGGCTGGGTCGGTGACCCGTTTCATTCCCTTTTTACGATTATACCCATCTGTCTCGTTTACTGTTTGCATACATCAAAACCAGTTGAAAGCGTTTTATAGATTTTGACACTGCGAGACTTAGAGAGCGCCTCTTCCGACTGTACATAGAATATATAGTGTGCTCGAGATAGCGCTACTGCCATGTATCCACAGCAGCTGCGCAAAGCACTCGTGCAATGTGTTCATATTAGACTCGAATCTTGGCTCCAGCATCTAAGCGGCAAAGTAGTGGTGCAAAAGGAAATTGTCCCTGCGCGTAGAATGTCCGGGATATCATCTCCAACCCAGAGACTCTGAGGTGACCTTGAATGTAAAACGTACTTTACCTACCTTCCTAGTTGATCTCTTGCGAACCGCTGTAATTCCATCTTGACCACAACTCCACGTACTGTCCAACTACCTCGAAGTTCCTCAATTCCTACACGAGAACCTTAGTGCATCACCTTGAACGCCAAGGTAAAAACCAGGCGACATGGACAAGGATCCATCCAGACGAGGAAAACAAGACAGAACCGCAAACCAAGCCGTGTTGCCCTCCCCCCCCCCCCCCCCCCCCCTCCCGGCCCGTCAAGCAATGATATGATCTGGGGTGTTCGACACGAGCCTTTCCACCAACTGCAGGTGGATTCATCTTACTTTCCCAAGTGCCAGTTTCAAGCTGAGCTTTGCCCTCGCCCAACAAGGGAGGATGCTTCTTGAGAATTAAGTAGTTGGAGAGTAATCTCGGGCAGTCTTGCACTTGTCGATGGCACATGAGCGGGGTTTGGGGTGGATATCGTGATAAATATCCGGGGTTTCGCCAGGTTGGACTTCATGTCGTCTTTTGACTGGGGGATCTGTGTTCTGCCGTTTTGATTTCGTTCGAAGATATCCGGTATCAACCTTAATAGGCCCGGTGTTGTACTCGCATACGGTCGAGGCTATGAGAGTGCGTCACACAGACGATACGCGCTGCTTATACGCTGTAAGATGGCGAGTCTTGGGTTGTAGAAGAAGGTGCGCGAAGAGTTCCAAAGGCCTTCCAGGCTTGCTGAAGCACTGGTATGATCTGAAACAGATTTGAAATCTCAACAGAACACATCAGTGGGAAACAAACTCGGAGGCTGTCTATCTCTTGACCAAGATTATATCCAGTACTGACTCCATAGCTTTTTCTCTTCTTCTGTTCCCTTGAAGCGGAATTCCACCGGTGTAATGTCCTCGAAACCTTCTTCCAGAGTAGGTGGTTGGTATCTACGCGCGTAGTCTATGAACGCGATGCCGGGGAGTGTTTGTCTAGATTCGGGGTTCTGGTTGATAGTAGACAGTCAATGTGAGCCATGAGATATATAAGTTTCAAGCGTAAGAGAGGGAAGGTGGGAGGGTGTACACGTACAAGTTCCTTGTTGGATGCCCGCGCCGCAGCGTTGTGCTTGCAAAGCTCTGGGGATGCCAGGAAGTGTACACATCGGATGGGGATTTTAAACTCCTTTGCGAGAGCAATCCAGTAGGCTCGCACTTCTTGGGTCGCGTTGGTATTATCTGATCGTGTGACGAGATTTAGTTTCGTGCAGAGTGGTCGAGACTATGCCACAAGTACTGGGAAAGAGATGTGGTTGACTCACCCACAGCGACGGATTTATTGGCCTGCAGAAGCTCCCGCGCGACTTTGAGACATTTAGGACGCTTGGCACAGTCAGTGGTCATATACTGGGAGAGTTGTGATCAGGTGAAACGAACAGATCCTAATATGTCTTGATTGACTCTTTCATACCCAAGCGGCTCAAGATTGTTCCAGAAGAAGGTGGATTTTCCAGCGGCCGGGCTGCCGCAGAATATCACGAGGTCCAAGGGATGCTTGCGGGTAAATGACGGAGTGGCTTCAGGGCACGATCACAGAGTATTAGTACCAGTTGCCAACGCACAGAAAGTTCAAATTCCATCAAGGAATCACACACATTGTAAAGAGACCTCTGGTCCAGAGTCTGCCTCGATGAACCTGGCGGGGTTGAAGATGCCCGCATCTTGAGGCGGCTCTTGCTCTAGGAAAAACTCCTCTGGAGTCTTAAATGCCATGCCGGCATTGACGGCGAAGCCCCTGCGAAATTATTAGAAACCGTGTGATTAAAACCATCAATCACCGGCAAACTCTTACCGATCAACATTGGAATGATCCTGGGGACGCCCAGCAGCATCGCCGACAAAGAAGGACTCTTTGAGATCGATGCCCGATACATCAAGATCATAGTCATCTTGGAACTCACGCCACATGCCCAGTCGTGGTTTGCGATACTCGGTATCGTTGGTGGCTGCGTACACGCTCAGCGGAATATCCAATTGAGCCATGATCGTCGACAGCTTCTCCTTGAAGTTTGATAGACTTTTTGATTCACTTTTGCCATTCTTGATGTCTTTCTGAATTTTGATCATCTTTTGGTTGGAAAAGATGACCACTTGGTAGCTGAAATTAACGGGGGTCAGTGCGATCAGCTACCGATATCATGACTGTTTGCCGGAGTGGTCGAAAACACGTACCCCTGCGAGCTGAGCTCTTTGACTTTTTGAGGGACTGAAGGGTCCCACCATTGCCAATCTTTGGGGTCCTTTGCAAAGACGGCCCCGGAGCGTGTTTTGATCAGCGTAGAATCCTAATGATCATGCATTAGCTCTCGATCACCTTCCATTGTCGTTCTCTAGATCATTTCATAAACCAAAGAAGTTCCATGGAGCCCAGACTGACAAGATCAAAAGAAGCGACTTTTTGCGCCCTTTCCGAAATGCTGTGAGCAACACTCGTCGAGGGGGCATATTTGCCAACGACCAGGCTAGTACCTAGCACTCGCCACGTAATTGCCTCAGGCTTCTTCTGTGAAGCTGGTGTGAAGAAGTTTGCCACGGATTTCTCTACAGATTGCATCAGTCCATTGCTCTGATTGTCTCATTTTCATTACACGAGGTTGATCATAAATCTCGACGTACTGGTTACAGTTGTGACTTTTCGCCGAAGCGGAGGTGGGGAAATTGACCGAGTGGGGGAAACAGCACGCTTCCCTTCCCTTCCGGACATTCTGATGAGCCGATTGAGCGCAATTTTGAAAAAGCTTTCAAGATATCAAGAATGAGGTTGCTGCGATGATCGCTGAAGCTAATGGTGCAGTTGAGGGTCGGGTGTGCTGCCGAGACGAGTGGTCCTCTCGAGCGGTTTGACGCGCTGGACCGCGCGGCAGGCTGCACGAAGTCACATGTTCTATAATTGCCTAATCGGGGGCTTTCTACGTCTGGGCTAGCTTATGTGCATTGTTCAGGTGCCACCACCCAAGGAAACTACAGCTATCAAAATATGTTGTCTATGATGATTTGATGTGCGTATGACAGTAAGGAGCTTGTTCATCGCAAGTACAGGCTAGCAGCAGAATACTGTCAACTTCCACATCAAGCTGAACTGATTTGTGGAGGCTGCCTCTCCGGGTATCCATTGACAGCCAGCACGCGGACATCCGTGCTGAGAAGGGGCTTTTCAGACACCACAGCGAGCATCACTTGGCTCGCGTGTCCAACGACAATCGATCAGCTGGCTCCAACCGGACTGCAGACTTGAGCTGCTCCCGTAGTCCAAGGAGGTGCTGCGATGCCGTCTTCATAGTCTCTTGATTGCTGCCATCTTGAACGGCGATAGACGCCTGAAGTACGTAGCTGCCGGTCTTCTCCAGAGGTGCCATCTTCTTCAAGCTTGGTAGAGATCGCCGAGGCTCTCTCGGTTCTTTCTCATCTGAGGGATAGTGCAGGACGCGATGCAAGAAGATGACGATGTCATTGTGAATGAAGATATCTCCCTCAACGACATACTCTGTCACAAAGCTGCAAGGCGAACGGTCAGTTCTCAATATCTCATGAGTCCGGATTGAGCCTGCATAGTGATACTCACCCATAGCCCCAGGCATTCATGGACGGCTCGATGTTCCCGCGAGGCAGAGCAGCACTGGCCATCACCCGTGTCGTGACGGCTGATCGCGTCGCCGCTTCGGGGATATCTCGAAAGTCCAACTTCCAAGGTTGCCGGTCAAAGTCGTAAGTGGCAGCAGTGTCAGCCTGCACAGAGGCGGATGGGTTGGAGAGCTCCATGCCAGCCATCTGCGTGTCGCTGTCCAGCTCCGACGCGGTCACCTTGACGGGCGCGGCCGCAAAATCCTTTTCCGAGACCGGCCCCACGACTTGGGTGTAGAACATGCCTCCATTCAGCATCTTGTTCACCCGTTGGAGATCGGCCGCATTAGCTTGCTGCAGATCTTGACTACCACCCACGCGACCAGTATTCAATCCAGGCTTGCGAAAGGCCTTGTACACGAGCCGACGCTCGAGGGCGTGGCGAGGTTGCATGGCCGTTAGGCCCGCCAGCTGCTGCAGGAGCTCATGATGCTGATGGACCGGGACCGAGGCGAAGAGGAGAAGCTCGTGCATCGTTATCCAGGGGACTTCAAGGAATGGGCAGGCACCGGTACCAGCCTCAGTATCAGCCCTACCGCGCTGCGCTTGGAGAATAACCTGATGATGAAGACGGGGAGCGGGTAAGTCCGGGACGAGTTAGTCAGGGTCCAAGCTTTTCCCATGTGGTGCCGCCTCCACCGCTTATCAGCTTATCTGAAGTGATCAAGTAATGAGACTGCCGGCAATTGGGTAATGTAGAACTCTTGATGATATGGGTAGTTGGGTACATTGGGTGCCTATTCAAGACAGGTACAGTATTACCCTTCCAGTTTCACATGTGAGATCACGCTTTCTGGCTTCTTATATGTACACACACTGTGACCGATGCCCTACTATACTCGCTGGTTTCTCGGAACAAAAGGATTGTCATACTTCCCCGTGGTAGCTTTGAGAACGAATAACCGGATTAATCAAGGTCATTGCCTAGTAGTATACTAGCGCTCGCAATTATGTCTATGGAAGCGGTGGTGATCATCAGATTCATCACAATATGGTCTGCTCCATTGAGGCACGACTCATGCAATATTGACTGTGACGGCTAGGAGGCAGCGAGGCACTAGGCACTGGGCAGTAGGTAGTAGGCACTGGGCAGTCTCTCCCTTCCCTTGCATATCAAGCGAAGAACAAAATCTGCGCGCCAATTTTCTCACCCACGCTCTAAGATGGGTTATGATACAGTAGCGCTGTTCCGAACCGAGTCTCACAAGAGGCAAGTCGTCGCAGGTCGCTTTACGGGACGCAGCAGAGATCCGACCTATGAGCCTGAACAGGTTAAATTGGCTCAAATTACTGCACAAACCTCAAGTAAGCGGGGGGAGAAAACACCTTTTCATTTGGTCACAAAAACGCGCTTACTCAACCGAGGCTTGGCTTCTGCGTGCCCAACACAGAGTCACAGAGTGATTGGTGTATGATCCTGGTCGCGGGGCTATCGGAGATCGTCCCGGAGTTTGGGGCGACGCATCGCGCACCGGTTGTGCACACTGCACAAAGTACAGTCAAGTTGGGGAAGCTTCACCGAGAATGCCGAAATAGGAAAGGAGGATCAGGAGAGGATGCGGAGAGAAAATGTGTAAGTGAACAGGTAAGATGAGGAGACGTGTCGATGAGGGGATCAATCAGTGAGGAGATGACGAACAGCGTGACTACTACTCGTTACTGTTCTTAGTACTACCTCTACTTCGGGTAGTCTCTAGTCTCTAGTTCTCTTGATGTAAGCAGTGTTTCTTTTTTTTTTTCTTTTTTCTCTTTTTTCTTTTTTCTTTGCGTTGCATGCACTCAGGCTATCACTAGTCTTGCGCTTTAAACGAGCTCAATAGTAACCTGGAATCTGGACAAGGCCATTATCACCTGATGTTGACCACTCGCTAGTCGGGCCCGGCGTCCGGTGATACCTGATTTCATTCTGTATCTCGTCCAGGACGCAGGATCGGATCAGGACAGCAGCAGGGCACTTTCGATGGCGTGATGATGTGTATCCTGTGAGTATGATTCTGTGGACCTGCCAGTGAATAGATGGCGTGACTCGGAGTGAGAGGACATGATTCGGCACATCAGTCCCTGTGAGGAGACTTGGATGCGGACTTGACATGGATCTAGGATTGTTCTTCGCGCCTTCGCGGCCTCGCGGTATTCCTCAGAGTCAAAGGCGATCATTCAGAATCAAGTCCACATGTCTCGCCAGTCTGCAAGACCAATGCGGAGACTCATCTCAGTGCCAGCTACTTGATTATGTACTCCCCAGATCACACCACCTGCATCGAGTCAACTTTGAGTCGGCCGTGGTTCTTACTCCACACTTCCCCAAATGAGGCTCCTGCACCCCACTTGCACAGTTACATTCCCGCTGGACAGTGGAGTGTGGGCACTGGAGTGCAAACTCAGTGCACTGTATAATTACAAGATACATCCTCGTAGGAATGGGAATCGTGTTCAAACCCCTATGCGAGAGACAATACACAAGAAGCGTGGTAAGTCCTCGGAGACGACACATCGAATGCGTATCACAGGCTTGCCAGCCCTGTTCGCATTGTGAATTCAAGATTGTGCCGCACTGCCGCAGTAGGTCATACCATCATACCGGCGGTTGCTCGGGTCCGAACGGACAATACCACCTTGGGTTCCGAGTCCCGACTGCTCTGATTCCGCCGGGTGTGATGGCGGCAGACTCGATGAAGTACTCGGGTGCTCACTCACGACTCACGACTCACGAGTACCTTGCATACATTAGCGCTCCGTGCTCAGTTTCGAGAGATGTTCCTTTGAATATCCTTCTCGATGAACGCACTTCCTATACTTGACTAGTGACAACCACTGACGAGTGTAATCCCCGCCTCCTCCTCAAATTAGGTTCATTCTCGAGGATCAAAGTTCAGGGAAGAATTGCCTAACCAGCTTTAGTCCATCAGGGCACCTCTCATCATTGGCGACGAGATCCGTCGTCGGTGTTGGAGTGTCCACATGCAGTCGGCGCCGGGTGCACTGCCGCCCGTGCTGTCCGCTGTCCGCTGTCCGCCCACTTTCTCCCCTCCGCGGACTTTGGCTGGATTACATGATCACCGGTCACACTCCGACCCGGCCTGGCTACGCGTCCGCTCTTCATATTTCTTTTCTTCCCCCCCCCCCCCCCTCCTTCTTCCCTCGACCTCGTCACACCTTATTCTCTCACTCCCTCAAAATCCCAGCCATCACTCTGTCACTTCCAGCTCGTCACCCACACATTCCACTCACTGTGAAGTCGGTTGCTTCCTTTCCAATTACGTTGCCAATTCACACGCTGCCTGCTTGTCAGTCGGTTCGGATACTTCCGGGCCCGTTGGATTTCGCACACCACACTCGGCCACCGTAACCCTCGATCGGACCACCCCTCTCCAAATTTCAATCTTCGACTGATCATCTCCTGTCACTACACCGACAAAATGCGTGCCTCCATTGCCCTCTTCAATGCCGGCCGGACTCCCCTGATCCGCTTCGTGGGCAAGCGATCCGTCCCCAGTATGTGAACTTCCCTGCGGATGGCTCCCGGATAACTCCCCCTGGATACTTCAATTTCCCTCTCCGAGTCAATCAAGAGTGATGTTCTGATTCCATCTCCAGAGTCAATTGACCACACACCTCGCGTGCATCCGGCCTCCCCCACCGGCTCTCTGCCCGACTCGTTCGCTACATACCGCGCCAAGGCCCAGCAGCACGGCCCTCTCGGCCGTGCTCAGTTCAGCGGTCGCGTCGGAGCCCAGCCTGGCTCCGCGCTGGGTCCCGTTGCACCCAAGGCTGGCGAGTTCTTCGATCGCGCTGAGCTGCCCGCACGTTTCGGTCGCCTGCCCTGGACCGCGGCAGAGATCGAAGCCATCGAGACTGGCGGCGCGAGCATGTACGCATAGACGTACCCGCCATGGCGACCTGATACATATATATTGCATATATTGCCGCATTGATGTCACCTACGCCGTGAACGATGGAGTACGACCACTTTTTTCTTTCTTCGTTTGAGCGAAGCTGGGCCGTGCTCGGATCCCTGATTCGGCACTGCTGGCCGCTCGATTCCATTTATTTCAACCAGAGATGCAGAAGCCTCGATCGAGCCCGTGAGTGTGCGGGAGTAAAATCTCCAGGTTGGACGAGGTTCGGACTGCATTCTTGTCGCATCTCTCGCGTCGGGTTGAAGTTTTTTCGATAGAGGGCCGGATGAACCTCGTCAAGATAACAGAAACAACCGCGCGCCCTAGCAAATGGTGCTGATCACTTGTTCATTACTTCCATACCCCATCTGGTCCGATTGACTCTCGATCTTTTATTTCCAATATTGGCGCTGGTGGTTATATTAGCTGGTGCTGTCCTTTTTTGCCAGCGCAAAAGCACTTGTGGGCTGTTTCCTCGTCGCTTTTCCTTCATGCGCACGGTTGTCCATTGGCCCTGAGAAACGGCAAGACAACTGTCGTGGAACCTGTCGTGGACATATTGTTGGTTGAAAAACTTCGTTCTATAGTCCCTTTCCTCCGGCGGGCTTTGACACCGACTTATATTCAGCTCTGCGAGCTGTCTTTTCAATTAGCATATAAATTCACTGTCTCGGTCAAATCACTGCCTTTGTAGACTGCCGCTGTGTAAAGACAAGATTAGTCTTCCTTCCATTAGGCTCGCCGATACTGCGAAGCAACGTGGTCTTTCTTCCCCGCACGTGCTCTATCGGTTACTCTCAAACCCAACCTCAACCCTGTCGGTACCGGCTAACTAATAGTGACCAAGCACGACTGTGATCCTCATCAACGCATGTTCATCCCCGCACAATGCTATCGGGCATTGACTGTAAGAAGTCGAGACTAATTATATCTGACTCCGGTGAACCGAATAATCGCTTCGTGGCGTACATCTTTCCAGAGAATGACGCGAGCGTCTCATCGGGCAATGCAGGAGGCCGAGTGTATATGAACAGAGTATGTCAGCTGGCTCCTTTCTATATCATTCGAAACGACCAAGACATCGACCTGACTAGAAATTTGAATTCTCCCTTTTTGGCCGTTCATGGACCGGTCGGTCCGCTTGACCATACGTTGGCTTGCCGAGATTGACAACTGTCAGTCTCTGGGAAACGCAATGCTGATTTCATACTCTCGGGGATGACAGAGAAGGACGCCCGAGTGGTCTCTTTGGTCCTTCAGGCCTCTCGTTGTCTACCTTGGCGATGTATTTCTTCCATCGGGATATCCTCAGAGCGTGAGCGAAGACTATTTGCCGTGAGTAGTCGAAGCAGGGGCTTCATTTCTTGAGCACACACCCCTTCTTTTGGACGATCTTCAAGTTCGCCTTGCTAATTGCCCGCTGACAGATACCAAATATTTGTGAGATCCTATCCCCAGAAAACTCGAGACTCACAGTCAGCTCTTTACACTGTTACCTAATGGAGACCTGATGAGGCGGAGAACAAGTCCCTAATCGAATTATGGATAGGACTCACTGCAAGCATTCTGTAGCTCAATAGCCGGTCTTCTCTCATCTCGAGCGGTCTTACAAGGTATGTACCACGGCTTCTACATCTTCCTTACCAGAACAACTCACGTCCAACACTATCTTCCCTCATGTACAGGAGTCGGCGTCGGCAATGCGGATGCCTCCCCAACTTCTGCTCTACTACTGCACATCTTGCAAGATACATCTGGACGCATTGCCACGATTCTGTTCGCCCACCGCGTCAGCACAGCCCTGGAGCCCGAATGCAAAACCTACCGACTCGCCGCGGACGTCTTCAATGATCTCGCAATGGTCCTAGACTGTCTTTCGCCCATGGTGCCCGCTGGCTTCATGCGTGTGTCTGTTCTCAGTACCGCGGGTGTTCTTCGTGCCCTTTGCGGTGTTGCAGGAGGTAGTTCCAAGGCTAGTCTGAGCGCCCACTTTGCCAGATGGGGAAATTTGGCAGAACTCAATGCAGTACGTGTTCAATGGGAGGTTCATCAACATGCCTGTCTCAATGTGGTTGTGATGAACCAGCCATACTGTGGGGCAATAGCTGACACTGTGGTGAATAGAAGGACTCGTCTCAGGAGACTGTCATCTCGTTGATAGGGATGCTGGTAAGCAGATGTTTCTTCCCGGAGCTGAGCAAAGACTGACTCGCTCGTTCCCCTCGTACAGGTTGGTTCCGTTGTTGTGTCGCACGTTACAGGGTTCACGTCCACCTGGATCGCGCTTCTTTGCTTACTCGGTCTACATCTTGGCATGAACTATGCTGCCGTCCGCTCCGTACAAATGACAAGTCTCAACCGACAACGCGCCAACATCGTCTTTTCTGCTCTCTTTGAATCCGACTCCAAATTGAATCAGTCGATAGGCAGGACTCGTTCATTGCGTCATGTATCAACTGGCTTGGACCCCGCTATCAAGTTCAGCCCTTCTCGACACATATCTCAATCCTCGAATTCCCCGATATTCCTCACGCCCGCACAAGCTGCCTCGCAAGAATACATTTTCCCGCGTCAGGACACACTGACATGGACATCCCCTTTCGGTGTCAAGCAAGAGACATGCCTCGGGAGCGCCGACATCGGTCTCTCCCTTTGAATGCTTTCTCAAACAAGCCCGAAGACACGCTTCATCTTTGACAACCCCGACCACAAACCAATCGCCCTCCTCCTTTCACACCACCGTGCCAATGATCCAACTAGCAGAGCTATACGCAGACGAGAAATACCTCATCTACTTATTTCCCCGCACGAAACGATCTCCTCCCTCAACCCAGACATGGCACGCATCGATCCTACTAAAGAAGGACTGCACCATCCCTGACCAGCTGAAGGCCTGGGCCCACGCACTTCTCGCGGCCCGTGTCTTGAACATGGACTGTGAGAAAGGCCGTTTTCCAGGAGGGTACGGGGCTGAGAAGAGCACTGTGTCTGTGTCTGTGTCGAACACCACTGACTTGGTCATGAGTTGTATGGCTGATACTTTGAGCGTGTTGAACGAGGGTGGTCGGTTTGGCGAATATCTGGACGTCATGCGAGCGAATGGGTGGGACGTGGATATCGGGGCCTTGGAGACGAGAGGGGGAGAAGAGTTGAATGTGCGTGAATGACAGGTCGAATGCTGACATAGTGTGCGTTGAGATGTTGTGCTGGGGGTCGAGGGTTCTCGAGGTAGGTTCTATCTTGTAGCACTGCCGCCCAGGGCCCGGGTGCATGGCCATGGAGAGGCTTGAGTGCTAATGATGAGAGGAGATCCAGTATACTCGACCTATTTATGTGCGAGGTCATCGCCGAATGGCTTTTTTTTTTTCTTTATCAAGGATGTACATTGCCTGAAGCTCTCTAGGCAGGCCCCTGCTCCTACTCGAGAAGCCCGATGGAACTGTGTTTGATGTGCCAGAAATCATTATCTGGGATATATTCAATAGCTTTTGCGTGAATCTCACCATCCATGTCCTTTTTTACACTCGAAGCTTGGAGCACCCTATGAGACAAATGAAAGGAAGAAAAAAACGTGGTTGATCGGGGTATCAAGTCTAATTCGTATTTGATCCATGGATAATGAATATCAAAGGACCATCCTATCGTAGCAAGCAATTGACACATTACATCATGCATAAGGCAGACAACAATGTGGCCGAGAGAAGGAGCAGGTGATGATCCACGGGGGTGGGTCCAAAAATGCAGGAGAGAGTCGAGACGCCTTCGTCAGCATTTTTCTGGGGGCGAAACATAAAAAAGAAAGGTCCGACCGAGATGTCTATTTGTGATGATGAGGGAGCAAGAAAGGGAGACTGAGAACATGAAATGTGGGACGAGGATCTTTCTTTCCGTCCGTCGACGCGAATTTGAAAATGAGCGACGTTGGAGGAGACAGAAAGAATGCATTGGGATGCGCAGGACTCGAGTGGGACAGATGCTGTGGGTAAATATCAACAGAACAAGGTGGCATGGTAACTGTAAATGAAAAGGAAAGGAAAACGCCGGTTCGTATGCTTTGTATGCATCATGCTCTCATACACCGCCAATGAACGCTAAAGAAATAGAGTCAAGCCGAGTCGTCTGAGATGCGTTTCAGGAGATATTTCAAGGGGTAGGTGATGAAAGGATGGAGGTGAGGAATCAATTTTGAGGAGAGAAGGTTGTGTGAGGTTGAGGGTCGATGAGGCCCTTGGGGCGGAAACGTTGGATGGATACGCCGCGTCAAGATTCGGAAAATCTGGGAAACGGTTGGATGAAAGGATGGCAGGCTCATTTTAATCATCGATGCTCAAGATTTTCGGATCCCGGGAATTGCCGTTGCTTCCTCCGGATCGTTTCTTGAATCCCAACTTCAGACCCATCTTCTTCCACGGGTTCTCGGTCCGATATTTGGGACTGGAGATAGGCTGGTTGAGATCGCTCGCAGGAGGCGTGGTGGGAGGCGTCATAGGCTCCTCGGTGGTTGGGCTGGACTGGGAGATCGAATCGTCCGTGAGCGACGGCGTGTAGGAATCTCCAGATGGACTTAAGAGAGCCCCCGACGCGCGTTTTCCCAATGCCTGCATCGCGCTGAAGGAACTACTGGAGCGGCCGGCAGTCGTGGACAAGTCCTTTGTGGAAGATTGCGGCGAGATGCGTTTCGTTCGAGAACGGAAATACTTCATGGAGTGATCGTCACAAGATATGTTGGAGAGGTCCATGACGTCGTCGGGGCTGATGGGTGAATCGGCCTGAGCCTCCACGGACGGGGAGACCGCTTGGCTGTTGAGGAAGGGCAAGAAGATCGATTCCTCCATCAAGTCATGGATCCGCTGCACCGCTGAATCGAGGGTTTCGGGAGCCGGTGGGAGGGTGACATTGCCATGTTGAAGTAGAGCGTCCCTAACCTCACTGGACAGATTCACTTCCCGAGGCGCACCGGGCAAGATATAAGCCGTCATCAATCGCTGCCAGAGCATGAGGAGATGTTGTGATTCCCGCGAGTCCGGCCGGGTCAAGACTTCAGGGCCGAAACGCGACGAAAGGGTGTGGTAGGTCTCCCGGTAGCGGCTGGCCTCCATGGTGAACTCCAGTGTTTCGAGACAGTGATTTTGTGACAGGTAGGCCATGAAGGCCGATAACGTATACGGGGGAGCGGCGGTGTTGGCCAGCACTTCTTTGAGGGTGGGACGCATGGGACAAAAAGGCTCCCGCTGAGACGGCCAGGCTGACCGGCCGGGAGCCGGACGATTCCATATCCTCGTCGGAGTCACTGTCCGACGAGGTGGGAGAGAGTTCGGGGGTGGTGGATGGGGAGAAGTTCCAAAAGAAGGCCGGAGCGAGAGATTTCTTTTTGAGCATGGCGCTGAACTTTCGACGAGCACCGTTGAATTGGAAACGTTTTCTCACCAAACCGTTCCGAGGTGCCAGACGAGTCTCCAGATTGAGCCAAGTCCAAGGTGAGCGACGTTATTGCTGGGGGAGACGACGAATGGCGTATGATCTCATGAGCGAGTTGACGTGTTGGGGGGGGAGGAAGTGAAGACGCCAGGAAGGATCGACTTGGAGCGGACTCAGGACGTCTGGTGTGTTGAGCGGCTTGATTGTATATGGGTTGCCGGACGAGTTGAAGAGAGGGAGGTGGTGCAAGTAAGAGAAAGAAGGTAGAATGGCGATCAACGTGGAGACCGCGTAGAAGGAAAGAATGGGACAGGGAAGAAAGGTCGAGTTGATTCAGGTTGGAAGAGTGGAAGTGGAGTGGAGGAGTGAGAGGGAGGAAATGATGGAATCGATATAGTCAGGTCGTCGTCAGGATCAGACACGCAGTACACTGAGGGTACTCTCTCACGGCCAGGGCAAGTGACCAGTCAGGGAGGGGGAGACCTGCCCCCCATCTGTCCCAGACAGGAAAAGGGAGGAAAACGGGGGTAACAGGTACTACTGTACGAGGGTACCTCTGAGTCTGAACCAAGAAAAGAAAATCAAATTGGGAAAAATCCTCAGTGGGGTGGAGATGGGACGGATTGGAATGGAAGCAGAGAACACCCAGAGTGGGAGAAGATAGGAAAAAAAAAAGAAAAAAAAGCAGAGAAAATGGGTGAGTGGAGCAGTCAGCCCCACTCCACAGGCTTGGTGACCCACATTGGCGGGAGCTGTTCTGGAATCATTCGTCGATTGGCCGTCGTCGAAGTTCCAGTGTTTCTGCGCCTTTTTGGGGGGTTTTTCCTTTTTTTCTTTTTCGAGATCATGATTATTATCTGCCTGGTGAATTCACTAGTAGGCGTAAGGCGCAGACGTTATCTCCCGTAGCGGTGGTCTATCGGCGGTTTGCTTCTCCCCCCTTTGACTCGGGGGACATCTCTCCAGGGTGATAAGGTCCGCTTCATATGGAAGTACTGTAGTAGTCACTTCATGGCTTACTTCCACCGCTATCTGGACCAGTCAAGGTCCTCGTTCTTGTTCGACTTTCTGTGTCTGTATCACCAACAGGGACCCCAGTAGAAACACGCGACACAAAGGACACTTAGGACAGTACAGGATCTCAGGTCGTATGGAATCTATATGGATGTCAATACGGAATACTCAAAGTTACAGTATTGAATGCCAATGTAAAGTTCAGGTTTTATACTGGTACAGTAATCTTCGATAAGGCAGACAAGATCACAAGAATATCCCTGCCACCTGGTGTACCCGGTGCTAGAGTACGTCTGGCCGGAGATCTGATTGTGGAATGTAGGCCACATTGTTACAGTAGGGGCATTGTATCGGAGCCTAATCGCGACTCCGAGTCCATGACAATGTGGTATCATTTGAAGTTACAGTCTTCAGCGGATCGACATTCGACACCACCGATATGCAGTCCTCAGTAAGCAACTCATCCGGTGACGTGCGGTGGCGAGATCGACAAAAGGAGCATTAGACTAGACATACTTTTCATCTCGTCCACGATGGAAAAACCTTGACATCGGATGCGTTGATCTTGGTCGTGAGCTTCCAGACGTGGAGCTGAACCTCATGATCGGTCAGGAACAAATGGCTCAGTCGCATCGCTCCTTCGAACTCAAGGAGACGCCATCCGGCCGATTGTAATGGAAAAGGCCTCCAGGCGCTTATCACTCCAGGACCGAGTCCCGACTGAAGAAGTCCGGCAGACCAGGACCGACACACATGTTCAATTCGACCATGGTCCCACCCTCCCGACTCCCACTTGTTCCACGGTACGGTAATTTTGTTTTTTACATCTGTGTCTCGCGGGTGCAATCCATGATACGACTTTTAACGTCTCAGGTGATCGGTTAGTTCCTTTGCAGGTCAGACACAGCATGGAATGTGCGACTCCAAGTGCGCATATTCGAGAGTCCAGAGACTTTGGGCGACGACGATCCCGATCGGCCAACGAGCTCCTGCGCCCTCTTTCCCAAGGCTGCGACTCCTTCCAGGCGCGAATAGTCAGACGCAGTTGGTGGCTTGGTCTTGGTGCATGACTAGTACAGTAGGTACGATCATAGGTTGTTACACATTTGTACAGTACGTCAAGTACGGTCTCATTACCAGCGCTCTTCACAAGTTCCCAAGTTCTCCCTTCTCAGGCTGCAAGTCCCTCACGTCGTGCACGTCGTTGCTCCAGACTCAGGCATGAATGCGGGTCACCTGTTTGCCTGCGTCCTTTCGAGAATGTTTCCCGTCGATTCTGGAAGGGCCAAATGTCGAGGCAGGGATGGGGATCATCCCTGTCCAGTGCAGGGTGCAGAGACAGATTGAACGTTGGACGTACAATGGACTCATCATCTGCGCGTGGCAACCGACACAAGGGCTCTCCTCCTCGTGGCCTCGTTCACGATCTTGGATGCCAAGTCAGTCGAGAGTCTGCACCTAGAATGCAGTGATGCACTCTGCAGCCGATCAGGGAGGAACTGGAGTCAGCTTGGAAAAGGCTATCCCTTCTTCTGCGAATGATGAATGGTCACCCGATTCAGCAATCAACCACATACATATCTAAGCTTACCTCCTACTGTAGTCAGTAGTGTCTCTCGGTCGACCTGTGGCACTGGGTGGTGGTCGACGCCTTTCTGGTACGCCGCGGGCCCCGGGGCCTGTTCTCTCGTAAAAGCCTGCGATTCCCGATGGAATCATAGGATCAACGACGAAGAGGACTACCCGGATCCGCAGAATCAGGATAAGCACAGCGAGGCTCCGAGCCAATCTTGGCTCTCGGCGAATCCACGGGCCCTTCAGCAGCGTCAATGGGCTTGAGGGCTCAGGGCTCAGGCCGACGCTAAAACTCCGCTTGAAGCCGGTGGGAATGCCAGGGAGATGCGGACCCATGGCCTGACGGCGCTCGGCACCCAGTCAGACTCAGCATGGCTCTTGCCCCGCATGCTTTCAGCGCGAATCTCTGCTCCCCTTGCGTTGGCCTGGAGGTGCCAACTGCCCACTGCCAACTGCCCACTGCCCACTGCCCACTGCCCACTGCCCACTGCCAACTGCCAACTGCCAACTGGGAAGACTGCCCTTTCAGCGAGTACGATCTTGCAAGTGGCTGGGCCAGGAGACCTTCTTGAGTGGTCACGTCATTCTCTCGGGCACTGCCACGGTCCCCCCCCCCCCACGCCCCGCGGGACAAGTGTAACCGTACCGTACATGTACATGGCTACATGCTGAATCGTGCAGAGTCAACGCTCAAACACTGGTACAGCAACATCTGGAACGAGTACCGAGGAAAGCTGATCTGCCAACTGGACTCGATGTGGACAACGACTGAGATGATGATGATTGCTCATTGCAGTGCCCAGGATTCAGAACTGTCAAGTCGCGACCGAGAGCTACATCGAGTGAACGGTCAAAGAGATTGAGTTTCATTCTCGTCCGGTGGTAGGAATCACTCGACGGCCTTGAGGTCCCGCTTCTACAAGTGAATCTACAATACTACTAGACTTCGTAGACTACCTACCTGGACAGTACCCAACTACCCATAACTAAGTAGTAGTGAGTAGGACAATAGTACTAGTGTACTTTACTAGGTACTTTGGGTAAAGTTACGAAGTACTAACTTGTAACTACAGTACAACCTCTGGTCTATCATGAAGTTCCATCGACCAACGTTTATTCCATCGAAGCTTCTGATCGACACCCTGTGAACCAAGAATCGCGTGGGTCACGAAGATCCATTGAAGGACTCGCCTCCCGACCATTTCTGCTACGCCAGCTTCTTCAAACCGTCGTCCCTGTCGAAGAGAAGCAGGTACTGTACAATTATATACAGTACACCCGCTGTCCTTTCCAGCACCGCAAGACAATCACAGCGAGTTTATTCACTGTACCGTGTTGTAAAGGCGAAATCTGTGGCGAGCGCGTATCGTCTCAGTCTCCCGCGTATCTGACAGGAGGTGGCGAACTCGGGCGAGAGACCGGGCACTCCAAGATCGTGCAACCTGACAGAGTTTTTCTTCTCGCCTCATAGCTCCCGCCAACTACTACGGTACTACCTAACCTCATCCAATGTGCCCAAGCCCCAAGGACCCCAACCCGGTCCGCCCAGCAGTAGACTGAAGACTCCAAGCGTTGACCGTGCTCGTACCCCAAGACCCTCTCCATTCAGAAGGGCAGCCCACCGAAGAGGAAAGTGAAGCACAGAGAGGCACGTGCCTCGAGGAGAGATGGAACCTCAAGCGCCACGAACACTCTACGAAGGTTCGTATAACAACGAAGTATAGACTACGGACTATGGGGACCCGATGTCTCTCCAGCCATCGGCAAAAGCCGACCGAACAAACGCGCGATCGAGAGATCAACCCAACAAACTGACCAATCACAACACGCTGTGGCACAATCAGGATCACCATTTTCCCTTTCTGGCAAGGAACCGAGGCCCCAAGTCTTTCTCGAAGTCTGTTGGACGAGATTGGAGGACGCCAGTAAGGAACCGGGAAAACAAAAAAAAAAAAAAACTCTGTCCTTCTGATTGTGTATGGTTGTTCACTACGAGAGAATAAGGTCTGATAAGTTGCGGCTGAAATCAACAGAGTTGAAGATATGCGGTTTTCCTTTTCGGGAGCGTGGTCGAGGCATCAATCTCCGATGATTGATCGAGTTTTGGTGTGACCTTGGGAATCAAAGTCCTCTATGCCATCGCACAATACAACTACGCACTAGACACTTCTGGAGTAGTCATGACTACAGTGCGGTTCGCGCTCTTCACAGACCTCCGACCCGGTCAGTCCAATGTTACCCCAGCCGGGAGCGGAAAGAACCACTCCTGCCTTGTGGGATTCTAGAATCTCCGCCGAAGACCGAACTCCATCCTGGCTTGCTCAGGGCTGTTTGTCGCGGTCGCCACAGCCGTTAGTGCTTTACTAGTCTAGACTCCAGGCACTACTATCATCGATTTCTTTCGATCGAGAAGGTGCCTCCTCATGCACACTCTCCCTTTTTGCCGACCATGGACCTAATCGCGATGCCCAGGTATCCTCCGATATGAAGAGTATTGCTCTTCACTGTGGAACAAGGGACATTGACAACTGGACAGTGGCTACGGTAGTGGACTAGTGATACCGATGACCATGATCGTGTAAATGATTGCTGTAGATTTAGAATAGTCAATCTCCCGCTTCCATAGTCTTGGGTCTCTGATCTTCGTGTATACCTAGTCAATTCTCACGAACGGAGACGACTCCACTGACCTGATCATTCATACCTAGTACATGGAGTCATGTACCACGGAAATCCTGCGCAAAGTGATCAGTCTCTGACAGGCCGACACTGCAAGAATGGTCTTGCCGCCCGAGAATTCCCTGAATGAACGGTATGCAGTTGCACGGATGCAGAGTCTGGCCAGGATCGATCAAAAAAAAATGGAATGTGCCCGTTTCACAATCCCTTGTCAAAGGGCAACTCGACCTCGGAAGGATCTCAAAGTGAGACTTTTCGAGGACGAACTAACTCACTACGATCGGGTGAAGAGCCCTTCGAGACTCGGTGTACCTAAGTAGATCCCCCGGGCTACCCACGTCCGTGCCTGACGCGGGCGCTTAAACTCTTTTTTTTAACAAAGGATCCCGCTGGCGAATCGCCGTGCTTCAAGCGAGGAAAAAAACTCAAGCGAGTCAAAAAGATAAACAACAAAAAAAAAAAAACTCTGTCTGGGAGTTTGCCACCACGAGATAGGATTTTCAACGTCCTGTGCTCCCAAAAGTATATCGAGCACTCCACATGCCAGGGCAAACAAGACTGCCTTCCTGTTTTGTTCTATCAGATCGTTTAGCCTATTTATGATTGAGTAGGCAAAATCCCGTGTTTGGCCTAGATGTCTGCGAAAAGTGCACCGATCGGTTGGAATTAGAATGTATCAATGTATTGCCCACTGCTCAGTGCCCGGTGCCCTGTGCCCTGTCAGTCTTGCCGATATCGAAAATGGAACTCCCTGTCTTGGCTCCTTCCAGACCTTGCGCAGAGATTTTTCTTCCTTTCATCTCGTTCAATACTACCATCTTGAGACTAGACCCTTTTTCAGCCTCGTCCAGATCTATCATGACTAGTTAGGAGTCATCCCACAGATGGAGAGGCTTCGGCCTACGGAAGAGAATTGAAAAAAAAAAAAAACCAATCCCGACTCCCGTCAATACGACATTTGTCTTGGCTATTGATCATCATGTTGGTCCTTTTCCGGGTCCGTGGATGTTTCCCGCCCGGAGAGGGATGGACCGGGTTATCCTGTGACTATCAAGATGCGCAATCAAATGCCAATGCCGCACGGCTCTCGGGTGAGATTCACTCGTGGAGTCGTGATAGCCCACCCCGATGACAGCCGGCACCAGCGACGATCGGCCGACCGGTCGGGCTCGGAGGGGTCCCGAATCCAACAAGATTCTTCGGACTGTCGAACAATTCACTCCGAGACCAACTGCTCAAATGCTCCCTTAATCCACCGCACTACCCATAACTGAGTCAGTAGTAGGGTCTGTCAGTCCGATTTCACCCTAGCGCGTAGTCTACCAGTGGATGCCTTTCCTCTTTTTCTCTCTCTTTCTTTTCTCCACTGTTGCGCTGTCGTCAAAAGGCCTACCTATTCTTGAGAGAGCGGACCCTCTCCGTGTCCACTATTTCCACTTGGACTCAAAGACCCAAAGAGCGACACCTGATAAGGAAGTCCGAAAGCGGGACCCCCCAGTCTTGTCCCGTTTCGCAGTATCTGACTCGACTGGTCGAAACGCTGTCAAAAAAAGAAAAAGAAAAAAGAAGGGGAAAAAAAAAACTATCAAGAGGCTATGACTCGTCGAATCATTGATTGACCCGTACAGTCGTGCTGCTTTTGACAGGAGTCAATTTTGGTATGTCCTGTCACTTGTTTTCCATGGATCAGGGACGTACTGTAGGAGTGTAGTCCTCGGCTTCTCGTAGTGATGTACTGTATTAGGACACCGGAGAAAAAGCCCAACGGACCGAGACCGAGTAATGCATATGATGACTCTGGTGGACGACAGACAGGACCCATGATTCATTCCCCCCCCCCCAAAGATGAGCACAGAAAACACCTGCAACCTTAGCACGAGGGGGGGTCGACTACTCTTGGCTTTTGCGTGGGCGAAGTATAGACTTGAACTTGTTGTTACATAATTAATTTGCGGTCTTCATAATTAGTTATCTACCATGTATCCCTTTACTTAATAAAAGTCTGTGTTTAATTGTTTACACAATACACAGTCGTCGTCTGTTAGTCTGTTACACATTCTCGAGACCGTTGTCGTAATGTTAAATATAGTGTCTTACGTCCACATGGATCTACATTCGAAACTCGCGGCTGTCGTACAAGCTAGGTTAGTTACTTAGGACGCCGCTCTATTACATATCGACTTGAGACGCCCTAGGGTTAAAGTGAGGCAATACGGGACACGAAGCTAGATTGTGATAATCCTCCTCGACGGTTTCGGCAATCTGCCACCTGTAACACGGCTGGCTGCCGATCATTCGTCGTCAGTCCAATAATTGATCGAGTGCCATTGCGTACGCTTTACCCCAGATGATCTGACCACGGACCTCTGTAGACGAGCCAAGAGAGAAATCTAGAGTGCCTAGTGAAATCCTGGCCTGGATTTATCTGAACGGTCTCCAATCGTATTGTTCCAAACCCAACGCCTGAATCTGTGAGCTCACTGTCTTGGCTGCATACGAGCAGTAGCAGCACCCGAACCTACTGTTGACGCTAATGCAGCCAGCTTCCAAGATAGCTTCATACAAGCTACCACGCACTGCAGCTAAAGAGAAATCAATGACCTGTCCAGTTTTCAGCATGAACCTGCCCCGACTTTCAAGGTATTGATTTTCAGAGG